TTACTGCCAGCGCTATCATCGGCTTATCTTGTCTACACCGCAGGTGCGTACCCCGGCTTTACCCAGCTGGTCCTTATTTTGACGAGATATGAAAGATCTATAGGTTACCAAAATGAAACGTTAGGAACTCTGAACCTTGTTATATACAGAAATCAACTAATGCCGTTCAGTCGTTATCCAAAGAGTCAAATCGGCATCCGTCACAGTCGATTCGGAGTTGATATCCTCAATTGGCAAGGGCCTGCTTGTGTTTGCTGGGATTGGCAAAGAAGATACTGAGAAGGATGCTGAGAACCTGGTGAACAAGGTGCTGAAGGCCAAGTTCTGGCCTGATGAGAATGGAGTACAAGTAAGCCAAATGGCTTTCATCTGCTGAGACCAGCAATTGACATGATCACAGTGGAAAAAGAACGTGAAGGATATTGAGGGAGAAGTACTATGTGGTATGATTTCTCATTTTACTACCTGGAATACCGCTGAACATTACTGATGGTCGTCTGTCTAGTCTCCCAATTCACCCTCTACGCGAAAATGAAGAAAGGCAACAAACCCGACTTCCATGATGCAGCTGCTCCAGAACCCGCACGCAGACTCTATGACTTCTTCTATGATAAGATGGGCGAAGGCTATACTCCAGACCGGGTCAAAAATGGTGTCTTCCAAGCCATGATGGATGTCGAACTGAAGAACGATGGGCCGGTGGGTGTAAATTACTGCAGCGAGGACGCGGCGGTACATCTTGACTTCCTATCCCCTTTTCCTCGCCGCCATTGATCGTGCGCTGACTGGCCTCATTCTAGGTCACGATCGAAATCAATACCAATCTTCCCAAGAAGGAACCCAAGGAGCAGCAAAATGGAGACAAGAAGACCGATGAACAGGAAATTAAGGGATCTTTTGAATTCCAAATTCCTCCTGAATTGCTGCAGTGAAGAAAGAAAGAAAAGAAAAGAAACAAAGAGAAATAGAGTAATGCTGTGTACATAGATGTTAGCAGATACCCCCAATACAACGTTCTATACAATCGCGTGGTCCGAGCATAGTTGGGGTGCGGGCAATGGAAGCTTCCTGAACCTCAAGCGCCGCACTCCCCCACTGACTTCTCTCTCCTCCACCTCTCTTCGATATCATCTTCATTTCTTTCTATTTTTCTCCGCTTTTGAATTTCTTCCCTAGACTCTATAGTCATGGCGACTGCTCAGCGTACGTTCAGTGCGGGGTTCAGCTGCCCGCGGAATGCAAGGATTGAATGAGTTACTGACAAGCTTGTAGGCTCCCGTGTCTTCTTTGACATTAAAATCGGTGACAGCAAGCCTAGCCGGGTTGCATTTGAGCTGGTAAGTTTCCCGCATCCTCCATATGCCGAGTATCAACTGCATCTAACATCTGGGTGTCACAGTTCAACGATGGTACGACATGATTTTCTCACTTGGCAATTCGGACATGACTAACAACAGCGACAGTTGTCCCCAAGACCGCGGACAACTTCCGAGCTTTGTGTACCGGCGAGAAGGGCATTGGCACTCAGGGCAAGGAATTGACCTACAAAGGTACGTCTACAGTACCCCGCTCCTATAGCGTTGACGGCCTACTAACCACGGCGCTCCGATTCAGGCTCAATTTTCCACCGTGTGATCAAGCAGTTCATGATTCAGGGTGGTGACTTCACTGCGTTCAACGGCACCGGCGGCGAGTCAATTTACGGCGAAAAGTTCCCCGATGAGAACTTCGACCTCAAGCATGACCGTCCCTTCCTGCTCTCCATGGCCAACTCCGGTCCCGGCACCAACGGCAGTCAATTCTTCGTCACCACCGTCCCTACTCCCCACCTTGATGGCAAGCACGTCGTGTTCGGTGAAGTCATCAACGGCAAGAGTGTGATCCGCAAGATCGAGAACGTGAAGACTCAATCCGACAAGCCCTTCCAGGACGTGACTATCGTGGACTGCGGCGAACTTTCTGGCGAGGATTACGAGAACGCGACCAAGCGCCAACAGGATGCGACAGGCGACCCATACGAGGACTTCACTGAGGACCACCAGGGCGAGGAGCTTACTGCGCCTCTCTGCTTCAAGATCGCTTCGGACCTCAAGGGTTTCGGCAACACTGCTTTCAAGAGCGGTGATCTCGACCTGGGTCTCGACAAGTACCAGAAGGGTCTGCGCTATCTGAACGAGTTCCCCGACCCTGGAGAGAACGACCCCAAGGAGCTGGGTGAGCAAATGAAGGCTCTCCGATTCACCCTGCACTCCAACTCTTCTCTGCTCGCCAACAAGCTGCAGAAGTACCGCCAGGCTCAGAACTGGGCGACATATGCGCTTCAAGTCGCTGATTCGGCCAACGCCAAGGATGCCGATAAGGCCAAGGCCTACTATCGCCGTGCTGTTGCTCACGGGGGTCTGAAGGAGGAGGATGAGGCGCTGAAGGATCTTCAGGAGGCGGAGAAGCTGGCTCCTGGCGATGCTGGTATCATCAACGAGATCGCTAAGGTCAAGAAGACCGTCAAGGACCGGGAGGCCAAGGACAAGGCCGCTGCCAAGAAGTTCTTCTCTTGAACGGCTTGAAGTTATTCGTTCTCGTCTTCCTTTTGTTCCATCACGATTCACGACGTGGTCTTCTCATTTCAATAGTGACCCATGATGTATGATATCACATCATTCAGGCAACTTGCCTTGTTCTTTTGTGCGAAGTCCATACTGTAACTTCTTCTACATGGTAGACACCTGTGGCATAGCATGTTAGGCTAAAGTTGAAGATTTAGTCACATTATCGGGGCATAAATTGCCTCAAAAGTACCAAATTATATATTTCAAGTATGACCTGGTGTTGACTGCACCCAGTCTCTTCTAGGAGGTCGTCGTATACATTACTACGACTAGGTGTAGGGGACATGTTAGGCCGACAAGCATTGGCATGTATTTCAGAATATATTCCATACAACTTTAACCGTATTGATCATAGAAAGCTCAGATATAAACAGATCAATTGAAATATTCAAGTAAACAAAACTTCAGAATGCTCAACTTGCCCCTTCCATTCCCAAACGCTACTTTGTCACGAAAGCGCAAGCTCCCATGTCCTTTTTGACCACGTCCGCCTCAGGCCGAATATCAAAATCAAAGATATCCATCGGCACCGAAAGCGTGGTACAAGCATTAGGAATGTCCACAATACCGGCAATATGACCCTGCACCGGCGCACAACTGAGCAGCAAATATATCTGATAATCACTATAGCCATAGCGCCGGAGATACTCAATAACCCGGAGACAAGTCTGTCTATAGGCCACTGTCGCATCCAAGAAATGTTGCTTGCCATTCTCGTCGACAGAGAAACCCTCGAACGTGAGGTATCGTCCAGGGCCGAACTGCGGCTCTACAGGGCCTGCATGGAAAATTGGCGACTTCATGTCGAGTTTCGCCATGCCGTTCTTGATGACTGTGAACTTCAGTGTGATTACACCGGCCATTTCAATGGCGCCGCAGAATGAGATCTCGCCATCGCCTTGCGAGAAATGTAGGTCTCCGACGGAGAATTTGGCGCCAGGGACGTGGACGGGAAGGTAGACCTTGGATCCGCGGGAGAGGTTCTTGATATCGCAGTTGCCTCCGTGCTCGGGACGTCCCTAAGAGATAAATGAGTATATGGTTCGGTTTTATTATGCATGGTAATGGCTCACTGGGATTGTTCGAGCACCCTCATTAGCGATCTTGCTCTTCACCTCATCGGTGGCGTTGCCAGAATGAGCATTCTGGGGATTTGGTGGCTGAGCGACAATTCGATCAGCAACAGTATTGGTCGCAATCAGCTCCCCCTCTCGACGGTTCCATTCAGCCAGGACTTCGGCCGATGGGGCACACCCCAGGATTCCAGGGTGGATAAGTCCCGCAAACCGAACATGCGGGATATGGCGAGATGAGCAGAAGATTCCTTCAAAATCCCAGATTGCCTTGGCTCTGTGACACATGTTAGCGTCGATATGTGTTAGGACACCACGATTAAACATTAACATACGCCTCGGGATACAGCTGATCCAAGAAACCTCCCCCATTCTCTTTGTGGAAGACTCCGCTGAATCCCCATGGTTGCTCTTCGAATGGCTGGACGTCCTGAATCTCGACGAGTAAGACATCGCCAGGCTCTGCGGTTTCGATGTCGAATGGACCAGACAGGTAATGGATTTGGGTTAGATCTACGTTCTTGATATCGTCGGCTGAGTCGTTGTTTCCGATCTGGCCTCCGGTCCAGTCCAGACATTCGATCTTGACAACTTCATTGTTGGCAATCTTTCCATAGGACGGAACTGAAGGTTGCGGGATGAGAAATTAGTATGTAGCATCTTCAATGGAACTACCTTGACCAGGACTTGACATACCGTCTGGATGCCATCTGTTCTATCGGGGAGTTAGCAATGCTCACAACTTGAAGAAGGTAAGAACATACATGTAAGCCAGTCTGTTCACGCGCAGGCTTGTTGAGGTCGACCTTGAGAGCAGTACGAATTCCCTTGATACCCATATTTGCACTTATTGTAGAGCTTTGTTGGTGGTTTAATGCGATTGGAGTAGCAGGTATAGGATGGGGAGAATATAAATCGGGGCTGGGATGAGCTGGGGAACCCCAGATATACCGGCATAGTATTCTGGACTGGGCCCCCTCATGATAACGTTTACCCCGCAGACGCCCGGTCCATTTATATGTCGGCATGAATAACAGTTACGTGAAGTTGGAGATCTGCCCAGGTGGCTTATCATCGCTTTATCTCGCATAGGGCCGGTCCGATAAGCTAGTGCCTCATATACCCCGACCCCCTTGGACTGTTGAAGATGAAATGTATTTTTGTAAATAAGGCTCCTTCCAAAGAAGGGCGACAAACAAATGCTGGGATGGTCGCCTTATATGCTAACAATGCCTTGATGTGCATGGTGTGTGCAATTTCGAAGGCCATATCTAATTCTAGAATGAAATCCTTGCTGGGGAAACCTGAGTCCTAACGCCGCTCAAGAAAACTTCTTTCCGGGGGAGCCAGAGTCCATGTGATCTTGCTCGTCCGTGTCCACATTGAGCTTGTCCAGATTGTCGAGAGACAAACGCAAGAAATCATGTTTGTTCCTCCAGGTCACCTGGCTTTCCGCGAAGTTTGTACTTTCAGCGGGAGGTGGAGGCGGGTCGGTAATCTTAGTAACGAGGTACGCTGTAGATGCCTCGGCAACGCCATACATCAGCACACCAATGTATGGAATGCGCAGAAGAACCGTGAAAGCGAAGGCAAAACCGAAGAGAACACCTTCTCGGTCGCGGAACCATCGACGCTTTTGCTCGGGGGTGAACTTAATGCGCCAAAAGTAGGGTTCGAGCTAGAAGCTGTTAGGATAACTCACACGTGTGGGAAGATAACTGAACTCACAAGCTCACGCATCAGACTGCGCGAAGCAAAGTAGGTGTGGAGAAATGTGACAATATACTTCTTCGGCAGAAACAACCCTACGCCAAAAATGACAGCCGCAGGGGTGGAACCAACATGGCTTCGGAATGTGTAGAAACTTGCCGCAGGCATAACGAACCGACCGATGATTACAACCATCGAGAGAAGATACAGACCAAGCATCATACCGATCTTCTTTGCATAGCGATTGAAGAATGACTTCAATGCTTCGGGAATTGACCGAGAAACGCTGGAGCCACCTTTGGTAGAGTACTGAACAAGGTTGGGATAGTATAGAGAGTGTAGCTGACGAGGATCTTCGGATTTATGTTTCTGGATGTATGTGGTGTCCACCCATTGGATGGACTGCATGAATCTAGGAAGACGGTCAGCGAACACTGTCAATGAGTATGTTGCCAATAGAATGTACATTTCATCAAGCGTGGGCGTCACATATCGCATCAAGGTCATCAGCAAGAATGGCACCTGAAGGACAGACTTTGACATAAATTCCAATCCATTGAGAAGCTTGTCATCCCAGACTGCCTGCTCCAGGTTGACGACCCATGATAAGATGTAAATGGAGAATTTTACACTGAGGATCTAGAATTCAAGTCAGAAAGGAACCAAAACGAGCGCTGGGCAATGTATAGACATACTGGAATTTGAATGATCAATTGGATCACGGTGCCGATCGCTATCGCGAGAGCTGCTTGGCGGAAATGGTCGTACTTGAATAGCTCAGGGTTTGCTAATGCGCGAACAGCTGCAAGCCTTGGTTAGCAAGGGTCCAAAACGCATTGCCCATCCAAGGCATCATTCCAACGTAAATGATAAAAGGTGGCTGGATCAATGCAGCACAGCTATGACCTTGATCGAAGTCTTGGCATAAGCCGATTCCGATGCTATACGGCCCTAACACTGATAGAATTGTGTGTGTAGCCCGGAATCTGCCTATACTTTCAAGCCAGTCCTTCCGAATGGTCGTGAAAAGCAACAAAACATATAGGGTGACATACTGCCTACCACTGTGAGCTGGAAGCCGCGGATCACCGCGTTTGGCTCGAAGTTCGACATTGTGGCTTTCAAAACTGTGAAATATCTAGGTAGATACCACCGTAGAAACGCCAAAAGTGTCGAAATAGCTAAGAAGCTAGCAACAATGCATTCTTAAAGTGAAACCGAAATAACTGTGGATGCCTGGGCTCCGTTGAAAGCTGCGTCATGGTCACCTGATATATATGGCCTGAGGCAACAGTGGATCTCCCCGCGCAACACTGCAGATAAGCCCCGTTTCCTGCGTTTCTTGCATCGGATACCCTGGCTTCTCGCATTAGTATCTTGTACAAACATGTCTATACATTAATTTTTACATGCTCTTTTTTAATCCTCGTTGATCGCATCCATGAACCATGCCCGAGTCTCCAAGTGAGCTAGGTCAGATACAATCCCTCCGCCGCTCCCTCACCCTTCCCACCAAGTTAAATCCACTTGCGCAACGTCGCTCGAGCGTGCCGAATACCCCCGAACATGTAATTTTCTATCACCCATCTGCGAAAATTGTGCATTTCTCCCCAAGAGCGCTCGCCCCCATTCCTTCCAGTTCTGCGCCGTCCGACTTCGACTACCCGGTAGACACCATCGAAACACTCCCCTGGCGCTCTGCGACTGAACGGACTGTCGCGACAGCGCCACTGAGGCTGGAGAAGGTCCATGGCTCAACAGCGTTTCTCAAATGTGGAAATGTCGTCCATGCGATCCTGAAAAACTCCCAGTGTTGGTGTGTTGACGGGGTCTCAAAGTTTGTTTTACGCATTCGCCCTCTTACATACTATCGCATCGAAATACCATATGAGACGGAAGATGAGCGAAGCTTAGTACGGGATCTGAAGATCGCGTTGCCAACAGTGCTTCGGTATGAGGTCACGCCATGTCCTTTCAAACGCGCTTTTAGTGTGGAGCTCCCGAGTGACGCGATGGCACCTCGGCGCAAAAAGGCCTGGCAACCTAAAGATCGGAGAGAAAGGGTACCGACTGTCCTAGAGCCTCCACGAGAGACACCGTCACCATCTTCAATCAGGTCGGATTGTATCGACTCCGCGAGCACTGGCGACGACACGGACGGAAACTTAACCGATGACAGTTGTTTCACTTCAAACAAAGCGAACAGTACAGTTTTGGAGACTATCCCCGACGATCGGGAATCTTCTCCCGTTGAGGCTTTGAGTCCTTCCCCATACCTTGGGCCTCCTAGGCGCTCAGTGACCGAAACACCACAGACTTTCACTAGCCTGCTTGCAAAGTTTGAGGCTACATCAGTCGCAGAGGACGACCATGACTCTGGACTTGTGCTCAACCCAGAATACGCATCCAGTACAGATGCTACACCTCAACTTGATCGTGAGCCCAAGGGTACAGACGAACTCGAACCCGAGTTTCTAGCCGATGGAGTTGAAGCTGGACCTGAATCCGAAACTGTACTAGATCCTGAATCTAAAACCCCAGCGCAGTTTGAGGCCAAGCCTGAACATGATCCAGAAGCTATATTGCAAGCCGGACGTTCCGGTGAAGCTGCAGTTGAAGCGGAGCTTGTCATTCCGACTGAGACTGACGCAGCGTTGGCGGCTGAAACTTCAGAGGAAGCTGTATTCCGTGCTGAGCCCACCATAGCAGTCGGAGCCGAGGCAGTACCGGAAGGTAACGTCATGAACGTGGAAGGAGTCCTACTCAATCAACCCGCTGCCGAGCCGACACTGCACATTGACCATGATGCCTCCTTTGCGTCCATCCCCGAGTCATTCCATTCTGCTGAGCCTCACACGCCGGATTCAGTCTCTACTCATCCTACATCTGTGGGAGGCCACGAGTTGCCAGAGTCAGAAGAGAAGTTCAATATTCCGAGCGCAAAGCACATCATTTCTGGGTACGAATCAACGCCAGTGGATCCGTGTAAGACGTCGCAGCCCCTAACACTCAATATTCCTCAAAGCGATCACGCCCCAAATCCAACCAGCTTGCCCGGTCCTCCATTAGTGCATGGTACAAGTTCGAATAATCTGCCCAAGCGCTTCGCAGATGCATTCTCGGACACCTCGCCCTCAATGGCCCCTACAAGCAATGCGAATCCACCCATTCGTTCTACGGATGAATCTTCGGGCACTCACATGCGGCCAAGCGTTCATGCCAAGGCCGCTCCATTGAATACTGATTTCGACCACATGAGTGCGGAGTTCCGGCGCCGGTCAAAAGCCACAAGAGAGCGTGACGTTTCCCCTATGCCTCATTCTTCCGCATTGTACCAACCATCCGGTGATGATGGCACATCCTTCATTTCCAAGGCTATCACCCTAGTATTGATACCCCCCCGCCTATCTTTTTGTTATTCTCCTTCATATCGCTGCGCGCGTTGTCATCAGCCCAGCTATCCACCCGACTATCAGCTCCACATCGAGCGAGCCACATTCCCAGCCCCAGCAAACAAGGAAGGATCCAGCCGCAGAGGATGACTTCAGTTTCCCACTGGAGCCTCAGACTTCCTCGGAATACGAGGATGCTCAACTCTTCAAGAAACTCGATCCTTGGGATCTGGACTAGTCCGATGGCTGAAATACCCGTCTTTTAATTTCTTTACATTTTTCACTTCATCTGGATCTTTCCCCCCATCTTACGGTCGATTTAATGCTTACTCCTTGTATTCCTCCCTCTCTACACAGACTACCTTAATGTTTTTTTTTCTTGTTATGATATTTGGCACTGACTTGCACGACTCATGGGTGGATATATGGCATGGTTTGTATTCTACTGAATTTCTGTATCCTAGCGTTGCGTGTATCATTGAAGGGAAACCGGGGTCATGCCAGAAACGAATAATTAATTGATACAAATACGCTCTTTCTTTTCCAGACGGTTGTACATAACCTGAACGCGAAGGTCTATCCAGCGCCATTGGCCCTAGTCTACATGATTTGACCAAAGATGTTAGAGACGCAACTTACGAATAGGGGCATGCCCAACTGTTATGCTGAAAGCCGTTCATTTCTTTTCCCGTCCCACTGGACTCGTATAAACAAACACAGCGCCTGTGAGCCACAAGCGTAGGGGAATATGTACACTTGATAGGAAGTTCGCATTGAAAAATTGAGAATAAGAAGCCAGAACCACCATCGAACGCCAGCTAATGCATGCATGAAAAAAAGAAGCCATGATACACATCGCGTGTCAGGTCTGGACACAGTACACAAAGATGTCATGGGAAATAGACCGAATGGCAAATCTATGCTTTTGTGACCTTAGCAGCTCCGCCCTTGGTCTTAGCCTTGCGGCCTCGGCGATCTCGCTTCTTCAACCCAGTCATGCCTGCCTTGCAGACCTCGGCATAGCGAACGTAGAATGCCTCAATTTCATCCGGTTTGACAATTGTAGAGAGCTTGACCTTCTGAGACTTTTTGGCCGCCTTGTCCTTGCCTTCTTTCTTTAGGTTCGGCGTATTGGTGTTTCCGTCAGTGGCGCGGATGAGGATAGATGGTTGGGAATTTGTGCTAGTGGCACCGGGCACATCGATGAGAGGTTTTTGAGTGAGATATACCGAGCCTTGAACTTGTTGAGAGGTTTTGGAGAGCAGTTCGCCGAGGGATTTGAAGAACTAAAGGTGATCGGTGTTAGTGATATAGCTTGGAACTGGGTCGCATGTGCGGGTGTAGCGGTCAGATAACACCAATATCAATATTTACCTCGTCTTGTCCCAAATGTGGGGCCATATTGAAAAATATTTCTTTGACACGAGCGATAACTAAGAAATCTGAAAGCTGGAGCAGATGATCAATATGCAATTGACAGCTGGGAACAACTCACAGTGGGGGAGAAACTCCGCTGTGGGCGTCTCTCCGCCTTTGTTTTGGGGCAGCAGAAAAGTGAAAAAAGTTCCCTACCGCCCGGGGTACCTGATATTGAAGACCGACGTTTTAACTCTTTGATAAATTATATTCCAGAGGAACAAGATGCCCAAGATGCCTCGCCCACGGCATAATACGACAGCCTTGCCTCGGGATCTACGATCTGAGCTTGGAATCCGCGATGTCTACGGTGACAAGAAGCGTCGTCTCAACGGACCTGCCTCGCGCAAAGAACGCCGCCAAAATGAGCGTACGCAGAAGAAATCCCGACATGCAGCCCTGCCCAACAAGAAGACCTTCGAACGTCCCCAGCAGCGGAACCAACAGAAATCTCAGAAGCGGGCTCAGGATGATAGCGATGAGGACATTGCGGACGAGGATCTTGACCTTAACTCAGACGACATGGATCTCGACGAGGGACCTAGTGAGCCGCCGACCAAGTCTAAGTCCACGAAAGAGGCTGTGCAGAAGCCCAAATCTATCCTGAAGAAAGCAGCGGTCCCGCAAGACTCCGAGTCCGAATCCGAGCCTGAGTCCGGGTTCGGGTTAGAGATCGACCTCGATGAGGACGAGGACGAGGACGAGGATGAGGTCGACGAGTCAGATGATGAGCCGGAGGACGACACCTACGAAGGTGTACCCAAAGAAACTGAGGCCCACATCCCAGGATCGGTCAAGGCTAAGTTGGCGCAAGACGATGCCGAGATTGCTGAGTTGGAGAAAAGGCTTGGCCTCAAGAAAGGAGGTAAATTACCAAAGGCATTTGAGGAGGATGGGCTAGATGAATTGCTGGGAGATTTGGCTGGTGGCGGCGATGCCTCAGAGGATGAGAGCAAAAAGCGCAAACGTGAAGCCGACGAGTGGCTACGAAACAAGAGACTCAAGGCCAAGAGCCTGCAAGCCCAACAAGTCGAAAAAGATGAAAGCGAAATGGATAGCGCCGAGGATTTCGATCTCGACGAGGAGATATTTGGAGGAGACGATTCTGATGAGGCCGCCGAAGGCAGTGATTTCGACGGTTTCGACGAGGAAGAGCCCAAAGAGCCAAAAAAGAAGGAAAATCCCTATATCGCGCCGGTCACGAAGCCTGAACCCACCGCTCAGAAGTACATTCCACCTTCACTACGAGCTCGCTCCGATCCGGAGAGCGAATCTCTCACCCGTCTCAAGCGCCAGGCCCAGGGACATCTCAACAAGCTGTCCGAGGCCAATATGCTCTCGATTGTTGCCGAATTTGAAAAGCTTTACCGCGATTACCCTCGCCAACATGTTACATCTACTTTGGTTAGCCTCCTAATGGGATTGATCTGCGAGAGGGCTGCCCTTCAGGACACCTTCCTCATTTTGCATGCAGGTTTCATTGCCGCGTTGTATAAGCTCATGGGAATGGACGTTGGCGCGGAGATTATCCAAACGGTTGTCGAAACATTGGATGCTGGTGGCGACGAGCGTGGAAGTTTCCAAGGAAAAGAAGCTACCAACTTGGTCTCTCTTCTCTCGCAACTTTACAACTTCCACGTCATTGGTTCTTCCTTGATGTTCGACTACGTTCGTCTTTACGTGCAGGAGATCACGGAAGCAAACACCGAGCTCCTGCTCAAGGTCATTCGGAGTAAGTGATATATCTAACTCACGATAGAACTACTAGCCATCTAACGTGTACGCAGATTCTGGCCCTCAACTCCGACTCGATGATCCATCTGCACTCAAGGACATCGTATTGCTCATCCAGCCTGCCGTCGCGAAGGCTGGCGAGGACAAACTTTCTGTTCGAACAAAGTTTATGATTGATTTGATTACGGATTTGAAAAATAACCGCTCGAAAGCTTCCGCCGCGGCTGGCGCAGGTATCACCACAGAACACATTACCAAAATGCGCAAGATTTTGGGTTCTTTGAACAGCTCTCGTGTGATCCGCGCATCAGAACCTATTAACATCTCCCGTGACGATATCCACAACTCCTCAAAGAAGGGCAAGTGGTGGTTGGTCGGCGCAAGCTGGAAGGAAGATCCTCTTGTAACAGCACAAAGAGAAATGGCTGGTGTACAAGTGACCCAGCCTGAAGCCAGAGATGATGAGAGTGACGGCGAGCCTGACTTTGGAGTTCTCGCCCGAGCCCACCGTATGAACACGGACGTTCGTCGGTCGATATTCGTTGCCATTATGTCTGCCAACGACTTCCAAGATGCACACGTCCGACTCATGAAGCTTCGTCTCAAGCGGGCGCAGGAGTTTGAAATTCCTCGTGTCCTTCTACACTGTGCGATGGAGGAGGAGGCCCACAACCCATACTATTCTCTAATCGCGCGTCGGATTTGCGGTGAGCAGGGTCGACGCATCAAAATGTCCTTTATGTTTGCGCTTTGGAATGTGTTCAAGAAGATGGGTGAGCGAGGAGATATTGACGATGACGAAGAGACCAACTTCGATCCAGACGACGAGGAGAATGGTGTCAGCATGAAGTCCGTGGTCAACTTGGCCAAGATGTTCAGTACCCTCATTGTGGACGGCACCTTGACATTGAGCATTTTGAAGAACCTCAACTTCGCATACCTGCAGCCCAAGACCAAGACATTTGTCGAAGTTTTGATCATCAGTATCATTCAACAATCCCAAAAGTCCAAGAAAAAGAAGAAGTCAAAGAGCTCTATGCCTGATGAGCCTGAGAAGAATGAGGGGCCTTTGATGCAAATATTCCTACGTGTCAAGGAGACACCGCACATTGCCAAGGGCCTTATCTATTTTGTGCGAAAGGTTGTCGCGAAGAGTGATATTGTGTCCTCAGAGGAACTGAAACTGGTTCGGTGGGGTTGCAATGTGGCTGCAGATGCCCTTAAGGCTGTGGCGGAGTAAGGATTGCATTTTGATTCATCTTGCAATTGCATATAGAATATACCCAAGTTTTTACGCTGCTCATGATTTGTCTATGTTCCACCCTTTTCCCAACCTTCGGAGTCACTATGTAGGACTTTTGTTCATTTCGACCAAGAGAAAGATGAAATGAGCGTGGTCTTGGTATGGAGTATTCCATACACCTTTCTTAAATCGCTATAAATCAGTCTTTCATGGAGCTGTTTCAACGATGTCCCATTCCATGGCTATAAGCCAGCCCTCCTTTGCCTCTGGGTGTCCACCATTTTCAGATGGACCACGCTCTGGCGCCCGGCCAGATGCTTGATCGGCTGTTCGATGTTGGAAGAAGTGATTCCCGAGCTCCAAAGTCCAGTTGAGCCCTCTGTGAATCCCCACCACACCCCCTTTCCGCAGGTGGGGTGTTACAGTGCCATCAGAATGCGAGGGAATGTGACGAACAGCGGATTTAGACCGCGGAGATCCCATAATCATGATATTCAAGGTAGAATCGGGATTTTTCGCTTGCACATGATTCCCACTAAGCACTTCTGCTTGAATAAAGGCGAGAGAGCCACAGCCGCTCAGAGCTGACTGGCTGACATCAATGACACGTGCAGTCAGGAGATACAAATTCAATTTTTCAAGCGAGGCATCCGCTGCCTGCGAATCTGGGGCTTGAGCCAAGGGTGGCTTTGGTAAGTGGTCACGTTTCGTCCCCATTTCCAAGATCCAGCTGCGTACCTCAGCGGCCATTCCTCCAGGAATATAATTGGACACACCGGCTCGGTTTCGACCACGCCGACGCAATGTGCGCGAGGAGGGGGAGAACGGTGCGGGGATATCCTCTGCATCTGGATTCGGCGATGGCGAGCGAGGCAAAACGAAAGTCGGTTTCCGTCTCTCAGGCGGTGATATCCCCGGCGTGTCTGGTTTGGATTTGGGTGCGGATTGGCTGCTCGGAGGCTTCGCCGTCGAGGAAAGCATAAACCGAGGACGACTGCGGAACGGTGTTTTTATATTGCTGGGGGTGGATGTGACTGGCACAAGTGGACGTGCACTTGGTGCAGGAGTTCTCTGGGTATTCATATCCCATGTCGTAGTGCTTTGCCTGCTTTTATCGGGAAAATCTATGGAATCGGCTGGAGGGTTCGCAATTCCGGGTGGTGAGGACAATATTGGATCAATCTGTGTTTGATTGCTTCGACTGAAAGGTGTCACTCCCTCCACGCGGCGCCGTTTATTCCCATCTCTGACTGGCGCAAACAGTGCGTCGAACTCAGCGTCTAGGATTCCCGGAGTCTCTGGTTCTTCGGGAGGAGTGCTGTCTATAGCATCATCTGGTAGCTCGTCCACATCTCTTCTCCCGATTCGCGCATCTCCTATATCTGCGGCATCATCGGAGTCCTCGATCACGTCGCGTTGTCGGCGCGCGCGGGTGGCATTCTGGGTAGCAGGGGGGGGGGTTACGCGCGACTTCACGCGTTGAAGATGGCCCATCGTCGTCTATCACATCAACATCTTCATCTTCCTTCTGGGTTGCATTTTGTGATAGCAGGAACCGACGTGTGGGGGCAAATTGAGGGCCACTGCGGCGGGCGGATGGTTTGCGGCGGGGGAATGGTGATGGAGTCTGCGACCAGTCTGGTTAGTCTGGAGAATCGATAAATCATGCTGTAAACATACCGCTGGAAAAGGCATTTATCTGAAATGATCAGAGTCTGGAAAGAACATCATGGCGCTGCTTCAATGCACCCAGTTGGATGGATCTGGTGGTTCGCGTTGATGTTGATGGGTAAAAACGGCCATCGCGCAATTTGCGGCTCAACTTCACACACGCCTTGCAAGTTTGCCATTACACAACTTGTCGGCGACGAAAACTTTTCTATAAAGGGAAATCCAAGATACGCTTCAAGGCAATAATATATTACCAGATTCAACGATGAGAAAATCCCCTTTTGCTGGAGATTCCAAACATGTATTGGAATTAGAAATGCATCTATATATCTTAACATATGACCATGCTATCCACTCCAATATATGGTGATAAATCCATCGAACGACACAAAAAGATAAAAGTCACAGATGTCATGAACATAGATTACTGCGCCTATAGCGGAAAAGATCCAGAAAGCTCAGCAATAATGCATGAAAACTAACCCCTATCAACTGCCCCAACCCTGGGACCACCAACATCGAAAACCATATCCCTTCGGTTTAAGCCAAACCTACAGAATCTCAGAGACAGTATGGCGGATACTGGCGAGATCCACCCCGGAGAGATGTATATTAAAATGTTTCTGTAGGGCCATCACACGCTCCCCCTCGGAGGCAAAGCATTGCAACACCTCGGATGTTGCTCCAATACGCCGTTTCAGCGTATTATTGAACAGCGTCAGATCGCCAACAATGGCTTCGCCCTTCTCGTCCAGGAGCATCCGTACGCACACGACGTGGAAAGTAAACCAGCTCTCCCTGCTTCGACTCATGTAGTAGTTGATGATTGTGAAATCTTCAGGAAGGAACTCGACCTCAGTGAAGCAGTAGGCGGGTATCCATGCCCCGTTCCCGTGATTGATCTCGTATTGCCAAAGAGGCTCGCCCCTATGCGTTTGTTGAGTGATCGGTTCGTAGAGAAGCCGCCCGGACTGTTCGCCGACGTTGTAGAACCCGAAACCATGGACCAATGGAATGGGCCGGTGCGGACCGTTGGAGCCGAAACCCACATCTATGAGGTATTTCTGTTCGCCGATGGCAACAATATTGATCATATGGTTCCTGTAGTATGGTTAGTTGTTGAGTACGTTAGGCAAATGCCAGATTGAGTTCGAAGAGATGAGAGATGTCGGGCGTTATAGTCATACCATCCTTGGTATTTAGGGCCTTTCCAGTCCTTCGACGCTGACATAGGCTGCACGGCTTCATTGACCCGACCTCCGACTGAAGTGGTATTGTATCCCAAACTGCGCAAGACGGTCCCGAACAGGGTATTGTTCTCCATGCAGTAGCCGCCCCGATCGGAGTTGCCGTCCACGGTTTTCTCGAAAATGCTCTGGGCATCTATGGATATATTGCGGTGCGCCGAGTAATGGAGACCAAGGTTCTCGAAGGGCACAGCTGCTAGCTGGTACCGCTGTAATACCTCCAAGAAAGATAAGGCGACTTGGTTGTTGATAGTTGCGCCGTTCTTAACTATAGGCGACTCCCGATACTTCTGAGGGAAATTGATCCGATCGAAATAGTGGTTCAGTTGATCTGGCGAATATGTTGGACGAAAAGACCAATCAATATCAGGGCACATTTTGATTCACAGAGCAAGATTACAGAAATGGAAAGGGAGGGGTAGAGGCCGTTTCAAGCTGTTGGCAAAGTGTTAGCAACAGTACCTAGGTATGAACGCAAAGCACAACCTTCGAATATGTAGTAGTCCCTACAAGTGCTGCTCTTGGGAAAAAGGGCAGATGACCCCAAATAGATGGTCGTCCGATCCCATTTGTAGGAGAGCAGGGAACTCGATAGATTGGGCATTTGACATAATCGTGGCCCCGCCTTCACCAACACACTACCCGGTGTTGGTTGGCCCCAGTCAACGATAATTGACGCTCAACAATAAAAACATGGAATTGGGTACCTTTTATATGGTGTGCCCATACAAAAGGTACAAAGGATACCGGATCTAAAATATCTTTTTTTCTCAACCCCCTATATAGATAGAAGAAATTATAGGTCTATATATCTTCTTATAAAGGAAATTTAGTTCATTTAGTACTAATGTCGATAAGAAATATTAATGAGGGTAGGAGTATAGTTGCACTTATATATGACATGGATGTGTAATTGGAATTGTGCGCTTGAGGATGCTCCCGTGATTATGTTCAGTTTTATTGATTCGATTCGTTGATGTAACCTACATTATGTACAGATAAATGCCCAGCTTTTATGCAAGCTTATACTGGCGGGGGCTAATATCCCTGTACAAATAAAGACAGTTTAGTATCGTATCCTTCAAGGAGAGGAAAAGCAAATGTGGTTGGAAGTGTGATGGTAGACTCCTTTCTTTTAACATGTAGTCCCAAGGCCATAAGTATACAGAAAAAGGAAATGTACAACAAGAATAACATGTGCCAAATTTAGTAAAAAACATGAAGAACAGTGCTTACATTTGCGAGAAGTACTCGTTGAAATTGTCCGCGGCGACCTTGGTGCAGTCAAAGCCGTAGATCTCACGCTGCACATCGGCATCGGCCCACTTATCAGGCACGGGACCCTTGCCAGCGCGGAGGGCAGCGAACTGCTTGTCACGCTCCTCCTTGGCAGCACCCTCACCCAAGTGCAGGGCACGACCAGAAGCGGTAGCCATCTCGACCAAGGCCTCAGCGCGGCTCTTGCGGACCTTCTCGTAAACACGGAGAGCCTTGTTGATGGACTCAGGGGTGGTATCGGGGAGCTTGGAGAGGACTACACCAAGAACCGCTCCGTCTTCAATAGCCTGGGCAGCACCCTGAGCCAGGTGGGGAAGGGTAGGGTGGCAAGCATCACCAACCAAGGCAACGGAGTCATGGACCCAAGTGGGCAGCGGCTCGTGGACGCGCAGCTTCCACTCACAGACCTCGCCTTCGGGAACGTAGTTCAGCATGCGCTGGACCATGGGGCAGAAATCAGAGAACACACCCATCATGGCAGGCTTGGAGCCCTTGGTGGTATAGGTAGCGTTTGTCGCAGCTGCGAAGTTGGCATCGGGCTGGGTGGTGGAGAGGTTGTAGATGGTATTGTTGGAGATGGCGTAGGCAATAATGTGACGCTTTTCACCAATCCAGCGGGTCACACGATTGCTGTTGATGAGTGCCAAAAGTTCGGGATCGTCCTTGATCTGCTCCTTGTGGATCATGATACGATACGCGGCCTGCTGGGTGTCCTTGACACCAACGTCGACACCTAACCGCTTCAGCATCTCAACGCGGGTGACGCTCTTAATACCGTCTGCAGCGAGAAGCACATCGCACTCGACCTTGAACGGAGCAGCTCCCTCGGCGCGTGGGTTAGCTGTGAATGATGGCCGAGGGCCGAACGAGTCCACGTTATCTGCGTTGATTCCGAAGTGGAACTTGATTGCCGAGTGCTGCTTGCATCCGTCATATAGTCCATTGGCTAATGATGCACGGTGGCCAACCATGTGCTTATATCCGTATGTGTCTTCAATATACCGCAGATCCACATATGCGTGCTCAGTGTCCGTTGCGCCGTCTGCAGTCATAGATTAGATCGCATCACATTGTTCGATTAGTCGATCTCAGCATACCTCGCACTGATGTGTCTTCAATATTGACAGCCTCGGCCTCAATGCCCTTCCATACACCGAGTCCATCCAAAACGCGGGCCATGTTTGGTGCCAATTGAATACCAGCCCCAACAAAGCCGAGGTCACGGGCATTTTCATAAACATCGATGTTCTTGAATCCTTGCTGGGCCAGAGCTAAAGCCGAAGTCAGTCCACCCATTCCGGCCCCAAGAATGGCGATTTGCAGATCTTGAGGTGTTTTTGTCATTTTCTCGGTGCTGTGCGGAGAAGATATATACGTGATGCGTGTTAACAGGACGAAGGAGAAGAAGATCCAAAATATACCAGACGAAAGATAGCAAAAAATGGAACGAGGAATATCTTTCCAACTAAATATTCAACAGTACAATCCCCGGGTGATGCTGCCGACCATGTCTTCGCGTTCTGCTTGATGGCCTTGGCGGAGTAAGTCTTTCCCGCTTCTCCCACATTCTCCCCACAAGTACGTCGGAAGGGCATTCGAGGGGCTCACACGGCCTGAGGATTTCATCATTCCCTGCTTGGACTTTATCCGCTCTAAAAGTTGATGTTATGCATGGGACTACCCAGAGGGTAATGTGAAGTGCAGCTCATCGTCGCACTGCAGCCCTAGTCTCATCCCTCAAACCTTCCCCACAGTTTTGAACTCCGGACTTACCCCGGCCAAGCCGCCAATCTTGCGGAGTAAGTCTGGTTACTGTTGAGGCTACAAACTGCCGACACTTGGATGTACCAGTCCTTCTGTGGCCTCAGAGATCCACCCATGGACGGCTTAATGACCGACCTGGGAATCGTTTCCACTCCCAGCCTTGAACATTGAGTCAAGAATAAACATTATAGAGAAAGGAGCCATAGTTCGATTGCGAAACTAGTTCTAAATTCCTGTCTAATATTAACTAGAACTATGTTGTTATGGCTTATTTGGCAATGAACAATCCACATGTGATCTGGCTAGTGATGGTGACATGACAATGTGCAGTTTTTGTCCCTAACAATTGGTGGATAAGCTGTGATAGAATAATACTATGGAATTTGCTGAAGCGATTACATAGTAAAAAAGTATCATACTATGAGATATCAATATAGTAAAATCGCATCGAGAGGCTGTTCAGCTATTCTAAAAGGGCTAAACCGCATATATACTAGTATGCCATATTGGGGCTAGCGTATATCCAAATGATCGCCAAGACATGGTATGGTGTACATAGGGTATCGCCGATGGGTTGACTATTTCCAGTCATTCATTGCCTGAGGTACGATAGTAAACATAATCTCAATTATGTGCTTAATCGGCTGAACCATCAGATTGCAAGCTGGTACGATGTTTATTGATCAAAGGTAATCAAGGCAAAATGCTGCCTAAGTGGACGTGGTCTTTTGTATGCAAAGCAGAGAACTTGGGAAGGAGGGCAATTGGCAATCAAACAGGGACGCCAAATCAGGGTAGTGTTATTAGGCTTGTCACATGCCTACTCAATCTCAGAGAGAGAATTCCTGGTTTTCAATCCAGGTTGCTTTTGACCTTTTCATCATACCCTCACATCGCATTGCCGATTTGCGCTTGTCATCCAAGGTAAGTTCATCCATTCTATTTCGATCTTGGAATACTCTCCATGGCTTGGAGTCTAATGTTGTCACTTTCTCTCACTAGACTTGCCCTAAACCAAGCTTCTTGTCTCATCTTCACTAAGACCTCTATGGAAGACACTAGGTAAGACAACATCCTCCTTCCTAGGTATCCGTCATAATGGTGACACTGATATGAATAGTCCAATCTTTCAGCCTGCAGCCCCACCACCAGGCCGACGAACCGTCCTTTCTCCCATGCCAATGCAAGGTCATGAGATGACAGCACCTGGACCGTGGGCCATCCATATCCGCAAACTACCCTTTCGAGTGGCCAGACAGGGTGATATTCTGCAGGGAGAGATACTTGGATGCTTTAAATGCAATGTCTAACCAGCGAGAGCTATGTCTGCGTCGCGGAATCCGGTGGACCGCTCTGCAGTTCCAGCAACAGATAAACGATAACCTGCCCCACGTGGAAGCGGCATTGATGCAGGTAGTAGGTCAGCAAAGTGAGCTAAAATGCACAAGGTGCCTGCTACTGTGTGGCCCCTTCTCTCAATGTGTCTCGGCTCGCGGAATTGATGGCCTTTTAGTCTGTGCCAATTGCCATTGGGCACAGGAGGACACCGATTGCTATTACGCGACTTTTATGCCATCTGAAATTAGACCTGGTGATGGCGGTGCAATTGGCCGCTCATCTAGCCCACTACACCCACTACTCCAGCACGAGGAGATTCTTCGGCATATGACAGAGGGCACCCGGCTCACGAAAAAGCTTACGAGCGAGTTGCGGGTGGTCTGGGAGGGAAGCCAGAGTTTTGAAGCTCAGCTGGAAGGACTTCAACGCCGCCTGACTGACGCAAATACTGCCATCACCAGGGAACTAATGGAACAGACTCTGAATGATATCGTTGCGTCTCAACAGGATATTCACCAGGGAATTGCACGCCTCATAATTCATGTCCACGGGATCATTCGTCCTAGTCGACAGATCCCATCCTAATCTCGGACTTTCTCCCTTTTATCTCTTTACCCTGGGCCTATCCATGGGCGTGCCGGTTCTTGGTTCTCAGCATCCTCCTGTCTTGATTATCTTTTTCCTTTTGCTTTCTCTGCATCTGTATCAAGCAATAGTCTTTGATGAATGGAAACCATCAGTTACTCTAATATTCAATAGGGCACCAGTGTAACCTAAGTCATTAGTTAGCTAATATGTCAATCCTGTTAGAGTATTATTTGAATTTTGTTCAAAGTTAACTCATCTGACACAGATATCTGCGTAAGTATCCATCCCACAGTATATGAGGTAGTCTGTTATTGCACAGAAAGGCGCAGGTGCTAGCTTATGCGCATAAATCTATACTATGAAGCAATGGCCTATACGGTTGGCTATCGAAGCTATATGGGATTTTCGCTGGACTATTTTTGTGTGCCCTTAATATTAGGCATCAACATATTAGAAGCTCGGAGGGTTGCAGTTTTTAGTTTGTCCTAGCGCAATATTAAAAGTAGACTCTTATTACTTTCATATTCTCCATTTGCTCCAAAATATGTGTTTTGCGTTTGTTGCCTGCTACCATGAACGTGTATGACGGGTGATATTTTCACTGCACGCGACGTTTTCGCGAAAACTGCCCTCTTCAGGGTCGAAAATGATCCATCCATGCCAGCAGTGCTTTCATACAGTTTGTGAGGGATCTCTGTTTTACTTATCGATCTCCTTTAGGTAGATCTTTCTAGGCTTTGTGCCTGTGTTTCCTTTGTCTCATAAATCTATATAGACGCAAGCTCTATGGTAACAGATAGAGATCGCCGTCATCATGCGTCTATTCATTATTCATTTATTCCCTTAGATATGTAAACGACTTGGTCCATCAGAAAATACATATGTATACAAAAATCTGATAGAGGATCCATGGGTGTTGTATTCTTTTAATTTATTTTTCGACCTCGAGATTTCCCAAAGAGGTATCTGCAACATGGCAATTCTGAGGTCATGTCCGCCTTGGGCAGCGGACGTCTTATAAACTCATTTCTCCGCCACCTGTTCAAAATCCCTACTTCGTCCATATTTGTTTGTTCACATTACTTTCCCATCCCACAGACTCAACCTGCCATACATATCTTCATCTCATGCAAATCTCCTACAATCTCTTATTCGACTTCAACTTATTGTGTCCCATCAATACTGTGTACACATTTGGCACCTAGACAGGTCTCAACGTCACGCCATGGCTGTCGACCATGATCTCCCCTTCTTCATATTCAATCACATATTCTTCCCCCCAAAGCTTCCACAGCAGGCTGAAGGTAACCTCACTGAGTTGGAAAACCATCTCACTGTGCTAGTGAGGGATGTGCTGCAAGAGTTTGTCCAGAGTCTCAGCCCTGAGTCCCAACGGCGATGGGGCATAGTTTTGAGTATGTGGGATACCTGGACCAAGGTGCATACCGATCAGGGAATTGTGCAGATTGGGCTAGAAAAGGCTCTGTCAAATCTCAAATATACCGGTAAGTTGGTTATATTTCGGACGCTTCCGAACGGCGAGATAAGGCTGACCTGACTAGGGGCTGTTGCGTGTCACATCAGAGCTCAGAACTGCGGATGGGTTGCCTCCTACGATATAAACAAAGACAGGGTCCTTGTGGATGCTTTTGAGGTGTCTTGTCAGGGTGGGCCAGTGCTGTCCTCATCTGGTGGATTATTGCGCCAGTTCCCCGGAGTTAGTGTCGCCATTTCAGCAGACAAGCTCGCCGATCCGACATTCTGCTCTTACCTGGCCGCCGAAATCTGTCGGCTAACATGCGAGGAAGTGTCTGAGATGCTACCGAAAAGCACAAAAGCTGGGACCAAAGTGGACGAAATCCGGGAAACAACCCACCCTGGCCTCGTAACAGAAGGTTTGATGTCACAGCTTTTGGCGCTAGGTGCGCTGCATGAAGAAAGGAGGATTGTAAAATGTGTGCGTGACGAGGTCAATTGGGATTGTGCTTTATTACCGTGGAGGCGTTCTCCAGCTTGGTTAGTCCTTCGAGTCGCTCTCCAGTTGGTTCTCCGCCGATGCTTTCCCGAAACAGACAGCCGCCTTCAGTACAAGAATTTCATTCTTTACCTCATGGCAACACTGGCAGGGAACCAAAGTCTGTCCATAGGCTCCCATGAAGTTGTCGACGGTTGCCAAATCATGCGTGCTCGACTGGCCCGCCGGCTCTACAAGCTGAAAGATGATGTCTTTCCATTCGTTGCCAACCGGGCACATTCCACAAGCAAGGTGCTGCTTGACAAATTGATGTCTATTCAGGAGCAGATCAAAATAGCCAACAGTGTAGAGGTTCCGATAATCCCACCATCAGCCTCAGAAGATGATGTCCGCCTTTCGCTGGTTCATTGCAGAGACTACCTTCAAGCGGCAATGCATCCGTCGCCTGAACAGTCGAAACCCGAAAAGTTTCGTCCAACTCACGAATCAAACTTGAACTGGGGCAATGGTTTGCCCGTTCCAAAATTAGGGTCAATTATGGCTCTCAGTGAATTCGAGCAATGGGTTGATGAGCACCTGCAGTCCTGGTTCGTTAATCAGCCCGCGTCGAAACACGAATCAGCATGTTGTGAAATCGAAAGTATCACGGCACAGTACCTTTCCATGGCGCAGCCTAAGTACTACTCCAATCCACAAGCCACGTCAGTTATGATCCTTGTGGTGTTGGAACTGTGGGTAGTGCTTGATAAAATGGCACTACAACTATGTCCCCTCCTGGGGAAGTTCTCTCCAGGAATCCCCGAGAGCTTCCTGGAACCTCTACTGCTTCCCAAGATTGGGCAAATGGAACGGGCAAGAGAGGTCGAGCACCACATTGATGTGCGACATAAGGAAGCGCTCAAAACAAACCCTAGCATCTTCTGTGACCCAACGAAAAATTGCTTCGGTGTTCAGTATTTCGACAGCTCTGCTGAGCATCAGACACTCGAGTGCAAAATTCAACAGGATGCGACGCAGACTCGAGCATTGAAACGGGTAGAATGGGAGATTCTAAATGCCAAGTATAAAAGGATATGCCAAAGAAGGGATGGACTGTCACACTTTTATGACTACAATCGCCATGGCGAATACGTTCACTTTAATCACCGATGTGAGAAGTGTTCATTGGACAAAGAGGCTGCGTCCATTTCTATACAAGTCCACGAATGGCCTCTTCCAACAGATCTGAATGAACGGAAGACCGCTGTGTTTGAGCTGAATATTCCTATTTGGTTTGCATCGTGGCGCAACACTACGTGGAAGATCCTCCACGCTGTCGGACGAAGGGGTACAGTGGTCGCTGACAACAATGAAATGGAATGGCTTCAATATAAAGATATTGAAGAGTTCGCTGTGAGACGTGACTCAAACATCATTCTGGTCTCAAGTGCGAAATCGTGGGGCAAAACCCACTACAGAACGCACAAGTTCCCTGTCCCATTTGATAATATTTGTATACCGAATGGGCTTTGCCTAAAATTTCTCGACAAAGTCAGCTACGGCTGGGTGAGGGAGCAGACCGAGGAACCGACCATCAAGCTCATGTGCACTATCCAAATCCCTTCTGGGCCGTACTCAAACCTTCAATACACTCTCAATTCTACTTCACACACGCAGAACCAGGTCATAGCAATTCAGAATGATTGTGATAAAACCCTCAGTTTGCATGAGTTTGAAGCATACGGATGTCTCCGTTCTGGGGAGCACCTTCAATGGTGCAATATTGCGCGAAATCTGGCATCCTCGGCACTACCACTGAATAAGGAAGCCGTTGCCTCCCTTTTTAAACAAGCCGCTTGGGAGCTTGGGACACGGTCTGGGTCTGTAAGAAGAGTTGCACATCGGGCCTTTGAGGATATAGGCTTTGGTGACTGTTTGCTCGACCTTCTACAGGAGAGGTTGACAACGATCAAGAAAAACTGGAATGAGCATTGCACGTTCGATCTCATAGTGACACTTGCTCTTCGTGTTCTTACATTGTCGAGTGGATCGCCATCGGTTGAGAAGGTTATTGAATTCCTACGACAATGCCGACAGGTGTCGATTGATTGGTGCGATGAGTTGAATGGTGTTTCCGATGACGAAGGGAACCACGGTGGCAGCCACCAGCAGCTCATACTTCGTATTGCATCAACCTGCCAAGCTACTTATGACGTGGATTCTATCCATTTGCATACGGCTATCGAAACTCCCCGAGACGTCTTTTACTTTTTCCGTTCATCTATTCTACTCTTTGAGAACTCACCCCCGAAAACAGACAGCCCCCCACCCGAGGCAAAGCTCTTCTTAGAGAATACGGATCCTTCGACGAAGATAGAGGAGATAAAGCACTTCTTAGAGAATGCGGAAAGGATCCGTTCTGTGTTAAGATCACGAATCAGATGCATGATTCTCGATTGCCCGTCTGGATTGAATGAAGCAATTCAGAGTAGCATAACCTGTCTTGAAGTATCCGGGCCTTGGAAGATTTGCAGAGGGAGTGATATTTGGGTAACTGCAAAAACAAGGAATAGTCTCCGAGGCTTTAAGCAACGACTCCATTTCAATTATCTGACAGGTGAACTTCTGGTGGATGGAAACCCCCCGGGAAGGTTGCCAGCCGAATTCATATGCGATCCTCTCTATCAACGCATTTTTGGAGCGGTAATTCTCCCCTTCACTAAGTAAACGAGAAGAAGTATTAGAAAGGCGTAGTAGAAAGAAGTATTAACATTCTAATAGAGAGTCCTTCCGGTGGTACCGTCGAATTTGCCCGGCGCGTCGTTTGTCTTGTCACGCAACATTGAGGATCTTGAAGTAAGTCAACCAAAAATGCTATTGATTTCTAGTCTAACGACTTGCACAGGTTCACTTTGGGATGCAAGATGAAAGGCTTTCAATAAAAACCCGCAAGGAATCTCGGATACTGCAACTCATACCTCCGGAGGTCCTCGTGAAGGACTTCCCACGGGTCTTCATCTCTGACAACTTTCATTGGCTGGATTTGCAGACTGGAATGGTTGAATTCCGCCCACTAAACCACCCATGGAAAGCTTGCTCCCGCAATTGGCGTTTGTCCTTCGATCCTTATGCGCCTAGCGTCATGAAGCAAGATTCCAAGACCCTAGTCGACATACGCAGCCAGCCGTTCAAAAAGGTTTGCCGTATCTTAAGAGTGCTTGACGCAAGTGATGAAATCGTTGTTACCCAAACAGCCGCCGGAACGCTAGAGGCAGAACTAAGCCGTTTACGGTTGAAATTCTTCGTCAATGACGATGGGCGTGTAGCATCGAAGGAGTTCGGTGCCCTCATTGATGTGGACCAAGACGTCGGCTGCTTCTATGGACTCAGGAATAAACTGGTCCTTGTCGATTCCTCTAATAACAGATCCGTTATTGTTCCTTATGGACACCCGGTTGTTAAGAGAAAGGATGACCATATTGCGGTTACAATCGATCTGCCAGCCGGAAATCGAGTGAAATACATGCATTATTGCTTGGACAGCCACCTGCAACTTCTGCGAGGATTTTACCCCCCTGGCCATCCTGTACCAGGCTTACTTGCACGCACTCACGTCTTCCCCCGTTGCTGATGACTTGACCCATCGTTCAGGTACCGAAGAGTCTTTTCGAATTCTACGTCAAGGGTCTTTGAGATCGTCTTTCCCCCTTCAGGATGATTGCATCGAGACCTTGGAATGGATTGCGGCCCTCACGCCGAACCGCTGCTTTTATCCTCGACACCTTCGTGTCATGCAAACTGTCACATGGTCGACTAACTTAGGCCAACTTGCCCAGCATGACGACTTCCAACCGTTGGCACAGGACATTCTCCAGACCTCTGTCCAATGTGCGCATTTCCATGATGCCAAACCGAGCGGAAATAAGATCTCTTACAGGGGACGTACGGAACTATTACAGCGTGCCCGTTGCCGTAACGAGCAGTTGAGAAGCTCGGAATTCAGTGATTCTCCTACATCGTTTACCAAGAAAGTTTACAAACCCCGCGACTGCGATACCACAAGCGCTCGAAGCAGCGCTGTGTACAGTATCACAGGTCTGATTAGAGACTGGCCGTCGACAGTTGATCATTCATCTTCCATAGTGGCAACCATGAGGCGATTCAAAGAAGTTTCAATGCTTTCAGATGACTTTACGCGTTACTCTTACTCCGAGATTCTATCTCAGTCGGCGGAGAGCTCCTGGGTGGCTTTATACAAAGCTTGCCAGTCGAGCTCCCGAACAAGGGACACTTACTCCTTGATTGCCTTGTTCTCTACCTTTGCGTTTGGCGGGAATATTGACCAGTCGATCCTACGCCAATTACTTCAGGTTGCTTTCTCGGAGAAATGTAAAGATGTTGCGGTTCCACGCGACTCGAAAACATCGTTAAACCTGACACTAGGGGAGGATTTAGTCCTTAGTCAAGTTGAAGACGTAATCAGAGAATCTTACGAACCGTTCACCGAGACACGAAAGTCATACCTCACACACGAAGAACAGGTCGAGATCAACCGAAGAGCTAAACTCAAGTGGGAAGACCAAAGGAAGGAGGACGTGCAGTTATGTGGAGAGCATATAAGGGAACAGTGGCCGTGCAAAGCTCCCCAGCTTCCATCATCCAACATGATTCCTCGTGTCTTCAAAACAGCGGCACATGAAAAGTGCAAAATACTCTGTGGCAATTGGTTCCGAAATAGGAATTTCCTTGGCTTCCTACGCCAGGTACAGAGCCAAGTGCCGCCCTGCAACTCATACAATAGCAACGTGGAGCCTGTTCCGACCTCGCATGAGCACTCCCAGGAGATTGAATACACTTCGTTTCAACCACCCCGTCTTCTTGACTTGATCCAGATGTCTCGTGCAAGTACCCCACTGACTGAGGTTGGTCCGGTGACGTATCATGCAGCTTCTTCCGTTTTGCGACCGACTCCTGAGCTCTGGGCTCTCGCAAAACATTTTCAGGGCAGTTCAAACCAATGCCAACAAGACTACGGAAACGGGCTAAGTGACAGCGTGCAAGCGTTGGAAGATTTCTCAAGTTCAGTGCCTACAACTGGAAACTTTGACCTTTCTGGGTCTGTCGACTGGGCAGCAAAAAAGACTGCGCTTCTTTCACATCAAAAGCAGATCCAAAGGCTCAGAGACTCACTCTGGAAAGAAATAGTCACCACCTTGACAATTAGTGAGAATCGAAGTCGTCCAAGCACCGACACAGTCTACCCTTCTATCACTGTTTGGTCGGTTCTGTCCATCTTGGCCTATGACCAATGGACCAACGTCCCCGCCCAATGGAGAGCATTGCTTGTGGCATTTGGGAAGTCAATATCTGCCTTGCGCCGTTGTGGGCGGTTGATTTCATATATTGAAAAGCGTGATATGGATGGGTTCCTAAAAGACGCAGAAAACCCAGGCTATGAGGGCTGGGACCCTTTTGATCTATCCGACTTGGCTGCTTCTGGAAATTGAAAATGATATCACTATTCGGAAACGCCAAGTGGAAGTCGCACTTCGGATGATTGAACCAGACGATGGTGAACATGCAGTACTTCAGCTCAACATGGGAGAAGGCAAGACTTCCGTCATTACACCTATGGTGGCTACAGTTTTAGCAAACGGCCATGATCTTCTCAGAATAATCGTCCTGAAACCTCTCTTGAGACAAAGTGATGGGCTTCTTTCTCAGCGCCTCGGGGGCCTGATACAGCGCCGCATTTACCACATCCCGTTCTCGCGACACACTCAACTTACTTCCAGTACAATCGGACAGCTCAAGTCCATATATCGAGAATGCCGCCGTGATAGGGGTATTCTGATTGCTCTACCTGAACAGATACTCTCCTTCAGGCTCATTGGGCTAGATGCCGCGGAGAGAAGCCCCGATATTTTTTCACCATTGATAGCTCTCGAGCATTGGCTACAAAGACAATGCCGGGATGTTATTGATGAGAGTGATGAAGTTATGGATACCAAGTTTCAGCTGGTTTACACCATGGGCACGCAGCAATCTCTCGATGGGCTAAGTGGTCGCTGGGAGACAACGCAGCATTTGCTGAGCCTGGTCTCCACACAAGCAAAATGCCTTCAGCAGGATGACCCAGGATGTATAGAGGTTGACCGGTCAGGTTACCGCTATCCTATTCTGCGATTCCTAAAGCCATATGCCGTCGAACGCCTCATCAGTTACACTCTTAAGTCGATCGCAGAAAACGGAATTCCCGGTTTACCCTTTACTCAGTGGACCCTAAGGGTGAAAGGCAGCGCGCTGAGATTCATCCAGCAATCTGACCTGACCGATGAGGATCAATCCATCATCCAGCAAGAGTTCAATGGGAGTATCTTTATCACCAAGCTTCTTGTTTTACGAGGGCTTTTCGCTCATCGCATCCTGAGATTCTCGCTTGCCGATAAACGTTGGTTAGTCGAATACGGCCTTCACCCTTCCCGGTGTTTGATGGCTGTACCATACCGTGCGAAGGGTGTCCCATCTGAGAGTGCAGAATTCGGACATCCTGATGTGGCAGTGACATTGACTTGCCTAAGTTACTATTACGAGGGACTGACAAAGGACCAATTGAGAGACTGCTTTATCCTTTTGGCTAAGCAGAACGACCCCTCGACAGAGTTCCAGAACTGGGTGGCGCTGTGCGTCCAAGATCTGCCCGTTGGTTTGCAGGCATACTCAGGCGTCAACCTGGAGGACGATAAGACCTTCAGTGAAATATTGTTCCCTCTCCTCCGATACCAGAAAGACATTCTTGACTTTTACCTATCTCACTTCGTTTTCTCCAGAGAAGCAAAGGAGTTCCCGCGGAAGCTCTCGTCATCCGCGTGGGATATTCCTGCACGGCGGGGCCTTCAATTGACGACAGGTTTCAGCGGTACGAACGATAACCGGTTTCTCCTGCCTTTTTCAGTTAGTCAACGTGACCTTGGTGAACTTCTTCACACCAATGCCATGGTACTTGGTTTGTTGCTACGAGAAGAGAACAGGAAATGTATTTTGGCACAGGACGAGAAAGGCCACCAGCTAGATGTTGATGGGCTCTTGAAGCTCGTAGCCGGGATTGGTGGAGGCTCGACCACGGTACATCCCGTGCGAGTTTTGATTGATGTTGGCGCCCAAATCTTGGAGGCCGGCAACCAGTCGGTCACCCAGCAATGGCTCGCTATGACCCCCGAGGCAGATGTTGAGGCGGCAATCTTCTTCAGCCACAGTGATGAAATTATGGTTATTGACCGGGAGGGCCACGTTGAGACTCTCTTTTCATCTTCATTCCGACAACGCATGGGCGCTTGCTTAGTGTTCCTTGATCAACAGCACTCGCGTGGCGTAGATTTGAAGTTACCCCCTATGACGCGAGCCGCGGTCACTCTAGGGCCCAGACTGACCAAGGATAGACTTGTGCAAGGTAGGCTTCACAGTCCCAATTTATCTTGAAAAGAGTACTTATTTCTTGTTTTTCCAGCATGCAACCGCCTTCGTGGCCTTGAAAAGTGCCAATCACTTCTCTTTCTAATCCCGCCGGAGGTCAGCCACAATATGAGGTCTGTCTTAGGAATATCATCCGATAGAGACTTCACTTCGGCAGACGTGTTAAAATGGTCTATGATTCAAACATGTCAGTCTCTGGACAATCTACGACCCCTCTGGGCAAACCAGGGGCTACAGTACCATGAAAGGATCGAGCTCTGGGACTCACTTGTGCAACAATCCGACCCTTCCAAGGAAACAGCGATTTCTATACAGGAGCCCGAAGCACGGACGCTATCCCAGCTCTACGCACCTTGGGATAAGGATAAAGCGAGCGTGAAAGGCCGCTTGTCTGAATGCGGTGTCGAGAACGGCCAAGTTCAGGAGTTGTTGAAAACGTTGCAGTCAACTTCAGGAAACATCACAACTTCTGCCTACCTTCATGAAGAACAAGAGAGGGAAATTGCATGCGAGGTGGAGCGGGAACAACAGGTTTCTCGACCCCCATCATACAAGCCTAACAAACACAACCTGCATGACGATGTCCGGCATTTCGCCACATTCGGCGAGTTTCCAGGCAATCACCCATCCAAGGCTGTCACATTAGCATTCCAAGGTCTGGCGAACACATCTGCTGGAAAGGCGGATCATCCAAGACTGCTGGCACCTAGACTGTATTCCACTTTGGACTTCAACCAAACTGTGAAAGAACCTCAGAATAATCTCATGGACGATTTCTGCAAGCCGGTGAATTGGATTTTGTCCAGCGTCCACAGCGACATTCTCCTTATCGTGAGTCAGTACGAAGCCAATGAACTAGTCAACGTCGTTCGCAAATCAAAGAATTCAAGACTCAACATCTACGCCCCACGGCTAACAAAGCCCATGCGGTCATTCCGCTATCTCGATTTCTTTGGCATTGGCGCGAATATTCCAGCACAGCCTAACGATTCCATGACCCGGTGTCTGGAGCTGTTTTCTGGAAGCCTTTACTTTAGCTCATTCGAAGAGTACAAGAATTTCCGTTGGTTTTTGGGTCTTATTACGGATTATCTTGGTGAGCTTCCAGATGGCAGCATGACCAATGAAGGATTCGTCAAGTTCTTTACTCGTATGAGCCTTCAATGGCCTCTTGACTCACCCTTTACCGAAAGTCCCCTCCCATTCCTCAGTGCCCTGATTCATATCCGGACTAAAGGTAATGGATATCAACAATCCCACGTTGGTACAATCATCAAAGCTATGCCATTGAGCGCTGAGCGATTTTGATTTGAGATCGAACTTCACTTCTTTGTGACACCGAATGTTTGTGATTCTGTATTTGGAACAACTTGCTTCTCGGCATCCTTTCAATGTTAATATGGTCAGCGCAGCACCATGTCTTCGGGTCAGCCAGCAGTCTACGCCTGGTTCTTTCCCTGCTGGCCAGCAGATTCGCAATTGCTGCATCACCCCAGTCCCCTCGGATGAACCCGCTGCTCCTCCCTTGCTTTAGGGGTGCTCGTATACACTTAGAACTTGCTGAGATCTCTGTTAACGTAACTTTAATATGAACACTTTCAGATACCTCTATTTCACTCTCTTATACCCCTTTCATAGCTGCTCTACACTCGGACGAGAGGTACACATATCCCGCAGCTTAGAAGTATGTGTCAAATAGCCCTGGAGGATTTACATTCATTACTAATCAAATCGCAGCAGAAAATAAGCTTATATTGGGAAATTTCTAGAACACATGGAATCAAAAACACGGACGAAATAGATAGTGACGGTCGACACGAATAAAACCGTTACAAATATCCTCTTTATAATGCTGAATGAGTCGAATAATAATCTCAATCGAATCAGTACGTGGCAGAGTGGAATTTAGTATAGGAAAGGAAACCCATAAACGATCCTCCTCGTGCATAGGCTCGTCAGTGACTTTATATTTTCGCGCTCGAAGTTTTTCAATCAAAAGATCCATCAGCGCCTCATCGGACAGGCCTCGCTGGTGGGCAAAAACCTTGAGTGTTACCCATTGCAAGCCTTCAACTGAGCTATGTTCTTCAAAGATAGGAAGGCCATTTTCGAGGAAGATAGTTCTAGGGGAAGGCATTTTCTGACTGTGGTGCCGGATATTGGGAACTTTGATTTTGAGATGTTCACAAGTAGTGGTGAACTAACTTTTCTGCGTGAGGATATGGATACCTAGGTGTAGGGCCTCGCGCGTATTTAAATACTAAACTAGGTTGGAAATCTAGCTACAGCATAATGGCTTTGTGGTTGAGCAAGTTGATTGATTCTTGGTTCTAGACAATGCCCTTCTTTATAACCACGAATGCAACAATGCCGCCCCGTCCTATATCATATGGGTATAAATAACATTGTATAATGTCGTTCTTTGTCTTTATACTAAGGTTCAAAGACTGATTATAGTCTTTGTGTACAATATGCTAGCCTTCTTCACTAGCCCGCTGCCACCAGTGACCCCACCTTTACCTTAACCTCATTTGTCATTTCGAGCTAGACGTTGAAAGTGACATATACATTTATACCAAAAGCTGGTGCCTCTTTTCACCCTAAATCTCACCTCCTAGTCATCCTCCCTGATTGGAAGAGAGGCCTATAGCAACCAACAAGTAAGAAAAATCTGTATTCACAACTGTTGAAGCCATTTTCAGGAGCCAACACCGGCTATTTAGAGTGACGTCTTATAAGCGGAAAATGGGCAGTATCTCCTTACGACCTCCGTTACCGCAAAGAGGGTCGACCAAACGAGCTAGTTTGGATTGACAGTTATAGTATGTTTCTCCCTGCCACATCTACTCTGGTAGCTATGTTGGATAGCTCGTTCCAGTCTATTACTATTTGATGTCTGACCTTGATAGATAATAGATGGCTTATCATCAAATATCTAGCGCAGTAACCATGGAGAACCATTTGAAGCGGATATCAAAATGGCTTCAGTTCCTGATATCGCTTCGAATACACACATGGCGTTAGCCAACAGTTCATAGAACATTAGTGTCCTACACACGGAGGGCAACCACCAAGATGTGTACGAAAGGCCTCGCTGCCGACGTTTATTCAAGCATTTACTCTTGGTGCTGGAACCGGAAAGAAAGTGATGGTAAAGTGGAAATTAAGTCAAAGAGCTATTCTATATGAGGAAAAAAGAATATCAATTAAACCATAGTTTACCATGGGCCTAGGACTTGATACCTGTGGGCAGCAAAGTATACATTTCTCTTACTGAAAGGTTTGGCAAAGAGATACCACTATCAAGACGCTAATTTTATACAATATTGACCTTCCCCCATTTATCCCCTTGTTCCTGTCACTTCCCCTATTTCTTTCAGTCTTACTTTCCGCATTTCTCGCTCCCACCTTCTGCTTCTTTGCCCTATCCACTTCCGTTTATCTCTACACTAAATAAACCCCGGATTTCAGCTATTTTGAGTTAATCCAGACTTGAAACAGTACCTTGTGGTCATTCATAGCTGATCTGTGGGGACTCCTCGAAGGTTACTCTGCATACCGCTCAACAGAAAGTACACATTTGGCAAGAATACGAGAACAAACGAGTCTTTCTACGACAAGCGGTAAGTTAGAGACTTTAACAACGCTCAGGTCTACGTCTGGACGCTAACACCTATACAGAAATGGCTGAAAACTGTGTAACCATACCACCTGGCGACCTCGACCTGGTGCAGCTCCGGCTGCTTGCTGATCAGATGACCGAGCGCAACAACGCGCGGGCCGAAATTGTACGCGCAAGTGCCGGCATCCGCGTTGCTTATGCACAACTTGTCGCGGGCTTCGAGGGGCGCCAACTTCCGGATGTGTTCACTGCCATTACCGAGGCGATGAACGATAGCCTTGCCGTTTTGGCGTATAGGTGGAGTTTGTGTGATACTGAAGAGCAGGGGGACTTGGAATGCTTCCGCCTACTTGTTTGGCGAGGTTAAGATATTTGTTGTTTGGGAATAAGCCTAAGATTTTTGCCTATCGGAACATGCCCGTGCAAGTACAAAGCATGAGCATAGGGCCATGGCGACAAGTAGACTCGACAGGAACTGGAGAATGGAAGTGACAGGAATTCTACAATAATGAAAGATTAGCGATTGTTTGTTACCATGGAGTACGGATTTTGGACATGTAAATCTCACGAAGCTGTTCTAATCGATAGATGCAGATTTCGTGGGCCAGTCTAGTTAGTAGCAGTTAGTAGCCTCCGGGGCCGGAAGCGCACTTATCTGACTAGGTGATCTACTTGGCGGCCAACAGCAACTTGTCATATAAGACGCTGGAAGTGCGCTAAACCCCTTCCTTTGGGACTTTGACCGCAGTAGCAACTTCTATATGGCTTTGCCCGAAAGCTGTTGGAGAATCCCCCTAGATGGGATGATTATTTTTGTCATCCAGACTGAGCCTTTGCTTTGTCAGTTTGCTAGTCCTTTGTTAGTGCAGGCCTTTATAAAGGCCCTGCTTTGCTAGTTTGCATAGCAAGAGTTTCTTCCTCGTCCATCTCCCTGGGAGCATGTAGCCTCAAGAAAAGCCCCTATGATATTGACATCCTATTATGCAGAGCATGGAAATACAGGCGTAGGAGGGAACCACCAAGATGTGTACGAAAAGGCCTCGCAGTGGACAGTCATTGAAACTTTACTCTCGGTGCTGGAACCGGAAGGAAAGTGAGGAAAAAGTCAAAATAAAGTCAACTGGTCATTCTATGGAAGAAAGGAAGAATATCAACTAAGCCATAGTTTACTACAGGTCTAGGGGTTGATACAGGAAAGTGCACATTTGTCTTCACCGTTGCGACTCTCATTTTATATAATATTGCCTTTCTCCCATTAATCCTCTTGCCTCTGTTACTTCTCTTCCTTTACTTCTTTCTTCCTCTTATATCACCTCTGACTGCTTCCATCTCTCACCATCTCTCCTTTGTTTACCTCTTTCAAAATTGAACCCCTGACCCTCCTCAAGGAGAATCACTCCTCGAGGTACACCATACATAGAGCTCTACAAATAGCTCCCATTTCCAAGATACAACAGACTAGCCATCACTGCAGGAAACCGGTTAGTCAAAAGACTTAGTAATGCTGCAACCTGTCTTAAGATGCTAACATTAAGACTACGCAGAGATGGCGTCAAACCGTGCTTTCACACCACCTGACGAGCTTGACCTGGTGCAGCTCCGGCTGCTTGCCGACCGGATGACCGAGCGAAACAATGCACGCGCTGATATTATGCGCGCAATTGTCACTATACGAAGCGGTTACGAACAAGTCATCGCGCACTACAATCGAAACCAACTCCCAGATGTGTTGGTCATGGTTACCAATGCGATGGACGTCAGCATTGCCGTTTTGCAACATAGGTGGATACTATGTGATATTGAGGAACAGGGGGACTTGGAGTGCTTCCGCCTGATTCTTTGGCGTCAAGGGGGCTCAACTGGAACTGGCGCATGATAGAAGGAATTCTCTAACAATGACAAATTATTATTCGCGACCACAGAGTAGAGATTTTGACCCTGTAAATATTACAAAGCTGCTCTGATCGATAAGGACGAAACCATATGGGCCTCTGCTATCACGCGGCTTGAAAATATATTTTCTTTGGCTGCATCACACTTGTTGCAGATTTCGTGGGCCAGTCTAGCCAGTACTCGCCGGGGCCGAGGGTGCACCTATCTGACCACCTGACCTACTTGCCTTTCAGCAGTAACTTGTCAAATAAAACGCTGAAGAGTGCTTAACCCTTTCTTTGGAACGTTGACTGCAGTAGCAACTTTAAGTCGTATGTGCCGATAGGCAAACGTCACAACAGATAAACCATCCTTTGTTATGTATAGGTTCAAATTTGGTGCGGGAAGTCTTTCATTTGTCTTAGGACAGACAATTACCAAAGCTGCTGCACAATATACACGTCACCACTGTGGTGTTGTATAACATCAAACAGCCGGTGGGCTGCTGGAAGTGTCTAATGTTATCCCTTTTATCCTCTCACTCCTATAACTCCGTCACTTTTCTCACTTTCTCACTTTTACGCCTCACACGGTCCCCGGTTATGCCCTATATATCATTTCTCACACTTCGGGATTATCCGAAATCTTTCGAGAACCAGTGAGTCCGGCATCCAAAATATCAGCGACCTAGCCTAGAACAAGAATGCCCTATAATAATCCGCAGCTGATCTAAGGATATTGCTCCAAGGGGACTATATAGAGAGCGCCCATATAAGAGGAGTAGGATACACAAGGCCCTAACCTGTTCTCAGAAGCTAAAACTAACCATATCCAGAGATGGCTAACAGCCGCGCGGTCATCCTACCCGATAGACTTGACCTAGTGTAGCTCCGGCTGCTTGCTGATAGGATGACCTAGCGTAACAACGCGTAGGCTGACATCAAGCCTGCGGAAGCTACGATCCGAAGGGGTTACGCACGTCGTATAGGGACCCTGAGACAGGCTAACTGCCGAATATGTTCGTCGTGGTTACCATTACGACGAACGGCGTCTGGCAACTTTGGTATATAGGTGGAGAATGTGCGATATTGAAGAAGAGGAAGACCTAGAGTGCTTCCATCAGCTTCTTTGGTGGGGCTAAGCTTTCTGTCATTCGAGCATGGAAATTACGTTGGCCAATGCCAATTATCAAGTAAGTCCCCTTTTCTCCTTGCCTAAGTTCGTCGATTCTAACTTGTTAGGTCTCATAGTTGTTAGTGCGATTCCTTTTATGAACCTCGACGAGAGTTCCAAGGCTCACTTGCCTGGCGGGCGGCTTAGATGAGCAAGTCCAACCGGTGGCCCCAACAAGCGTTTCCAGCGTCACTGCCAGACTCTTTACTGCATTTGAAAATCAAATAAACTAGTATCCTTTCGTCGACTGGGCATTGTAGAGGGGGTGCTTTGTCTTCGTTTCGTTGGGCCTCCATTGACAGCTGGTCGTGGCCCCGGCTTTTTCCTTTCCTTCCTCAGGCCGTGACGAACCGGTTCTGGTACGCTGTTATGTGCTTATAGCTTTGGTGCCATTTCGTTATACAGTTGGGGGCCTTTTGCAATTTATTTCTTGGCCCTTTGTTGTGTCCTTTACACCTGCGCCGGATCTTGGGAGCTTTCGCGATTGCATGAAAGATGACAGAAATTCTACGATGGAAACTATTTGCGACTATTCCTGAACGCAGAGCAGGTGACTATAAAAATCTCACAAGCTGATCTGATCACTACTCACAACCTAACGTCACTACTTTAGTTTTGTATAACGTCAAGCATCCGGTGGACTTGTGGAAGTGTCCAAAGTTCTTTCTTTTATCCTCTCACTCCTGTCACTCTCCTGTCGCTCTCCATAGCCCTCTCACATCTCTCACTTCTGTCACTTCTTTCACATCTGCCCTTCTCTCTTTTGGCCACTTCCGTCACAACTATCTCAACATACCTTCCAAATATGAGAAGAGCAGAACCATAGCTGCCGCGAGGTCAGAGATTTTAGCAGCGCTCAAACCTATGTCTAGACGCTCTAACGCCTTTACATAAATTGCTGAAAACCGGCCTGTTACAGTCATCCCACCAGATAAACTCAACCTTGTGCAGCTCCGCCAGCCTGCTGTTCGAATGACAGAGTGCAACAACGCGTGAGCCGAAATTAGACGGGCGAGTGCCGGCATCCGAATCAGTTACGCTCAACTTGTCGCGGACTTGAGGGGAACAACTTCCCGATGTGCTCATCGCGATTACCAACGCCATGAATAACAGCCTCGATCTTTTGGCATATAGGTGTGGATTGCGAAACTCATGACTTTATCAAAAGGTGTAAAAGGCAGGTGGGTAAAAGGTAGTCCTACCCCTTCAGCAAAGAGAAAAGGGGCTGACCAAACATCTGTCGTCTTATCAGGCTAGCTTTGTCTTTGGAAATGGCGTTAAGAGCAATCAATTTCGCGGGCAGGAAGTTTTCATCGTTTTCATCAGTTTTATCGTCATTTTCGTCAATTCCTCCACCAAGATGGCCTTATTACGCCTTGCATACCTCGAATCGGATGATTCGGATGATCCCGAGCTCATTCCTGAGTCCTCGCCCTGTCAAGCACCGAGTCAACCAGCACCCAGCAAGCCAGCATCCAGGATCGATCAACCAGACGGGACCCCTCCAAACAAAGTCTGGATACTCAAACACAACAACGATCACCTACAAGTTCCCAGACTACAAATACAGAACTACAAATCAGAGGCGTCATCGAAGCGGAAAATGTACCGCCGAAATTTGGCAGCATTAGGAAAGCCCTAGAACGCAAATCACTAGGGCTTAACACCCTTCACGAAAGACACTACCGATGGTTCAACCAAATAACCAAGCTACTAAGCCGTTATCATCCCCAACCTTGTTAATCAAAAAAAAAATCGGGATTGTTCACAATCTGTTACGATCTGATGATATCACATGCCAGATCCCATGTCATTGATTAGTTTGCTTTCTTTGTTTGCCTCGCTTAAGCGAGAAGGTCAGGGTTTGCATTAATCCTGGTTTGTCTAGCTTTCTCCAGAGCTCACCAGGTCTTGCTTCTTGCTTCTCTTTCTCCCCGTCTTTAGTATTTTGAATGAAGTACTCTCTTGCTCGCTCTCCTGCTTGCTTGTAGACCTGGCTCGTCACACAATCTGTAAATATATACTATTAATCAAGCCTAGTTCGTGCCCGAATATATCTTGCCTCCATTGTCTTCAGGCGAGGAGATCACTAAAATTCCCTTAATATATCCGGACCTCACTCTCGGCCTCTAGCGAGCTAGCTTCTGTAAAGGGCTATATAGTAGTCCTATATACGCTAGGGAATATAGCATCTATCGGCTACGCCCCCGATATTATTTTCCTATATTTTACTAAATTACGATAGAGGTAAAGGGAGACCTAGGAGCTAATAACGCGCGTATATAAAATTAAAATAATACTAGCCCACAAGCTAATTAACTACTGAGGTATGAGCCGAATGTTGGTATGCACGGAGCATCGGCAAAGATCTGGTGGGCCTTCAAGATGCGATTTAAGCACATTCGTCGTTACCGGTAACATGTTGGCATCTCAGACGGGCCGGGCGGCCCGGACGGCCCGGGCAGATCGATGTACATGTTTCAAAAGTATATTTGGTATTGCTTTGAGTGCAGCTCTTCTCGAAGCCTGAATGATCATCACAGCTATAGTTCCAATTGGAATTACTACTAATATATACACTTTGAACTGTATATTGTAGTAACATTTTTTTAACACAGATTGATTGATAAGGGCTCCCCTAGGCTCGCTAGATAAGATCTAAATCCTACTTTTTATAGTCCTCTTTCTACTCTATATCATAGTAATTGTCTTATATTCTTTGTATAGTTAAATAGCGTCCCCCCTGATGTCGTACTGAGTAGTTAGAACATTTATTTTGACCGAAGTCTAGGATTTTAAATACGGCATGGTGTAAATACGAATACGAAATCAAATTCCTGGCGAGTATCAGTCCCGAACTTTGACACGATATTCATATATAATCAGAATATATCTCTACGAAGTTTTCAGACCGAATGGAGCATCAAAAGTCAGGTTCATTGGGAGACCAAATACCTGCACCTGCCCCACCTCCCGACAACCAATCAGGCTACCTAAAACCCATATAGGCAGATCTACCAAGCCTTTGAACGCATCACCCAAACATCGACCCACAACATATCCTCCAGTATTTACCGGAATCACAATACTATTGTCGCTACTGAACACACCATATTGGACAAAGTCAGGGTTTATCTTCTGAGATTGTAGATGTGCGACTATTCCCCCAGAAACAATTTGTGTACTGGGTGGAGGCGATGAGACTGCTTGGTCTTATATCGGAGGTCGGAGATATGCTTGATCTCCCCCACAGAGTTATAATATGTAGTAAGAAGTATAGCAGATAGTGTGAAATTGAATATATGAAACATATGCCTTCAGAAAGAGATCAAGTGTGTCTATACTATGCAGTTCACCTAGTATTTCTAGACATAGTTGCGTGCTCATCCATAAACGAGATGAATTGTGATTCCCGATAGTGAAGGCTTGATAGTGGACGTTTTCATGAAATTCAGTGCTGATAATGAGATTCAGGCCTGGCAAATCAGGCAATCGTCCCTAGGTGATTAACTAACTAACTAGTTAACTAGTTATCCATTAATCTCAACATCTTAAAATTTAATTGCTTAACGAGATGACTTCTCCGAAAATCTTGTCATTTGGGACTATCTAATCCGCCTTCGAAGGATCCTGTTTCCACACTGCTAGTGTAAATCCCTGTATGTTACTCAAACTCCGTTTACAATCCTCACAGGTCAATATGTCCAGAATCCTGACCTTCCTCCTCACCAGCTCCTCTGAGACGGTTCATGTCCATATACATAGAGCCAGAACCTCCAGCGATAGGGGCATCGGTCGGACAGAACTGATACTCGATACACTTGCCACTTGCCAGCACACAGTTACCATCCTTGTAAACCTGGCCTTCAGGACACCTGGGGTTCTCCACAGAAACACACTCCCGGCTGGCTTGCTCGTATTTGGTTCCGTGTGGACAGGTAGGTAGCCGGTTCGCGACGCAGCGGTTGTTGTGAAGCCTGAATCCATCATTACATTTGGGAGAAACATCAGATACGCAGTCATCTCCCTCCAAGCGGGTTCCGTCCGGGCATGCTGGATTATCGATTGACACACATCTCTTACCACTGAGCATCATGCCATCTGGACAATCGGGTTCATTGGGAGAGACGCATTGGCCATCCTTGTACGTGTAGCCGTCCTTGCAGTCCTTGCGCTCACTCGTGCGAATGCATTGTCCGTCGATGAATCGGAATCCATGCTCACAATCCGGGCGGCTGAAGGACTCGCACTTCTCGTTAACGAGATGGAAACCGTCACCACACTTTGGAGTTCCAGTTACACATTTCCCATCCTTGAGTTTGGAGCCCTTAGGGCAACGGGGACGGATGTTGGTGACGCAGTTGCCCTCGCGGTCGGGCACCGCTGGAGGCTTACATGCAGGAGGCGTATTCGAGACACAGTCGTCCCCATCCAATCTGGTACCGTCGGGGCATACAGGTGTAGATGAAGTCATACAGTCTTCGCCTTCCAGAACTCCATCCTCACATTTGGGAATGTCCTCCACAACACAGTTGGAATCGACCCAAGTTCCGCGTCGGCATTTGGGACGAAGGATACTCACGCAGATGTTTCCATTGAGTTTGGTATTCTGTGGGCACTTGGGTCGATCCTTGGACAGGCAAGTGTTTCCGGCCTGCGTGAAGCCGTCTGGGCATTTCGCTTGGGTCCTGGTGACACAGTTGCCACCCCAACGGTGAGTACCCTTTGGACACTTCGGAGATGATCGCCAAACACACTGGCCATTTTCTATGTTATAGCCTTTGGGGCATTCGGGCTCTGGCGTAACATGGCTCTCGCACCACCCCTTGAACGGGGGAGCCCCATCAGGACAGACACCATCCACGGGGCGTGTTCGGCAAACGCGGCCATTCCAACCCATCCCCACGGGGCAGCATCGAGCGGTGTGGTCAGATGGATTTATCGAGTATTCAAACCCATGTCGGGTGCAAACGGGGCCCTGGTCGTAGACACATTTGTCTCCATTGAGTCGGGTTCCCTCGGGACAATCCGGCTGTTTGACGATCTTCTCGCAGGACTCAGTGTCCTTATTGTACGTGCTACCGTCACATTCTGGACTGTAGTCGGAGACACATTGACCACCCTTGGGAGTGGTGCCAGTAGGGCAAACTGGCTTGGTGGTCGAGCGACATTGGTTGATAGTTTTATCGAATTTCGCTCCATCCCCACAGATAGGAGGCTCCGAGTCGACACACACGCCATTTTCGTACTTTGCGGTTCCGTGACAGTCGGGAGGTTGATTACTCACGCATCGACCGTGACTGTGATGCTCATTGGGTTGGCATTGGGGCGGCTTGCTTGACACGCACACATTGCCTTTCTTCTTCAAACCCTTCGGACATTCAGATCCCTTCTCAGTGATACAGTTGTTTCCGTGTGGAACAGTACCGCTCTCACAGATTGGGGGCTCGTATGTGGTGCAGACATTGCCGTTAAGTTCCTGTCCGTCCTCACATACGGGCTTCACGCGCGAGATACATCGATCATGCTCACGAACGGTATTGTCGGGACACTTGGGGACAGACAAGACGCAATTTGTTCCATCAAAGTCGGTTCCCTCGGGACAACAACCGATGTTTCCCGTTGCTGAGTCTGTGCAGGGCTTGATATGGTCAATTCCCCACTTGGTAGGATTCTGGCAAGGTTCTGAGATAGTACAGCGCTGAGCCACACTTGTAGAAGCCGCCAGAAGCACTGCAAGAATGGCGGACTTGGTCAACATTCTTACGGTGCGTTGTTGATCGACCTGGATTGAGAAATGGATCGCTTGCTATGGGATTGCAGATCAGTCTTGGGAAGGGCCATGGAATCTTTATAGCCAGCTCTCTCCGCTATAATAATCCACATTGTCTTCATCTATTCCGAGAACATCAGTCAATGACACAAACGTCTCCTGCAGTTGCATTCAGTGGATACTTCGAGATCTCGATAGTCAGTCTCCTGCCCGAACAACCGTCCAAATGGTTCTGTTCACGGTGCGTGGATTCTAAGGATCGTACACGTAATTCACAATTAAATGCAGCTCTTGGGGGCAAGTAACAGTGCCATATGACTTCATCGTTGTAGCATCCTTAACGTGAAAACCCTATGCATATCTTAATGCATCGTCGTTTTCGGTCAAAGTTTCTAATCCTCACGAGAACTACAGCATCAGGAGGTTTCCCTGCTTCCAAATCTCCACACTTGTATGCCCATGGATCTCTAGAGCTTATCTCGTTTCTTTTTTCAGACATTCACTTCAATGCATGTGATATTGAGATTTCCGGGCATAGAGTACGATCACCGTGGAGCTCGAATAGTAGACACTGCTTTCGTCCCATCTGTAGCTTTCCCAAAGAAATCGTCGTTGACAGTTGATTAATGCTACTCTGCAAGGATGACCCACCAGCAAACCAATGGGGAATTATGAGCTTGTCGCTTTATGTGAAAGATTCAAGATCCAACCCATTGATGAGATAAAACATTGACACCAATATAAAGACGGCAAGAATACCTGAATGTGTCGATAAGACAGCACTTTCAAATCTTGCTACGATCCAAGCCGTCACATTGCGCACTGGAAGTTTTTCCGGATCAGTATGTGGACCACAGCTGGAAAAGTTGTCATTCTTCTCTTCCTCCCAGTGACACAGATCCTGGCTGGCTCAGTTGGTCCCGGCGATATGGTTATGTGCATGGATGAGAAGTCGCATTCCAAAGTCACCCCCGACAAGCTTTCCTGCGGTGCTGGGAATGTACCGGCATACTACGATGGTCCCATCTCCAAAGGGAATGGGGCTTTTGCTCTGCATTTCCAGAGCCACCCCGAAGACGGCGATTACAACTTTGCGATCGATATTCGGTGCCCGGTAGTACAAACTCATTCAGTCACCGAGGCTCTTACAACCATCACTACCACCGCTTCTATCGCCAAGTCTACCATCACCTCTACTACTACTTTTACTACCATTTCTACTGCCACTTCTACCACTGCCACTACTACCACGTTAGAAGTGACAGTGATTCCATCCCCCGTCACAATCACAAAGAAAGACACATACACCACCACATCTACCAGTACCTTGGATGTAACAGTCATTCCATCTCCCGTCACAATTACAAAGGAAGATCATCAACTGTGGACAACCACTCTCATATCCACCCTTACAGACTGCACTCAGTCTCCTATCACCCCTTCCCCCTCGCCATCTCCTTCGTCAGACACAGATAATTTCTGTGCGACTGGTCGCGCATATTGCTTCAATGAGCGGGAAAGATTCACAACTCGGCCTGACTGCGATACTAACTACAGGTTGGAAGGTTGCAATTGCCGCGGAGTATGGTCGGGCGAGATTCGTCGCCCGCGCTGCAACGGTGTTGGACGAATCAAATGTGCAGGATGCAAGTAAAAGCAAGGGCGAAGATCAATTATGGAGAGGATGAGTGGTTGTGCTTATTCATGACCCCCATTTTGTAAGATAAATGGTTTCCATTACAGTATTATTAAACCATTCAATCAAGAGATCCGAGCAGTTAATAGCAGCGCAGTCGAGACAACCCGTAACGTGGTCAGAACAACACCAGTCTAAAATTCCTTCTATTCATACAAAATACTACACGCTAACATATGCAAGAGTTGGAATAAAGATTAGGTATTAGGTATCGGCTGCGGGAAGACGGGAAGTCTCAGCAAGGAATGTGGAGATCTACGGTCCTATACGAGTCATGGATTCCGAGCTCTACGAGACAAATTTCACATGGAATGCTGTGCTACATGATTATCTAGGTGAACAGTGCTGAGATTTACAGCACTGCTAGGGTCCTCCGACGGATTTATACATCACGTCCGTGCTCGCGATGGCTGGCTGAGTTGTGGGTTTGAGGAATTCTGTCCACAAGTCCGGTTACCTTCAGGCCTGCAACGTACCACCGCGATTCTTAATTTGACTGCAAATTCTAAGCCATCAAAGTTTGTCTTTTGTCATGCATTTCGGGGAGCTTTTACACGAGAAAGCTCTTTTCCCGAGTCAACTATGAGGCTCAATGACGTTCGATGCTACCCCCAAACCGTCTTGCTGGAGTGGTCAGATTTCCTCAGGGATCTGCATCCCCTTAGTCAATTTACTCAGTACCACAATACCTTGGCCGGCTTCGTCTTATGTCTAGGGTGTTTATCCCAGCTAGGTAATTGTACATAACAGAAAAGTCGGCTTTGGATCTTCTCTGGGCCGTTATGGACCGACCTATCATCATGTCCCCTCGTAAGTGTTAGAGACTATTGAATCACTCCTGCTAGGTTTATGTTACGGTATTTCAAGATTCGTGGCAACTATGATGCTCTCTATATCATTGCACCTTAGCCTTTCCAAACTACTTGAAGATATACTCTCTAACTCGAGGCCCTTAGCTACAAAAGCCATTCTTCGCGCGACATGATCAACCCTATTTCCGAAACATCCTCATATTTCACCTTCCTTGCCCTCCCCAGCGAAATCGACCATGTCGCGGCGGACCGATCCCACAGCATTTCTATCCGCTACGGCAAGCGCTATCACATAGTGAACGATAAAAGAGACTTCCTGGCACACGACTGGACACATTGGAGGTTCCTGCAGATGGGTCCGCGTGCTCACACGGGTGTCTTCAAAATCTGCGCCAGCATGAATCATTGTACTCTCAACCAGCCCAACGAAGTTGTCCAGGCAGGTGATAAATTCTTGATCTTCGACGAACAGGGCAACTACTGGAATCATCGCGAAGCATTTCTCACCGGCTTCCCTTATGCTCCAGTTTCCCCCGCTCAGCCGAAAATGAGTGCTCTTATACGAGATACTGCGCCGTGAGCCTGACTACGCACGATTCATCACCCTTCCGAAGCTATGGGCTGCATATGTTGAATGCGCCCGGTAACAGGCAACTGACTCTTTAACAGGACCACGGGGGTGTTGTTGCCGATTTCAAGGAAATCAATTGTCCCTATGGATTTTAAGAATGCACTAGGGCTGTTGTGCTGAGAATGGAAGGTTGTTGTGGATGAATAGGGGGAAGGGCTTGAGGAGGTGAAAATGTATAGGGTGTATTTGTCTCATTTCGATGATCGAAGAACCTTAAATAGATTCATGATGCTATTGTTGATTGCATTCTCCCCTCTTCAAGAAGTCCGGCTCACTGGATCTGGGACATTGGGTCATTTTCAAATAGAGCGGACTTTTGATGATCATTTCTTCGTAGTGAAACATATAGTATACATATCGAAGTCACTTCAAAGTTGCGGTAGCACCTTTGTCCTCTGATGTTTGAGTTTGAGTAAAGGATTTTCCTTGATGGTATTCACCACTATAGTAATATCGGAATATCTGTAAGATTTGGTTCGGGAAATCTGTTATGGCAGGATTCATCTGATTGATGCCTTGTTCTGTCAGGCCTCACATGTTTGCTAGCTATCTAACTAGTATATTAGCCAGTCTCACACAGATAGAGAATCCAACCTTCTTCTCTCCTCTCTCCCTCCTCTCTCCCGCTGGCCTTTGCTGCCAGATCAAAATCATCGATTCGCCTTAGGACAGTTGCCTTTCTCATTGTCTCACGTTCCTCACTTTTCTCACCTCTCACAACTCGCAACTCTCACAACTCTGACAACTCTCACAACTCTCACAACTCTCCCACTATTCCTCACCTCTCCCTCTCCTATTGTTTCTCTCACTTCGAACCCATCTCCAAATCTTTCAGAGCCAGTGATTCTGGCATTTCTGGCACCAAATCTATCAGCAAGTTAGCACCTATCTCAAGAAGCCAAGACTAACAATATGCAGGAATGGCCGACAGCCGTGCTGTCATTCTTCTCGATGATCTTGACCTCGAGCAGCTGCGGCTCCTTCGTGTTAGGATGATCCGGCGCAACAATACCCGGGCCGAGATCACTCGGGCAAACGCTGCAATTCGAAGCAGCCATGCCCAGCTAATGAGGGATTTTGACGGCCAACAAGAATTATTAGTCCCGGCCACAATTGTCATGAACCGCAGTTTGGCTATTTTGGCCTATATGTGGCGAATGTGTGATATCGAAGAAGAAGAGGACCGAGAATACTGGCGTCTGCTTCTTTGGCGGTCCTGAGATATCTGTTGTTTAAGCACAAACCTGAAATCGTTTCGCGATTGGAAATGTCCCTGAAAATATCAAGCATGAGCACAGGGGTACTACACCGTCAACGCCTGACCCCTCACCCACCGTCCTGTCGGCATCCGAACCAAAGAAGTCCCCAACCATTACCCGTTTTCGATCAACCGAGAAGGAGCAAATAAAGGCTGAAATCTAACCTCGTCTCTAATGATGAGATACCCAATAAGCACATTGTTCACGTGGGGAAGAAGCTGGGTCTTTAAGCAGTACTCCATTCTCATTCACTTTCAGTTATAAACAGGAGGCTCACCCAGTACCCAGATTTTATCTCAGGTTCTGATCTCATCCTTTCTACTTCGCTTCAGTATCTCTATCTTTTTCACGCCACCTTCCGTCACATACACTGGATACCGTTTCAAGGTGAGCTACCCCCATTCTCATTCACTTTCAGTTATAAACACGAGGCTCACCCAGTATCCAGTTTTCGTCTCAGATTCTGATCTCATCGCAACCGTTCCACTTCGCTTCAGTGATTCTTACTTTGCCGCTATGTTTTATAATACTGCTAGTAGAGACAATGTGTTAGAAAATGTCTGATTTTGCAGGCCTTTTTTTGCTTATCAAGACCTATCATTCATAAAGGCCTGATCCTGTTGAAGAATGGCACATTGTTGCTAAGCTCTCTTTTCCGCTACCTAGTATTTCCTTATGTATACCTGTGTTCTTAAAGTCTTTTTTTCTAGGTCCCTAGTCAAGGATTCACGTAAAAAAGCGGGTCTGAATCTTTGCCGCGCTTCATAATATAAGCATCTTGAAATAAGCTGCCAGTCTCACAGGCTATAGGAGGGGGCCTGGTTTGTCAGACTTCCACTAGCTATATTAGCTACCTTGGCAGGTTATTTTCGTTAAGAGAGTCAATCCTTCCTCTCTCTCTTTGCTATCCAGTAGCCAGATTAGAACCTTCGGATGGCAAATTCACCAATCTTGTCGAAAGGCGCCCTGCCAACAATAATTTCGAGCCGCTGTATAACGCAGAAAACAATCTTTATTGGTGCCTCTCAATCAGGCACACCCACCCATTGAAGAAGTATCCCTTTTACTGAGGCGTCTAAATTCGACGCACCCAAAACTCTACAGCTACTGTCTCCCACGACAGTGCTTTCATCACCATCAGTCATCTGACCCATCAAATGTATGGTGGACGTGCCTCACACATGGAAATAACGTCTGATAACCCATCCAACTGACCAACTGTACAGGGCCTTTCTTAGGGTTAAGTTAATAACACCGCTTCGCCGCCTGATATCGATCGCTCGCCCGCTCATCCTCCCTTTACAATTCCCTTCGTTCTTCATGAATCAATATTATTTTGGATTCCCTGCCCCCGCTGTCCCCCGTTCCAATGTCCTCGCTTTGCTTGCATAATTAGTGTCCTCGTCGGTAAATCTATGCAGAGTGAGGCTTCCAACTTGCATAGCCGGCATGTCGGACAGTTTTTATAAGGAATAGATCGCCGCTCTTGGGGGTCTCGACGCGGTGCCGCAACGTACCTTCGTCATCTTGCATAGCCTGGACTAGATTTAGAGAACCAGTCTGCATCCTATCCCTCTATAGAAAGCTTCTCACACTCCATGACTAAGTCACCGCGGTTTTCCTCGAAGTTCTTGACCGATACACGCTTAAAGTAAGCCAGCATCGTGTCCATACGCAATTGAAAATGAGATTATAGTGTTGATTAGAATACCTATAGATGAGATTGATGGGTAGCTATGTCCAACATTGTGCGTTGCATTGTTGCAGGATATAAAGCGTTACGATCTGTAGCAATGCTGTTGTTGTGTGGCCTTAGGCCACTAGTTGGGCGTCTCACCCACTCCTCGTTGGTAGATCGTCTGGGAGCGTGCTCTTCTCGCATTAGAACTCTCTCCTTTTTAATCCGTAGAAAAACTCTCAATATTCTCTGAGCCATTGCTTTTCAAAGGCTATCTTCCAATTTTAGAACGCCATTTTCATTTCATCAATTTATTTACATGAGCCGGTAGATAGTTGTATTGCACTAGGGCTGGATTCAGACCGGATCTCGATCTCGGGGTGCAACCAAGTTGGACCCACTACTGTCATTCTTGGGACGTACCTAGGGTCGAGTGCATGTGTAGAAATAGCTAACAACATAATATATCGAAACATTCACACAGGTGTGGGATAAAAGGTAATTTGAATGCGGACTTAATTAGACTGAGGGTTAGGTGCTGCTTGCCAGTGTCTGATGGCTTTACGATGCCTACCACGAATGGTTCGTTAGCTAAAGGTGACGGTAATCACTCCTAGCGAGAATGACATTCTTACCGATGATAGAGTCGAAGAATCGTATCAGATCCTCGCCAGTAAAGGGAACAGTCGGATCCTCACGCAGGGAGTGTTGCCGATAGGCATTGAACCGCCGCACCCACAAATTCTGACTATAGCGAGTACCTGGAGCACCATGACCAAACTGAAGCTGTTTCACCCTTTTCTTTGATGTAAGACGATTCGCGGCCGAGTTCTGGATGATTGCATCAGTTGAGTCTTGTCCGATGGTATAAGCTCGCTTGTCAGCCTCGGGAGGCCCAAAGTCAATGTCAGAGTTGAAATCGTCATCCATGATGGCTGCAGTGATTTCTTTAGTGATTTCTTTAGAGAAAGGTTGATGCTGAATAGACGCTGGCTGAGATGTGAAAGTTCAAAAAGGATCGTTTTTCGATTCGTCACGAATGAATGGATGAGGGGATGAGGGTCATTACCGGCCGCGAAGTCGTCACCCAGAGCAGTAGTCTAGAACGGACATGATTCATGGTCTATCTACTAACTAGGCCAAATCGATCTCGCAGGTACTATTAAACTGACTCTTATATTTAACCAAAACCTACCTATGAGGTAGTCACCTAGTCCACGTCACGTGATGGTTTTGCCCTAACCAACAACTATAGAACCTGGGGCAAGGAGTATGTCTCGAATTTGAGGCAAACTACAGTATAACATGTCCCTCGGGATTTTCTATGTACGGTCCACTGTCATAATTATCAATTAGGTAAAATTGGAGAGATTTCACTTAAGTCCCTCTACCTTGTCTCTATTTGCCTTCCCTACACGTACAAGAGCAATTCACTTTAAGCTCGCATCGTATATTCTCTCGGTTTTCTTCTGGTTTCTTACATATGCAAACACCCGCATGACTATGAGTGAGCATGACAAAATATATACCTCTTTTCAAAAAAATTCACAATCCAGACAGTCCTTGCCACCTCTAGCTTCTCTTTCTGACAACCCGATAAGAGACTCGGCGGTCCATGACCGGATAGCATATGTGATCAGAGAAGAGGTTAATTTGTCGGGGGAATTCAAGTCTATTGCTCTACATCAAATCAGCGCAATTAAAAATTACATCATCTACGGCGCTGACCTCGGGGGCTACATGTTCATCTATGTCTGCAAGCGAGCTTCACAATGCGCCATATCGGAATCAACGATATCTAAGGATTGCAAACTAGATTTAGTTCCCGTTGTTGCTTGTGATGTCAAAGTCTTTGTTCTTTGTTTGATACTCACCTATATAAGAGGAACTTCACACAACTAGTGTGACCTGACTTTCCTTTACCTTCAGTTATCGCTCAGTCTATAATTACAGAGTTCAAGTGTAAATTTCCTACATAAATATATAATATTTTACTTGCCGAGTCTATGGTAAGCGAAACGGAGTCAGCAAATGACTCACTGGTGTTCCTACAGGTTGAGGAACAGGAAGATGCAGAGAGATTTTTCGACGAATGTGGGGAGGAGACAATATGTGAATTGCTCAATTTGACTTGACGATCATATGGAGGTTTGGTGCAAATAACACCTGATAAGTTCTCGTTTGCTTGCTTCCTTAGCACTTAGCACCTCTTTTCCTCATATTGCCTCTGTCATTTCCATCAATTCAGATCCTCCGTCATCCTCGTACTTTCAACAACCCACACACCTCACCTCATATTTTCCCACTACGCAACTCCCCACTTCACGCGACTGATTCACCGGTAAGCTTTCACGGGTTATAATAACAGTTGTGATGTTTTCAAGCTAACTCTGTGTGTTTCTTAAAGGTCCTTCCACCACATCATCCTTTTCTCTTTTCGTGTCCTTCGCTAAAGACCCGTTGCTATTCCGCAAGTTGGTGAAATTCTCTCACCTTCACTTGGAACAAATGAAAGCTGACAAGCTATAGCCATGGCAGAAGGCTCGCCTATCCGTTCCCTCAACGACACCGAGTTGGAAATCTTGATGGAGATTCGTTATCAAGATATCGAACGGGCCGCTGCCCGTGACGAGATCCTTCAGGGATTCTGGGACCTAATTGCTGCGTACCAAGAGTTCAGGGCATTCGGCTTCTACCTTGTATCTCCCTACAACGCGTATATTCTCTTCATTCTTTTCAATCGCCGGATGGAAGAACTTAACGAAGCCATGGTTGTGCTGGATGGACAAGAGAATTCGGACAACCAGATCTTCGGACTGGTTTGGGAGGAAATTTCCAATGAGAATTCACTATCAACAAGCTGCATTCGAAGTAGCTAGAAGTAATTGAAGCAATGAATCATCGCCTCGGCGTCCTTTCTGAAGATGAAGCGGCGCGTTTCCCATCAGTATTTCACTCTACGAAGCGACAAGCGGTACAAGACGGAATTACAATTGGATACAGCCATCGACGCTGTCGACAGTGACTACCAAGACGTGGCCATTCTACTCGGAGACTTCGACAAACGTTCTAAAAGCACCCTGACAGACATCGAGGGCTACCACATCGAGTGCTCCGACAAGAGCACTAATCCTGGAACATTACCTCCCGACCCGACAGCTGCCTTGGGATTTACCGGTAGTATTGGTCGGGGTTATCACAACGTCGTGAAGGCCAAGGCCAGAGCATACGACTCATTCCCAGGTCCGGATAACGTTGGGGGCAATGCAGTCTATTCGAGGCTCAAACAATTGCTTGCAGGAAAGAAGTGCCATGAGGAAGTGCTGGTCTATCCAAATCACACTCTTGATTACCGCCTATCCGCCATGCAACTAGCCTCGCAATATGTCTCATCCCTGAGACCAACAGAGCGCACCCGGCAAGCTAGCCCAACACCAGTAAACAATGGACTTTGGGATCTAGTTATGGCAGATCCGTCTCTGGTTCGCCCGTTGAATGAGACTGGAGTTGAATGGCTAAGGTGATGAAGTTCTTTCCTACAGGCCACAACCTTACTGGTCCCAGCATCCTGGTCTTCCTATGTAGCTTAAAGAAAACCGGAATACCCTACAGAAGCGAGAAATCCGAGGGGCTCTTTCTCCGCAGGAAAGCTTCCTGGAGCTGAACTGCTGCAGCGCCTTGTACGTTCTACTGCGTCACCCGACTGTACGGTTCTCGCACTGTTGACAACATAAAATATGAGATTCTACAATGCCTCAAACAGGACCACCAGTAAAGGGCAACGGCCGCGTCAACGGCAATTATCGAGTATTGTTACGTTGAGAAAGTGCCAATCGTGGTGATCTGTGGAACAAGGCAAGGCCTCGATGTGGTGGCGCGGCGGTTTTCCTCCATCTTTAGCTTATAGGTAATATAGCATCATTCTATTATCAGTACACATATTGAATAGGCATCTTTTTTAACCGTCACGCCATCTAAATCTGGCCTGACCCGAATCGCCCGGCATAGCTTATCTCCTAGCGTCGGGCCGAACTACCAAAAAGCGGATAGCCACGAATTGATGACGCGGCTTTCGGATATTGTAGCCTTATCATATATGAACTGTGCTTTTTCCGCTCATGCAGGCAGATCTGCAATCTGATAAAAATTTCCCGATATAGTACATTCTTCTCACTTCCCTTACCAGTGTGATCTCGCACTGATCTCTTTCCAGAATGCGACCGCCATCGCTCCTCCCGCTATTCGGGTTTCTCGGCTTATCATGCGCCCTCTCAACTGCGGCAGATAACGAGCCAGTCAAAAATGCAAATCACATTTTCAACGTGATCCAAGACTCAATGCGCCAGTGGGGATCGTCCCTACACCATAATGGAGTGTCGTTCTTCCTCGCGAGTGTTCCCGCCGGTACGCAGTTCTACCATGGAACCTCCAAGGCCAGTCCAGTGAATGGTACCGAGTGGTTGGCGTTTGAGCCCGAACATGCCATGGTCTTCGCCCGGCCGCGACGCGGCCCCCCACCGCATCTACCGCCCGGCGATCCCGATACCGAGCGACATGATGGAGGCCATAGCGAACTGCGGAAGCGAGAACACCATGAGAAAGATAAGAAACATCATGGCCCGCCAGGTGGTCGCCCGCCGAAGGCATTCGATGAAAATGAGGCCGGGTATTTGCATACCTATGCTGCAGCCAAGGATCTCCGCCTTTTATACCTCGACGGTATGTCTGCTGCCAAGTCATCGAAGGGCACGCTTGATTCCCAGGATGCGGTTCTGTTCGCCGGCTCGCTGGACGACCATCCGAGTCCGGGTGGACAAGAGAGCGAACGCGCCAGACTAGCCTGTGAGATGGCCCAGAATGAATGGGAGGGTCGCATCGACGGCGTTCTACGCATGGAAGCCGGCTTTGAGATTATCCTGTGCGATTTCAAGCGCGATCTAATTCCCGTGCGAATCACGCAGGTCAAGCAAAGCTCCGAGGAACACCGTGGGCATGGGGATAACCGTAAACATGACGACCGGGATGGTCCTCGCAAACAGGCTGATGACAAGCACCATGACGGTCGTGGTCCAAGCAAGGGTGATGATGGTAATAGACACGGGCCCCGTGGCCCCGGTGGTCCTGGAACACCTCCCCCTGGCGGACCTGGAAACGGGCCCGACGCGTCGCGCTGGATGCGTGCAATTACCGCACGGTACAACGGGATCGGTGGAAACCGTGTCTCGCTGAACTTCAACCACTTCGTGACAGCCTTCTCCCACGACGTAGAGCTCTTCGAACACAATTCAACCCTTCCCCGACTTGTTAACCTCTCTAATGAAGAGCGCGCTGCTATCCGTGCCGAAGTCACGGATCTGGTCATGACGCATCATCCTGCCGAAGTCTGCGAGGACTGGCAGGCGATTACGGATATGATTGTGACTCGGTATAGCAAGGAGCTGTCGTACTTTGTTTCCGGTAGCATTCATTCAATTGAGCGCCTGCAATCTGAGATTGAGCGTGTTCTGTCTCCATTCATTGACTATAGTGAGCGGGATGATGTCGCTGAGATTGAGCGTTGTGCAACTCAGTTCATGCCGTCGACATCCTTTGAGAGTGGGGACATCGCGGCGCGTGCTGTTTATGGTGTTGCTTACAAAATTTGTTCGTCTCTGGTTGAGGCTGGCAAGGGGCCGGATCTTGAGTCTGCGGTTCATGTTATTCGGGATCTAGTTGGGTATCTTGATTGGGCGACCTGGAAGGAGTGCCGGGGTTGTGCGGCGAATGAGATTTGTGTTGTGCCTATCTGGCCGATGGGTACGGTCCAGGACTATGATAGTCCACAGTGCAAGGATGCATCGAATCCATACGACCAAGGCGGAGAGAGTTACTGGGGTGGAATGCACCACTGAATGACTGATGTGGATCAGCAGCCTATTTTTTTGGTTCAGGTTTTGGATACCCTACAGCGAAGGTTGGACATGATTGGCTTAATTCAGACATATAGAACATTTATCAAGGGTATATACAATACAGAACGTAATGCTGCTGAAGAAGTATGTAAAAGGGGAGACCAGTGTTCGTCATTGTTGCATGCGCTAGTTCCAAAGCAAACCACGGGGTCGTATTCCCATTATATAAAATACGGAATTGGTGAATGGTAGAAGAGAACGATCAGATCCCATCGAGGGTAAAATCTTTACAGGGGAAGAGCACCCTTGGCGGAGGAGGCGGAGGAGACGATGGAGCCGACGGTAGTGCCGACGCTGCCGAGGCCGAGAGAGGACAGGAGACCCTGGACAGTGCTCTCAACCTTAACCAAAAGGACGGAAGCCTTGTCCTCAGCGGTGACGGCGATGAAGTCAGCACCGGGGATGCTGGGGATCTTGGACTTCAGCTCGGAGACGGAGGGGGCCATGGCGACGACGTTGCCAATGGGGCCCTGAACAGTGGAGAGGTCAAGACCACCGAGGAGGCCACCGAGGAGAGTAGGCTCAATCTGGGCGAGAAGGTCCTTGCCACCGGCAATGCCGTTAACATCAGTGATGGAGAGAACGTTCTGGAGAGGGTCGCGCTTGACGTAGCCGGTGACGGACTCGAGGCCGCCAACGATGGAGCCAATAAGGCCGCCGACCTGGCCGAGACCAAGGCTGTCGAGGAGGTTGACAACTTCGTTGGTCAGCTGGATGAGGGCGGCGTTGCCGTTGTCGAGGACGGCGGTGACCTGGTGGAGACCGGAGCCGCCGCTGGTGTTGAGCTGGTCGACCGAGTCGGCGGTCTGGATGACCTGGCCAACGGGCTTCTCGAGAGCGCTGACGGGCAGCTTGCTCATCAGGCTCTGCAGCTCGGACTCAGCCGTCATCTTGATGTTCGAGGTTCCAGCCTGGTTAAGGATGGAAAGAACCTGGCCGTGGCCGGCGGCACCGTTCAGGGTGGAGAGAAGCTGGCCGGGAGCGGCGCCCTGGGTCAAGCCGGAGGCGGCACCGGTAGGAATGGGCAAGCCGGACATGGCGGAGGATGCGGCGGCACCGGGGCAAGTGGGGATCAAAGAGACCACGGGCAGAGGGATGCCCGAGGGGATGACGCCGGAGGGCAGGCAAGAGGGAACTCCGGAAGGCAGAGCGTCGGTGGTGCCCGAAGGGATGTTGTTGGCAAGGTTGGCGAGGTTGGCGGGCAGGGCCATAGCAGTTGAAGCCAGAACGGCAGCGGAGAAGGCGAAAGACTTCATCTTGTCGTTTAGTGAGTGGAATAAGTTCAAAGACTTGTTTGGTAAAATGAATGGACGGTATGAACCGAGATCAAAGAATGACTGTTGGTAAGGAATGACAGGAAGAAAGTTCTTAGAGTTCAAACATAATGGCAAGGCGTCTCGTGTTATATACGATAGCTGCTGGTAGGGGATCAGCGTTGATACGAGTCCGCCCCTCCTATATTGACGTCGTTGGGTGTTCTCCTGAGCTAGCGAATGCCTCGATAGAGGGGCCGCTCTTCTCGCAAATGAGTCCGATGGGGTAAATGGAACAATAGTGTTCCTGTTTCATCTACCAAGACATAAGCTTTACGCTGAGTGGCTGATGAAAGAACCGCCACACCAGATTGGGTCCGGCACATAGTGTTAGTTCCGCTTTAAGCTTAATAAAATGCCCATCTTCATTAGCCATTTTGCAGATCATTCACTGAGCTCCAAAACAAAGCCGGAGGGTAGTTCCCGCTCCAACTTTGGGGGTCCAAGATATGAATGACATCGTCGTCTTTATTGGTCAAATTCGACTCAATTTTGAGTCGGGAAACCCCCTGGTTGAGGCATAAAAAGAAGTATCCCATTATAAGGCCTCACTTACCACAGATTCTGTTTAGGCTTCAAAGTACACCGTACCCGTAGCACCAAGATAATATGGGGGGCTCCGAGCCCAAGTTCACCGGCGTTTGTTATTGATAGCGTCGTTGGCAGCAAACCTTAAGATGTCAAGCCGGGATCGACACTACTAGTCCCAACCTTGCTAATCAGCCTGGTCAATGATTTGTGGCCTCCTGTGCTAAGGTCGCTTGAGATCAGCAGTTTATCTGCCAAAAGAAACTGTACGAAGGAGGTTAAACTCCACGTGGGCAACATTAATGCTGATTGCAATTTTATCCCTCCACAGTGGGCTAAAATGTCAAATAGTTCAGTGGATCCTGGGCGCCCGTTAATTGCGGTGAGTTCTTTGTTTGCCCGGAAAAATGGAGGATTTAGGGGGATGGTGATGATATCATTATTTGTCGGATGAGTGGGATACCTTTTAGGGGATTGGATTGACAGGGGCTACCAAAACTCCCTGGCTCCATCGATGTAGATATTTACTACTTACTCCGTACTCCGTATGTTGTATGGAGTACTCCGTAATGCCACCGCAATTTCAACCTTCCAAATTGAAGGTAAGTCTGATTCTTTGATGATTGAAAAAGGGGACAAAGTCAAAAGCCGTTGAGTTTTATTTAACCTTTAAATGGATCCGGGGAATTCAGGGGTAACCTTAAAACGCTCACACCTCTTGATAATTTACCGATTTATCGACATTTAGTAAATGTTAGCATGCGTTTATTCTGTTTTGATATGTTGTGTCCATGTTACTTCGTAGATCCTGTATAATATGCTCCTCAATACTAAATAATTGAGGCAAAAACAAATAGCAGTGGAGCAGATCGTCCTTGACGTTGCCGCAAACATAAAGTACAAACCTAATTCAAACCTTCCGCTTCTCGAAGGTGGGGAATACGGATATTATAAACGTGGTATCATTTTGGAGATGACATTTTTATAACTCTATCCTGGTATTCCGTATATAAAGGTGCGATGGGGCTGCAGATATTCACTGTGTGGATTCACCATGGATTTCCTCAGTAGTTACTAACAACTTAGTTCGACAAAATCTTAGCTGCTGCAGCTTCAGCAACCACCATGACGGCGGTTTGAATGTTACCGGTCGGGAGGTCAGGATGGATACTGGCATCAACAATGAACTGAAAAAAGGGGTTAGCATCGTCTCCTGAAACGAACTATTCTGGGTCACATACCAGGTTATCCACTCCGTAGACCTTAGTATTAGTATCGACAACAGAAGTACCGTTCTTGCGGCCATCATCGGTACCCATCTTCGCACTGCTGACGTAGTGCGTGCCAGGGGTTTGGGCCTTCAAGATGGCCGAAACATTGGTGTGAGTCTCAAGCTCAAAGCCAGTGGATGGGGCGGTGATATCCTTGACCATCTTCTGGATAAAAGTGCGGGCGGCCTTCCGGTCAGCAGCAGTCTGGAGGTAGGGCGACTTCTCAATGACAGTGTTCCCGCTGGCATCAAGTCCCAGGACACCGGATGAGGTGAGGCCGTGAGTCAAGTACGTGGTCATGGTTACCACGCCCTCTTCAGTAGGCGCGCACGAGCCCTGGTAGTACTGGGTGTGGCCATCAATCTCCTCCGAGGTGAAGAAAATCAAGCGGTGCTTGCCCTGAGTTAGGACACCACTGTGCTTGCGGTAGAGGGAGATATCCCGAGAGTCGGTTCCATTGAGTACACCTTCGTAGTCGACAAGTCCAAATGATGCGTTGGTGTTGAAGGTGATCGGGAAAATCGGGTGGTCCTTGAGACCGACACCGACAGGCAGGTCAATCCACTGAGCCTTGGGAGGAACGGCAACTCCGCTCTTCTTCGCTGTCTCGATCTGGGCCTTGCCGCCAATACCAGAGTTCCACAACAGACGCGGAGTTGACAGAGCGCCCGCAGCCAGCACCACGCGACCGTGGGGGGGCAACAGTGATGATCTGGGAGCGGCCCGAGGGAGTCTGAACCTCGACACCAGTAACCTGGCTCCCGGAACGGACCAAGCGAATCACTTTGGTTCGGAGAGCAAAGTGGAAGTTGTCTCAGCTTGGCAGCAGCGGGGAGATAGGTGCGAACAGGGCCAGCACGCATCTGGTCCTGCACGTTCCAGGACGGGTAGCTGTAGATCTGGTGCTTCTCATTGGGCTCGGCGATCATATCCACCGACTTCCAACCGAGACCACTGAAGAACTTGGACAGCACATCATACAGACCCTGGTCATATCGCTTGCCGTCGGCGGAGGGCAGGGTGGTTCCGGGGTTGCGCTTGTAGAGTCGGTCTGCAGCCGACTCGACATCCTTCCACTTCCAGCCCTCGGGCCACTTGTCGTCGAAGTCACGGGCTGGCGGATGAACGAAGACCATATAGTTGACTGTTACTCCACCGCCGAGCACACAGGCAGCATTGCCAGCAGTGTCGGTGCACATGTACTGGTTCCAGACATCGAGCGCACCGATGTTGGCCGACAGTCCTGGAAGGTCGATGGGAGTCAATGAGTGGTCCCATGTGAGGGTCTCATTGTTCCCGGTGGCCACGGTTGGTCCGACACCTCGCTCGAGGAGCAGAACTTTCTTTCCGGCCTGGGCGAACTTCTCGGCGCTGATGATACCGGAAGGGCCACCACCCACCACAATATAGTCATAGGTGTGGTTCTGGAAGACTGAAGCAGAGGCAGCCCCTGTAAAAACAGAGAGCGCAATGGCGAGAGGGCCGGCCTGGAAGATCCTCATTTTGACGTCTACTAAGGAATAAGATCTCACTACGAAATCCCGATCTACAAATCTTGTCAGGGAAGGGGTTGGCCATTTAAACTGTTTCGCGACAAGCCCGTCGCACCCATCCAGCCAACGCCGGTGGATCAATTGTTGAAGACTTGGCGAGAAACATGGCGAAACATGGCTCGTCGGGGATTAATTTCGTCAAATGCCACCGATTAGGTATAGTGCGATCAGATAAGAGCACTGAACTTTTCTTTCTTAAGCAGAGTCGCTGGGAACTTTCTGATCTAAGTTTCCGTTTGAGGGTTTATCCGGCATACAATCATGGACATACATATATGTAGGATGTCTTGAAAGACGACATACATTCGTTGTACGCCTGTGTTAAACCCTTAAATTGCAGCTGTTTTGAGAAGTCTCAAACAAAATGAACATGCCTCCACTTCAACCATTAGTCTTTAGGCACCTCTCGGAGCAACACCGAAATGGCCTTGGTCCCCGTTCATCCTTCCGGGAGAGCGTTTTCCCAACCATCCAGTGCTGCTGCCGCTGACGTAGAGATAATCGACTTCGAGTTTTATGGGGTAGATATTTTCGGATTTTGATTCGTGCATTCCACGGAGGCGTTTATTAGGTTCTTAGTTTCTCTAAGCCACCCTTCCTGCATTCCTGGGCATTCGAATCCTGTATGTAACAAAGTTCTGGAACATCTGCCAAGTGGATAGTGGATATCATGAAAACCCCAATGTCCTTACCAAGCATGTAGTAAGCAGAATCACGTAGGGTCCGACCCACTCAAGTCCTCATGCATAATCAGCTTCTGGAAGAAAATCCTTCGGTGGTTCTGGGGATACCAAATGCCAGACGTTCACGGTCTAATTATTTTCCCGACGATAGGCCGAACCATGAATTTCTTCCACGAGTAGAGGATTCCTGTTAGGTTCATGAAACACGTTCTTTGTTTCATCTACTAAGGGCCCAAGCTCTGTATAGCCCCGTCACACGACGATATTGGAAAATTGACAGATAATCGGGCGACTTTCACAACGTTGGCAGTGATCACCAAGTATGTCATCAGTGGCACGGCTATGATGTAGGAGTTATAAGTAATTAACTATAATCTTGATAATCTGTTTAGATAGAGCTTTGAAATATGCGTAGGGGCTCTTATAAAATATCTTAATCCAATATTTTTGTCGATATATATATATATATATCTGAAGCCCAACGTCTATATAGAGGGCCTCCTCTTACACGTCTTTACTACGGCATTTCTCTCCATAATAAATTTCAACAGTTAAGAAGGCGTGCATCTGACTCAACTCAACCAAGAGAACAAATCAGAGTTGTATACTAAAAGTACACGATAGAAGTTGACGCCATGCGCGATGGGGTCATTTTCTTGTGTTTTGAGTTGAACAGGTACATAACCAGTTCCAAGATTTGAGAAGCGGTCAATATAATTCCAAGATCTAGCTATTCACAGCGATAAGCATTGAAATTTGACGGTTTCGCATTTCCGTCTGGAATATGGAGAAAGACGGGGAAGATGAGGGGAGTCACAAAAAGAGTGGGGCCAACCGTTGCGTAGGACAATCCGCGACGCTCAACATCTCCAACACTCCTTGTATCAACCGCACTCTTCTCCACGTACAGAATGTCAAGCCCAGCTGCCCGCCTTATAGCGGCATCCTCACGCACACTTCTACTCACCTTCGACGCGTTCGGCACCCTCTTCCACCCGCGTCTCCCCGTCCCCGAGCAATATGCCGCGACCGCGCATCAATTCGGATTATCGCGCACAGCCGTCACCCCGGACAAACTCGCAACCGCATTCAAGGACACCTTTCGTGCGCAGATGCGTCAATACCCAAATTACGGTCGCGCGGATGTTCTCCGAGGCCAATATGGGGGGGCCGAGGCAGTGGTGGGAGGAGGTGATCAGGGGAAGTTTCGGGCGTGTTTTATCTACAGAGAACGGGGAGACGCATCCTGAAACACCCAGAAAGCATATTCCTGACGGCATGGTGGAAGCTCTACTAGATCGGTTCGCTGGTGCCGAGGGGTATGCGCTATATGACGATGTGCTACCTTTCTTCCGCCGAATGCACAAACTGAAGTCCGCGAATAAGTGGTCGTTTGATAGGATAATTGTGGGAGTTGTATCCAATTCGGATGACCGCGTCCCTGTCGTACTGAAGTCGTTGGGTTTGACCGTTGGTGATATGCGCGCCGACCAGGATCAATCCAGTATGGATCTTCCCGGGTTTGAGGTACGAGGTATGAAAAAAGATGTTGCAGGGGAACACGACAAAGATCATGCGGACGGCAACTTGGACCTCGATATTGATATGGTCATTACGAGCTATGAGGCGGGCGAAGAGAAACCTCATCGCTTAATCTTTAACGTGGCGAGACGGCAGGCTCTAAAGGTTGCCCGGCCATGGTTGACCAGCAGAACCAAATTTAAATCTGTGCATGTGGGAGATGATTTTAAGAAGGATTATCAGGGTGCAATGGATGCAGGCTGGGAGAGCTATTTGCTTCCTCGAGATTCTCATGGTGCCGAGCAATTTGACGCGAAACAATTCCCAGATCTTCTGGGGTTGGCTGATAAATTGGAGCTTTGCCCATAAACGCACTTGTCAACAGGCGGCAGATGCACAGTTGAATGTGGTCTACGTCAATCATCGACAAACTATATCGAATCACAATTTAAGAAGGTGACTTCGGAGTTCCCTGGACTCTAGGAAACATATGTTATATATGCCTCAAACTGGCACAACGACGAAATACAACACCCTCGAGAGATAATGAGTCTGCGCTCTTCAGGCCCAGGTCTCAGCATACCGCTTCACTCCTTGCAAAACGCCGCATACCACCTTCCTCTGCTATCAAAGGTCCCTTGGTAGCAACGAGCTTTGGATCTGGTCCTGCATAACTTTGCTGGCAATTTCCGCTGAAGTTTTTTCTCTTCCACCAGCGCCCAAACGCAACCTCGAGGTCAAGCCGTAAACGGGTACTGGCCATGACAAATCTGCAGGTTACTGAAGACGCTTACTTATCGCCTGTTCTTCTCGATACGGCTGGATGAACCTGCCTGTTCCTGCTTAGGTGTAATTGCATCTACCGGCGGAGTCAAGTCTGTCGGATGGCCTGGCAGCATGAAATCCAATTGGGAACGGAATAGCTGTCCGAAGGACCTCGCTCAAGATGGGTTGTCTAGCTTTGGCCTTGTTTTCAGGTGGCATTAATAACTCTCACAAACATATTCATCGCGAGCACATAGCAATGGGGAATCATGCATGTCGTGGACTCCAACAAGTAAGAGCGGGCAGATAGAAAATTTCTGTAAATTGGCAAAGTATTATATTGTGTAACAACCAAATTATTCTAAAGATGACGACCAGCCCGAAAATAGCCAGTTCTATCAAGTTGACCTCGGGAATGCCTCTGAAATATACTTAGCCAATCAAACGCCCATGTGTTATGCCCCGTATACCCCGCATATCCCCGAGTTGTGTTCGGACGCGGGACCGAACTACGCATTGAACTCCGAACTTATATTGCGATATCGACCCTCTTCATACTGTGAGATTTTCCTGAAACTTTCACGCATTTGTCCCGTTCATTGCCAGTTTATCACTGTCTTGAAACTCTAGCAGAAGTCCCACTCTGCTTCGACATTGAAGATGGAAGGTGTCCAAAAGCCACAGGGGTCTGTTGTAATCATTGGAGCTGGTACTCAAGGCAGACGTCTTGCGCACATGGTAAGTACTGATATTCGAGACCATGGACATCCGTCTTCGTGTTAACGTGTTGCAGTGGTCAAGCAGAGGCGGCACCGTCCGTCTGGTAGATCTCCAAGAGCAACAGCTCCAAGATGGTCTGAAGTACGTGGAGCAACTTCGTGCGGACGCTACAGACCATGAAGGAGATTGGGGGAGGATTGAGACTTCCCAGCCCTCTTCTTTGCAATCCACACTGAAGGATGCGTGGCTCGTTGTGGAGGTACGACTTAACTCTTCACCGATAGGACCAGTTGATTAACACGGCCTAAACAGTGCGTGCCGGAGAACCTGAACCTTAAACGAAAAGTGATCGCTCAACTTGATGAGATTGCACCTGAAAGCACAATCATTGCTTCGAACTCGAGTAGCTACGGAATCTTTGAGATTCTCGAGGGCATGAGCTTGAAAAATAACAAAAGAGTTATGAGCGCGCACTGCTGTAGGTGACTATTCAATCTAAATGGCATCCATGGATACTTTGCTAACACCTTGTGTCAGATTGGCCGCCAGAGACATCCGGTAATGCCTATCCCACAGTATCGTATTTTCCCGTTCGACCTGCTAACTTGGAAGTCAGCAATTGAAATCATGGGCCACAAGGATAGCGATCCTAAGCTGATTGACCTTGTTTTGGAGCAATGTAAAGAACATGGATTCTCACCTTTCCACGTCAGAGAGAACTCTATCGGCTACATATACAACAGGTGAGTTCCTCTTCTCTCCGTTACTGTACGATCAGGCTTATAACAATCTTCAAGAATCTGGGCTGCTATCAAGCGCGAGACTCTGCTCACATTGTCCGAAGGTGTTGCCACACCCAAGGAAATTGATGCCATTTTCAAAGACGTCCTAAAGACGCCTAAGGGCCCCTGTGAGCAGATGGATGTTGTCGGCTTGGATGTTGTGTTGGATATTGAGAATCACTACGCTGAATCTCGGAGTGGTATTCCTACTGAGCCGCGGGACTACCTTCGGGGAATGATTCAAGGTGGAAGTCTGGGTGTCAAGAATGGCCGAGGATTCTACGACTATGAAGATCAGAAGAAATGATTTCTCCATAGTTCATACTTGATGTACATGGCACGTTTTGCAATGGGAGAGGTTCATTTACGTTATAGGGGGCTCCTTTACATCGCCAACGAATCAGCTCTCCGATTCGCCTGGTCCCCCAGCATCATTGGTCTAGTGGTAGAATTCGTCGTTGCCATCGACGAGGCCCGTGTTCGATTCACGGATGATGCACTTCTCTTTTTGAATTTTTGTATGTGGAACCGAAGACCTATTGGTAGCTTGCATCGTTGTGGAGCAAAAGTAAAATGAAATTGGCCCTTAGAAATCCGTAAAGAAATGTGCAGTCTAAATGTTTGATTGAATATGTAGCGGACCATCATGAACAATACGCCTAATGCCCGAAATCCATATGTGACCTTAACTCCGAGAAACCAATCCCATTCCATCATAGCATAGCATAAAAAGGCGACTCCATGACCACGCAGAAAGACATCACAACTGATCGGGAGATCCACTCAGTCCCATTGGCCCTTATCCAACGCGCCCAAACCACCACCAGTATGCTTACCCAGCAACTTGGCTATGTTGGTTCCCCCCACTGCGCTGTTTGATACGGAGCTCCTTCTCGCGCTCCCGTTCACGCGCAGCTGCATAAGAATTGACAGCACCGCCCTTCTTGGGACCGGAAGCTGCAGCCTTGGAGACACGGTTGGAGGCGCTCGAGCTACTGGAAGATGAGGAACCAGTCGTAACACGACGCAGAAGTTGAGGAGGGCGGAATCCAATAGGGACCCTCTCCGCCGCTGCCGCTGTGGAATGCAAGCTTGGAGTTTGCAGAGCCGGGGTTCGTGCCTGTGGCGGAGTTGGAGGATGCTTGTCGGAGGAGGGCAAGGCGGTCGACCACGACTCCGCGCGTGCGGCGTGGGTGGCTGGGTTTGGCGAAGGTATTGTCTGATTGGGGTTGATCGTCATGACCTTGGCCTTCTGCGCCGGGGGTGTCTTCGTCTTCTTGGTCGTGTTCTATCTCATCGAGAGAAGCGTCTTCCTGGAATGAGTCGTATTCGGGGGTTTCAGTGAGGAAGGACAACGTTTCACGAATCTCTGCTATCGTAGCTGGTTTCTTCGACATTGCGCTGGCGGGGGTGCGACGGAGGCGAGGCGGCGGACGGTTGGTTGCATCTTCAGCTGACGGTTCGAGAGGGCGCTTGCGGTTCTGACCATCGCTCGCTGCATCATTCGATTGTTCTCCCGAAGCGTCCTGCGATGCTTCTCCCTGAGAGCCGTGGTCTTCTTCCTCCAAGAAGTCGATATTGAAGTCGTCATCAACTTCGCGATCCTCAACGGCCTTGAAGAATGCGGCCTTCTTGGGATTCTCGGCAATCTCGCCGATTTTCTCATCTGCAAGGAGAGCGCGGCGCATCTTAGCGAACTCGCGTTGCTTCTCACGGCGACGTGCTAGGTGCTCGTCGTCCGAGTCGTCGAGGTCAAAGTCATCATCCGCATTCTTGCGACGACGCAGGGCTCCAGTGGTGATATCTCTCATCAACTTGGCGACATCTTTCTCGTCGCGGTTGCGATCGTGAACCCTATAAGAATGTTAGCATCTTCTCGTTGATAATGTACTAGACTCTAACATACGCGTTGAGTGCGGCAAGTTGCTTCTCATCAACCACCTCGCCACTGTTATCATTGATCATTTGGCGATCAATGGCATTTTCTTCACCGTCGCTCTCGTCACTGTTACCTCCAAGGCCTGCATATTCGTCTTCGGATTCTTCGGCGGCCTCATCGACAATTTCTTTCGCCTTGCTGTTATTTTTGTTGTACTGAGGACCAGGCTTCTTCTTTACAGCCTTATCCTTCTTCATGACATCGAAGGCATTGGCGCTGATCTCAAAGTCACCCTCATTATCATTCTCGTCGACTTGAGAAAGTTCAGTTGCACGTCCTCGCCGCAACATTTTGCGCTTGCGGTCAGCAATGGGCGACTGGGTTTGACCCACAAGGACTGTGTCGACGGTAGACATGGGCGGGGTACCCCTGAATCTTTTTGCGGGATCGAATGGTGAGAATACAAAACCCTCATCCTGGGTAGGATCGGGCAGCTGGGATTGGGAAAACTCCGAGAACGCATATGGCGCAGGCGATTCTGATACTCTGGTCACACTTTGCGCGTAGCCCTCCATAAAGTCTTTGTCCTGGGGCTGGGGCTGGCTGTCTGGGACAAGGACCTCCGATTCCTCCTTTCGAAGTTGTGGAACAGGCTGACCAGGGTCTGGGAGAGAGAATGGCATAGTGGCAGATTCCGCTTGGGTGCCAGCACCATTGCCATCCAACGTGGAGGCAAATGCCTGGGTAAGACCTGAGGACGTATCGCCTGATGTTCCCATGCCAAGGAAGTTTGGTCGTTCGGCGGACTGCGGGACATGACTCGGGGCTCTCACAGGCGTTGAGGGTGGTTGTGGTTGGTCTTCATCTTCGTCATCGCTAACCACTCGAGTTCGTCGCCTCCGTCTCGCAGCAGGCACCTCGTTCTCTGCGTCTGAGGGGGCGGCCTCGGCCTCGCTCTCGTCGTCAGCCGAATCGTCGTCTTCGTCAGCCTCATGCTCAACGAAATCCCCGCCGCCGTTGACGCGCTCATGTTCTTCTTCTTCTTCGTCATCTTCATCATCTCCTTCAGCATCGCCCTCCTGATCAGAGCCGGAGAGCTCGTAATCATCATCCTCTTCATCATCATCGCCACCGTTGGCCTTCTTTCCAGCAGCTTTCTCCAGTCGGCGAATTTCGTCTGCCTCTTTGCGGGCTTTGTCAACAAGATTTTCCATGTCATCCTCCATCGCTGCACGCTCCTCAGCTGTTTCAATGACAACTCCCTTAGCCCTGAGCTCTTCAATGCGCTCCCGACGCTCCTTAGCCGCTTGCTGTCGGGCCCGCCATAATAGATTTGCTGAAAGCTCTGCGGAGTTCATGGAAGCCCGGGTAGGAGATGTCAGGTGTGCCAATGCCTTAAGCTTGGTCATGGAGGGGTCTTCATGCGACTGTCTCGTAGGCAGATTTTCGAACGCTGCAATACGACGGCACTTGCCAGGGGATGTTACCACCTCAAGATCGCTATCGGAATCGTCAGAGTCCTTCTGGTGCGCAGCAACGTCTTGCCTGGAAAGCAGCACGCGGATAGGTGGTTGTGTCAGTGGGCGTGAGACTCTCTTCGATTTGGCACCCTCGGATTTGGGTTCAGGTACGGAAGGTGAGGTTTTCTGGGCTGCAGGGTCCTTGGACAATGCAGGAGGCTGGTTTGGCGCCAGGAGGTCTTTCGGAGCAGGCAAATCTTCAGTGTCCGCATCCATATCCACATCAGCTGCTTGAACTTGGGCATGCTCGGAATCAGCGGTCGCCTTGCTAGTATCCGAATGACCGAGAACTGGAGAAGTATGCGGAGTATCTTTGGTTTTGGCGCGTTCTCCATCAGAGGAATTTTGTGATCCGACCGCTGAGGATGAATTTGCCGCGAGCTGCTCGACCGGGGGATCGGGTTGCATGAAGTTGAATTTGGCAAAGAGGCTTTCCTTTGTGATCTTCTTTTTTGTCTTGGCCTGGTGAGCAAGCTGCATGTTACGGCTCATTCGCTGAGTCTCCTGTCTCATCTCATCCAGTGCCTTCTTGCTGGCTTTCCGGGGCTGACGAGCCTTTTGGGAAAGCTTGCTTGCAATACTCGGATCATCAGCACTGCTTTCCTCGCCCGAGTTTACCTGCGAGCTCAGTTGCTCCATCTGGACCCTCCGGATGGCCTTCTTCCTTTCGGCCTCGGCTTTCTCTCGCTCCTCGCGTTCCTTACGCTTTTGAGCGACAAGAGACAGGAAACGGGCGTTTCCTTTGGGCTTCGTTTCAGCTGTATTTTCGGTATCTTCGGCGTTTGGGTCGTCATGCGGTTCGCCCGGAGACGATACAAAAAGAGGAGAGTCGGGCCTTGAACGGGGAGGGGTTTGGCTTGTTCTGTTGTTGGACTTGGGGGAGTTGGTTGTGGACTTATGCTTTCTCCTCGGGCCAGCCGTAGGTAGATCATCATCATCGCTAGATTCACCGATGGGTGTGGGCTGTGATTCTGTCCGCTGGGGTTTCTCGCCCTGTTCTTTTTCTGATCGGAAGGCCTTTGACACGCGGGCAAATGCTGATCTTTCATCCTCGGGTTCAGCTGGTCTGGAATTACCCTGTAAACGTGCAGCCATACGGCCCTTTGGTCGGAAAACTTCATCTGCGCTTTCTGAGCTGTCTTCTGAGTCGTGCAATGGGCGATTCTCGCGTGCATCAGCAGCCGGCACTCCACCACGCCCTAGATCAAGCTTCGAGACAGCAGCCGTTGACTTGGCAATTTGAGTATCATCCTCCGAATCGCTGTCAAATTGCGCCATCATGGATTTGATCTTCTGGCCGGGCGTAATAATGTTCGGCGAATCGCCTGCAGGCGACGCGGAACGCGTCGACCGCGGTGTGGATGGTGAGGACATGTCGTGATTATTATGGTGAATTATGGTGAATTTCAGTAAATAATTTTCATGACGATATCAATTGTACCTGCAGGCGAGCTTTGGGACTTCCAAGGTCCTGAAGAAGGTGGAGTGGACGCCGGGTTCAAGGGCGCATAGTCTGAACGCGATGCGCGTTCCTCGCGTTGCTAGGTCATACACGTGACCTTATCTTACCACTTTCTCTCAGGACTTTAATTGGCTTTATTGTTACAGGCAACTCTAGAGATGAGTCCAGTAAACCGCCGTTATAACGGACTAATTGAAACATAACATTTGTTGAATCCAAGTCTCATGCAATATAATCTGATTTGGGAACCTCGGGCTTCGTGACTAGGCTTTGCCATCACCCTGTCTACATATACAGATGCATATTGTGATAGCAAGTGATATTTTCTCTTTTTAATCTTTTTTTGTGGGGTTTATATGATTATTTTGGAAATATCTCTTTCCGATAGATAAATGCTGGGGTGCTAACATCGGAGTATTGCTCATGCTGCATTCCGGAAATCTCATAATACAAGCTTGATGCTATTTTCTGAACAAACGCCAGATCACCCACGGACTCCTCAAATATCGCCTAGGAAAAAGCAGAAGCAAAAGATACAATCACAATGCCGGCAAGGCTTGAGCCAACCACCACGACGGTTCTCGGGGAATCATGGAATCTCAGAACCGAAGAAATATCCTCACAGGTAGTAAATCGATTTCAGCGAACAGAACCACTGGACTGAAGCTTAGGAAAAGAAAGACATTATTAAATGAGACTAAATCTCGATGTCGATGTCCATATCCAGGGCCGCAATGTTCTCATCGTCAGTGTTGCGATAACTAATCATGAAGCCATTCTTGGGCTTCTTTGGGGTGACGCGAGAGCCCGGAGTCGCCTTTTGTGCGGGACTGCCATTGGCTTTTGCGGGGGTATCTTTCTGGCTGTCCACAGAAGCGGCATCGGCAGCAGCGGCTTTGTGTACGCCGTTGACATCGTGGTGAGTTTTGGCCACTGTTCGCACACGCATGAAGGGATTTGGGGCAGCCTCTCCGCGTGCAACAGCCTGAGCTGCCTTCTTAGCGGCCTTTCTCTCCTCGAGCTGAGCACGGCGACCGTTCTCGATGTTAAGCTTTTGGTTGCGAAGGTTGATCTGGTGGACTCGTTCGGCTTCCGATAGACCCTTGTCGGCCTCTTTCTTGACGAGGCTTGTTCCCCAGGACAGGATCGGAGTAGCCAGTTTCTGCAGTTCCGCCTCGATCTTCTCGGCCTCCTCGATGTTTCCGTTGATTTTAGCGACTTCCAGATTTCTTTCGAGTTCCAGGCGATTAAGCACGTTCTTCTTCTCGTCGAATGCACCCTGGCGACGGAGCTTCTCGTTCAACTCCTCCCGAGTGAATGTATGGTTGAGAAGACGGTTAATATCGGCAACTTTCGATTCGACCTTGCTCTTTGTAGCCATCTTGCAATCCTCAACAGCGAGGGTCTGGACGTAACGGCGGTATTCGGCCTGGTCGGCTGTTAGTTGTGTTCCAAGATTCGAGGAGAAGTAACAAACCTCAGTAAGTGGAGAGTTCGAGAAAGTGACGAACGGGAAGTCTCTGACAGCCTTTCCGTGTGCCAGCTTGACATACTGATCCGTGACAAATGAGCGACCGTTTTCGCCCTCCAAGGCGTATGGCTTGCCCTGAGAAATTCCTGAGAGAAACGTCAGTGCGCGTAAATAAGAAAGGCGGCATAATTTCTTACCAGTAATCAGACCCAGGCGATATTCATTCTGGCCAGTTTCGGGGTGTGGGCCAATACTCAGCCGAGCGTAGCAGCCAATCATAGCATTCTCAAATCCGGGGTAGAAGCAGACTTTGGCAAAGTTGTTACGTCCAACTTGAGCGCGGCGAATTTCACGAAGCTCGGCGGGTGGGTCATCCTTGGGGATGGAAGGAGCACGGCCAACGCGATCATCCAATTCAAGATCACTCTCAGCTTCGGCATCTTCATCAGAAATATCTGATCCCACGGAGCGCGAGCGGCGGCGCGACTTTGTAGGGTCTCGGCGACGGAGTTCATCCCGCTTGCCCTTTTGCTCACGCTGGCGCTTGTAGGCTTCGATGGCTTCGGACGTTTCTCCGACTTTGCGGCCACCAAGAGTGGTCTTCTGGCGCGAGCTCTTGCGCTGGTTATCATCCAAACCGGCAGACCCTGCCTTTCGCTTGGCTTTCTTGGCCGCGCGCGCTTCCTCGCGCGATCGAGATGCTAGGAGGCGACGCAGAGCTAGATCCTGGTTGTGGCGATCGACTTGCTGGGCACGTTCGGACAGGGTTTCCTCGCGCTGGATCTCAGGCATAGCCATAATGTCCTTTTTGTCCTGGGCCGAGTAGTACAATTTCTCGTATGGGAAAATGGGGCGATCCTCGTCATTGTCGTCGGAATTGTCGGCCTCTGACTCGGACTCGGACATGGGGGCAGACTGAAGTGAGTGACGAGAGCCATCGTCAGAGCTGTAGAGATTGCCAGGTCAGTAAGGCCTCTCGCTATCAGAATAGAGGGGCAGTCCTCACATTTCACCCTCCGATTCATCTTTCACAGGCTTGCGGGGTCGGCGGCTGACCGGTTTGGCAGTTCCTTTGCGACCCATGGCTGCAGGTGAAGTGTCTCGATCTTGGACGTGTGAAGAAGAAGAGTGCGCTGGTGATTTGGGGGGTGGTGAAGTTTCCTCCTCAGAGTCACCCGCCAGAGCGAGCAGCTCAGCATCCAAATCGTCCGCCATTATGAATATCTCTCAATACAGTTATACCTTCAATAGAACTCAATAAACAGAGAGCCTATTGATATATAGGCATTCAACAGCCTTAGAACAATAGAAGTATTCCCGCTCCTATGAACTTCTTCCCTCCTTTACAGGAGTTGTTCCAAAAATGGGAGATGTAGGCAAGACTTGCAAAAGGTGGCCAAAAACGTCTGTGCTGGATGAAGTAATGACCCAAGTCCGACAAACACTCTATACACGGGACGAAGAGAGGAGGTAATGGAGGGTATCGTAAAAAACGTGAAGATGGTCGTCGCAAGTTGGCCTTAGCCGTCAACTTTCATGACGTTCAATGCCAAGCCGATAGTAAGCGCGCGGCAGCGCAAAGGCGGTCTAAGCGACCAATACGCGACCTCTGAGCTTCGTCCCTTGAATTGGCTTCATTTGTAGTCCAGGTTAATTTCTCGATGTTGTCTTCACCTGTTCTGCGCAGATGCGCCTTGACACATTGCCGTTATTCTGCTCCGGCAGCAACACCTATTTTTCTCGATTTCCTCGCCCCGTCAACATTTAAGCATGGCCAATGTCGGCAGGCTTCAACAACGGCCGGAACTCCCGCTGGCTCCAAACCTCTATATGTTCTCAGCAAAGAGCAACGGGAATTCATGGACAGCGCTTTGCGAGTGAATCAAGCTGGTGAAATTGCCGCGACGCTGATCTACAAAGCCCAAACGCCTCAGATCGTCCGATCATATCCCCACCTCCGGCCCTTGATGAAACACATGTACGACCAGGAAGCTGGGCACCTCAAGACCTTCAATCACCTCATCTCCAAGCACCAGATTCGACCGACCGCCATGTCTCCGGCATGGGAGGTAGCTGCTACCTTTTTGGGTTGGTCGACTGCGGCACTGGGTCGCGAAGCTGCAATGGCGTGCACCGAAGCCGTGGAGACGGAAATTGGATCACACTACAACGACCAAGTAAGGGAGATTCTGTCTTGGGAGGCGGATGCCGAGAGACGGGGAAGAGCTGGACGAGGAACTCAAAGAAATGTTGGCCACATTCCGGAGAATTCGCGACGAGGAATTAGAACATCTCGACCATGCCGTAGCCAACGACTCAAAGGAGGCGAAGCCCTACGATCCGCTCGTGGATGTTATTCGTTTTGGATGCAGGGCTGCTATCAAGATCAGTGAGAAGATTTGATTTGGCAATTGGGCGGGAACGCATGTGCCGGGTCTGCGCCGCCATTTATATATTCCGTTGCCGTCCAGGACTTCATGTACTATACCGACTACTTCTCTCAATTTTGTTAGCTATATTTAACATTGTATATTCTCATTTGGAGTTATGTGCCCGATTCAATCTATCGCTCCCACAGGGTATCAATAAAACAACCACCTACTCTAGGCTCATGGTCTCTGAGTCTTACTTCCCGGTGTGTGGCCAGCACTGCTCACTCAGAGTCGATACGGTTTTGCTCCAAGTATTCCAAGAAGTTTTGGGAGAATCTCGTGACCTGCTGGTAGACCTCTTCGAAACCATTGGCACCGCCATAGTAAGGATCCTTCACGACCTCACCGCCGCCGACGCGCTCGTGCAGTTTTCCACCCTTACCGAAATCGCCAAACAAGCGCACTTCGGCCACCTTCGCATCAGCCCCGTATGCACCGATCGCAGCATCTACGTGCGACCGCGTACTCTTCGAGCTTGGCTTGGTGTCGGTCTTCCTCTTCAGCGTCGCAATGACCGAGTCGCGCACATCCTCCAGGTCGCGGAGATTGGATTTATCCATAGCGAGAAGGTAGTCGAAGGTGAGGAAGTCTTCCCTTGTCACTTTGCGGGCAGCATGGTCATAGCCAGTGATTTTGTGGCGGCGCAGGGTGGACATGGTGCGGGAGTCGGGCGGTTCGAGGCTGTGGTAAGCGGCTGTGCCAGCGGAGTCGATCTCACCGATGGAGGGGTGCGTAGCGGCCAGGTTGCGGAACACTCCTTCGGCCATCGGAGAACGACCTAAATAGGATTAGTATTCGTAATGGCGCGGAGAACTAAACATGATGACGAACAGATGTTTCCCAGGCAGACAAATAGCACGCTGGTGGGGTGCTCATTCGTGTTGGAAGTCATGGTGGGGCAGGGATCACCAAGGAATCTTGGTGTTGTGAGTGTTGAGGATATGCAGAGCTAGGAAAGTAAGTGAGAAGTATACAAGGAAAACCCTGGGTTGGGTTTGACCAAGGCGGGGGTTTATCGATAGGCCCTTAGTTGGGGTCTCCACCCGCCCTGAAGAGATATCTTTGACTTGCATCACGCCGGGGCTACACATATGTCGTACATTAGAGAAAAAGCAGGAACATAGCAAGAACTAAAAAAATGTGCAGATCAATGCGCAGATCCAGGTATTGAAGCTACGGGTAGATCACTTATAGTAGGAACAGGCAACTGCTTTTTATTTTTTAGTAAGAGAGACAGTGTGTACCTCCAATGACCTCAGATGCTAAAAAAAGAAATGGAGGAGAATGGGCCACTAAAAGAAAAGAGAAAAGAGAAAAAGAGCCAAAAGGGAAAAGAAAAAGGGAAAAGATGGTTGAGCCACAGATGACAAGCCCACATGTGGCTGTGTTCCCAGTCACGTTCCAAGGTTGGCCCAGTAACAGATCAACGCACTCCAACAAAGTGGAGTTTCTCCCTTCAACCCACGGCTCAATGGGTTTCAGCACATCCAAGGGTACTGTGGTTACTGAAATATCATTGGAGATTTTTACTCCGAACTGAAGAATCTTCCTTTTTTCTATTGTTCTGCATCTTCTATACAACGGGCCTAATCAGCTTGTGAAGATATCCCAGTACCCCCACAAGGCAGTGCGGAGCTGCACAGACACTTCTGATTCGCCCCATACCGTCATCGTTGCCGGGAATCAAAAGGCGTCGTAAACAGAGGGGGCTCAAGTTTGATTCCACATTTTTTTGATTGCTGTCCTTCTTCACCTACAACATACTCCCCGGTTGTGTGACAATCCATAATCCCATATACCATCTCTCGCCTTGTATCAAATTTCGCTTGCGTCCCTCCTTCATATCTGAAACGCCGAGAACCGTCAGTCGGACTAGTGATCGCTCCCGCTGACGCTTAATATTCCACCCGGCGCTCCTGGCGCAATCTCCAACTACCCCTGCTACAAACTTGGGGCGGGATAATTTCACTGAACTCGATCCCGAGGCACCTACATTATGGCCTACAATCGTGTGGATGCCGGTCAGTGCTTCTCTTAGCCTTATTGGGCCCTTCCTCCCTCCCTCTCTCTCTTTCTTTTAATGTTGCTCGCGCATTCTCCATCACTCTGAAACTCCCCAAAATCAGTGCTGGTCATTGATTTAATGGTCTCAGTACGGTCTGCGCCGTCGAGTTGTTGCCATTCGAGCATTCATTGAAGAATCTCCAACGTCTCAAAACTAACAATGTCGCGAACAGACCCGTTCGGGGATGAGCATACCTCGCCAATGTTGAATCCCTCCCATCTTACTGGATACAGCAATCGCACTCCTTCCCCTGGGCGACCACTGGAACATGGCTACCAGCTCTCCGACAACCCATATGGACCCCAGCCGCATCTCCCCATGCCATCCAGTGATCGCTTGGCCGACCAACCCACTGTGAGTATTACGAGATAAGAGTGAAATGTGCTGTGCGCGAATCGAGACTGACAATCTGCCTTGAAAACAGTACTCGGTCGAACATGTCGATAACTCTTATGGCCATCATGACGCATACGACGCACACCGTCCTTATCCTGGTCACGAGTATTCGATTGACCCCGAAGCCCATCACGACGCCTACTACACCCAACCCTACCAGCCTACACTCACCCCACATGATGATTATGACCTAGGCCAGTACCCAGAGGGAGGACACACCCCCTTTGAAGTTGACCAGCCCATGCTGCAAACGGGTGAAAACCCCTTCGGGCCGGACCCGTATACTGAGTTCACGGATGAACCGCGCCCGACACCCAGCCCAGCGCCTATTCGCCGTTGGAAGACGGTGAAGGAAGTTCAACTTTTCAACGGCAACCTCGTCCTCGATTGCCCCATCGCGCCGAGACTGCTCAGCCAAGTACCCCACGCAGAACCACCAGGTCGCGATGAATTCACGCACATGCGATATTCGGCAGCGACCTGCGATCCGGCTGATTTCTTCGAAGAGCGGTTTACCCTCCGTCAGAAGCTTTTCGCAAAGCCTCGCAACACCGAACTCTTCATCGCCGTAACCATGTACAATGAAGATGACTTCCTCTTCGCGCGCACCATGTCTGGTGTGTTCAAGAACATCGATCACATGTGTTCGCGCACCAGCAGCAAAACGTGGGGCAAGGATTCGTGGAAGAAGATTGTAGTCTGTATCATTAGCGACGGTCGTGCTAAGATCAACGCTCGGACACGTGCTGTGCTGGCGGGTTTGGGTGTGTACCAGGACGGAATTGCGAAGCAGCAAGTCAACGGCAAGGACGTCACGGCGCATATCTACGAGTACACCACTCAAATTGGGTTGGAGGTGAAGGGCACTCAAGTGCATCTCAAGCCTCGATCTGGGCCTCCTGTGCAGCTGATCTTCTGTTTGAAGGAGAAGAATCAGAAGAAAATCAATTCTCATAGATGGTTCTTCCAAGCCTTCGGTCGTGTGTTGGATCCCAACATCTGTGTCCTCTTGGATGCGGGTACCAAACCTGGCAGGGACTCGATCTATCACCTCTGGAAGGCCTTCGATGTCGAGCCTATGTGCGGTGGTGCATGTGGTGAGATCAAGGTCATGTTATCCCACGGCAAGAAACTGCTGAACCCGCTGGTGGCTGGTCAAAACTTCGAGTATAAGCTCAGCAACATTCTCGATAAACCGCTTGAGTCTTCATTCGGTTTCATTACTGTGCTGCCCGGTGCGTTCTCCGCCTACCGTTATGTCGCACTCCAAAACGACAAGAACGGTCAAGGTCCGCTAGAGCGGTACTTCCTAGGCGAGAAGATGCACGGTGCCAATGCCGGTATATTCACAGCCAACATGTACTTGGCTGAGGATCGAATTCTGTGTTTCGAGATTGTTTCCAAGCGGAAGTGCCGATGGCTCCTTCAGTATGTTAAGTCGTCAACTGGTGAAACCGATGTGCCTGATCAGATGGCCGAGTTCATTCTCCAGCGCCGTCGTTGGCTGAATGGCAGTTTCTTTGCTGCAGTTTACGCCATTACCCACTTCTACCAGATCTTCCGCAGCGACCACACCTTCATTCGCAAGTTCATGTTGATGATTGAATTCATCTATCAGACAATTGCGATGATTTTCGCGTGGTTCGGAATTGTACGATTCTCCCCATCCACCGTTCTGTTTTATCTATGCTAACGCCTCGCGCAGGGTAACTTCTTCTTGGTTTTCCACATCCTGACAACGTACTTGGGCGCAGATGATCTTCTGGGTACCGCTGGTAAGGTTTTAGGCATTATCTTTGAATGGCTATACCTGGCAACTCTCGTTACCTGCTTCGTTTTGGCCCTCGGTAATCGACCTGGCGGATCCAATAAGTTCTACATGACCATGGTCTATTTCTGGATCGTGATCATGATATACCTTGCATTTGCTGCCATCTTCGTCACGGTCAAATCAATCCAAAAACAGGTGGCCTCGAACAGCTTTACGGCCAGCCAACTAATCACCAATGACACGTTCTTCTCTATCATCGTCTCCCTTGGATCGACCTATGTCATGTGGTTCCTCGCCTCCTTCATCTTCCTGGACCCGTGGCACATGTTCACCTGTGTAAGTAATCCCGCGCATCTAATTTTGTCGAGTCTTCTAACACCCTCCAGTTCATTCAATACATCTTGCTCACGCCAACCTACATCAACGTCCTCAACATCTACGCCTTCTGCAACACCCACGATATCACATGGGGTACGAAGGGAGATGACAAGGCCGAGAAACTGCCCTCCGCGCACCTGAAACCCGGCGGCAAGGTCGACGTCAACATCCCGCAAGACGACGGTGATCTGAACGCGCAGTACGAAGCGGAACTTGAGAAGTTCGCCATGAAGCCCCCCCAAGGAGGTCACAGTTGTCCCCGAGGAAGAAAAGCAAGCCGACTACTACAAGGGATTCCGCAGTGCTGTCGTGCTTGCCTGGGTATTCTGCAACTTTGCTCTTGGAGCTGTTGTCCTGAGCGCTGCCGGATTAGAGACTTTCAACGACTCATCCAAAACCAGTGCTGAAGCTGAGGAGACCAAACGCTCCATGATCTACATGAAGGTTGTTCTGTGGAGCGTTGCTGGTTTGTCTATATTCAAGTTTATCGGTGCAATGTGGTATTTGGTTGTTCGTATGGTGAGTTAACTTTCCTACGCTAAGGCTTTTGGCGATCATATACTAACATCCGTATCACAGTTCCGTGGCGTTTGATTCAATGAACTTTAAGCATGACGATTGATTTGACGCCATGCCATGCTATGTTTTCATATATCCCTTGATTTTGTCTGGATTTGGATTGGGTTATACCACGGCGGGCCCGGTCTGGTACGCAAATGGAAATGGAAATGTAATGTATTTGACGACTTCCCTGCGATATGCTTTTCATTTGATATGTGGAATGATATGATATCGTGATTCATCTGGGTTAGGTCTTTTTTATTCGATTGGTGCATCCTTTGCATGTTTGCCTTTGCATCTGTATACTTGGGCTCATGGTTTTTGTGGCTTTTATGGTTGGGAATTTGTGTACTCTATCTGCAAATATGGAGTATAGATTACATATGTATTCCACAGACTTTGTGTCTGTTAAAAGCAGTGTCGGTGTTTCAAGTAGTGAATATCATTTGAAAGGTTATACATAGAAAACCCCCTTTCACCAATTATGCGTTTTTTTACCCTGTCCTGATGTGTACCCAAGAGACTGAGAAGGGGCAGAAAATGTCTATATAACCAGACTACTAAAATGTCTATTGGAGAAGACCACCAAGGAGACTACGGCCGTATGCGCGGCGGACTAATCTTGTAGTGAATACTTACTTCTATTAGCGACAAGATTTCCACATCGCTCCATTAAGTCAGTAGCATGCACCGAATATACTTGACACCACATAAACGAGCACCAACTCCCTAATCCAAATCCAATCAACTTCAAGAAGCCTGGTCCTTAGAATGCACACATAATGCAATCCCACCAAGTACAAGCCCCATCCCCAACCACGTCTCCTTCGCAATCACCTTGCGATCAACATACCACTCCCCAAGAACAGTAAACAAGAACGCACTGGAGTTCGCAAGCGGCACAGTCAAAGAGAGTTCTACACAGCAATGGGTTAGCCTCCACATCTCAGACCACATCACCAGAAACCAAGAAAACCAAGAAATGCCACCTACCATGCTTCCCAACAAGCAAAAAGAACCAAATACTACCCGTCAGATTGATAACCAAGGGAACCGAATACGCAGGCGTACGAAGCAGGTTCACAATCGTCCAGAAAACAGAAACAACCTTCGTCCGCAGCCACGACTGCTTCACAGGGCACCACGTCTCCACGCCGGCGTGGGTAGATCGTCTTGGTCCTCATCTGCGTCTTCCTGATCGTCCGCGGTATCGCGACTCAAACCACTCGGTCCAGTAATCCCGCTATCCAGGCCCGTGTCTGCATCTGCGGTCTTCGGTTTCCGGTTTAGTTCACTGCGACTCGTACTCCGTCTCCGCACACCGTCTTCTTCCCGAGAGAGCAATTCCTGTTCCTCGCCTGCGTCCGTGAAGCCGGTTTGCGGCGTATCTTGCAAGCGGCCTCTTCTCAGACCTGGGGAGTCTGATTCGTTTGCTTGTTTCTCTTGGCGGGCGTTGAAGTCTGCTGCTGCGCGGCGGATAAAGGGGGTTGTGAAGCCCCATGCGACGCCGACGAGTAGGAAGGAGAGTACGTAGTTGAAGACGGAGGGCGCGGGTTCGGCGGGGATTCCGGCGTCGGGGTCCATGTTGGCTTTTTGGGATATGGGAGGCTGTTGGACGATTGGTTGGTTCGGTACGCGGTGTCACTGCGGCCCTGACGTTGCGGCGATGGGCCCATGGTCTGTGCGTTGATAAGGTTGCATTGGTCGATCCGCGGATCTATAAAAAAGTATACAACCTTGGAAGGGTTGGGATGTTTTATTTTATTGACAGATCAAGGATTTCGACTTAAGATAAGAGAGACAGTGGGAGAAACAGTGGGGAGGCAGTGCATATTCTACATCTAAGCCAGGCACACTTGCAGGTCAGTTCTACCTATCCTTTTGGGTAGGAACTATGGACATATTATAGGAAAGTGATTCAAGGCCACACAGACAAAATTCAACCACAATAACTTGAAATAGTATACAAGAGACAGGATAGAAGAGCAGACTGGTTTGCCCGGCAGCCTTTCACATCGTGGAGGCTTCATGGCCGAGCGTGATGAAGCAAATAGACAAATTCATCAGTGGAATACCCACACCAACCCCACAATCCAGCACAACAACAGAATAAAGTACAAAATTTGCTCTCAGTAGGTCAATTGCGAGCCTCCGATCAAGCTTGCCTGGCCGCCACAGAGGGTGTCGCCACGTCCGATGGATGCGAAGCATCATCAAGACCGATTCATCACAGAGCAAAAGGTGAACCCACCACCCGCCTTCTCCCTCGAACCCACTTCACCAGAGTCCACAGCACCAGGAAATGCAGATCCCCTATATCCGTTGCTTAAGCGAACGCCGAGGCTTGAGAAGACGAACGCCCACTGTGTCCGAGAAAAGATCCCTGGTGTGCTTCATATCTCTGATGTGCTCAAACGGTCGCCCGTGCAGCATCCCCCTACTTCTCTCACCAGCACAGATTCCTCCTCTTTATGTGTCCTCACTGGCTTCTTGAACCGTGGCAGCCCGCTGCCCTTCCTCCTTCAGTGCCGCTCGTCACAGGTGAGTCTGCTGTCGAATGCCCCCGCCAGTTAATTTTATCGTTCCAGGTGAGTCTGGTGTCGAAGTTTGTGTGAAGTCAGGTTGTTGGGAGAGAGGGAGAGAGAGAGGGAAGGAAGAAAAGTGAGAGAAGGAGGGTATTTATATGTTGGGGAAACACCACAACTTCTGAATTGGGAAGGCACATCGACACCTACTTCGCGACGGCACTTGAACTAGTAAATTGACGGTCACTTCCCTGTCAATTATTGTCATAATCAAAGCTATACTCTCGAGGGAATTATCAAAGCTATACTCAAGAGTCCCTCGAGAACAATAGTTTATTTCAACTATCTTGATATACCTATATCTCTTAAGACACACCAACCCTGGCAGCTGCATCCCACCTCAGACTAGCAGACCCCGACATCATCCAAGCCACATAATACAAGAAAATCGGCAACAATAAAGTCCGAACAGGTATCCTAGTCCCCCAAAGCCATATACCTAGGTAGGTTAAGGTTTTAGGGTAGCTTTAAGGTTGCGGCTGTTACTGGGGTAGAGTAAACTTAACATATATGGGTATCATGAAGTGATTTTTGGTAGTATATATAGATTATGTAGTCTATTAGAACAATATGCACACGGGAGATCAAAGTAACAAAATATAAGAGATAAACAGCAAGGTCGGTAGATGGCCCAAATGGCATTAGGAAAAAGGACAAATGCACCGATGACAAAATGACAACGAAATATAGACAGAGAATGACAAATATTGACACGAAGTCAGCGACACAATTTAGTTGCCACCCTTCGACTTCTTCCCAGGAATGAGCTTCATCACTGATTCCTTCAGATCCGCACTGCTCCAGCGCTTCACGCGAACAAGATAGTACATGACAGTAGCGACGAAGATATTGAAACCAATGAAAGCCCACATAATACCGAAGTTGCGCCACCTCTCAGAATAAAAGATATTGGCCGTGGACAGGTACTGATCCGCAACTTCGAGAGAGCAGTAACTGCAATCACTTGTAGCCTCGGGATTGATCAGCCTACCACCAGCGGCGGCGGCATACTTCATGAGGTACTGTCCGCAAGTCTGGCCAGAAGGCGGATCGAAGATGGATAGTTCGGCGGCCGAGCATACCACCTGGCGATTGTGAAGCTGCGCGCTGGCCATGCCGCCGACCCAGTATGTGAATGGCGAGACACGGTACATGAAGATCCAGAAGCCGGGAAGGGCAGATGGGGGCTGCATCACACCACAGAAGGTGAGAGACATCGCGAAGAGGAGAACGACAACTGCACTAGCGGTTTGTTCGTCTGGGAGACCGGCAATGACCATGTGGGTGAAGGTACTGGCGTAGATGAAGAAGATAATGCAGAATAGGAGGACGGTTCCCTGGGTCAGTGAACTGGGGACTCCAACGACAGCATAGAAGTACGAGGCGTAGGTCAATACACCCATGACGACCATGAAGGGGATCTCAACAATGATGTTTGCGATGAGGAAGGCTTTCCAGGAGTAGGATTTGCTGGGACGTTCACGTCCCTCGTAGAGCGATCGCTGGCTGACGAACACGGGCATGATCTGGTGAGATTAGTGAAAGTTCATTTGCTTGAATTCTGTGTTGCATACCTGTTGAGCCAATGACGAGAAGATTGTACAAATCATGAAGAGAGAGTAGACGACGGTCTGCATGCCTTGCAGCGACGTTTTGGCACTGTAGAACGAGAAACCAATGAATAGACCAGCGACAATTCCAAGTCCCCATTTCGCCAGAATATAGGACGGCATGCGCCAGTATTGCTGGAACACGCGATATGTGACCTGTGCCAGTTGGAACATGAATGGCATAGCGAATTCAGAGTGACTTTGTGCTGAATCATCGGCGGAGGGGGGTTGGTGTTCCTTTTCTTTATGGATTCGATCGATTTCAGTCTGGACCTGCTTGCATTCATCGCTCTGCTTCCAAACATCGTACCAGTCCTGGCCTTTGTTATTCTGACCGGCGTTGACAATGCCAAGCATGTATTCAGCTGGATTCTCGTCATCGGCACACTTGCGAGCACCGTTGGATTCGAAGTACTCGAGCATTGTGCTAGAATTTTCTCCAACCGGGCCGAAGTACACAGTCTTACCGCCTCGGGCGAGGAAGAGCAGCTGATCGAATTGTTGGAAGAGCATGGCGCTGGGTTGATGGATTGTGCAAAGAACTGCTTGGCCATGCTCGGCAAGCTTGCGAAGGAATGAACAAATAGCCCAGGAACTCTGAGAGTCGAGACCACTAAGACATAGTTAGTATTTGGAAGGAATGAGAATTTGCACAGGGTACTTGCCTGGTAGGCTCATCCAAAAAGAGTAGCAGCTTGGGTTTGGCGGCCAATTCGACACCGATAGTCAACAGCTTGCGCTGTTCGACGTTCAAACCCTCACCTGGGACACCAACAATGGCTTCGGCAAACTCCTCCATCTTCAACATTTTGATAACATCCTCGACATAGTCGTATTTCTCCTTAACTGAGACGGAGGCTGGCTGACGCAACATAGCACTGAATCGCAGAGACTCACGCACAGTAGCAGTATCGAGGTGAAGATCCTGTTGTTGAACATAACCTGTCTTTCGCTGGAAACTCTGATCCAGGCCATGACCATTGACAAACATATCACCGGTGATAACGCCCATTGATGTGCGGTGTGCCAATACATCAAGCAAAGTCGTCTTACCAGCACCGCTGACACCCATAAGTGCAGTCAGGGTTCCAGGCTTGACCCATCCAGAAACGTTATCCAAGAGACGACGGGGCTCGCCCTTAATCTCGATATCATAGGACACATCGCGCCAAGTAAAGGTATCGGTCTGAGGTTGGATGGCACCCATTCCCTTGTCCTCTGTACCCGTAGCAGGCTGAGCTTGAGATGGCTTGGTGCTTTCAACATCTGATCCAGACTTACGATCCTGGCGGAAACTGGCGGGCTCGTGACCGCGACGGAAGACCAGAGCTTCGGCGGTGCTTGTAGTAGCGGAGTTCAGCTCGCTCGCGACAAAGTAGATAATCATGAAACCGACCAAGAAGGCTATCAGGATACCAAAGTTTCGCCAGACGTGGGAATAGCTGTAGTCGTAGTTCAGTTGAATGTACCGGTCACCACTAACTGTTCTAGAGCCTGCTTCCGAACCTGCCGCAGTGCAACTGAATGCATGGCCAGACAGGTCGGCGTAGGAGGGAACGTAGGATGAGCAAGGAAACTCGCGACCATGAAACTCGTTGGCAATCAGTATCTCGAAGGCGTAGTAGATCGGGTTGAGATAATGAATCCATTCGAACCACGGATGCATCGACGGAACAGGGAGGACGAAACCGGTGTAAACAACGAGGACCAAAATCATGACACCTGCCAGACCCATTGCCTGTGAGATAGTCTTGGTCACAGCAGCTAATGTGCGGAAGATTGCACTCATGACAAACGTGATGATGAAAGTGATGAGGAAGTAGAGGAAGAAGTTGGACGCTTCTCGTTTCAGACCGGCTAGGAAGTATAGGATGATGTTGAACGCAACGGACAATGCAAACTTGACTGGTATATCACTGATCACACCAGCAATAGCTTCCGTAGCAGGATGATAAAAGGCAAAGGAAGCATGCTTTTCGACAATTGGGCGTTGCGAGTAGAGACTGTTGATTTCGGACATTGCTGTGAGGGCATTGAGAAGGACGGCAAAGAACAGAGTTGCACCTTTTGACGTAAACCCTGCAGTTGCATCCGGAGTACCGTAGAAGACTGATCCGATGATCAGAGCCATGATAATATTACTGACTACCGTAGAGATGGTCGAGGCAGCGTCGTTCCAGAGTCTTTGATAGGCGCGGACGGTGTTGAGTCTGATTTGCATGGGAACACTGATGATGTATGGAGACTTGGGCCGGGTGTGTTTGGCCTGGATGGCACGCTTCCATTGCTGGAAATCAGCGAGGGCTTGCACATCCTTTCCGATGGGGTTCTTTTCTTCATATTCAGCAGTTTCATTCAGCAATTGCTTGTATTCAGGTGACTTGAGCCATGCAGCCTCGAAGTCCTCAGGCGTACGAGGAACACGATTTTCCATGCCGGGCTTAGCTTGTCGCTCCTGGGGATTTGTAATCGAAGTGAGGAAATCTCCAGTGGTCTGTCGAGCAGGGCAAACCCAGCCCTGCCTCTCAAAGTAGGACTTGGCTGCGGCAGCAGGTCCGAAGAAGATTTGGTGGCCTTCGTAAAGTACAATCACCTTGTCAAATACATCGTAGATGCTCTGACTTGCCTGATAAGCAGCAACTGCATGACACGAGCCAGTGATATCAGAGGACAGTCGCAGAGCCTCGACAAACTTCAATGCCGTGGCGGAATCCAGTCCTCGGGTAGAGTTGTCCCAGGCGGCGATTGGAGCATGGGCTACGGCCATCTCTGCGATACTGACACGCTTTCTCTCACCACCCGAAACACCACGGATGAAATCGTCTCCGACGCGCGTGTTATATGTGTGACTCAATCCAAAGACAGCCATGGTGATCTGAGCCACGTACTTGGCAAACTCCGGGCGCGACATGCCTTGGAATCGATGGGAGGGAGTTCGTGCTGCAGCTGCAAACTCCAGGGTCTGACCGACGGTCAAATGAGGGAAATGTCTGTCAACCTGCACAATTCAGAATTAGCAATATTTTCATTGGCGTGGTCGATGTTGGGACCGTACCTCTTGGTTGTATACTAGTTCGCCCTTGAACTCTTTTATCATGCGAGATTGAGGAATTCCTAGACACTGTTAGCTCTATTATAGAGTGCTGGAGTTTGAAACTTACCGTTGTAATGAATGACACTGTCCTTATCCAAATTCAAACCATGCAGCTCTCCAGTCATAGACTTCAGAAGAGTGCTACAGCCAGCACCTGGCCGACCTAGCACAAGCAACAGCTCACCACTTTTCAGAAGACCATTAAAATCCTTGAGAATTCGCCTTTGAGGAGACTTTGATTCACGAATGATCTGGGGCAACCGAAAAGGGGCAGTCAGGGTCGAGGTGACTGTATCTTGGAACTGCAGCGCAGCGCCCGATCCATATACATTGAGGTGTTTGAAAACGACGTCCGATGTGTGTTCCGAGTGGCCCTCCCGGTTGATATCGTTGAAAGCCGCCTTGAGCCATTTCTGCAAATCGAACTTTCCGGATTGGGGGTCGAGAGCTGGATCTTGTTGAGCGAGGACTGTGAGGTTATCTGTGGTCCCAAGGGTCGATTGTCGGCGTGACCGTGCAGTGGCTATTCTGGTGAGGGTCTCGACATCGACTTGGTCGATTAATGCCATAGGAGAGTCGTCGAGAGTTGATGCGTCTCCGGTATGGGGTGGACTTGGTTCATCCTTTTCCCTCAGCTCGAAGGAGCTTGACTCGGATGTCATCGTGCCGAGATAGAATGGGAATCGAGCACAGGGATGTTTATACAGATATTTGAGAACAAACTATAGTAGAAAACCATTCAAGGGGGAGGGGATGATCAGGTATTTAAAGCCTGGGCTCTGTGGCCATTTCCGTTTTTAGATGACATATTCCATTGTAATAGCAACTGTGGGCCGGGCTCGGGTGTCGGAGCAATTGAGCAATTGAAGGAATATATGAGTGGAGTTGTGCCTTGCTATTATCCTAGAGCTATGATTCGGTGATCGACATGAAATTGATCTAGCATGTTCCTTCAAGTTTGAAACAGGGGAGGCTAGTCGCCGTAACTACGTCCTTTATTGCCCTACGATATCATTGACGCCATTAAAACTTAAAATTTTCTAAGCCCCGATGAGTCAGCGGGACTTTCCTGGGCAAGCTGGACCCGGGAGACCGGGAAACGGATCTTGAAGATCCCGAGCCCCCGGCCCCTCCGACCTTGGGCTAGGCACCAATAGACGGCGCATGCATTATGTGCATAAATCTAATTATGCCATGGGCTATCCCGTATTGGGTAAAGCTTGCGAAGATCCTGGAGGTCTGAAGTCTTCCTGCCCCACATTTCTCTAAGATATCCCTTTATTAATCCACACTAATTATGAAAGACCCCGTAGCAAACATCCGGACGAAAATTCGGTCCAAATAATTGGGCCTGTATCGGCTCGGGAACACATCGGCACGTTTGCTTTTTGAAACCAGATTCCAGCATTCTCCCCGTACTAGGGCTCCTATTTACACTTCGTCTTCGGGACCTGGTATGCCGGAACGAAGTAATTCTTACACGAGGATGTCTGTACTGTGTGTTGCACAACGCACCCTGGTATGCCGGGTCGCACATCTAATGGCGTCAGTGTTTGCTGTTTTAATATTTATTTATATCATTTTTAGAATCCTAGGTCATTCATGGCCACCTTTTGATCATGTTTACCTGGTGGGGTGTAGAGTACCCCGGCATGTCATCCACGTTGGAAGGTTCCCTCTAAAGAAATAAAATACCGTTTTCGATAGACTATTGATCTCGCCGTCACGCTATCTATAGTACCAAATTAATAAATAGTGGCAGATGGTGGACAACCCATCGAATAGCTAACCGTATATGTAACTAGTCACCGTTAGTCTCGTAAAATAATGCTGCGATTATGCAGATCACATGCTTAAGGATTATTCTTTGTTGTTTGCATGGTTTGACTTTGCAACATCCTATATAGGGTTATCCCTGCTCTTCTCTTCCTTCTGGTATTTTGAATTCACTGCACTCTTTACTCAAAGACCTGGCACGTAACGGCTAATGCAAGAGTCAACCCAATTCTATAAGCCATGTCCATAACAAGAACTAACTGCAGGATCTAATTGCAAGGTTTACTTACTGAGTCAATAATACAACCTAAAAATGGTGGACAGAGAGGTCATACAGGGTTACATCTACATGAGTGGTAAGTCAAAAGCAAAGGACAGAATGAGACTGAACGATCTTGAATAAAAGGTCATTTCTTCCACATCGCCTCCGCGAGTATTGAACTCGAGTGAGGAAGCAAGTGGGAGTAGGTACCAAACAAAAGCAAGAGATGTGAAGAAGGAAAGGAAAAGAGAAAATAAATTCGGAGGGCAAGGAGGTATTTATTATACCCTGCCAATGGCTGAAGGAACTGGACATACTTGGGTTGACGACGAGTTTTGACAAAAGGGAAAGAACTAGGGCAAACCTGCGCATCATCTGTGTTGACTCTGACATTGGGTTCATCGGTGACCTTCCATTGAACTTCTGATCGCGTAGGTGACTGCCGAAGTTGTTCTCATGGTAGACCGGACTTATTCTCGGGCAAATTTAAAGACCAAATCCTGCCAGCTAGAAGAGGACTATATATATCAGGAATGTTGAAAACCCCAGTTAATTCTCATTAACTAGCCATTTAGGGTTCAACGCTAACCCTAATTCCGGGTGCACTATACACCTGGGCAGATCTCAGGCATGCAGAAACTGAACTTTGACTAGTTAACTAGTATCTTTGGCTGTATGCAGTTTGATCATTCTCGTGTTGTCGCCAGTATACAACTGGCTACCACACTGCATCGGCGTCTCCACGTTTCAATTCAGCCTGCTTTTAGTCATTTTTGCTTCTTACTGTTGATTCTCACTGTTTCCTACGGACTCTTTTTGATCTATATATTGGAGGACTACGACGAAGAAGCCCATAAATATGGGCTTCTTTCCATGTATGAGAAGATAAGACAATTCAATTTCTTCTACTTGCTACAGTATACAAATTCGAATCATTATCCATAGTATTATTCATAATATTATTTTTGTCTCAACTCATGCTGAATAGATCTCTGCATCTATAATCAACAAGGGACGTCAGATTTTGGTTGGCCACACTTCAAGACCGGCGTAACTGTTACAGAGGAGCCCGCTTGGACTTTTGACTGTTCAGATCTTGTCATGAGACACATATCTTAAAAGATTTACTGCTAGAAAGTCTGCTAGAAAGAGTATTTACAATATAAATGGAGACAACCTTGTCCTCTGTTCGAACAAATGAGGCGGTGTCAAAATACTATGAACTTATCGTCTTCCCAGCCCACCCGCGTTCTCGGGATGGGTCTGTTTCATAATCCGAGATTTGTCACATTCCAGGATTTCAGGAATTTTAGGTATCTTTTGTATGGCGTGCTCATACAAAAGGTACATAGACATGATATTTTAACAATCTTGATTTTCTTCACCCTCTACACGGTTAGGAAAAATATACGTATATTTATCTCTTATAGAAAGGGAAGATATTTCATTTTATTATATTTAACTAGATAGAAATATGAAGTGTAGAAAAAAAAAGTCGTCATTAGCTACTAGTGTGCTGAAGGAGCCTTATTTATTTGATTGATCCTTATTTCTCTTAAGTAGACATTATAGGTTAATCTTAGTGCTAAACCAATTGAACTAGGCCTATATTATATATTTAAGCTCCTATATTCCCTTTATCTACTTCGAACGTGAATAAAAAAACTAGATTGTTGAAATATTATGCCTGTGTACCTTTTGTAAGAGTGCGCCATACAAAAGATACCTCGATTTGCGAAATCCTGGAATGTGACAAATCTCGGATTATGAAACAGACCCATCCCAAGAACGCGGGTGGGCTGAGAAGACTGTACTTAAAAAAGCGGTGAAGATAAGGCTTTAAAAGGAAGCTGAGTTCACCAGAAATCACGCGACTATCCAATCACATGACACTTACGTTATCAGGACCTGGGCAGCTCTAAGGGTGTAGTCGAGCTCAACGCACACACGTGTGCTGGCCTGTCGTCACGCCGTTATGCCCCTTCGCACCCATACATTGCCGCACAGCCAGATTTCTATTTCTGCCACTATCTTAATCATATGACACCCATGCACGCAAACCGGATATTATTCCATTCTCGTGGCCGCGAGTATCTCGCGTTTGGCTGGCGATTCTTGAAAGCCGTCGCGCAGCCTTTGATCAAACCTGATAATCAGCATGAGGGTTGCACGACTTGCATAAGACCCGTGTATACTGCAGTACTCCCCAGTGGTTAGTGTCAGGGACTTGTCTATCTATAGTTAGGGCCCCTGTGCTGAAGGACCACTCGTCGTCCACTGCGTACCTGTCGGCGCATTTCTGAGGCAGAGGCAGACGAGCAAAGCTCGGATAACTATTAATAACTTCATCACATAACTAATTAAGAAAGAGAATTCAAGCAGCTGAGCTTTGACCCCGAGCTGCCAGCTTCACGGTGGGCGCTATTCATGTAGCTAAACGAGGTGCAATGCTGACCGCACCTCACGATCATCCCATTGGTTCTTTTCGGGCTTTGGCGTCCTGCCAAGGCGTCGAAAGAGGCTCACTGCCCTGGGGCTGAAACAATAGTGTAAAGCGTCTCCCGTCAAAGGGCGCGCGCTCCAGGGGATTTAAATGGACCCTTTTCCATATCGTGCAGAGAAGATGCATGTTCAACTGGAAATTATCCCTGAGTGTTCGTTGCCTGAGGCTCTGTTAAATCACGTGTCAGCATCACCACGCAGCAATGACGTTCTCTTTTCCTTTGTACCTCCTCCTACCGCTCCTAGTCGCCGTTACGAGCGCCCAATCTACTTGCCCCGATGGTGAGGAAATAATTTACTCACCTTTTCGACCTTGGTTCAGCTTCGATTATGGCCCCGAACCGGGCGACTGCTGGAAAGCCGCCATCTGCTTACTCGGCCAGGCTGACCCAGCCCGCAATCAGCAGTTTGCAGCCACAGCACTAGTCATGGGCCTGCTACCTATGGTCTTCCGAGACATTGCATGGCCTGAAAGAAGAGTCGTGCTTGTTTCATCACCCCTCCCTACCCTAGCGGAGGTTGTTGTTCGGGCGCTCGGGCTTGAGCCCGTCGTTAAGGGGGGGTGTGGCTGGGTGGTCGGGTGAAGATAGCGAGCGCTGGGTAGACTGGCTGCGCAATAGCTCGATTGCAGGGGCGGCGCTGCGGTCGAGATATCATGCCATGGTGCTGATGTTTGTCAGTCTCTTTGCGCTGCTGGCCTCGTATGCGGGGCTGGCGCTGGTGGAGATCTACTCGAAGCGGACTGCATTGGGCTGTGTATACCCTATCATTGCATTGACTTGGTGTCTTGTTGGTGTTATTCCCGCTATGATCCATGTGCTCTTTGAAGAGCTTTCGGCGGAGAGGAGTGAAAAAGGGCTCGGAACCGGGCGATACTAGGGCGTCCGCGGTGCAGGGGGCAGACCAGCAATGGCCTGTGCAGATTTCGTGGGGAATTTACTATATTATTGGAACTTTGGTGTACACTTCTATCATGGCGGTTACACCGTTGGAGCTGTTTGTTTGGGTTGTTATCATGGCTGTTGTGTCGGGTACTGGGAAGATGCTTGCGCTTTATATCTGCTTGATGTTGAGGAGTCCGGCATGACAGCACTGCGATTGGAACTGGGGTAGGCTGCTGCGTGGGAATCTCCTTACGTTGCAACCATGAGTGTATATGTATTTGAAATGGTCCATAACAAATTCAGGTCTGTGGATTCGCCAGATACCTGCAATATATATCTATAGAAATACCCGCCGTCTTTACCTCCTTCTAATTGGAGATTACCGCTGTACCCTGATTTTTATTATATCTATTTCTATGCTCTCCACTCTATTAACTTAGATTAGCTCGGCTGAGTGGAACGCTGATGGGGTTCAATGCTCAGATAAAGTCGATAAGGCTAATATTGATCAAATGCGCCTTGACCCCATAGACATACTCCCTTCTTTCTTTACCGTTTAGGGGATGCACTTCCCGGCGGCTCCTGCCACTCCGTGCGCCGAGCGCTGGGCGTTGACCGGACGTACCTTCGTATTGTAGCCAATAGAACCAGCAATGTACGACAATCCAACGGCAACTAGTTCAGGCTAATTTAGGTTTCTTTGAGTACGAGTGGTTGCTATCTAGGGCGAAATCAAGGCATTGAACCGTGGAAAGAGCAAGAATCTGTTTTGAGATTCGCCTAGGAATTCTGCGTGTAACATTGAAATAATGTAGAATATTGACAAGCAATATATCAATCGACTTTAGAAGTAATGAGACAGGCCCGGGGATTTCCAAGGTTGACATGAGCGGGGAAGATCGGCTCCGATCGGAGCCAACCTTGGAAACTTCCAAGGTTCGAAGCTTGGCTCCCCTCTCTTCCTCATCATGACCTCAGAAATATCATCTCACCATGGCAATCCAGTCACTACGCGAAATCAACGAGTATAATCTACGAACATTCCAGCGCAACTATGTCTCCGAGATCTCAGGCTCGCTTGGCGATCTTGGCACATTCCTGCCTATCGCGATTGCGCTAGCTATCAACGGCACCGTCTCTCTTGCCAGCACATTGATATTCTCGGGGATTTTCAATATCCTAACAGGTGTATTTTTTGGTATTCCGCTGCCAGTTCAGCCGATGAAGGCCATCGCCGCAGTTGCCATCGCGCGTAGTTTCTCAACCGGCACGATCGCTGCGGCGGGGATCTTCGTCGGTGCCTGTATCGTTGTTTTCAGCGTGACGGGTATCTTGCGCTGGTTCACCGGTGTAATTCCCATCCCAGTTATTAAGGGTATCCAAGTCGGGGCGGGATTATCTCTCATCATCGCAGCCTGCAGCAGCATGCTGCATCCATTGGGTTGGATCAGCCCCTCCTGGGCCGATAACCGTATCTGGGCAGTTGCTGCATTTGTTGCACTTCTGCTCACCAATGTTTATCGCCGAGTACCCTATGCGATTGTCGTGTTAGTGCTGGGTCTGGTGTTTGCTACTATTCGGACTACACTGGCGGGGCATATGCCCGGTTTCGAAGTGTGGCATCCTTTCGCTCTTGTTCCGACCCCGCATCAATGGCGTGTCGGTGCAGTGGATGCCGGTATTGGTCAAATTCCTCTTACCACGCTCAACTCCATTGTGGCGGTCGTCCATCTGGCGAATGATCTGCTGCCAAACGTGCGCACTCCATCCATCACGCACATCGGGCTGAGTGTGGCAGGCATGAATCTAGTTGGCTGCTGGTTCGGTGCCATGCCCGTCTGCCATGGCTCTGGTGGTCTTGCGGCGCAGTATCGGTTCGGAGCTCGCTCAGGAGCAAGTGTGATATTCCTCGGCCTGTTGAAACTTCTTATCGGCTTGCTCTTCGGAGAGACCTTGGTTGATCTTCTGAAGCGGTTCCCTGCTGCCTTTCTCGGAGTGATGGTGATTGCGGCTGGCGCAGAGCTGCTTAGCGTGGGCGAGAGCCTCAACACCACTGGTGCTCGAGACCTCAAGCAGGCCGATGGTGGCCTTCTGTCAAATGTAGGGCAGCACCTTGGTCCTGTTCTCACAGATGAGGAACGCAGTCGTCGCTGGACCGTCATGATGGTCACTGTGGGACTACTGGTAGGGTTCAAAAATGATGCGATCGGCTTCATAGCTGGTATGCTTTGCCACTGGTCCTACGACATCCCGAAATGGTGGGAGCAGGCGCGCAGCCGCTGGTCAGAGGGACGTTTGCGTCTACGTGACTAAACATGCATTTCATACATTGGCATGGGAAACCGGGGGTTTATAACTATAACCTCCTGATATCCTTCACATATTCATGAAGACCTCACCAGATATATTATTTTCAATCTATATATAGCAAGTACAATTACTTACTTTAAGCAAATGCAAGTATTTAACACTCACCCTAAAGCTGGACATTCCTAGTATCCACGTCACTCTCTCTCCGCAGCCTTGTACCCGTACTAGGATTCTCATACGGGCGGTTCTCCTTTGCCGACGACGATAAGCCATCCGCGGCAAAATCCACATCCCGTCCGATCCTCCGACCAGCAGCATCCCTCATCTGTTGATGACGTCTCAGTAACCCCACCGATATCATACTCGGATTGGTCATTATAAGTGCCGGTCACGGGGTCATAAACCCTAGACCCCAGCGGCGAAGAAGCCATATTAAACGAATCGTTCTCGCCGGCCCCATCCAAGAGTTGAGCCGCCGAACCACCAAAATCACCCAGGACACGGGCGTGGAAGCTTCGGACGTGCTATTTTGGGAATCTGGAACATCATCGTCTAGCTCGGTGATGCGTCTTATCCCACCTGCAGAGGTACCACCTGCGGGCTCTGGTAAAGCCAATAGTTCCTGGCCTGTGTTGTCGTATCTCCGTTCCTCAACGACTGCTGGTTGGCCTAGATCTTGCTGGGCCGTACGTACGACTGTTGTGCCGTCGGGTTCGGTGTATGAGGTTGTTGAATACCTGTGTCCGGTTGTAGTCTTGCCGTCGCTGCCGTTGGTTGTGGAACTGTAGTAGTACGAGGAACTTGTGAAAGAGTCGGACATCGTGGTGAACCGTAGTGCTCGGTGGGATATGGGAGAGGAAAAGGTTTAACTGGTCCACTTTGAGTGATTTGCAGTTGAGTTTGTTTACTTGGGTGAATGGAAGGTTGATACTGAACCTTTGGAGGGTTTTTTTTTACCGTTGGTTTGCTTGTAGAAGCGTCCCTGTGGGAGATGTTGGCATCGGCACCGGGGAACTTGTATTGGTAGCTTTCGAAGTTCAACATGTTCAATATGGATAAGTTTATATAGTTCATCTTGTCTTGTCCTGTGGCAAGTGAAGCTTGCCTCTTGCATCATTGCCTCATGCGGCAACTAACCTCTATGGCAGAGGCAAAGACCCATCGGTGTCGCCGAGGGGTCTGGAGATACCCCACGACAATTGAGCCGGGGAAACAGAGCATATATTGAGCGTGTGAGCGTTGTCCATAGATGTCGCGTGCACGGATAAAGCCCCAGATAAGGTACGGGACGTATCGAAATGGCTTATCACTCCCCCGCTTTTGAACATCGAAACCAACTCATCTCCAACTCTGGAACACAAAGCACCTCATGGCCGGACTTACCGAAGCTCAAGTTGCCTCCTTCAAGGAGAACGGGTACCTCGTCCTCCCCGACTACCTCACCCCAACCGAGGTTTCCGCTCTCCTCGCCGAGACAAACAAACTTCTCGAGGAGTTCCCACTAGAATCCCACCCCCTCACCCAGTTCACAACGGGCGACGAAACCGCCGAGCATGTAGGCGACGACTACTTCTTGGACTCAGGCGATAAGATCCGGTTCTTTTTCGAGCCAGACGCGTTCAGCACCGAGCCGGATCCATTAACCGGCCGCGCCGCGCTACTGAAGCCCAAAAACCGCGCCGTCAACAAGATCGGTCATTCGCTGCATACCTTGTCGCCGCCCTTCAAGGCTATATCACTAAACGAGCGGAACGCTGCTGTGGCGCGGTCTTTGGGCTTCGTCGATCCTCGCGTGCTGCAGAGTATGGTTATCTGCAAGCAGCCCTCGATTGGTGGGGCTGTGCCGTCTCATCGCGATTCGGAGTTTTTGTATACGGATCCGCCTTCTGCCGTTGGCTGGTGGTATGCGCTGCAGGATGCGGGTCCGGCGAATGGGACGCTGGGTATGTACAAGGGGTCGCATACGGGGAGGAAGGGTGGACACATTGCTAGGCGGTTTGTGAGGAGGGAGAGTGGGACAGGTACGGAGTTCGTTGAGAACCGGGGCCCCTCGCTTCCCAAAGGCATGGAGGAGGAGAAGAGCTCGGAGGCTACAGATGAGGATCTGGAGGTTCTTGATATCAAGGCTGGATCGCTTGTGCTCATTCATGGAAATGTTTTGCATAAGAGCGAGAAGAATACCAGCCTGAATAGTCGGTATGCCTATACCTTCCATGTTATCGAGGGCGCAGAGGGGTGGGAGTATGATGCGCGGAATTGGTTGCAGCCCCCTGCTGGTGGGTTCTCGAAGTTGAATACTTGATACACAGAATACGAATGAATGATGTTACGGCCAATAATGGTAAATAGTTCGACTTTTATTCTTTATGCAAATCCTGTACAAAAGATGGCCCGCCAATATACACCGAGTGTGCGAATCCCAGACACCCCGAACTCCAAGTTGCGATTCAAGGCCGTCAGATCAGGTTGCCTTCAACATGTCAAGCATTCCCTTTGTTTGCCACGCTTGTTGGGCCATCTCCACTTCGTCGCGCACGCGGCGGTGCAGACGCTCAACCATCTTGTCGACCTGGGCGGACTGGCCCAGGTTTCCAGAGTAGATATCGAGAAGGTTCATGGCGACCTCGACGCTGAGTTCGACCAGGCGGGGTTCGCGGATGTTCTTGTGAACCCACTGCAGGACGGGCTGGAGGGTGACCTCATCGCGGTCCTTCAGAGAGGCGCGCAGGGCGGAGCGGTGGCGCAGGGCCGTAAGCAGTGTAAGTTGTGCAGTCTTGTCGGCCGAGCTGAGGACTTGGTCCAGCGCAACAGAGTAGCGTGCCTTACGGAGATCGTTCTCCCAAGGCTGCTCTCTCTTCCGCTTCTTGCGGTCCTGGCCCTCAATGACAATCTCCACACCTTCTCCGATGAAATCGCGTCCACGCAGACGCTTTTCCCAACCAGAGCCACGGGCCTTCTTCTTCTTAGCGACTTCCCGGTCATGTTCCTCCAATTTGCCCTCCAGGAGAGCTGCCATTTCCTTGCGACGTTCCCGCTCCTTGATCTTCTGTTGACCAGACAGGCGGGTCTTGATAGACAGAAGACCTGACTGCATACCAACGGCAATGTGCTTATCCTCATATTCGGTACCGGAAGTAATCGCGCGCAGAGAGAGAATGGGCGACGGGTATTTGGATCCGGAGACAGGGTTCCACCCTGTGGTCTCAAAGACCTTCATGTGTCCATCGAGCGCACCACTGAGCAATCGCTCACCATTGGAGGCCAGCGCAAGGGCAGTGACAGTCTTTTGGTGGCTCTGGATCATGTGCAGCGGCTTACCAGCCACGATATCTAGCACCGCAATCTTGTTGTCGGCCGCGGCGAGGACTGTAGTTCCGGCGGGCATGGGCAGAACGGTCTCGATCGCTGCACCCATCTTGAACGTCATAGCGGCACGGTTTCCAACTCGGGGATCCCACAGTCTAACAGTACGATCGTAAGAGCCCGAAACCACCAGACCAGAAGAAGCCATCGAGCCAGGCATGAATGCACCGCTGCGCACATAATCGCTGTGGCCGACAAAGGCGCGCGCACTAGTTTGCGATGGCAAGTCCCACAGCCGCACTGTACGGTCGTCACTAGCTGTGAGAACCGATGTGGGGTCGCTCGGAGAGAACTTGGTCACCCACACGGGCTGCTTGTGGTCCTTCCATGTCTTGAGGATGGCGCGCGACTTGGAATCGAAAACTTGCACAGCACCAGTGTCGTCACCTGTCACCAAGACACGCCCATCTGCTCGAACATCAGTACCGCGCACGGTATCGTCGAACCGTGTCAGTGTCCGCAGGAGTTTCCGTGTGCGAATCGAATAGATCTGGACTCGTGCGCCTGTTGTCACGGTGAAGACATCGGGCGGTTGTGTAAGAGAGGGGAATGCCGCAGCAGAGGAAGGAACGGAAGGTTGAGTGATGAGATTGACCGGTCCGTTGGCCGGTGACGGAATCAAGAGGGGGTTTTTGAATGTCCGCCAGTATTGTTGCTCGGGCGTTAACTGCGTCGAGGGTAATGAGGCGAGCTTGACCTGCTGCAGAGGCAGGACGGGCGCCGCCATGGTTGCAGTGGTGAATAGACAGTAAGTTGTTCAAGGGTATTAATTAGGTAGTCAACCCAGGATGAGCAATGGGGGGAAGGGAAGTTAAGCCGACTAGAGTGCTATCATGAAGTTCATGAAGACCATCTTTTTTCTGCCGATCAAAAAAGTTCGTCTCGCCCAATCGGGAATGGTGGCGGTAGGTGTTAATGCCTGAGACACCAGGCTATAATATTTGGCCTGAGGCCACATTCCAGAAATTAAGCTCTTGGCATATCCACCAGCGTCATTCTTGACTTTACCTGTGCATCAAAGGTATGTGACAGGTTGACGGCCGCTAGAGCCCAGTCTGGACCCCTCATGAGAAGAGTCTAGAGTAAAAATAAATTTACAATAAACCTCTAGGTCGATGCTTCTAGATTTTCGGATTCCACCCATTACAAGTACTCTTCATGAGGATACAAGCACCATGCTCCAGGCCACTCAGCTTTCCTCGACCATCTGCATAATTTCCCGAATTGACAAGTGACATCTGCATCTTCCATTTCGGGTAATCTATTCTGTCCGGAGTATCGATGCTTGGTCTTGTATGTTCACCACCACGGTCAATCAACCTCGAGAGATCTTGCCTCGAGTAAGCCTAACGCTTTCCATCAATTTATCCGCCTAGAGATAAAACTGAAATCTGATGGATATTCGTTGTATGCCGTAGGCTTCCATATTTTAACCATCTTGTCATGGTAATTATAGTAACCCTGGCAGGGATTGATTGCCCCGCGAACCCACTGGAGGCAGTGAGGCAGGCAGCATCATTACCTACCTAGGTACATGTAGGTAATCACCAAAGTATCTGGGCGAGGGAAGTCAGTAAGGGGATGATGTGTGGAGAGCAGGCGAACGAGACAGTCTCATTAATATTGCCAATGTATGACATTCATGCAGTACCACACGAGGCATACCTAAAATCCAACTCACATTATAACCATGAAGATCAGGACTGTGAGTGGTCGCTATGGCAATCAGGTGGGGGCCGAATGGGAGATCCATCGTGATGCAGCTCCCTAACCCTAAAGGTGGGGGAGCCGCGACCTGTGGACGGCTTGACAGCTTATTGAAGCTCCAATACAGCTGAAACTTGATTCAAAAACAGGAATTCGGAGGAAACAGGGATGAAGATCTTGTCTGGACCGCCTAATGGTCGGCAATGCACGCGCTGTCCCACTAGAATGCGCAATATCTGCACATGCAAATCTGCGGTGGCTGGGGATTCCGATCGAGCTGAGGACCCACTGGATGTGGAACCTTACTCAGGTTAGGCAGAGGGCCTGAATGGCATCATGCAATACATTGCAATATATATGAGGAAGTTAATATAGGTTGAAAGTAGAATGAGACAGTGAACTCCGTAGAGATCAAGCCAGTGCTCCCGAGGTCAGTTTGTCGGTTGTTTACTCGGATGATGCAAGGTCTGTGTATCCATGGTATGGTCCAGACACCGCCAGGGGTAACAACCAATCAACTCCCCAGATCTGATACAACCCCAGCCACCTCCAATACCTGCATCGGACATTCCACTGTCTTTTCTCTTTTCTTCTTCCCCTCTCCCACTGCATTGGCTTAATGGTCTTTTCTGTTTATATCCAATATACCCATTAACAACTGGGTTAGCAATGTCGAAGATCTCCAAGGTCAACCATGCGGCGGGCATCTTCGCTGACATCTCCGTCGATGGCCCCGTTATCGGTACCTTGGTCGCTATCATCGACCGAGCCAAGAATCTACCCAACCGGAAGACTATGGGCAAGCAGAATCCCTATGCTGCAGCACGATTAGGCAAGGAGGCAAAGAAAACGCAAACAGATTTGCGAGGAGGACAAACTCCTAGATGGTAAGCTTTTGGCCTGATAGATGTGGGAATCGAAGCTTACTTCTCTAGGGACTCGGAACTCCGATTCACCGTTCATGAATCTCCCGATTACTTCAAACTAAAGGTCTCTGTATTCAATGACGATAAAAAGACAGACTTGATCGGCGAGACCTGGGTCGATTTACAAAACTTGATCATTCCGGGTGGAAGCCAGAATGATCACTGGCACCCACTTCAATACCGTGGGAAATATGCGGGAGAAATCCGAATCGAAATGACCTACTACGACACCAGAGAACAGGACGAGGTCCTAATAGGAGCGCCGACAAGAAGCCGCTGACCGAGTCCAAGGCAAAATTCCCAGTACTCCAAGCAGTAATACGGGCTTGTCTGGTCCGCGGCAATTGAAAGATGTTAAGCGACGACCCTTGCCCAGTGGTCCTCCAGGGGCCCCGGCAAGACCAGCTCCTCTGGAACAAACTCACTCTGCGCCTCCACTTCACCACCCGGCCCCGTCGAGACCCATCATTCCTGAACATTCAAACACCATAGCGACTGCTCCGGACACTGTCTCCCATGCCCCGAGAAATTCGGAGCCTGCTTACGATGCATCATCTTATCGCGCACCTTCTCCTGTCCCGCCCCCATCTCGGGGTGGGTACGACGGTGCCGATAACACTCAAGAATGGGACACCGCAGCTGTTGCCCCTCTCCGCCGACAAATTACTCATGAACTGCCTTATACCTCCAATGAAGTTACTGATAGCACATACGACTCACGTCTACTACAGCAGCACCAGCAGCAACAACTACAGCATCAACAATTGCAGCAAGAACAATTGCAACAACGACTCCAGCAAGAACAGCTACAGCAACAACAGCTGCAGCGAGAACAGCTGCAAAGGGAGCAACTGCAGAGGGAGCAACTGCAACAGCGACTCCAGCAAGAACAGCTCCGGCAAGAGCAACTGCAACGGGAGCAACTGCAGCAAGAACAAGTCCAACCGCGGAATCGCCCCGAGTATGATCAACTACCTTCCAGGGACTATCGCCTCGCCAGGCAAAGCCAGTACGAGGCAGATCCCCGTGAGGAAGTGTCATACCATTCCACACATCACGATCACTACGCTCAAATAGAGCAACCCCGGTATAATCCGGACCCTATGCCACATGGGGCAATGCATGCACATGAGCTACCCGCTTCAGACTTTATGCCTTCCTCTATAGGGCCAGTGGATGATCCCCGGTACCATTCGCACAGAGTTCGACCTCTGCAAATCACAGCTCATGGTCACGACTACCACCCAGAGTACGCCGGAATGCAACCACGAGTAGAAGATGAAGATGATGACGGACCTCCCCCCTCCTCCGCCAGCACACCGGTCACGAAGGTCGCACTCTCAGCTGCCTACCCCGAAGACCTCGCCCCAACCTTATGCACCCTACGCACCCCAACCTACTTCTCGATCATCGGTTCCCCATCTGCCATCGAGTATGTCTACCTCGTCCCACCGCGATCGCTACCAGGAGTCTTCTTCAATGGGAACCTCCCCAGCCATGCCCGCAAGCCTCGTCGCAGGTTATGAACCGCAAGAGTCATCTGAGACAGCAGCACTCGAGCGATCAGTTCCCAGACGCAGCACCCACTGGGACGATGAGATGATGATTTCCCAGCCGCCCGCACCAGTTCCTGTACCAGCACCCGTCCACTACGATGCCCCTGTCTACCCTCTACGAACATCCCCCCGACCTATTGAACAAAGACCCACTTCTAGCAGAGGTGGATCTGTCAGCCCTGATGTGCGGGCTGTGACCCGGAAGTCAGTCAGTCCGCGGCCCTCTTCCTCAGATGTCGGGGGTGGCTCTTCGATCCCTTTCTCACCCGACTCCTACATCTCTCTGAACCCGAATGCCTCTCACCCTCCCAGCCGAGATCCTTCGCCGGCTTACGACACGCCTTCGCAAGCTAGAGATGCCGTGATACGTGGAAAGACTGAACCCCATCGAGACGTGGATCACCCAATCATCGGGGATGATGGTCGTGAAATTGACCCCTCTGACCATCTTCCCACCGATACATGGGCACCCGAACCAGAAAGGAAGAACCGCAAGCCTGAGGTTATTATCCGCTTCAAACACTCGCCTCGGCCAACTTCTCGAGGCAACGATTCTCCCTCATCACGCAGCACAGGCCCGCCACGTGTCGGATTCAGAACGGAGACCACTACCTATCCGTCGGATCGTCCAGTCCAGTACACGCCCACCCATGTGCACGCAAGTCCAGGGGCACTGGTCCGAACCCCGCCTCGGCCAGACTACGCGCGTGAGCGCTCCGACAGCTACACGCGAAATCGGGCGTACAACACACCCACTTCGGTTGAGCGGCCGCGCTCTTCCCGAAGTTCTGTCTCGCCATCTCCAGGGTCTCGTTCGCCGCTGTATGACTACAGCCCAGGTCCTCCGATTCCAAGCAAGGTACCAATCACCGGAGGAAGCCCAAGCTACCCCGTCATGTCTGGCAATCCCACTGGAAACGTTCGCATGGATGCACTGAGTCGAGAGCTGAGTACGATTGACATTGGCTCCTCGGCGTGCAGCCCTGCCCGGGGGGCCGTTCGAAAGTACGTACCAAGACAACCAGCGTCGATGGGCTACGCTAGGTAAAACGATATTCTTTTTACATTTATGGATGACTTAATGTACGCTATGTCTATTTTGGGCCCTCGGTGGCATATTTTCCCGGTTCTTTTCAACTTTTTGTTTTCAGACTGCATTGATCTTGATATCCGGCAAAGATGGCGTTATGGATTTGATTTACGGGGGTAGAGTTTCTGATGATGCACACGTTTCAGGAATAACCAATGATACCTTAAATTGACTCCTTGACTCTCACTAGATGTGTGTTTCTGTAGACTTGAGACTGTGTTTGACAAGTTCATTGATGTAGCTGCTCAGTGGTCTGACAGTAGTCCTCAGTGTTGTCTATATATAGGTCTTCCTGATACCCCGGTTCCTCCAGTACATTTTATTCCACTCTGCTAACTCTGGTTGTCTGCGGTAGTCCGGTTGTCCTTCCCACCATGCGGTCGTATATGGAGATACTGTGCGAGCTAACAACCTCATTACTTTAACACTCTCCTAGAATCTGGTGATCCCTATTGGATTTAAAACGCCCGTATCATGTCTTTGTGCATATAAGGACCACCGTCATACTTAGTACATGGATCGATCATGCAGACTCGGCTGCTACACTCTGTTACCTGGTTACTAGAGAGCACACACGTTGCGCAGCTCACGATGTACATATTGAGATAGTGATATCTAACAAAGGGAAAAAGTGATCTGAACTCGATCAAGGGCAAACATTGTAGGCAATTTCCTGCAAGATTATAAAAGCCCATCCTATTCTGGTCCTGCTCTTCCTCCTCTATCCTATCCTCGCACTGTTTTACTTTCCTTTGCCCAACACGTCAAACTCACACTATCAGACAGCTCGTGCAGCATCAGCAACGAGCTTTGCCATCAAATCTCATCATCAGCTAGGTACGTTCGTCATCAAGGACGTACTTTCCCATCTTCTATTTTCCTCATCTTGTCTCGCACCTTAGCTTCCATCAACCATGCAAGGCCAGGGCCATGACATCCCAGGCCATCAGGCCCACCTCCCTGGGGAGGACTCGGAAAGGTACGTATATTCATCATCATCCCGAGGATCTACTCGGTATTATATGAGTTTGAAGTCTCGCTCGTCCTTTCTCGGTGGCTTGTCGATGTCCTCGTCTTTTGCGTTTGTCGTGGGATCACATTTGCTAACCAATATGGCTTAGGCCGGGCAGCACTGCCCGTGCCAACCAAGATCTTGCGACGTGAGTACACGATATATCCCCTGGCATCATTATTTTCCTAGCATCCAAGCCTACTTTATCTGGTGTCGCACTTTTAGTTTGCGACAGCCTCTTGCTATTCCTTTCCCTTTCTCTTACCTGTCTCTTACTTGTCTCTTATTTGTCAACTATCTACCAACCGTGCTCTGTGATCCAAGCCCCTCTTGACTGTCAACAATATCATGAGTGTGAAAGATTCAGCTAATCGAAATATTAGCCCCAGCAGCTCCCCTCGGACAATCCGACAGGGAAACCCTTCGCTGTCCCTACTTCTCTCTCCACCCCAGACCTCACCATTGATACCGCTGGACGCAATGGATTCCAGCCCTCCGGCTAGTCATCATCAATACAGCCCAGCATATCCACGCGGGCCCCGCCTCACTAGCACAAACGGATCATACCCCGTGTATGACCCTAGCCGAGGAGCGCAGCTGAGAAGTGCTGCGGACCGTGCCAACCCTTACCGGGATCGACTAGAGCGAGTTGATCATGCACGGGGGCAGGATCGGGCTCGGAGCAGGAGTCCTAGGCGCTCGATCCAACCCGCAGGTGTTCCCGAATCCCGAGAAGCGCCAAGGATTCCATTTATGGGATTCAATCAGTATCCTCGGGAGATGTATATCCCACCTGGCATGAACGGCCGAATGCCTCATAATCTGCCTAGCTCCTCCCCGACGCTACCTCCGAACAACGCCCAGCGTGGTGGTCATGCTTCAGACAACCTAGGGGACTCTCCTGGACATACTTACCCTCCCAATGACGGCAACATGTATGGATACCCCAACGACCAGCAACAAGTGCAGGGATGTGACCCGGGACCTGACACACAGCCGGTCGACAAAAAAGAGGATACCAACAAGAACGATGAGGATCACTTGTGTGAATTTGCTGCTCCATGCCGAATGCATCCCTCACCTGATGGAATGCACTACCGGAAGGTTGTCTCACATGTGTTTGGCAGGAACAAAGCTGTCACCAAGCTGTTCCCACTGGGCGTCTGGGTCCATTATTGCCGAAAGCACTACCAGCGTGCCCGGTATCGCGCAGACCAGTGGCCGTTTACGCAGTGTGACCTCCTGCTAGAATCCCTGAACCGAATGGAGAACTGGGATGGAGTAGAGAGTTTCGAACTCATCCTCCGCCGCCGAGAGCAAATGCGAGTCGGACGTGAAATCGAAGGCGCACCCAACACCGACACCTCCAACCAGAACAACACTACTCCTTCTGCCAGCCAGAGCCAAGATCAGGACAACAAGTCCTCGGGCACCGTTACTCGCCCTCCGGGCCGTAAGCATCCAACTGCCATCATCGCCCCGGTCCCAGACTGGCTTCGCCAACACGTCGGTCACGGCAAGACCTTCCAAGAAATTCGGTACATCATCGAACTGGTGCGTAACCACATGGTGAGGCTCCGGAACCAAGAACGAGCGCAGCAGCAGCTCAACCATCTCCCCAAGTCCCCGAGTGCACCAGGAAGTCCTCGTCGAGGTGGTCATTCGAACGGCCGAAGGGGGCGCATCACTAAACCCGCGCACCGCGACCCCCTACGCGTGCGTGCTAGCACGGTTCGTTTCCCCGACGTTGAAATCCTCCCTCATTTCAAGCCTTGGGTTAAGGAGGCTGCTCTACGACAGCGATCTGCCACTAACGGCCCCATGAACGAAACGGATCCGTTTATCAAGGAGTACGAGGCAGAGCAGAGGATCTCCGGAGGGGGCCATGTCATTGGGGAAATCCAGGATACCTGCGACACCAATGCTCGCGCTGAATCGAGTCAGCCGTCAAACGGCGACTTTGCGACTAATCACACCACACCCCGTCTTGATGACCGCTCCGAGTCCCTTTCTACTATTGAGATGACTGGGGCCAACCTCTCGCAGATGCAGCCTCACATTGGCAGGGCTGGGACCAACCGCGGCCAGTCTGAGAGCCAGCGGCGACGCAGCGAACGGGTCTATATCAAGGCCCTCGACCGTGTGCCTACCAAGAGACCCGGCAAGGATGGTGAGCCTGGAAAGGATGGTAACAAGTAGCTTGCCATCAACTTGGCAATCTGCTGCTCATCTGTCTTACCAACCACCGGTCACATAATAACAACGATTGAAAAATGAAATTTCAAAAAGAGAAAAAGGAAAAAAAAGAAAAAAAAAAGGAAAAGCCTATTGACAGATTATGCACTTGCCAGCATGTTCCAGTGACGACCCGAGTTCATCGCAATATCGAATGGACTCATTCACGTGGCTTAGGTATGCCTTGTGGTCAATGAATTCACTTCACGAACAAAAATGTATGAAATCCGAGTCAATTCCAAAAAAAAAAAACCCCAAAAAAAAGCTCAATCATCAGTCTTGAGGGCATACTATCTTCCTCGACTTCACGGGGCTACTATGGGAAGTCTTCATGAAAGAGCAGTTGAAGCCCGACAAAACGTGGAATATGGGGGAAGATGTGTTGCTGTGCATGACCACCTTATGCCAAAAGCCCCCAACCAGAAAGGGAAAGAAAAGTGTCAGATTGATCTCCCGTGACAAGCAATTCTGTTCAAGTTGCAATCTGTGCCTGTGGCCTGTTGGCCTGCGAAAGAAGATATTCATGGCAGTGTTACACCCAGGTTTACATTGCTGGCTATGACTTTGTGAAGACATGGATAGGGATTCGAATGGGGGAAGAGTAAGGGAAAAAAAAGCAGAAAGACCAAAAAAAAGCCCATACGCCATGATACGGAATCCAGCGAGAATTGAAGAGTGGACAAGTCTACCTTCAACAGATATGGATGGACTTTCATAGCAATGTATCAATACAAGTTCAATTCAATTACATTGTAAGACTTGGTAACTGTCCTAATTACTATATATGCACCTACATATGTAGGTAGAATATGAGGGCCATCACTATTTTGCACCAGTTTCAGCCCGGAGAGGGTAGTTGGCGTCGGTTACGAGCTTCCTACGTAGACTATGATATGTCATTTATATCTTGTGTCTTATTAAAGGTTAGGCTCATGTTTATATTCTTTATTTGTATTATGCTCCTTTACGTATACTACTAGCCTCTCGGAAGTTGTACGGTAACCTCTTTACTACTCAAGTGTCTCGATAATCCAAATATATCTCTCCAGTTCCTTCCCAGTTGAGTTTGGTTTTTCCCTGTCTGGCTGGGCGTTCAGGAACCACCTGGGCAGCGTTTTGCAATCTGGTTGGCTGCACTTGTTAGGATCAAGCTCTGATGCACCAGCCTCGTATCATTTCACCAGTTTGTACTCCACTACGGCCCAAGTCACCGCCAACTTCACCGATTCCGAGAGACACCCGCAGCTGGAAATTCCCGGGCTTCCTGTTTATCACGGAAAACTTACAGGCCGAGGTCAAAATGGTTGGGATTCATGGCGAGTACGTGCAAGTCGTACCTCGTTTTGATGGCCTGCCGTACCATTCAGACAAACTCGACCAACTTTCCAATGATCCGGTCCTTGGGATTCTTCAATTTACTTTCAATCCCGAGGTCGACGTCTCTGATGCATCACAGCGTGCATCAATACTCTGGCAGAAGTCTTTACGCTTTGTTTCGACTATCCCTGGTTTTCAAAGTCTCTATTGGTCATCAGTGAGCGATGTCTCGCCGTGTCAGCAGATTATCGTACTGATCCAGTGGGAAAACGTGCTTGGCTGGGGACTATTCCAATCTTCTCTTGGCTTTAGCATGATGCTGGGATATATATCCCAAGCCTCCAACCGTTGCGTCCAACTTGATGTGCCCCTCGACATCCCTGACTCATGTCACCTCGAGCTGGTCTCCTTTCAGTTTCCAGTAGCTCTATCTGTTTCTCAGCTGGACGAGAAAGCTGGCTTCAAAGCTAAATGGGGAAACGCATTTCCTAAACCTGTCAATGGGATTATTCCTAGCTCCGAATTAGCTCACGCCTGTGGGCAATGGCTACAAAGAGATAAAGAATCGGAGGACCAGTTTTTCATTGGCCTGCTCTTTTGGAACTCGACCCCCCAATTTGAGGGTCATCTGCAGCTTCGAGGGGAGGGCAGTCAAAATCTCACAAAACATATAGCAGAGCTGATCGAAGATGCGATGCATGTGGTCTCGGCTTGCACAGGCCAGCTCAATCACGTATCGGGTGATCCTCTGCCAGACTCCGCGCAGTGCCAAATCAAGCATCAGGCTTTCCACGCAGATGTCAAGCCAATATACAGCGCCAAAGAAGATCAAAATGAGTCCGGGAAAGATAAGTATCATGTGGAAAGTATGTCCCAGGCGCGAAGAAAGCCACGGGAACGCATAGCTGCTGGGCCCGCCGGGGCATGGTACATGATGGCACACATCTCTCAGCATCATCTACCCCGTCAAATGAACAGGTCAGAGGTGGATGTCATTCAAATGATTTCTTTCCGTGCTCAGCGTGGAAACACAGAGGTGCAAAGTCAACTTGAAGCACTTCGTGTGAAATTACGGAAACTAGGGGATTGCCCCCCCACTCGCTTGGGGTAAAGAAAATGAAAATGAAGGGGACAGCGACAAATTACTACTTTTCCTTGGTATGTTTGCCTTACCTTATAGGGCAAAAATGAATTATTAGCGGAGCTGACTCTGCTTCTTTGAAGAACTCACGAATACCAAATTATCTAGGCAAGAATGCGAAGCTCGACTGCAAGAATATCTTCATGATTTCTCGGTTGGATGCGGAAATTCTATCCAGGAGCTATCCTACAGAAGAACAGCAGGCCCGCGGAGCCTGGACAGTCTTTCCAATGCGGACATAACCAATTTCCATGTCTCCGTGAATAAGAATGACCGACGTTCATTTGAATATGCCATGAACAATTACAGGCAGTATGTGCATACTTTCAATGACACCTATTGACTCTGTTTTACCCAGTCTCTTTATGATGCTGCTTTACTAACATCAATACCATAGGACTTTGATCCAGCAAGTCATCCAAGGGGGCCAAACTTCTCCATGGTCCGCTTTCATTACCAATTGCGGTGCGTGGGCTCCGGATCAACATTGCGCGCACAGAGACAAGGAACCCGGAACGAAGAAGTTTGTCTCAGTGTTTCGTTGCGAGATGGAAGGGGCAAGAGAAGAGTGGTACGGTGATTTCGCTAAACGATCTCGAACTCAGTATGATCTCCTGGGTCATATCACTGACTGGCTGCGGACGTTATCGACGAGTATTGAGAACCACTATGTCGTCTTCGAAAAGCCAGATCCTTGGATGATCACCGATATGGCGGAAAAGAAGGAGCGTGAGAAGTCAATCCTTCCACCGTCGATTTTCGATATCCCCTGGGCTACTCAAAAAATCCCCTCGCCAGATTTCCAACCTTTCTAGACGAGAGGCGTTTCTTTTGGAAGGTGCTGCACCCTGTCACGACAGTAACAAGCCATAGTGGTGGGAGCAACAGAGTATTTCGGAGGATCGAATGGTCGGATGGTGCATTGGATTCATGTGCAGGTAGCTAAGGGACTAGTCCAAGGAAATCCTTTTAAGGACGCACATTATTGAGGAATGGATGATACCTGGGTGTCTCCATGTAAGTATGTAAATATCACATAGTGTTATACTAGTCTATGTGAGTGACCTCGGGGGTTTAAGGCTATTTCAACATTCGTATATCTCAAAAATCCCATTTCTAGCTTCATCAAGAGACTGCCTAGATACACATTTATGTACTCAGCTAAGTAGCGGAAAGTTAATTGAACGAATATTTGCATGCGAAAGAAGAAAAAAATAAGAAAAAGGATCAAGCACATACTCCGTACAATGTAGATAAAACCCCAAAATACGACTCGCTTGCTGGAAAGACACCGAAATGCAGCAGAAACAGAAAGCTCCTATGCAACCACCCAAGCAATATGAAATAAAAGATTAAGATAAGGTAATTATCATGGTAGTTTGTGTATGAACAAAAGCCAGTCTCGGAGAAAACAGACTGGTCTAGCTTGCCACAGCCAGCTGGGCGACGAGATCAGACGCCACATCAAGGAAGGGGTAAGGGCTGGTCACCTCCTTCTCCTTGTTCTTGAGGCGCTTGCTGATGGGATGCCATTCAGTGTCTCCCTCCGTGCGGATCACGTTCTGGTAGCCATCACATTTAAAGTCAACCATGTAGTTGTTTTCTTCGAGTTGATAAAGCTGAATGTCAAGGAAGACCCAGACACCGTATGTGATTTTCGGGAGTCCGCTTGGAACATTTACCGAGGAGGCCCCGCTCGTGAGACCGCTGTCGGGTACGGAGGACTGGGTGTCTCTGCTCCTGTCTTCTGTTGGGGCAGAGATCCCCGAGATGTTGAAGCGGCGACGCAATTCTTCGAGGTCGCTGCGGCTATTGTAAACACTGGTGGATGCCCCGGGAGCCTTAATGCCTTCTTTCAGCAGGCGTGCACGGATAAACCATGGGTCCTTCGGGATGTAATAGTCGGATGGGAGGTCGGGGTATTTGCTCTGCAAGGGTTTAGGCTTATCAGGGGAGGGAGTCGCATCGGGGCCGATATTGGTGCCTAGAGGATGTAAGAATAAGCTCAAAACCGGCAAGAAGTGGAAACATACCTGATTCCACGGGTTGAATGTCCCACAATCCACCCTGAGCAGCAATTGCCCGGTACAGATACAACATGGCCTCATATGGCTGGTTTCGGGATCGAATACCAAACTGCCATTTGCGACTCCGTTTTGGCTGCTTTTCGAGGGGTTGACCGGTCGGCGGCTCAAATCGCAACTTGTCCAAGTCGACGACACTGCGTGCGTGGGGCTTCAATGCACGGGCTGTGGCGGCCTGTTCTTCGGGAGACATGTCCCGATAGGCAGATCCGTGTCCCTCTGGGTCAAGCTGGGCAGCTTCTTGACGACGCTGCTCGAGCAATTCGTTGCGAGCTCTTTTATCGCGATCTCGTTGTTCCATAAGTTGGTCGTGAACATATGGTAAGCTAGTAGGGAGAATCCGAACGTGGCTAACGCGGGGTTCTTCCCCAGATTCCGATTGTTGCGGATCTTCCGAGGCCCTGCGGTGCGATGCACTAGCGGTCGGGCTCATGGTGGGGGCAGGGGACCCTTGAGGACGAGGTGCCGGAGTTCTATCCGCGGATGAAGGCGCAGCTCCTTTCTGGACATTTTGAGCTAACAAATTATCTTCCGTGGGTGCTGTTATCGTTAGCAGATAGACAAGTCAATTAAGAAATTCAGCTCTTACAGTTGGTTTGCATCATCTCATTCTCAACGACGATGGAGAAGGCATCCTTGATAGCGCTGGGTTCAGGATGTCTCAATGCCTCTTCGATATCCTCTCGGCCATATCCCATGCTTCGTTCGAGCTTAGACACTGCAATTCGATGAATCTTGTTCTGGACTGGTGGAGGCTTCGCCATATCAAGCTTTGCAGAATCAACCTTCTTCGAGTCTGCCCCTGGGGCGATGAACTCCTCACGTGGTGGTTCCAAGTACTGGGGGAGATTTTTGGTGAACCAGGGGTCCAATCTGATCTCAGGGATTGTAATGCGGTGGACGGGGTGAACTTGGAGCATTGCCCGGATCAAACGAGCTGCCCCAGATGAAATATATCCAGGTATGTGGAAGGTGCCCGCGGCGATCTTCTTGAAAAGGGCTGGAATGTAGTCATCATCGAAAGGCAATCGGCCCACCAATAACACATATAGAATAACACCACAACTCCACACATCGACCTCGGGGCCGGCGTAGAGCTTTCCGGAAATGACCTCTGGGGCAGCGTAGTTCGGGCTGCCGCAGCTAGTCTTAAGGAAATTGCCATCCGTCATAATATTACTCAAACCGAAATCCGCAATCTTAACGTTCTTCTGGTTGTCGATGAGCAGGTTCTCGGGCTTCAAGTCACGGTGTACAATCTTGTGTCGATGGCAGTACTCCACAGCACAAATGATTTGCTGGAAGAATTTCCGGGCTTCGTCGTCACCGCACCTTCCCTTCCTCACGAGATAATCGAACAGTTCTCGCTCCGCGTATTCCAGCACCATCACAATATCGGACTTGGTCGCAATCACCGTGTACCTAAAACGTGATTGGTCAGCCAACTGAAACCCCAATTGCATTATGGATCGAAATCGTACAATTTAATGATGTGAGGGTGTCGTAGCAATTGTAAGTACTGGATTTCTCGCTCCACACGCCCAACCATATCCCGGGAGAGTAGTTTGCGTCGTGAGATGATCTTCAGAGCAACTTGACGTCCACTTGGCTGGTGAATAGCAAGTTTTACCTTGCCAAACGAACCCTCGCCTAAAACTCTTATAGTCTGGTACTGGTCGAGGCGTTGCATGTCTCGGGTAGTCGACGGTGACTGCAACGAGTCCTCGGTCTTGCCGGTCGGCTTCGAGGGCGGGGGCATTGCCATGGCGGAAGGGTTGGAGGCGGGCGGCCTCGCACGTTCACGCGGACGATCACGGTCGGAGGGGAGGGGGATAGCGAGGTCTTCCTCGTCGAATGCAGCGGCCATGGTCGGGAAGAATGACAACGTGACGTGATTGATTCTCTAGACGGTTCGGCGGTCCGATGGGGCTGCTGACTGTGCAGACCGTGGCTAGAGTAGTTGGCTTTTTTTTTCCTATTTTTCTCTCAAAACATTTGCCCAGGCGCCAATCAGTTGATCAGTCTCGACCCTCCCCACAACAGAACCGAAGGTGGAGCTGGACAGCTGTTTGTCGGTGGGGGGATGGAGGGGTAAATTTTGGTAGGGGATTTGGAATAAGTGAAGAAACCAAAACTGGAGGTTGGAGGGTGATCATCAATGATAAATGGGAAGACGAAGATTCTGGGAAGGCCAAGATTTTCAATCAACCCGAGGCCTTTGGGGGGACATCGTGGAGGAGTTCTAGACCTTACCTAAGCTAAGTTCTTCCTCCACGGGGCACGGCACATCACCATGGATGAACCAGAATCAGAGCTTGGTATCACAGATAATATACCATATAAGAGTCCATATATCAATACATGTATGCATATTACTTTTCAATTAGTGTAATATGGACCTTCACTTCGACATCCTATATCAGCCAGACTTTGTCAATATGGCAGAATATCAGTTTTATATCAACGTTGAATTTATAGCCCTAAACGCAGTGCATCTTATCCCAGATCAACGGTTGGCCCGTGTTTATGAATTAGTCGACTATAGCCAGAGCTAGCAAATAAATTTTGTTTTCTGTTTTTGTCTTTTTTTTTTAAAAAAAAAAGAATTTTTGCCGAAGCTCCGAGAAAAGCTGTGTCATACGTAGTGGGTCAAGACCCGTAATGACTGTGGCGTCAAGTCCATTGATCGAGATGGTTCATTTTTTCACATGGCTAAGATATATAATAATGCATTCTGCTTTCTGGAATCCTTAGCCGACTAAATATGTAGCAGTATGTACCGGATTTTAGGCCGGTGCAAATTTCCCGATGAGGTAGCCCTTTATGAGGGCCCTTTGGCCTGCTCACTGAGTAGCTCACTATCAGTTGGACCTCCGAAATATTGGGCTATACCTAGGTACCTTCATCTTACCCTGTATACCGCCTGCCCGTTATATAGTGTCATAAATACCGCCTCCCTTTTTGAACATACTACCACCCACAAGAATATAGTCGGCCGCTTATCCAGCCGTAGTCATCTTAATGGTTTCTCAGGTAGTCTTCTCCAGTAGTCTTCTTGAATGTCTTTTTAGTGGTCTTTTTTTAGTAGCCTCCTTAGGTACATACCTTTGACTGCTAACCGTTACTGTTGAATCACGTGCCTACACGCTAACTATATTAGGAGTTTTAGACTGGCAGAAATGGCAGAATTTGGAGGGCGGTATATTTGGTATAAAGGTTTAGCCCAATATTTTGGAGGTCCCACTGTACCTCTGTACCTCTGTACCTACCTTGCATGATTTGTGCATGAACTAATTGTTCCATTTGAAGATACAGGGCCAACTCTGGCGCCTCGGAGTATCGGGACGCACCGAAGACACCGCGCCCATCATCACTAGGTGGCCAGATTTCTGTAGTTTATATACAATAGAGCAGGTTGATATATGAGCTTATAGGAATTTACTACTCATTGCTACTCCCACCCATTCCCTTCCCCCAGGTAAAACTCCACGTCTCCATCCTCATCATCCACAATATCCGACAAAGGCTCGCCTTCAAACCAAGTCACCGCAATCTGCGCCGCCCCCGTGGCCCGCTCACGCACCCTAACCGGAAGGATCTCCCCCCGGTGATTCACCGCCAGGCCCAGCACCCAACCCTCCTCACAGGCCTTCCGATCTGCAACAAGAACCAGCGCCTTCTGTGCCCGATCACTCTCCGCCAGCTCCTTAGCCCGCTCCTCCCCCTCAAAATGCCGCCAGTCTCCATCCGACATCCCCTCAAACAGCTCAGGGCAGTGCATCAGCGCCGCAAGTAGATAACCCGGTACGGAACCCGGACGGCCTGTCGCAACGCCTTCAATTACATCCTGGTTCCGCTGGGCATCTGCTGTTAGTTCCTCCCGATCCTCGAAGACGAACTCGGGGATACAGAAAACGTGGTTATTCTCGCGGCCCTGCTGTAGGACTTCCTTCCGGAGTCGGGCGTACGCCGTGTCTGCGACTTCTTGGCTTGTTTTATCTGTAGGATCGCCGAACCAGGTCCGGATCCATAGGACTGTCGAGAGCAGGCTGCTGATTGCGCGGTCTTCCTCTGAGAGGAGGTCTTGCGGTACCCCCTCTGGAACATGATCGATGATTGGGTCATTGAACATGGCGAGGGCCCAGTCCTGGGAGTTTGGTCAGTGGGTGGTGATCATTGAATGAATGGGTTGGTGGGTAGATAGATACGTTTCGCCCGTATTTTCCTAGCGCGATCCATTTCTCAACAAGGATATTTTTTTGCTCGTTTTTAGAGAGCGGGGAGGTCGTGTCCCAGCTTGCCTAGGCAAATAGAGAGCTTAGCATGGACTTGCTCTCGCAGATATATATTGAGGAACAGGGGACGCTTACTACGACGAAATGGTCGAATGGGAGGTATCCGAATTCGGGGAGGGAGGTCGAGGCCTTCTCTCATTGTTATTATTCTTAGTGGTAGCGGTGGGAGTGGATGACATCGCGGCAATTGGGGGGGATAGGGGGTATGGCTGAGTTATATACCACACCCAGGTGTACTTCCAAGATTATATACCTTGTCAGAACTAAAAGTTCCCCACCTTTTCCACTTAGCTCTAGTGCCACTTGGCTCTAGTACGGAGAAACCCCTATCGAACTGGGATATAGCCCTACCTAGGTAGGCCCTAAACAGGAACCTTGGTTTTTGTTATGGTCTAGTGGAATAAAGCCGTATTTTATTCCATCATATTCGTTAATAATACATTAAAAAAGCCATTCGCAAGATGGTTGCGATTCCATCCACTAGTCCGTCACGAAAACCCATCAGTAATCGCGTAACTCCATATCTCATAGCAATGCGTTTAGTCCCCAGTTGACAGACAATATCCCATCTATTGGTCCGGCGCAAAAACCTATCAGCAAGCGGGCAAGTTCATATCTCATATCAGTGTGTTGATCCCGATATGTCGAGACACTGTGCGCTGGGCGAAAGCAAGGACGGGATCTCAACCGCTGCCTTACTGGACTTCTTCACAAATCCTTTGCAGCATCTGTTGCGTAATGACGATGTCTGCTTGTCCAGTTGGTCGGTCTTCCCGCATAAGCAGCTCATAGTCTAGGTTAATATCCAGGCCCGGACCCTTGACTAGTGTGACTGCACCCCCTGTGACTCGGAGTGCTTGCGTAATTTTTATTTCTGTACGCGGTTTGAACAACTTAGGATGGTCTGGGCCAGGAGTGGCGCTCTGGCTTATAGGTAGGCCCGGTCGTGTACCGCCAGGCGCTGACCACAGTTCAACATCCACCCAATAAGGCTTCTTGTGGATCACGAAAATAGTAAAACCAATCGAGTGTTGTTGTTAGAGTTTCGAAACCACCATTCGGCATCCCTCCGGAGAGCACGGTGCGATTGACACATCCCGACTTCAACGACAAAGGATGGCCAACGGGGGACAACTGTAGGAGAATACGGGAATGGGACTATACTAAAATCCGGTTGCTTTCCGCAGCAGAACCCCTTGCACTGTGCAGCGCCAGTCGCTTTCCAGCCACGCCATGTGGCAAACTCGCGCGAGTCATTGCGGCCCCGAAGAAAATTGCAAAATCCGCAACAACGCTGCCGTGCTGTCGGCTAGGCATGATCCTAAGTAGTATGTCGTGATCGTCGACAGTGAGTCGCGCTCCGCCGATTTTATCATTCAGAAGGTAATCGCGTAGGTCATCGCTCACGTCAATAATCAAAAGATACTGAGTTGTTTCCGGATGCGTGTCGAGCTTGCTTGCGATCCGTCTAATCTCCCTGAGGGTTTGCCGCTTTGTTGGGCGAGTCAAACGCTCAGCTTCATCAGGAACACGGAAGTCCGATTTTGTAGGTTGATCGACATGCGAATCAGGTTCGGGTGTTGGCATCGTACCTTCTTTCCCACGCAAAGATATTCCAGTAACCCCGATAGCGACGATAGCAGTCGCGGCAAGACAATATGTATATTCAAGGAGAGCAACGGATAAGATGAGAAGATTGTGAGGTTGCATAGGGATTTTATGGAGGTACAAACAATAGAAACAGCTGTCGCGTTGAAACGATGACGCTACGTTTCACCGCTTTTGTATAGTCGCTCGGAAGTCTATTCGTGTCCGTTACTAAAAACCGTCCATCGCGTCAACTGGTGGAGATATCGATGGTTGCTCGTGGTACGACCATATGCATACCCCATGCATCTCCCGAGGTCTTCGTGTTTGCCGGGCGAACGCAGGTGATTACCAAGTATTATCCCAGATCAAAGCTATCCATGGATGACTAGTACTCCGTACACTATACCTAGCTAGGTCGAGCTAGCAAATAAAGCTTTTTGTTCTTTTTTTAAAGAATTTTTGCCGAAGCTCCGAGAAAAGCTGTGTGATACGCAGTGGGTCAACAAGACCCTTAAATGACTGTGGCTGAAAGTCAATTGATCGAGATTGTTCATTATTTTCACATGGCTAGGAAATATAATAATGCGTTCTGCTCAATTCCTTTGAATCCTCAGCCGACTACTTATCTCGAGACTGTAGATATAACAGGCTATATGCTCCAAATGCTTTAGTACAAATCCAGCCGGGCTATGCAACACAGCCTCTGAACCTTGAGCACTTCGGAAAAGATATATTTTTCTACAACAAACTCCATACTACATTGAGAGTGGAGCCTTCGGAAATAATGTACATCATTCAACATTAAACAAGAATTTATACGAAGTACTATAAAGAGACCAAGGCATGTCGAGGTGGAATTTTCTTCCACTAAAAGAGACTTTGTGGGTACATAGATCTCCATAGTAAATCGTATGGCTTGCGAAGTACCCCAGGGGTATGTGCGTTGAGTCATACTGCGGCTTAGAGCGATCAAGCGGGGTGTCGGGGTCCCAAAGCGGATTAGCGTCAAGTCGGGGACCCCGAAGAGGAATGGCGGACTAACACGACACGAGCATACATTAGATCAAGGCTGCCTCAGGTCTTGGGTTCTTTACCTTCCCCGGAAGCCACAGCTATTGTCCTTTCTTCTTCACCTCGATACCTTAGTCTCCGAGTCCTCCTGCCTCAGGATTCTCTTGGCCTGACCAAACGGCCCCCATTCTCTCTCTTTGACTTGTGTTCCTCATTTTTTCCTCTTCTCATACAAAATAGATACCCTTAGTGATACCCACTCTACGTTTTCTTTTCCAATGGCTTTTGTTGCGGACGAATTCTTCCCTGCAATGGATGTGACAACCTCCAATGAATGGGTTGACTTTGATCAATTCCTCGATCTCCCTACAGGCTACGACGACCAGTCGACTGCCACCACCGTCTCACCTCAGGACCTAGCTCTGCCTTATGAGACGGATGGGATCTTTACCTCTCCATCTGATTGCATGCAATCCTCGTTCGATATGACTAGCTATGACCTCCCACAAGAAGACTTCATGGGAATGGATGGAGGGTTCATGCAGGACCCGGCTGCTCCTTTGTTTGATGACGCTGCGTTCTTGGGGTACAACCCATACGACAGCACCAACACGTTCCGGAACCTGGTTGAGGCGCAGGCCGCCGCTGATCCGCGCGTCGCTACCATCAAGGAGAAGCGCCGCGAGGCAGCCATTGCGCTGCACCTGCAGCGCCTTTGTGATGCCACTGCTCTCGACTTGGATATGTCCTCGGACTCCAACACCAGCTTCTCATCACCAAGCTGGTCAGAATACGTTCGCGGGAGCAGCTCTCCGCGCCCTAGCCCAGAGAACACATCTGTTTCCGAGGCACCCCCTCCTGGAGGCATGGAGATGGTTCTCGACTTGAACATGAACGCCGCTGCCAATGTGCCTAAGAAGCAGAAGCCTCGCTCTCAGGCACAGAAGGAGAACTACATCAAGGCTCGGAAGTACGGTGCTTGTGAGAAGCACAAGAAGCAGCACAAGCGAGTAAGTTTTCCATTCACATTGAACATTTGATCATGCTGACCTTCGAGTAGTGCAATTGCCTGGAGAAGGCTGCTGCTCGTGTCACTGCCAACGATGTTCCGATGAATGCCGCACTGCAGGACAGGCCGAGGCGACCGATGCTCCAAGTGCCGATTCCAGAGGCGCGCTACTCGGACTCGCCGGGTCACGACACATCGTCCAACTCACCTCAAACGCTTCCAACCATCAAGGTAACCAGGAAACTACCAAGCAGCTCATCTGGAATCGAGCCATCCGCGGGACTGCCTGTTGCGGTTCCAGCCGCCAAGCAAATTGTCAGGACGAAAGCTCAAAAGAGTGCGCCGCCGGGACACGACATTATTTTGCTCTCTGGCAGGCCAGATTCCAAGTGCACGTCGAGCCAAGACAGCGTTCTACCATCGAGCAGAAACACCGCGAAAGGTCAGTCTCCTGGACACGACACACTCCTATCTGGCAAGAACATCGTCGCAAACAACTCATCCCCGGGACACGAGAGACTCCTTACCCGAGGGAGGACCTCAAAGAACGCAGGAAGTGGACAACCCCACGACCCCTGCAGTTCAAGTGCACCTCGGCCGGTTCACGCAGCTGGGCTGCCAGGTGGCAGCTCCAGCTTGCGCTGGCGCGTTTCGACCTCGTCAGTTGGTGTTGTATGTTCGGAGAAGACTGATGTCAAGACAAAATCCTCGGCGAATCATGCAACTGCTGGCGTGGGTCACACTCCAGGTCTCGACGTACACCGAACGAGACCCACTCGCACGATGGAAAGGACTGCGGTGCCAGGTACTGTTGCTGGCAATCTTGGGATGCGCCATTCCGCATCGCTCGTACACAATTCCGGAATCCAAGTGCCTGGACCGGATCACAGGAGAGTTTCAGAGGGGCTTGCCAAGCAACTCGCAATACTCTCTGGCTTGCAGTCTGTGCCGAAGGATCTACTGGTCTCGCCGGCTCGGCGTGGATCGCCAGATCTCTTTGGAAACGGATCACCGGATAACCTCGAGTGTCGGCCACTGCTCATTAGTACGAGTGGTCTCTTCGCTCGGCCTGTTGCTGAAAATGTTGGCTGCCTGCTTTCCAGCACTGCCGTGGCATTTGCTGGTGCCTGGCAATCATCGCTGTCTCTGGCCTCTGGGGTTGAGGGCATGGTCTACAAATGTCTGTCTCTGTTTGGCCGACAGGTTTGGTCTGCGAAGAAGCGCTCATATCTGGGCGGGCTTCGGAAAGCTTGGTTCGTATGACTGACCCGCTGGTGTTGGATGAACTCGATCGAGCTCGGCACTGGATGAATCAGCTCTTATAATTGGTCGAGCTGGCTTGAACTATACTTAATTGCGAAGGGCATGCAGGTGTGACATACATTTGATACTGCAGTGAACCCTAATGGCGAAATGGCGAATTTATTTGCATTTAATATCCTCCAAACGCTGTATCTTCAGAATAATAACCTATGTGGAAGACGCAAGTGCAACTGTATGTAGTTCAACAGCAGCAACCAAATTTGCGAAGATATGTACAGATGCCTTCATAAAAACCGAAGGTATGGTAATACGCACATAGATAGCTGGGCTTGCATTCATACGCATTCAAAAGTAGTTCAGAATCTTGCATGTCCAATGATTATATCGAGGCTATTTCTATGTGACCTTCAAGCTGGATCTTCTGAAAATGAGGTAAATAGCGAACAATTCTGATATTTCAGGTTGCATCTTTTGTCCCCACCACCTCAGCCCTAAATCTCCCTAATCCCGCCCCCTTTTTCCTTATTCTCCTACGGTTGAAACCGTCACTCGTACTTCGCTTCTCAAAACTATGACCTCTCCGCCCCTTTTACGCTTCACTACAGTGACTGGATATTTCCTCCAGGATGACCCCTCCACTGACCCCGACACCTTCGACTACGTAAGATACCCCAGTATCATTGCTAAAAATACCAAACCAGCGTCTGATAATATGTAAAGGCTGAATCAAACTTCGGACTCATCGAAAAACACTACGATGAACACCCCGGAGTGGAACAGATTGACAGCCAATGGCGGCGTTTCGACGCCCACATTCAACGCCTGAACGCGGACAACAATAAAAAGCTCAAAGTCCTCTTTCTCGGACGCCATGGCGAGGGCGTCCACAACGTCGCCGAACGCAAGTACGGCACCAAGAAGTGGGATGTAAGTGACTGAGCATTTTCTCCATGAACCAGACGCTAACTAGACCCCTAGGATTACTGGTCTCTGCAAGACGGAGACGAGGACGGCAACTGGGTCGATGCCCGTCTTACTGAACAGGGCAGATGCCAGGCCCAAGTCGCACATGCAGCTTGGGAGCAGCAGATCGAGGCTGGCATCCCCTCACCCGAGTCCTACTACGTGAGCCCCCCTGAACCGGTGTCTTGAAACGGCGCAGATTACCTTCCAGGGACTTCCGATCCCCGGTACGTATCCTTTTAAGCCGATCGTTAAAGAGGTGTGTTTGATTTCTACTACAAAAATCTACATACAATAACTAACCAGACTAGCTCCTTCGTGAGACAATGGGTCAGCACACCTGTGACCGTCGCTCAGCGGCTTCGGAAATCGCAGAAGAGTATCCGGAGTACAGGTTTGAGGCAGGATTTTCCGAGGAAGACAAGTTGTGGGATCCTGAGGTCCGCGAGTCGAACGAGCATCGCAATGATCGGCTTCGCGGGTTTTTGGAAGATATATTTGCCCACGATGAGAGTACGTACATTTCGTTAACGGCTCACTCTGGCGCCATCACTAGCATTCTGGAAGTTTTGGGCCATCGTTGCTTTGCCTTGGCGACTGGCGCAGTGATCCCTGTGCTCGTTTTGGTGGAAAAGGGGGCCCGGCGCAGCCAGAGTCGCAGTCATCGTAGTGCTTGCATGATTCGGAACTCAATTTCGATGATTGCAACAAGTTTATAACTGACACAGCTGCGGGGTTTGGGTAAATTTTAAGAGGAGAACGGCTGGTCCCAATGGTTTGATATCCAAGAAATTGATTCAGTATTGTACATGAGTCGCTCTTATCGAAGAAAGATTAGAGCAACTTCCCACAAATGCAATTGTCGCCTCCAATCGGCTAATGAAAAACCACTGTCCACGCGAAAGATCTAGATATAAATAATACAAACGCCAAAGCATCGATCACCAGCTGTAGTACTGGTTCTGCGCAGAGATCTTGCGATCCGGCAGTTGTGTCCAAAGCTGAGACCGGCGCTCCCGCTGGGCTTTGGCCTCACGGTCTTCCCACTCGCGAATACGGGTCTTCTCTTCCTTCAACAGGACCGAAAGACTTGTGGTAGGGGGACGCATGCGGTTGATCTGACCACGGGCACGGTGATCCATCTCATATCCATAGGGACCACGGTTGACCCAAGCCTGCTGAATGTAGATGTCGGTGGGGTTGGCAATCTTCTGCCGCTCGCCAGTTTTGAGAGTGACGGTAATGGGTTTCGATGGTTCGGAGTTCGCGGCCCCAAGGCCCATGCCGGCACGGACAATGGCGACGTTCTTTGCGTGTTCCAGATGTTCCAGCACGTCCTTGGCGGCCTTTTTGTTGCTGAAGCGCATCTGCAGGATGGCTTCATCGATATTCTTGCCGGCGATTTGGCGGGCCAGAGGACCCAGCTTCTTCAGCGAAGTCTTGATCCAGTGGGATTTGGAAAGCGATTCGCGCTCTGTGCGCTTAATTTGCACCTTTGCCGGTACGCGGCCTCGTTTCCGGATCTCGCGGACAGCCATCTTCCTCTCCCATCGCAGCTGGGCCTTGGGGTCGGGACCCAGTCCCACTTGCAGGCGACTCAAGTCGCGGTCCTCCAGCTTTCCGGAGATTATTTCTTTTTCTTGTTCCCCCGTTTTCCGGGACGGCATGGGACCGGATGTTGGTGCGGTGAAGTCGGATCCGAAGATGGAGGATCCTAAATCACCTTCTTCCTTCTTAGGGGCCGAGGGTCGGTGGGCGACCTTGGGTTTTTGGCTGTCTCCTCCCGTGAACATGCTCTTCAAGGAAGAGAACAAACCGGTTGACTTTTTGCTTTCACCATCGTTCAAAGCGTAACGGACGGCTGTCGAGGTCAATGTTCGGCGAGGGACGAAGGAGACGGTCCGGGCAGCTAAAGGCGGGCAATAAGTCAGTAGAGAGACCAAGCATAAGATATATGAATATAACATACCTGTCCGGACCAATTGCCCTGAGCGATAGAGCATTGTGGCTGTTGGGATGTTGTTGTCAAAAGTTCACGTCGGGAAAAAAGGTGAAAGTTCACCTGCACTTGTGGTCTGTGCGGGACACCGGAGCCTGAGGCACCTTGAAGTTGATCGATCAATAGCTTCAAGAGATGCGACTTGCGACTGCACGAGTCGATAGAGCAGGAACAAATTTATCTACAGATAGAGATGATCTCGCATATTTGATGATCATATTCGCATCTCGTTCTCGCGACATTATTGTTTCCTCTACTCAACCATCTCCACAGTATCCACTAGCCCTCATCTTTCCCTCTTTCAGTTCTTCTCTCTCTTTTTCGTCTTCCTCCATCCCTCCCTTCCCTTCCCAGGCCACCAGCCTGTTGTTTCTATCCTTTCAAATACCTGAGATCTCTGAGATTTCAGCTTGCTCTCTCGATTAAGGGCTCTCGTTCCTTCCAGGCATTCCTTTAGATTCTTAGCCACCCGCCAGAAACAGCTGCGCAAGTGTAAATCTACGTCATTTGCAGGAACAACAACGAGGGGGGATCTGGATACGACCGGCCGATGCAGGAATGGACGTGTTGAGGTACATCAAGACTGTCGTATGATCTGGATCTCTGCTTGAAAAGCACCTGGGCATCCATTACGACATTCCCGGTATCCCATCGTCTTCCCAAAGCTGCATCCAAATATGGACATCAATTCGCTTCTTTCACCGGACTCGAATCCCAAGTCTGGAAATTCAACGCCCGTGTCTGGTCCTACGTCGAACAACGCACCGGCCACCTCTGCCGGACCCTCCCCCACAAAGCTATTGAGAGAACTCGGACAGGTTCTAGACGAAAGGGCAAGACATCTTCACCTCTCGCACAGCAAGTGTACGCGCCCACTGGAGAATCTTCGCCAGGACCCAGCGGGGGAAATGGGACTTCGCCGACTGAAGTACCCTCAAGACAACCATCCACGCCGGGAATGGACACTTTGGCGGATCTCGCCTCGATGCAGCACCACCAGCCACAACGTCCAACACCTACGAGCATGCTTCGGAGTACTGAAACCTATGAGCACCAGCTGTCTCCATCTACCATCCACCCACACGTCAATTCTATAACCCACAACACCCCTACCTCACGGATGTCGTTCGAGATCGCCATGTCGGATGGGCGCGACGGGCCCGCGAAGAGGACCTACGCCTCAACTTCGCTTGACCCGGATGCGCAACGATTGGCGACCGAACTTTTCCATCAAATCTCGCTCAACCCCCACACGCATGACGCGCACGTGCAATTTATCGGATTGCTGCATGCAGGATTTGTCAACCACGTCTACCCCACCGAATAACCCAGATGTCCACGGTGACCCGCGACGCTACGATCTGCTCAACGATTTGAAAACAGCACGTGAAGAAATGGACAAACTTTTCGCCATGGGAGAAGATCTTTGGGCCGAATGGATCCAGGATGAGAGTATGTTAGCTCAAGATGTTGACGGTCGCATCGCTGTTCTCGAACTCTGCCAGCGATCCGTCGAAGAGGAGTTTGGCAGCACTAAACTGTGGAATATCTACGGCGAATGGGTTCTTTATCTCTACAATTCCGCTCATGGCGAATCCAGTTCTCTCCAGTGGACCGAAGAGGATCGCATGGTTGGGCGCGAGGTGTTCACATGGGATTCGGTCGTGGAGGTGTGGCAGCGAGGCGCAGATGCTACCAAATGGAGGATCAACAACAGCCACTTGGTCTGGGATCGTCTTTTGGACCTCTATGCTGAGGACATTGCTCGCGCACCCTCGCAAGAAAAGATCAACCATCTCCATGGACTTTATGGCCATCGTCTGCAAACTCCCCACGCCACCTGGGATCAGACCTTCCAAAAGTTTTCGAGCTTCATTTCAACTTATTGCAACAGCAAGTATGAGGACATCATGTCTGAAACTGTTGCCCGCGCAGCTGAACCAAAGGCTCTCTACAACGCACGAGAGGAGTTCGAACACCGCCTGGCGAAAGCGCAAGAGTCTGGCGATCGTACACTCGAATGGACAGTCTACTCCGAGTACATTGATTGGGAATTGACGCGCAACCGCCGGAAACGAGGGGAGTTCAACTTCGAGTTGGTGAATGCCATCTATCAGCGCGCCGTTCTTCACTTTCCCACCGATGTGTCGCTTTGGGAAGACTACGTCATGTTTTTGATCGGCGAATCTCTTCATCGCCGCGCCTCGACCACGACAATCTCTACCTTAGACCGTGCCACGCGTCATTGTCCATGGTCTGGAAACCTATGGTCCCAGTATCTGCTAAGCTCGGAAAGAGAGAACCAGTCATTCAACAAGATTTCGAGTATCAAGCACAAGGCGACTAGCACTGGACTGCTTGATGCTGGTGGTTTGGAGGAAGTCTTGAAGGTCCACGTCACCTGGTGCAGTTACCTTCGCCGGCGAGCCTTCTTGTCTGACTCGACCGACGAAGATCTTGATGTCGCAGAGGTTGGCATCCGCTCGGCAATTGAAAGTGTGCAAGAACTGGGCGAAAAGAAGTACGGCCCGGCGTACCAGGGCGATCCTCTTTTCCGCCTGGAGCGAATTTACATCCGCTTCCTCAGCGAAAGCGGCAGCTGGGACAGCGCACGAGAGACCTTCAAGGGCTTAGTAGCTCGCCGCGGCAGCAGCTATGAATTCTGGCTCGCCTACTACGAATGGGAGCTGATTTGCTGGAGCAAATTTGTGCAAGGCGAGGCAACAGTGGACGCAGCGCGCCGAACCCCTAACCCATGCTTTGCTACTGCCGTGCTTAAACAAGCGATCAAGAGAACAGATCTGGACTGGCCCGAGAAGATTGTTCAGACTTACGTCACACACTGCGAGGACTACGAGGACTCAGATGAGCTCCAGTTGGCCGTGATTGAAACTCGGAAAGCAATGCGAGCTGTCACTGCCCGGAGAGAGAGAAGCGCAGGAGGCAGCCGCAGCCCAGCAGCAGCAGCAGCAGCAACAGCAGCAACAGCAATGGGAGGCCGCAGTGGAGGCAGTCCCCTCGCCCGAAAAGAGGAAACGCGAGGACGAAAAGGACGAGATGCCAGAAACCAAAAAGGTCCGCAACGAAGAGACGCCGGCGGAGGTGGCGGAGGTCCCCGCTCCTCCTCGCGGGATCGAGAGAATGCAACCGTTGTCGTCACCAATCTGCCCAAAGGTACCACTGAGCATCAAGTTCGCCAATTCTTCCGTCATGTAAGTGTCTCATTCCTATTACTATCGGGATGATTTAGCTGACCAAAACAGGTCGGCACCGTCAATACTGTCAAAATGCTCCGTAGAGACGAGAAGAATTCTGAGGTTGCGGTCATCGAGTTCGAAACCAAGGAAGAGGCTCTTTCCGCTCTCACTCGTGACCAAAAGCGCTTCAATAACACTGATAACATCATCGACGTGAAGATTGGGGCACAGACAACAGTTTGGATCACCAATTACCCGCCGACTGCGGATGAGGACTACCTCCGCAACCTTTTCAACAAAGTAAGTGCCTCACCCTAAACTTTGTGACATTGCTGACTTTTAGCAGTATGGCGAAGTAGTCGAGGTTAGAATGCCGTCTCTCAAGTTTGACACTTCTAGACGCTTCTGCTACTTGCAGTTTGATACCTCCAGTGCTGCCCACCATGCGACCGAGCTTCATGGAATGCGGTTCGAAGATGGTACGAGGCTCAGTGTTAAGATTTCCGATCCGGGACAAAAAACAGCCCGCAGTGGTCCCAGATATGAAGGACGAGAAATTTATGTTTCAAACATCGCCTGGGACGCCGGTGAAAAGGATCTGAAAGAACTATTCTCCAAATTCGGCGAAATCGAAAAGGTTTTGATTGAGCGAAAGATTAACGGTGGTAGTAAAGGGTTTGGCTTTGTTACTTTCTCTACCAAGGATGCTGCCAATGACGCCGTCGCAATGAATGACCATGTGTTCAGGTCTCGTCCTCTACATGTTGAAATTGCTACCACCAACACTCGACGTGGAAACCAAGTCGTCATCTCGCGAGTTGCTTCACGCCCGGCGGACTACGGTGTTCGTGAACTTGAAGTGCCGGTTGGTGATCATGCACAGCGCACACTTGCCCTGATGAACGTTCCCGATACCGTCAATCAAGCCCGCATCCGTACCCTTGTCGAACCATATGGGCGTTTAGTCGCGATCAATTTGCGCCCAGAACATCAAGGTGCTATTGTGGAATATGTCGATATCCACGATGCCGGCAAGGCTTCTTTGGCGCTCGAAGGGAAGGAGATCGCTCCTGGACGCCCTCTCCATATCGGCACAGTTCGAGAGATGATGAGTTTGCAACCGGAAGTCAAAAGAGACCGGGGGCAACCCGTCAAGCACGAAAACAAAACGAAGAAGACGAACCTACAACCTACTGCGCCGATTAGACGCCCGCAGCAGCCTGGTGCTCGAAGGGGTGGTCTTGGGATGAAACGACACACGGCATCTTCTGATCAGAAACAATCTGCCGCTAATCCGGCCAGTGACAAAATGGACACGACGCCCGACGGCGAGAGCAAACCGAAAAAGAGCAACGATGATTTCCGCGCCATGCTCCAACAAAAGCGTCCGGAATGAAGTGCAAGTGCAATGACTGACAATTCCTGGCGCAATTCCTTTTTATTTTACGGCATGTATTCGGCTGGCGTTTTTTTATTTTCCGGTGGTCATCTTGATGCTTCCTTTAGATCCGCATGTATTCATTCGGGTCGGTCTTTTGCATCATGATCTCTTTTGTTTATGGCACATGCCGTCGTGTACATTATGACTGTATCTTGCTCTTAGTTCTAATGATGATGTCTGTTCCGAAGGGCTGTCTCCGAGACAATTGCCCCCGATGACTTGAAAGTTCTGCCCTGGTGATCTATATCGTAGAATATTGGTAATTAAACTTCACTATAGAATCTGTTGCCCATGTCATATTTGCTGTACTTCTATACATTGTCAATGCAGCATGGAGGTGTATGATTGGACTAGATGTCACGATAGTGCAGAACGCATTGACGTCAATCGGCTTGGCCTACTTGGCTAACTTGGCCTTGAATGCCTGCGGGGAAATACAAAAAACAACTTTGCTCCTCTCGGAGGGGTTGCACAAGAGCGATTTATTGCGACCAAGTATAACTTGTTATCTGCGTTAAACCTTTGAACAGTTCCCTAAACTGCCTGAAGTACACCTTGGGGGCCGCGTGATCGGTCTCTTCTATCTCTTATCCGACCCGATTAGCCCGTCCAGTACATCCATCCCTTCACTTGTCTTTTCTATTCTCCACGTCTTGGAGTCTATTGAGATTTCTCATAATTTTGCTCTACACTCAATGTGTAGAGCTGCCACCAAATATAGTTCACATTCTACACCATCGCATCCCCCGCAGCGATGGACTTCCACCTAGTGCCTCGCGGTACCGATCGGAACTACACAGGGTTCCTCACCAAGACGATAGTCTACGTCGCGACGTTGGTGATATTCCTGGCCTGTACGCATCTCTCAGCTCTCAGCGACCAGCTAGAAATCCTAAATTACTAACAAAACCCCCCAGCATTTGGCTTGACGGTATCATCGATCGTCATTCCAAAATGGGTCAGCTACCATAGCGAAAAGGTACGACTTATCCACCACCCACAAGCTCCTACTAAAGCCATGATAGCCCCCGAACCATTACTCCTACGGCCTTCACCGCCGCTGTTCCTCCCTCACCGATACCTGCGAGAGCTTCCCACAACGCGAAGACTGCCACGGCGAAGACCGATACTTCTGCTCCATGTGGCGCTCCGTCGGGTTCTTAGTGACCTTTGCCGTCGTTCTGCAGGGCATTAGCGTGGTCACATATCTGGTCATCTTGACTGGTGGGAAACGGCTGCGCGAGAATGGGTGGAGTGTTCTCAGTTTGATGGTTGTTCTGTCTGCCATTGTGCAAGCAGCCGGCATGTCGATAGTGGTGGGTTGATAACACGCCTGTATATGGGCGAAATGACGTTTTCCTAATAATTTGGCATACAGGCATATCTATTCGATAACGAAGACCGGTTCTTCGTCGGCTGGAAACTTGACCAGTCCTGGATCCTTTGCAGTATTAGCTGGTGCTTGAGTATTTTCTGCGCAGGCGCGGTTATCGTGGCTGGCAAGGTCTTGCCTTCAGAGGGTGGGTATGAGTTGATTCCTGACCATGATGAGCTTCAAGTCACTTGATGGCGCTCTGTGTAGCACTCATGGCACCTGGACGAATCACGCGTTACGCAGAGGAAGAAGACCTATTTAGGTATCATCGGTTGACGACTTCTCATATTTCTGCTATTTCGGCGGTTGCAGATTGACGCTTTTCTATTTTTTGATTTCGTGCTTCGGCGTTGGGGCTGTATACTTCTTTTATCCTTCCAGGCTATGGTAGGGACCAACTAATATGGATAATGATTTGAATACGATATCTCTCTGCAGGCATGTATCTACAGAGTTCAGTTTATCACAGATTGAATCATATCTTCGTGGATCGTTTTTGTGACCTTACACAAGACCATCAGTGAACCATTTAAATATAGGAAAAGTGCAATGCGACGTAGAATTCATCATTCATCCCATACAGTACATTCCCTCCGATAGGCTGACTCGACCTACCAGACAATTTCTTTCCCATTCAATCCCTCAACAGCCGGAATCTGCGGCCGCAGCGCCTGACCGTAGTCACCCCCATTCGGCGTGCGAAGCAGAGTGTGAATATGGAATTTCTTCGGCTCCTCATTATTCAAAAACACGCCGGAGTGATGATCAAACTCAACAAGAATCACCGGGCTCTGAATCCGATAATAGAACGGATCCTCATCCCCATACCCCCCAATCCAACAAAAGTACGTCTCCGCTTCATGCGCGCGCACCTGATCAATCTTCATAGTCCGCGACTTAGCCGGCAGATAAAGCAGATATTGTTCCAGAATACCATACATGAGCTCTTTCTGCGCGGCATTAAAAGTCGTCGCAAGGATACCCTCATACGGCACCACACGGTTATCACGGTACGCACCGCACAGATGGCGCTGATCATCCTTATTCCAGCGGCCGGGCGGCATAGCCGGATCTTTCATTTGAGCAAAGACACGAGCTGAACCCTGCAGCTCCGCGGAGAGCGACTGCATCAACTGCAGCCCGAGCTTCTCTTCGATCTGCATGATGCGCGTGCCGGCGTGCGGGCCGGCGTCGATCTCGTTCGGCTCTGCGCCTGTGAACCACGGCGACGCGACGATCTGTCCTCTGTACAAGAAGATATTTAGGCAGAGATGGTGGCCGTAGAAAGACCAGCCCCAGGGACGGGTGGTTGATGGACGGCCGAAGAGGACGAAGTTGTAGGAGAATTCGTTCATCACGGCTGGTGACTTGACTAGCTCGCCGAGGAAGTGGTTGATGCGCATTGCGTTCACGGCTTTTTCATACCCTTCTGGGGAGAGGGTTGTTTTGAGGACGTTCATTACTGCGTCCCGGGTCGAGGTGTTGACTTCGTCTAGTCGGATGCCCTTGTGTGAGAGCAGGAACTCTGGGTTCGACCACGTGCGCCATTGCGGGGAGTCGATGTGGTAGCTGATTGCTTCTTTTTGCTTATCGTCTAACAGGGCGGTTACGGCTTCTGTTGCGTCTACAATTTGTTGGATTGGGATGTCTTCTTCTTGTATTGTGAATAGACCCGGGCGAACGGTTCCTATATATGTTAGAGGCATTCTGGTATCTTTTCGGTTTGTTCGTACCATCGGTGGTCACGCCTTTGAAGGGCTCTTGTAATAGATCTAACCAGTGCATATACAGCGCATGCAGCCAGGGTGGCTGATGTCCGGTCTTAAAGTCGTGCGCGTACTCGTGCGCATCCTGCTGGCACATTACCTGGAAGCGCTTGAGGTTGAGGTCGGGCAGGTACTGGCGGTACTCGCCTGTGGGCTTTTCCAGTGCATTGGCCATATTGAAGAGTGATGTAAAGAAATAAAAGAGAGAAAGGGAAATGTCCAAATGGTATTATAGCATGAGACCCCACATCCGGTGTGGCTCTTCCCCACGCGCGTGGGGATGGGAAATTCCTTATCCGCGGCAACTTGGGCTTCAGACAATCCGGTTACTTTTACTCTCAAAATCCGGGGAAATATGTCCGGATATCCTAAATTTCGAGTTTAGGATTGTCATTGTCTCACGGCTTTTGGACGCGTGGGATATCCCGGGGTGAAAGGTCTAATAGTACGGAGTACAACTGCTGAACTCGGATCTTCCGAGACATTCTCAGATCAGATCAGATCAGTTTCTTCGGGCATCCCGATACCTCACTGAAAAGTCAGGCTAATAAATTTCGGTCCAAGGATTCAATAGTATATGTGTATTTTATTACCCATATACACTGATACATAGAAATCGACATAGAAATTGACATATTGTAGAGGTTGAGATGTCAAAGGTCGTATAATGGTATTGGCTTCGAAGGTTAATACATTCTACATCTATGTCCTACCGTGTTTTGGCCAATATTTGCAGACGCCCGAACTTCCTATTAAAAAAGCAAATGACTTCTAGAGATTGTCTTATAGCTTGCACCTCCGAGTGAGAGACAAAAAGTAACAGATGTATTCATACTATGTACGCTTGGTGGACATGTCACCCCGAGCCGAACCCCGTCCAGAACTAGCCATGGACCTCCTCGTGGAAGCTTGTGTCTTAGCGGATTCGCTGAGTTTGGAGTCTCGCACGCACAGCTTAGCCACTGAGATATGGTCTAGGACCTCTATCAAAGTTGCGTATCTCTGCTCATACTCGTAACTCCAAACACTCGATCGCATAGCCTCCATGTTTCCAACAATGTAAAGAGCATTTTTGGCTCGACTGAGCCCAACATTCAAGCGGGTTTTATCGTCGAGGAATCCGGCATGAGTAGTCACTGTCAGATCGAAGATGACGACTGGGCTTTCTCCGCCCTGGAAGGAGTCTATTTTTTTCACGGACAGCTTGTCCAGGCCGAGAGAAGGGTCGTTGCGATGATCAAGGGTTAGGATCTTCAAGTAGGTCCGGAACTGCGCTTCGTATGGTACAAGGATAATGATATCCTTTGGTGAGACCTTCGAATCAAGTAGTTCTTTGCATAGGGCAATAGCCACTGACGCATGCGTTTCGTTCTTCTTTGAGTGGTTCGATATTTCGACTTCACTTGGGAAGACATCGATGAAGAGGAGGTTGGTTTCTACACCAAAGCGCGTCTTATTGAAGTCTCTCAGGGCAGTCTCGTTGTTTGTGCATTCATGGTCGGCAAGTCGACCTTGGTAGAACTTCTGGTTTACCAGCTTGGAAATATCCGGGTGCATGCGGTGTTGCACTTCCAACAGAATTGACGGATTGGGACCATCAATCAAACGCTTGAACAATGACAACCGAAGTTGAGAACAAAACGGGTTTTTCTGCCAGCTCGAGGTTACCGTGGGCCCTAGCTGGCAGTGGTCGCCTGCCATCAAGATAGGACTGGGATAATAGTGGGCCATGATGGGCCACATGTCGGGTTCTGTGAACTTCGCTGCTTCGTCGACTCCAACCACAGCTGGCTTGATGGCGCTCACGATGGTGGGATGGCCGGCTGTAAAGGGAGTGCAGACAATTACATCTGCTGTCTCGAGTACAGCGCGCAGAAGTGTGTTGGTGTCTTCACATAATTGTACCTGCGCCTCTTCATCGAGGAAAGTCCGGTTTCGAAACTTCTCAAACGATTCGCGGAATGACCGATATTTGTCTGGTTTGCTCCCCTCTGGAATGATACCCGAAAGCCGTAACATCCAGTGTGCGTAAATTAATTCGACGTTGGAAGCAGTGCGTGACGAGTGTGGCTGGCTGAATCGCAGATTCAGGGCTGCGTCTGTAAAGACCATGGTATTCAAAATCTCTAAAGTCTCCCGCTGGGAGGATGAGCTTAGCGGGTCACTTCCGGGAAGGTGCTGCACACGGACGACAGTGACCTGCTTGGCTGGTTCGAACATGCCGAGACAAGCCTTATGCATATCCTGGGCCGTTCGGCAAACGCCATCATTTGTTGGTATTGTAATGAGAAGCTGGTGCTTCGTATCGGTCTTGACATTCTCATTCAAGAATGGCAGCAAACACCGCAGCAACCAGTAGGTCTTTCCAGTTCCCGGTGGCCCCTGGATCAAGGCAAAGGGACCGGGGAGCTCACGTAGATGTTCAAAAGCCTCCATTTGGCGACTGTTGAATTTCGCAAATTGAAGAAGCCGGTCTTGGAAGCCTTCAAGCAAGTCCTGGCGTAATTTCCCATAGCGGTTCAATGAATGGAAGTGCTCAAAATTGCCGGAGAGCAGCATTTTCCACAGGTCCTTTAGTGGCTCGCGGTTCTCGTAAAGTTGGGACATTGCATTGATCTGCTGTTCGAATGGCCTAGGGCTCAAATGCTGCTTCAAAAGGACCTCTCGGGAAAGGTGTCGTTCCACCTCAATAACCGTTGTGGTTTCAGTCAATGAAAGGGGTTTATGTTGCAACGAAATGAATGGCGAATTTTGCGAAGTCCACGATTGCGAGATCCGAGCAGTAGCCCATCCATTGGGGCAGAGGTGGTGTTTTTCAATGATAACCGCACGAACCTCGGAGAGGCTGCTAGTATAGCATGGTCTGATGTCGAAATTGTCATCTTCCTTGAAGTCAAAATTGTCAGGGACTTTGATGTAGGCGAAATAGAATCGACTGTTCGAGGGAAACGTGAACATTTTCATGCTTGTTTGAATCTCCTTGCACTCTTTTGTCTCAGCGTCCACGGATTTATGGGTGGCATATTCATGCTCAAAGATCAGTGAGAACCCAACGCGGACAGTGTATTCTTCTTGACAACTGAATGTGGTTTTCTTCGGTTGGGATGGAATCTTTGGGCGTGACCCGGGAGCGCGAATTCGGCCAATCTTGAGGTGTGGCTTTGCGGTGCTGAACCAACCGGCCCAAGGGTTCACGGCTTCGGGCATAATGGTTGTCAAGTACCAGTAATGAGGACAGAGTTGGGTTTTTGAGAGAGGAGGTGATGAGAAAGGTCAGGGCACTAAAGAAGCCACTTGCCGCTGTTGCAACAGTGACCTTAACAGTGCGAGTGGTAACAGAAATGGGTATGCTAGAAGTCAAGGTGAGGTCAGTCAGACGAATTGACACAGTTGCAAGTTAACGGTGCAAGTGATGTGTACGCTGTAAAGGGAAAAGGAACTTGTGACGAATCAAGCAAGCCCCTGGAGATTATGAGACTGAGGCTCTGGATTCAACTCACTTTGTTCGCTTCGTATGAGCAGAGCGTGGTTCTCAATGTCTGTCCAGTGTAGGCAAGCCTGTTCACTGCTAGGGACAGATGGTCCCCAATTGGGATGGTTTAGAGGGCAAGATTGGTTGACATGAGGTTTGAAATGTGGACGGTATAAGTATGGATGGAAATTAAGATGAAAGAGAACAGATGTGAGTGGATGAAAGAAGAACAGATGAAAGATGATAGACACATATAGTACCTGGTCAAACAGTCAAACAGTCAAACAAGGCCCTTTAGATGTATACTTGGTGAATATTCTGATTTATAGTCAACTAGACTTATCAGTGAATGTATGTTCAATTTATACAGAGTAGAACAATCCCAATGAATATGTTCTTCTAGCCAGTATTAAGTCCCTTGAGGCTTATTAGCCAGACGATCTTCATCTTCTACCTAGGTATAATACCAACCGACGACTCTCAGAACTTTGTGACTTGCTGACACCGTCTGCAGGCGAGGGCTAGTTTTAGTCCGTGTTCTTGCTATAAAAGCCCTTTCCTTTTTGTGTTCCTTCTTCATCCTTCATTTATATCACCACCCCCCCCCCCTTCTTCTATTCTGAGAGAATCGACATGGTCGTCGAGGGTACCTACATTTTCTACAGTTTTGATTAATATTTGTATATGGGAGGAGATAGCTGGGATCATGTATCGGGTATAATGGAAAAGAATAGCAAAGCCAAAAAGAGAGATACGAAGAAAAGGACCTGAAAATGAAAAGGCTCATTTAAACGATTGCATGTGATACTCGTAATAGGTAGATATACTTTTCTGATAAGAACTTGACGCCGAATACTCTGACGAGTCCCAGTGATCGAGTCGTTTTCCTCACCTGTTGATTTTCCTATAAAAGCCCCATCCCCCCTCCCCTCTCCGTTTGTTTTCTTTTCTTCTTCATCCTTCCCTTTTCCATCACTTCTCTACCTCTCTCCGTCACCTCCCCCTCTTCCTCACTTCTGGCCATCTTGAGGGAACCTATCGTTGCGCCGTCTACGATGGGTTCCCTCAAGATGTGCTAGGGCTTATGAGCCGAAAGAAACTCCTCGTCACTTCTATTATTGTCAGTTCGCACCATCTTATCGGACCCTTGAGGTCACTGTTGCAATAGCGGGCAGTGGGTTCTTGAGTATCCGTGGCTTATTAGCCTGACGCTTCTCATTTTCCCATCATGAATGACAAGTAGGTCATGTCTCCAGATAAGACACGAAGGCGTCACTGACAGTACGTGCAGACACAGTTGAATTCTTGAATTCCTCTTATTCGTCTAGTGGTACCACTAGACCCCTCTTAACAGGTTATGAGCCCTCGGAAGCTCTCGTCAGCCTTCCTGTTTCCTTCTCGCCCCTTCCATCCCACCAGCCTCTTGCGGCCGTTGTTCCGCTGGTTAATAACGGAGTTTCCCAAGAGTGTCTGAGGCTTATTAGCCAGAAGTATTCGCACCATTTTTATTATTTTCATCTCACATGGTAAGTGATAGACGGTATCTCCACCAGTGGACGCGATGAAAGTTTTACTAACGGACAAGATAGACTTCCGATTCCAATTTCTCGCAAACACAATCGAACTCTCACTTTCCTCTTATTTTGAGTTCACGCCAGTCAACATACAAACTCTTGTCAAGACTACACATTGCGTCATCTCAATTAGGCCTCGGAGGGAAGTCAGCCCTGGTAGGTACGTACCTTCCAGTCTTAGGAACACTTGGCTAACTCCGTCACCCGTGAACGGAAGTTCCCTTTATCAACCACACCCCATTGCAACAACATGGAACCTACATCAGACTCCACCGGCTTTCAGAAAGTGCCTGCTACCGAGAACTTTACCATACCAGTTATCGATACTCCATGGAGCCTCCCGCCTATGGATCCGTTGCCAGAACTTGGGATGCCGAGAGAGCAACGTTGATCGACACACTGAGAAAGAATGCAAAGAAAAACGAGGCGGACTCAACATATTGGGCATGTCTCTGGTTGTCCGATATTGAATGTCTTCGAGGTATTGTCCGGGGGGCAGAATATACCAACAACTCTGCGGCCTGCATGATGACAAGCAAGGGTGCTTTCACAATGATCAAGACATGTGAGCTACTTCCACCTTTTTTATCCCTCTCAACCGATGGAAGACTAACTCTGAAACTCCTTAGGGCAAACAAGGTCGAGGGTGTTTGCTGTGCCGCTTGAGATGCAAAAGAAGCGCAAGTTTGGGGAGGACGAGAATCAGAAACAAAAATTAACTGCCAAAACAGCTGTGAGTCATTTAACTTGGATGAGTGAGGAATGATCTATTCACTAATACATTGGCTAGTGTCTTGAGCGTGACGATTTCGGCTGTGTGATCACCAACTGTCCTGAGGTAGATGTGGCTCACATCTACCCGCTATGCCTGAAGAAAGGTCGATCATCGGCAAAGAACGAGACGTACGACAACTTCTGGGAATCGCTGGGCATGTTTTGGAGCGAAGACCTAGTCGCTAAATGGGAATCCCGGTTGACAGGTCCAGGTGGCACAGAGCTTTGCGAGAATTTGCTTTGCTTGTGCCCCAACGCCCACAGGTATTGGGGGGCTTGTTACTTTGCCCTCCAGCCGCTCCATCTGCGCGATGACGGTAAGGAGTTGATCACACGTTTCTACTGGCTGCCCAAGATTACGCCACACAGAGTTCAGGTCCAGGACAAACCGAGTATTTCGCTTCATCCGCACGAAAAGTTTCTCAATCTTTGGGTTGAGGGTGCTGATGGATCCGCGCAAAAGATGAACTCTGGCGACCTGGTCGTTTTCCAAACCAAGGACCCAGAAAATATGCCACTGCCATCATGGGATCTCCTTAAAATGCAATGGGTTCTCAATAGGATCGGTGCCATCAGCGGGGCTGCCAGCGCTTCTACCCGGCCGTGGGATTGGGATACCGAAGATGAAGATGCCAACATGGAGTTCGAATATAGCGATGATGAATCTATCGATGGGTTGCCATTGAAGCAGCGTGCGACTATTCTTACCTGAATCGCTACCTTCGGTCGCTGCAGCGGGTCTACTCTTCTTATTCGTTATCCTTACCAGTGTTTCTATCGTTCTGCCCGTTGCTTCGTCTCTACGTTATTCTCGCTGTATGCCATCACGCTTTGCTTTGCTTTTCCTCTGTGCCTTGTGTGACAAAATGTATTATTAGCTAGGAATGTTTCCTTCAATTGAATCGTAGTTTATGATTCTTTTATGATTCTATGTAAGAAGCTATGCAGGAACGTAGGTTAGGACGCAATGAGTTTACTGCCTCTGAGTATCATAATTTGCCGTGATTTTGTTCGCTTTTTGAGCAGGCTGAGAGAAGCTCCATTTTGGAGTCCTTCAGCCACCTACATTTGATATGACTTTGGATCGCGGTTTGATAGACTGCGGCCGATTTTGGACACGGTGGCACAGTATAAAGGTACTGCCAGGGATATAATAGACCCGGTTATCACTCTACGGTGTGTAAGGAATCAGATGCTCTCACAAATTAAGACTTTTTTGGTCCTTTTCCGCTGTCTACCCATAAAACCGAGGGCAGAAATATCTATATAAGAGATCTAGAAAGACTAGCTGAGGAGGCTACCAAAAAAGACCACTAAAAAGACATATAAAAAGACTATCTAAGAAGACTACCTGAGAAGATCACTAGGAAGACTATACTCCAACACTAAGTGACGGTAAATTGAGCGGAACGGCTACATTCGACGCCATTTTAAACGTTCATCTTACTACATCTCCCTCTCTCAAGAAGATACTATGATATTTCTGGGGTGCATACTTAATAACTTAAAAATCAGGACGTTTAGCAGCCTATATGAGCTTTAGAGAGAATGGTGCTAGCTCTGTCATAAAACTGACAGGCGTAGCCTTTATATAAAATGCTGCTAAGATATCAATCGTAATAGCCAGCATATAAAGCTCCCTTCCTTGGCTTCTCCACCTCGAAAGAGGTCAAACAACAATGACCTGGTTTTCCATTCTCCTCGTGCGCCACCGCACCCCAAAGCAGTGGCTTGACAGCAACCGACTCATCGGATTCAGGAGGATGACACGCAGCGCTGATAGCAAGACTACAACTACCCACAACAGGCATCCCTGGCTTCAGTTTTCGCGAGCTCAAGACGGCCAAAGCGACAAACAGCACCAATGCCACCCCAAGCGCGCACGCAATGGCAAATGGACTATACCCACATGCTGTAGTCATGCCAGTGTTGCTCACTCCAGGGAAATGAGCTGCTGGTTCCGTTAGAATCTCGGTGTTTGGCTGGTAGATTCTGATGTTGATCAGAAAGATCGATTGCGAAACCAGCCAGTGGAAAACAGTACTGCATATTAAAAAGGGTAGAGAATATCGCCAGGGAAGTCCGAGCCAATACGTCTCCCGTTGCGCGCCCGCTGGGAGAGTGACTCGGAGTGTGGTTCGTTTGTGGGCGAACGTGCTCCATTCGTGGGTAGCGGTCATGCTTGTGAGGACGGCATTGTACATGAAGTATAGTCCTGAGAGAAGAAGTTGGGGGAGGTTGGCAATTAGAGAAGTGGTGAGAATTGATTTAGAGCTTCCGCCCTCATAATTGGATGTGGCGGCGATAGCGTTAAGACTAAGAGCCCCGAAGCCCATGGTGAAAGCGTTCTTCATGCCAACAAGGCTGATTCCTTTCACCATGGCGACGGCTCCAACAATAACACATGCTAGCCATCTGTGAATAGACTTATCAGTTTCATGATGAACCTATCGAATTGATCAACCCTTGTTACGTACAAGAATATACAAACTGCCCAACGTCGAGCAGTCCCATGTCTTCCAAACCAAATTCCACCCTCAACCCAAGGCTGCGGAGAATATGAAGCCAAGGGAATGTACTCGCCAGTCTCGTCGATGCCAGGAAAGATCGAGTCATCCAACTTTGACATCAGACACCGGCCTCTTGATACTTGGTCTGGACGTCGAAGAAAGGAATCCACGGCATCGCCAATAGTTGTTAGATTTGGCTCTCGAGACATGAGAAGACATCCCAAGATTGACGCAAGCTTTACCGCGTTACAGACGATAGTAATGTACAGAATCATCGGGCTGTACTTCAACTGACATCCGTGGTCTGCATCCGTTGTCAAACAGTAGTCGATCTCATAGTATTCGGGTAAGATGGTCCAGTTGCTGGCATTTTTCTGGGCTTCTGAGCTGCTGCACTGGTCATAAAAAATTGTGTCTAGAGCACACATCCAATATGTGACCTGCGGAATCGGGTCTGGTTGCCAACCTGTCCCGTTCACCATATGTTCTATGCAAGACAAGGGGGCAGATGATTGGTCCCAATCTGCATCCAAGCAATATGTTTGACTGGTGTCGTTGTCGCTCCACGACTCACACTTGCTTGAGCACCAATCATGCACTTCCTGTGGGTAGTCCAGGGGGTGGAAATACGCAAGCACGGGTAGTGTGGCATTGTGCGGTGGTGGAAACGTGTCGGATTGCTTAGGGTTGCTGCCATTCTTGGTGACAGCAAGGAGATTGAAAGTGCCTCCCTCAAGACCATCCCCATACGTGGACATGCAATCTCTGGGATCCAATCGGCTCATATTTCTTGGTGTTTGTAGGGCCATATTGCGCAGCCAGCAAGTCACGTAGCTCGGCTGGTCTGAAGTCTTGTACTGCGCCATCGCGTCGGGTCCGCAGTCGAGGCCAATAGAAGCACTTTCTTCGAGGAATCCCGGCGTGACCACCAGGCCGCTGTAGTCGTTGAATGTGGTCGTCATAAAAACTGCCGAGTTCCACAAAAGATGAAGGGGCAATGAGCTCAGCGCGAGCACGAGCCAGAACACCGCTTTGGGTCGCGGAATATGCGACAGGTTTCGCACTGAATGGATTCCGATATCAAGCCACCTTCTCCGCCTGTGAGCTGTGTCGACTTCTTTGCGCGTTGGCGCGGTGAGACATTGCATGTTGTAATTGCTCGCGCTGACGAGGACGGTCGCAATGACGTTGATCGCATAGTGGAAGCGGCTGTCAATGCTGCGGGTCTTGCCGCAGTCGTGGCCGAGAATCACGCCTAGCCCGTCCTCGTTGGGTGGATATTTGGTGCGAATGTAAGCTGTGGCCGTGATGTTAACACACAGGCAGATTGCGACGAAGATTCCCGAGAGTGAGAGCACCTAATCTCCACCCGTGGAAGAATTTGGAGTCAGAGGGTGGCTGGCGCTCTAATTGACTATACTGCGTGCCCGATCGAAGGACCGTTCGAGAGTACCAACTCTTTGTAGACTCCCAGGTCGTGTGTTCGACCTTGGCTGGTGTTTTCGTGGAAGAGAGCTCGATGCTCTCATCAGTACCCGAGCCCATGTTCAATGCCAGACTTAATTCCCTTCATCTGGTCCACGGGAGCTTGACAAAGAAGACAATACCAGCGTATCCCCCTCAAATAAGTTACGAGGCTGATGCCGGGCTGAGTTGGCCCCCAAGCATCGTCTTGGCAGCAGGGCATCTTTGCCTTTTCAGGGCGTCTGTCGATCACTTCACGGCGATCGAAACTCGATTAATATTTAGCACACTGTCAGTTCAAATATGACCCCCTGATGCCTGCTTGTAATAGCACCCCTCATTTACTGGAGGGTTAACCAACTCAAAGTGTCCAAGAAGACAGGGGTTGAATAACGATTTCCACGGATTTATTTCTCATACAGAATAGCGGAACATGGTAGGCGATAAGCTCAAGAGCAACGTGAAATCAGGTCAACTCTTGGGGCTTCCTAGAAATTGCCGTTGGCAAGGGCTTATCATCGAAGTGAAACAGAGAAGGGTTGACGTCGCCAGGGGGTGACCAGAGTGCTGAGGGACTAACTCGAGCGAGGCGGCTTTACCGTCAACCCTTTTTACAGCAGCCAACTATCGTTGCATGAGATAAATTAGAATCTAATACATGTATCTAACTTGTTGATCTTATTACCTACTCTTATGAGATTCTCGACTAGTCCATTGTCGGGAAACCGAACGGGAATAGTGCTTATTCTAGTCTCCAGTCAGCATCTACTATAAAATCCGGACATTGAATTTCCTCAACCCTCCTTATCCTTTCCCTATCTTCTATCTTCTAATATTTAACTCCTTACCTCAAATGCATACTCCCTCACGCACTTTAGGCAAAGATGGCCCGCAAGTCTCTGCCGTCGGGTTCGGATTCGGAAGCATCAGCGGGTTCTACGGACCTGCTGGTACCCTCGACGAGAGAGTAGCTCTTTTAGGGCATGCACATGCTACAGGTCTACGCTTCTGGGACCTAGCTGACATCTATAGCGACTGTGAGGATGTCGCCGGCGAATGGTTCAAGCGATCTGGTAAACGCGATGACATTTTCCTGGCTACCAAGTTTGCGCTCCAGCTCCAGCCCGGAGGAGGACCTACTTTTCGGTCGGATCCCGAATACGTTAAGACTGCATGTGCAAAGAGCCTCCAGAGACTCAGGGTGGACACTATTGATCTCTACTACTGCCATCGGGTAGATGGGGTAACACCCATTGAAAAGACCATGGAGGCCATGGTAGAACTGAAGAAGTAGGTGAACCCAACCTAAAAGATCATATAACAAATACTTTTTAACATTTGAACCTTTCAGAGAGGGCAAAATCCGTCATCTCGGCCTATCAGAGGTATCAGCAGCAACACTACGTCGAGCACATGCCATTCACCCAATCTCCGCCCTTCAAATGGAATACAGTCTCTTCACCCTGGACATCGAATCTTCAGAGATATTGAAAACCTGTCGCGAGCTAGGTGTGACCATCGTAGCCTACAGCCCTATTGGACGTGGTATTCTAGCCGGCCAATTCCGATCTTACACAGACATCCCTGAGGGAGACTTGCGCCGCGTGTACCCAAAGTACTCGGAGAAGAACTTCCCGAGCATTTTGAAGCTATTACAGGCATTGGAAAATGTTGCCAGAGCTCATCGAAGCACACCGGCGCAGGTTGCTCTTGCGTGGCTTCTCGCGCAAGGTCCAGATATCATCCCCATCCCAGGTACGAAGTCGCCTGCCAGAATGGATGAAAATGCGGCCTCGGCAGTCCTTCGTTTTAGTGATCGGGAGGTGCAAGAGATCCGGACTTTGGTGGACAACATCCATATCGAAGGTGCCCGGTACCCTACTGCGTGAGTGTCACTTTCCTTTTCTTTTGGGACCGGAGTGCTAACCAGTTGCATAGGGCGATGGCGACTCTCCAAACCGATACCCCGGAACTACAGGAGGTTTAGGTTAGTAGCCTTTTTTCGTTATTGAGAAGCCCCCAGATATTTGAAAATTCAATCGTACCTGCATTACTAGCTTAGGGTGAGCTTTACACTAACTAACTGCACATCAGATTCCATTAGACATATTATAACGCCTCTCATCCAGGGCGCCATCAGTCTCTAGTCGATAGTATCGCTGCATTCTGGGGGACTTATGAGGTACAAGCCCAAGTTGTATAGAGAAGACAATCAGAAGTCATGTCTGAACTAGGGTATTGGCTCTATAGCCTGTCAGCTATGACTATTGGAGGATCCACCTGGGCACCCATTGTACCCATTACGAAACGATGCCTATCTGCACCAACGCCACTTCAAATCTTTCAAAAGGAACGGTATCCAGGTTTCATGGGCAGATTTTACCCTGTGGAAGATTGATGGCTTCAGGAGCAAATAGAAGGCTATGGGGAATGAGAATGCCCACAAGCCAGAAAGAAGTAGTTATCCCTCGTATACAGCATGGTCTCTACTTCTTTCATCCACGGAACGAAAGGCTATGTGCATAATATGGCAGCATCCAGTGCATTCACCATGGAACGAAAAGGATACTAGATCAACCCGAGTAGATCAACCAAACAGAACCCAAGAGATAAAAAAAGAACAACGATCCCAAAAGCGAAACCACAACCAGGTAGCCGCATACCACGTATTTCTCATGAAACCAGACCCAAAACTCCTTCCAATCCCTCCAAACCGCAGACTTCTTCCTCTACCAGGATGGATTCCACCAAAGCAGTGGGCAATCACACCAGCGCCGGACTCTGATATCGAGCCATAAGATATCCATATCCACTCTCAGTGTATCCAACATCCTTGTATATAACCAGCATCACAACTCAAGGATTCCGCGGTTTATGCATATTGCTATCAATCCGCCCACAGCTCGTACTATCCCGCCCATCTCCGTATTTCGCGTACGACCGAGCGACGCTGGGATCAGCATGTGAAGGATGCGAAGTCGAGGAGCTGCGACTTAGCGAGCCGGGGATGACGGTGCCGACGAGCCGGGTGTTTCTGCAGATGCAGCTGTGGGGTTCGCGGTTGCTCTGGCTGCGGCTGCTGCAGCTGCGGGGTTGCAATGTGCACAGACGAAGATGTTGAAGCCGCGACCGTTGCAGCTGAGGCAGATTGCTCCTCTGGGAGCAGTTTAGTATGTAGATGGAGATGGAACGGCTGTTGTGGGGTATATATACCTCGGGGCGTTCCCTGCGCAACCCTTGCATGTAACTACCGTTCGTCCTCCGATGCATGATATGTGCTCTGGGTCAAGGTTGAGCAAGGGTTGAATAGAACTGGCCATTGTAATGGGTGTAGAGGTGTAGAGGAGGGGGATTTTCAGAGGTAAAGGTGCTGATGCGGAGAGTGAAGTATGATCGGGATACACCTGATATAAGGTGCAGGTGTCTTTTTTCTTTCTCAGGGGAAATCGCACCCAATAAAGAATAGTCAGTATATTGTGGATCCTGAAAGAGCAGTTGGGGACAAAGGAAGACAATAGTAGGCCAAAGGTATAAAGCCGGAAACAGAAGAAACAACGGATTTCTTATACAGGAAGAGATTAATCAGTGCCACCAACGAGGTTCCCGAGAGTTTCCAAGTGTCACATATGCGATATGCACAACGGAGCGTGGAATTGATGACGGGAATCAGGATTGAGTCCACCGGGATGATCAGCAGGACAGAGAGAGGGACGATGATAGGACGGTTCACCAGGTACATGATGTACGTTGGATATCTCATTTACACTCAGGGCCATCTCACTCGAATCCTTCGGTTATTCCCGAATAAAAAGAAAAATAGATCCAACAGAAGAGGGGGAACGGCACAGAAACCGTTCTGGACTTGGCTGAGTTGTCAAACCCCGCTGCCTGGTTTCTTGTGCCTGTCAAGCTAAGGTAGCCAGCTGCGGAAATGCAGGGTTTCTGAAACAGGAGCTGGCGGGGTATGATGTTTCTCGATCCACACGACCGGGCCTACGTCGTTCATACGTTTTGCGAAGGGTTCATTCGCTGGTCATTCTGTGAGAAGATTTTTAGAAAAGACCTGCGGTGAAACCAGAATATCATCAAATTGGCAAATCAAAGATCGATCTATCGTTGGGCAGAGAGTCGTTCATGTGCAGCGGAAAAGATGTCCCAGGAGCATGGCCGCCACCTCGTGATACAACAAATCTTGACCGCACAATCTGGTATACGATTATCCTTCCGGGTTAGGACTGTCGACATAGCCACGAGTATGGGATGTGAAATTCCAACCACAGATAGCTGCATTGGACCATGCGACCATGATCTGATCTCCGAGATGATGTATAGATGATAGGGGCCATGGTGGGTGGTTGTCGATGACTTCACTTCCGTCTCTTCTCAGCTCTTGTCGTATTTCCCTCGTATGAGATGGCCTTTCCATCTCAACCAAATAAAGTAAAGTACCATGCATGGAAGTTTGGAATTGACGGTCAGATGGTCACCAGCCCAGTTCGCTTACCATATACCTGATTAGGAACAGTGTTGGAGGACTTCAACGGAGTACGCTCCCAAAGCGTAGTTGCCGTGGGTAGTAAGGAAAACGCACGGTGACGATCTCAAGCAGGGATCGAAGCGATGCAACGATCTCCATAATCCGCATATCACATTGATAATAATGCTTCGTAAGGACAATCTCCAATAAACATCGGAGAAAGCGGATGCATCTGACGAGCGCATGTGGTGCCGACATAAAGAAATCCGAAAAGAAATGGGAAAAAAAAGGAACTGCTGTACTATGAGGTAAAAAGAAAGATCTGTGAGAGGTGTGAGCTACCAATAAGCAGAAAGAAGGGGAAATTGAAATTTGAAGTCAAAGCCAATGGCAGTTCATATACAGCCCGAAGCCCGAAGCGCCGTGGATGCGACACTTAGCCTCAAGCAGGTAACCGTGGAGGGGACAAGGACAGGGGTAAAAGGCCGAGAAAACCCCTTTAGCAGTCTCATAGGACAAGGATTCCTTGCAGCCGTTTGACTTTCCTCAAATCTATTGTATGATCTGACCTCAAGCGCTTCTGCAGATTGGTCACATGCAGACTGAATCCTGTGGAAAGGACATTGAATAGCTCGAATAAATGCGCTCATCTCGGGCTTTGCATGCGGTCTGCCATCAGCCAAAAGATCGATGTGACCTAAATACGAGGCCATATAGAAGCAACGGGTATGCGCGTCATCAGGCGGGGCTGTGGATTCGTATACTAAGTATATCAGCGTCTGATTGATCATACTGTATGGAAGAGAGAGTTATTCCAAACTCCGGCTTGTTTAACCGGTTCGCTGTTGGGGAGGACACCTGCAGCCAGCCACTTCCAATCACACGCTAGTCCAGGATTCGAAGTCCAAGATTTGAAGTTGGGCTGGAGTCGAGGCTTCTCATGGGCGGCAAGTTGCGTCCACCATTACAACGGAGAACTTTCTATTGATGTCTCAAAAGAGCGAGCTGAGACTTCCAAAAGTTGTACTGGAACTAGAACGGTTGCAAATCGCTTTTTGGCAATTAGTGTCACGGTTGAACCCCGAGGATGCCGGGAGAAAAGAGGAAAAAGAAATTATGAGGTTGCACATAAATGAAAAAAGAGTCAATTGCAAGTCAGCTGATATGAACCTATAGGATACCTGCAGCCCGGTTCCCATTGTCGCTGCAAGAGGTGAGTCTGGGTCACTTTTTTCTAGATGGAATGTTCCTATTCCTATTTCTAGTGGAAATTAGATGGTATCTTGGTTTTTGTTCGCTGTTAAATATAATAGGGTAACTTGTATATGCAGATATAAAAAGTTGAGCAACTATACACCATCAGATACCTATTCTCCGGACTTCGGCACTCAAAACATTACCTGAAGCATAAAACGAACTCACATGCCAAGCGAATGACCTTCGGCGACAGTGGAATGATATCACGGTGCATTTTTAAACGAGGCCATCCAAGGCTACCCAAAACCGGTACCTGACAGGCTAAAAGGCTGTGGCCTCAAGAGACCACGAGGTGGTTTATAAGATTACATAGTCGAAAAATAAAGGATTGTCATTCTCCATTACGATCTGCATAGCTATCACATGGGAAAGAATAAGGACGTGGCGTCCCATCTTCGGATCGCCGTATCTGACCCAGCTAATGGTCGTGTAGCCACAGTAAAAAGGGGGGAGGCAAAGAAATAGGGCAGAAACAAATTATCCAGCCAATAAAACTCCCAGTAGGGGAGAAACAAACAAGCCTGATCCATCCTTCCACGCAAAGCCAGGACGCCTGGGTAATCCCGAGATCATCAAATCGTTGGAATCACGCCGAAACTCATGTGTCAGCGTTAAATCATAAAATATCAAAGAGCAGAGAGCAGAGAGCAGAGAGCAAAAGGACCCGAAACTAAAGTGATCCCGGTCACTGGAAGTATTCATTGGGCAAGGCTGCGAGCACAGCAATTGTTCCCAGACCACCCAGCAAAGCGCTGACAACAGCCGTGGTGGCGTGGCTTGCCAAGGACTTTGAGGTTGGGTGATTAGACTTGATTCGCTTAGCCGGACGTTCGTTCTCAGCAAATGAGGAGTCATTCTCGGCAAGTGCGGAGCTGATCGCATCCTTAGCTTCGGCGGCAATTGTATTAAGGTCGGAATCCGGCTGGCTGGCTGCCTCTACAGGCAGCCGCTGAGCATCTTGGAAAAAGCTGGGTTCAACAGACGACGATTCCATCTCTGCGAAAGAACGCTTCGACTTTGCCCATGATTTTATCTGCTCTTTCGTGGTGCGGCTCGAGAATGGTCCATCAAGATAGAAATTCTCAAGTTCTTCGAATGACGGTACCCCAGCAGTGCTCTCGATCTTCCCTTGCATTTGTCGATATTTGTTCTGGCATGAACTTGGCAGCTCACCAGAAACAGCGCATGTCGGGAACCGAGCGCCTGGGTTTGTCATACCAGCAGCAGTCTGCGTCGTCAATGGTTTGCTCTCGTTGTGTGCGGTGTTCAGTGACTCTGCCTCACGAGCCCGCTGCAACAATTGCCCGAGGGTACCTGAGGATTCAGGTACATGCTTGGAAACTTCGACGGCATCAGTATGGTCGGGGCGTCCAAATCCCTTGAGATAATCCGAAAGCAAGGAATGGGCATCAGGCTTCTGCGCAATAGGGTGTTCAAGACGCTCATTCTCAGAGAGACACTCAGATTCGTTTTCGGATACATCAGAGACCTCATAATTTTCTTCCTCGAAGTCCTCGTCATAATCCTCCTCTTTGTCGTCTTCCACGGAGTCTTCTGCCGACACTTCACATACATCTCCATGGGTCGATTCACTGTCGAACATCCCATATGGATAGTCGTGGTAGTTCTCCGAGATTGAATCACTTAGACCATATGATTCAGACATGTACCCCTCATTTCCCTGGGCTTCTTCGTCTGAATCAACGGACTCGTCATCGCAGAGCAAATCTTCATCGAAATTCGGATCCCAATAAGGAGCCACATCGCACCATCGATTGCCGACCATTTGAGGCTTCCAGGCTCTCACGACCCAGCATTTGTGACAGTCGTCAACCTCGGTTTCAGTGTCAAGCTGGTGCTTCAGTTCCTCACTGAGAATCTCCAGTGGCTTTTCGACGATCCAGCACAAATTGCCCATCTGTTGGCCAGCGTGATTTTCATGGATGATCCAGTATCTTCGCTTATCGACTGACCAGTACCTAAGAAGGTTGCCAGGCATACGATGGAACGATGTGTCTGAATTGTCGACATCGGGCTCCCAATAAACTTCTGTCCCAAAGCAAGGTCGGAAGCTAGGGGAGTCGTCTACCCAGTAAGCATCTTTGGCAAGAGAACAACGGCGAGTAGCGTGGATAATGCGCCTGTCATGGTCAACGTCGGGTATCGTGTTGGATTCACCCCAAGCCATGTCTGCCAGCCGCATGAACATAGGCCGCATAATCGTCCAATTGCTGTAGTCAAATTCGGGTACTTTCTGGTAACAGACTCGAGGGAGACTACCTGCTTCATGTGTTTGTAGAGCATATGGAAGTTCAGTAGAGGCCGGTTCGGTGAGAGATTGTTGAGTGTCGGACACCGGTTTGATATCAGACAGCGGGCTAAGAAGATCCGAGGCCAGTGTTGTAGGGCCGGGCATAACCTTTGTGATAGGCTCCTCAGTGGGGGACGAACCTGCGGAGCCAGGCTCGTCCTTTGGATGTTCGTCACTCTGAACACTTGAGACAGGGGAAACTAGAGACGTATCCACAGGCTGCTCAGCAAGATTGTCCCAAGATCTAGCAATGGACTCTTTGGAAGAGACATCACTCGTGTTGTCGGCAGCCTCCATATCACTTTCGTCTTCGGGGACAGAGAAACTGTTGGTTGACGGACTTGGATCCAGTTTGATAGCAATATCATCATCTGGAATGGCAACAGGCTGGGGTCTGAGCCAATCGACCTTGCAGCGGACTTCGATGGCCTCGAAAACCTCTATATTTGATTAGCTCCAGGGCCATTAAACTCAGATTTTGCCAACTTACCCTGGCCACGGTCGACATCGACACCAAATCGGACGATATCTCCACTGTACAGTGGGGTATTCACATCTGTCACCAGCTTGCTATCATTCAAGAAGGTTCCGTGAGTCGAGCCACAGTCGGTGATGAAGACGATCTATCAATGATGTCAGTGAGGCTATACAGTCAGATTTGGAGGCTCAAACTAACATTTTGGTCCGACGGTATGTTAAGGAAGGCATGGTCACGAGACATGACCCGAGACTCAAACCAAGCGTTCTCTGTTGCGGGGATCCGTTTTCGAGCTTCACGCTTTGAGGCACGTCCGATAGCCACGGTCTTATCACTGTCGGTGATGGTGAGGGTACGTAGAGGGTGGGTATCATCGAAAAGGGGGACGAGCGTCACGGTGACTGTAAATTCAAGCTGTCAGTTGCGAGCAAAGTGACGGTTAAGATATCCGAGTACTTACCGCGTGGGTCCGACATGGTGAAAGGTAGATCAGCAATAGTGCTGTGTAGGATCTGGGAAGCAGAAATAGGAAGCTGTTTGTTTCTAAACGATGGTTAGACTGAGAGATGGAACTCAATAGGTGATAAGAGAGACCATGACAGCCAGAATGAATAACAAAGCACGGGGAGATGAAGGATGGTGGGGGCAGGAGGGTAAGGGCGTTGGAGACAAAGGCAGCTTACCCGGGTGTTTCCAGGCTGCAACACGATCACATGGACCAGTTGAGGCAGCCAGGGAGATGGCAGATTTATTGCAGAACGGTAGCTTGCGAGCAGAGCAACTCAGAGCAGCAAATATGAAAACTTGTTTAAAGCACAGATGGTGTAGAAGGGAAAGGGAAGGAAGAGGGGTAGGTTCATGAATCAATCAGGTCGAAGTTAGGTTCACCGCTGACGGACGTTCAAGAATGGGGAAACCCCTTTGAAATGGAACTCAACTTGAACCTCAGTTACCGATTAATCTATTCAAAATTTAAGAAGTCACGATTCATTAAGACACTAAGAAGTAAAGCACCCGGAAGCTCAGGAACAATGAGGTATGTATGAGAAGTGATAGTATAAGATAAGCAAATGACGCCGTTGGGCATATTTCAACACGCATATACCCTGGCTCGACCGAACTTCCCTACTGGGCACAGACCGCCTAAATAGTGAGTGTATACGTCCTCTTAGTCCCTCAACCTTTTGGCGACTTATTCCCTTTCTTCTTCGTCGTGGCATAAAAAGAAAAAAACAAAGTCCGGAGGTGCCGATAAGGGGTGGGGTCAGCTGATGTGGGGACACACGTCATGGTCATCCGCACAGTGGGAACTATGTATGCAATACGATGTACTTCATAGTCAACGACAACACTGGAAGTATTTTGTAGATTAATCTGATGTTAATGAGCACTCTCATTTTCCTCTATGGTACACAAATTACTACATGGTCAAACCCCAATACACTTACCCGGGCTCGGTTTGCCGTCCATCGGCCCATCCCACCCCGAGTCTTATCTCAAGACAGACCCAGTACCAAAACAAAAAGAAAAGAAAAAAAGGCGGACGGGGAATATGTCAACCAATAGTAAATACATGCGGGGAGAAAAGAGAACCGGGGATCCAAAGATACCGAAGCCGGAAGAGAGAAAAGGCTTAGACAGAAATACCCAAACCGGGGCGAAGAAAGAAGCGAAGAAGTGAAGAGCGAGGATGGTCTGATGACTTGCTTACATGCCAGGAGCACCACCGCCCATGGCACCCATGGTGTTCAGGCGGGCAGCTAGCTGGGGGTACTTCTCCTGAACCTCCAACTGGGTGCGGGTGGCCTCAGCATAGGAGATGGCATTGATGATCTCAGCCTCGGTGCGAGCCAGCTCAGCAGCGCGCTCGAAGTACTTGAGAGCCTGCGAGACCTTGCCTTGCTGGAGGAGAAGCTGGGCCATGGTTCCAACGGCAATGTCGCACTCGGGATCAATGATGAGAGCCTTCTGGCAGAGGTTCTCGGCCTCCTGGAAGTCGTGCTTCCACTGGAACAGAGCAAGAGCCTTGTTGATCAGGGGCAGGACGTTGATGCCCATGGGCTTGCTCTGCTTCTCCATCTCAACAGCCTTGTCAAACTTCTCAATGGCCTCGGAGTAGTTCTGCTGGTCAAGCAGGAGCTCGCCGTAGTAGTTGTAGACATCGGGAACTTCCTCGAAGTTCTTTACTGTCCGGCGGAAAGTGGCCATCGCCGAGGCGACAGAGCCCATCTTGTATTGTGTGACACCAAGCTGGATGTGAGAGTAAATGAACGAACGGTCGAGGTCGATGGACTTCTGGTAATCCTTGGCAGCCTCTGCAAGCTCGGTCAGAATGAAGTGCAGCTGGGCACGGTGGTAGTAGATATCGGGGTCGTCCTTGTTGTGAGTAATGGCAAGCTCGAAGTCGTCGGCCGCAGCGTCCTTGTTACCAAGCTCCAGGTGCAAGCTGGCGCGCTTGATGTAGCTTTGAACCAGGGAAGGTGACAATTCGACACTCTTGTCCAGGTCGACCAAAGCGCCAGTAGCGTTACCACCGAGGTAGGTGAAGGTGGCCCGCATGTTCAGGGCCAATCCTTCAAATTCGCCGAGCTCACCGAGCTCAAGTGCCTTCTCGAAAGCGGTAGCAGCCTCTTCGTAGCCATCGGCAGTCTTCTTGCCCATAGCGATGAGACCCTTGCGCAGCTGACCCTTGCCGGACTCCTCGCTCAACTCAACCGACTCCTCCAATCCCTCGGGCAGGGCCTGGGGACGGAAGCTCTGGAGGTAGTTGGAGACAAAGGTGGCACTAGGCAGCTTCTTGGTGCGCGCCTCCAGAATAGCCTGGCTCTTCTTCTCGGCAACCTTCTTCAGCAACCGTTCGAGCGAGTTGCGGCTCACATCGTTGGAGAAGGCATCAATGATGCAGCTGGCTGTGAAGTCGAGGAGAGCCTCGCTGTACTTTTCGAGGTGCTCATACGCAATGGCTCTTCGGTTGAGGGCCTTGACGTATTCACTATCCATGGCGAGAGCGGCGCTGGTGTCCTCAACGACCTTCTCCCAGTTGGACTGGACGTTGTAGCAAGCGGCGCGGTTGGAGTAGAAGACGGGGTCGGGCTTGCAGAGAATGGCCTTGCCGTACAACTCAATCGCGTTGGGGTAGTCCTTGATTCCGTAGGCCTTGTTACCGGCAGCCTTGAGCTTGGCCGCATAGGCGTTCCGGGTCTTAACTTGTCAGCGAAAGTGGTGAGAAAGAACATTGCTTAACATACCTCTTCAGACAGCTGTCCGACAGTTGCCTCGTCCACTTCGGGAAGCTCCTCGGTGGTCTCCTCTGCCTTTTTGGGAGCCTCTGGAACCTTGTCAGTCATACGATCACTGTGTTTAGACAAGAACACATACCCTCCTTCACGGATGCAGCCTTTTCCTCCTCAGCCTTCTTCTTTTCTTTCCGTCGCTGGTTCTTGCTCTTCTTGGGTGCTGGGGGTGTGGCTTTGCTGGAATCGTTCAGGTAGTAGACGACACCCGCGCCGGTCACAACAACGGCAACACCGGCAATGGTGTAAACAACGGCCTTGTTTTCTGAGACCCAGTTGGTGATGCGATCCCAGACCGATGCCGATGATGACTCGGTCAGCTTTGATGTGTCAAGCACCACATTTTGGGTGGGCGTAGGTAACGGCAATTCGTTCGACATGATGTGTAGGGGAACCAGGCAAAGGGACCGACGCGGCTAGTTCTTCGAATGTGCAGATGTCAGTATTCAATTCGATGAGTCAGGCGCAATTAAACTGAGATGGAAGACAAAGGGGTTACTAACCAGACCTCGACAGAAGGAGTTAGAGATAGGGAAGTTCGGGAATGATGAAGCTCAGAGGAAAAGTCAAGGTTCCGTTGGCCGGGCCGGCCAATCACGCGCGCTGCGCCGGTAACACGCAAGTTCTCCACATGTCCCGACTGAACAAAGTTGGCTCGTCGGGGCTTTTTGTATTCTTCCCTTCTTCTTCTTCTTCAAATTGCATCCCAAGCATTCGTCGTGTGGATTCATCTAATATTTAACAAGACTGACTTCGTGACTACAGCAACGACAGTAAGCCATTGACCTTCGCAAAAATGACCGAGACCTCTCCAAGTCCACAATCCTTCGAGATCATTTCCTCCCTTCGTTTTGACCCGGGCCTTCCAGATGCAGCCTGTCGCCATGCATCTAGCTATCCTGATCCTCACAAATCTCCCTACTACCTCCTCGCCTATCACCAGGACCGGCTCATAGCTGCTGCGGCTCATTTCCAATGGGACGGGGCCCTAACCTGGCTGCAACAAGACTTGCAAAGCTTTGAGGAGTTCCTCGACTCGTCAATTGCAGACAGAAGCAAAGCATGGAGGCTTCGGATTGTAGTAAACAGCCAAGGAAAGGCGAGAGTTGAGGGGAATGCAACAGCGAGCATTGATCTAATGAGTTTGTTCATTCCCTCTCTACATACGAACCCAGACCCCCCGGTATGGCGCGTCTATGTCGATACAGAATCAACAATTCCTTCCGGATTTACCACATATAAAACCACCGCGCGTGGTGACTACACGGCTGCACGGCTGAGAGCGGGGATCAATTCGCCGACAGACCTTGCGGAGGTACTGGTGGTGAACCCAAATGACGAAGTTATGGAAGGCAGCATCACTACGCCGTACTTCCTGCGGGACCATCTGTGGATCACGCCTCCGCTGAGCAGCGGCGGCAATGCAGGTACAACACGGAGGTACGCATTGTCCCAGGGGTTTTGCCTAGAACACACCATATCCCGGGATGAGCTTGTGGATGGCGAGTTGTGTTGGTTGAGCAACGGCGTAAGGGGGTTCATTCGAGGCCAGATCATAACCAAGTAAGAATTTCCCATATTACAGAGTGTGTATCTATGCACCTATCTCGATGGGTACATATGACAACTAGTCGAGCTTTGAATGGTATTGGTAAATTGATGAGAAGGCTATGAAATAATACGTATTTTGAACTTTATTGCTCCGGAAAATGCTTCCTCTCCAGGCTTATTTCTTAGCCTTCTCGACCACTACTGGGTTGGGATTCCCCTTCCACTCCAGAGGACGAGGGCGCATGTACTCGGCCATGACCTCATCCGTAACCTGTGCCCTGCGCTCCTGGAACCCTTGGACATAAGCCTGAAGCTCCGCGATACACTTCTGCTTGATCTCGCCGGTCATCATCTTTCCACTCTCGTAATCGGTGCGGATGCGCTCAAGCTCCTCGTCATCCTCAAGGAAGAATGTCAAGTACTGGAATGGAATATCGACCTTGCTGTTGCCGCCCAGCTCGCGCTGCAACTCTGCGGTGTCCTGGCCACCTGAGAAAGCGTGCTTGTTGATCTTGTTCTTGATCTTGTTAGGCGTGTCGTTCATGAAAATGGCGGAACTGTCGACACTGGCGGACATCTTGGATCCAGGACCCTGAAGGGCGGGAAGGAAGATAGAGTGGATGAGAGAGGGCTTCTTGAATTTCATCTTCTCTGCGTGTTCGCGGCATTGGCGGAAGTAGGGGTCTTGGTCGATGGCGCATGGAATCAAACAAGGAATCGATGCGACCTTCTTCTTCTCGGTGCCGAAGATGTGGGGGAAACTGGTAGAGAAGGCTGCGGCGGACTGAGTGGCACAGAAGTGGAACTCGCCAATGTTGTTGCTGTCGTTAAACCCGAATGTGCCCTTGACCTGGTTGATTGTAATTCTCTTTGCCATACGGCACATGTTCTCGTAGAAAGCACCACCAATGAATTCGAAATCACTGAAGATAAAGGTCTTCTTCATATCGAACCCAACGGCAATGATATCCTTTGCGTTTGCCTTTGTGTATCTCTTGGAGTCCTCAATCTCGATCTTCTGAGAGTGCATAAACTTCTCGTCGTCAGTCATCATGATAACGAGGGGAACATCGAAGACGTCCTGAAGCCATCTATATTTGAATTAGTTTCCGGTATATGCCCAGGTGGTCATCGAGACTAAACATACTTGGTGAACTCGAACGGCACGGTGTGTCCAACGTGCATGCTGTCGCTACTGGGCCCACGACCAGTGTAGAGGAAGAATGGTTCGCCCTTCTCATGTTTATCCAAAATTTTTGACAGATCACGGTGACTGAACACGATACTCCGGCGCATGAAACGGTGTGGCCGGTGGCCAGTCACTTTCTCAAAGCGCTCCAATAGAGCGGCATTGATGGGTGTGGCTCCAAATTCCCTTGTGAGCTTCTCATAGTCGACTGGCAATAGCTTGCCAGTTTCATCAACCCCACCAGAGACATCGAAGGGCGTCACGATCTGGCCAACGGCCTTGCCATCTGCGGTTTTCTCGTCGATGCTCAACGAGTTGAGCGCCGGAGGCTGGGTCGCTTCGTTGGCCATGGTTCCTTCTTCGTCTGTTAGAAATTGGTCAATTCTAATTTTCAATGGCAACAGTCAAAGGCCGGTTCTCACCTTATTCTATGGTTGAGGAAGTCCTGAATTTCTTCTGTTGCCCCTCTGTAATCTTCCGGGCAATATCGCGGGATGAGTCAGAAATCCCGCTATCAGTGGGCGTTCTGATTGGTCCGCTTTATACAATATCAGGTGACCGGGCCTAACCCCGCCAAAGCCTTCTTTGTCCTTCTTGATGCTTTCTTGTTCAATCAAATTTGAGTCGATCAAAGTGTGAGACTCTCCATTTGCTGAGGTAGACATTTCCAGTATGTCTGCATTACATTCAAAGTATATATTTAGTGGTAGAGTGCATCAAGAGCGATCTGCCGGAAGTATATTTTCGTCTAGGGCTTCGAGCGGATTTTTGTTAACAACAGAGGAGATCAAATCTTTATCTTTACATCCCATAGTAGAATGTACGAAATAGATTTCAACCCCACATAGAGACTTGAAGAAGTTTGGCTTTCACCTACCGATATAGGAAGTCTAACCTTGTGCAAAGTACTCAACAACATCAGCCATACAGGTTAAATTGTTCAAAAAATGTACTCGCCACTATAAGCGCCTGCCCGTATTAGGTAGCCTTAACTCGAGCATAGGGCTTAGGCTACTCAAAGCTCTCTGAAAAGTAATAACCTTCTTACCAGTTGATCATATCATTTAGACAGCATTCTCAAGACAAATGAATAGCCAGTGGGGTCACAATCTCATGACGTTCCCTTTCCAGCGCCGATCCTATGTTTTAAGACCAACATTCTTTCCCATTAATTCGTAACAAATTCTGCAGAAATAACCAGCTACCGCTTTATACATACCGGAATGTGATTTCCACTTTGGAATTCCGAGCAGCAGTCAACAGCATAGGATCTAGAATTAGTAACCCTCCGTCTATCCTGCATCTTATCCTCGCCGATCTAGGATCCTCATGATCTTGGTGATCATTGCCCAAAACTACTGCGGTCCTCATGCTCTCATGACAGGTATCTCGAGTGTAAACGGCGGACCTGTGAATTACTAGATCTACCTAGGTAGTTATTTTGCCCGTTTAGATTTAGCGCCCCAATACGCCGTCACGTAACTGCTAACTGCACCTTAAGGCTCGGGGCTGCCCGACATAAAGACCCACTCCTCTAACTTCTCCGTTTCTCTTCCATCCCCCCCTATCTTGCACCCATCGCCGCCCCCTTTTTTCTTCTTTCTTTCTCGCCCCCACCGACGACGCCCCAGCTCGTTCTCGCTCCTTGAGCTGGAATGCAAGTCGCACCGGAGCAGGGGTATATATACCACTATTGTAATACACTTAACTGGTTAACAGCTTCTGCCCAGGTGTTTCTATGGGCTTAGTCATCCTGCTGAGTCAGCAGATCTTTTCCAAGGTTGTCCACGGGTCTTTCTTTTGTCTCCGGCTTCTGAACTTGTTCTGTCGGATTGACAGATACTGGTGTGTGCTAGTATTGAGGTGTCCCATTGAGATGCATTATTGTGTTCTAGCTGGATCTTGCTGTTGAAGTGTTATCAGATCTCGGGAGTCGTTCCTAGCGTGTTACGACGCCGGTATGCCGAGCGTACCCCGTTTATGTACCATACAGAGACAATAGAGAGAATGGGTACTTGATGAATACATATGTACATATGTAATCCTGTCCTTAGTGGTAAAATACCACCCCCCCTGTGTTTCATCTTCAAAATGCCATCATGACATAGAACTCTCAATATGTCCACAAACAAGCGCAAGCGTGCTCGAAAAGCTTGCAATCCGTGCCACCAGCGCAAGCGAAAATGCGATGGCGCGTATCCGTGTGGAACGTGCTCCACCTACCAGTATCAATGCAGGTACGACGACATCACCGGGACTGCGGATCCCCCAGTGGCCAAGCGCGCTGTTCTTGAGGGACGTAACATGCAGATCCAACCACCCGTAGAAAATGACGGCAGCCCGTCCACTGGCAAGAGCCCCGGCATCTTCGAGGAGCACAAGTCCAGGTACACCGGCGCATCGGCAGCCATGGCCTTCCCGCATATATTAGGCCTGGCTCTCGGGTCTGACAACCCTCCCAAGATCAATTCAACTGCGTACAACTTTGGCATCCGCCCGGAAGAGGCTTCCAACACGTATGGTTTGCTGGGCAGCCTGATCTCCGAGGACAACCTCGCCTTCTACTCGGACGTGTACTTCTCTGCAATGGGCTCCATTGGAGATGTCATTGACCCCAGGATCTATGCACAGCGGTGTCGCGAGTATTATCATGGGCCCGGCAGTCCGCCGGTCGCCTTTGGTGCTATAGCCGCTGGTGTTGCTGCAGTCGGATCCTTCCTCTCTTCAGTCAGGTACTCCCGCGAGTCGGACCTAATACAGTACGCGAAAGCCATTCTCGATGATCCGGCCTCAATGCGGGTGCTGGGCGTCGACCATATCATCGCGTGGGGCATGCGGTTATTCTATCTCCGAGCCACAACCCGGCCTAGTAGTTCCTGGGTCGCCTCCTGCACGCTTATGCACCTCTGCGAAGTCGTCGGGCTGCATAAGGAAGAAAACATCCAACGTATAGCGTCCGTCGCTGGTGCCGCTGCTCTTGGCCATGATGCGGACCGGCTGAGGCGCATCTTCTGGATCCTGTGGGCCGCACACCAGATGCTGTCCTACGAGTGCGATCGGTCGGCAGTGACATTTGCAGCCGTGACTACGCAGGCGATCATTGCGACCCCAGGATCTGTTGCCGAGCAGTTCGTGCAAATCATCCAGATTATCCCGTCGCCGAACTCTCCGTTCCAACTTGACTCTCAGCCTCCATCTCCAAGGGAGGAGCTCTCCGAGCGTCTTACGGCATTGAGCAAACTAGATCTCACGCATCCGTTCTTGGTCGCCACCAAGGCGGACCTCGCATTCTGTTTTTATCGACGTATCTACCAGTTTAAGGCAGGCATCACGAATGAAACCATCCAGGTTGTCATCGATATCGGTAGGGATGGACTAGAGGCAGCTGAGCAGCTCGCCAGCCAAGGCCGTCTACTATGGAATGTTATCGGCAGTGTCTTCCAATATGCTTGTATTTTGTTGGCCATCGACACTCCAGCCTCGTCCGCTCACATTCCTGCTGCTTTTAAGAGGCTGGAGAATCTTGTCAGGGCAACGGATACAGCACTCACCCGACAGGCACTCTCTATAGCACGGCATCTTCTCAGTCTTAATATAGCGAAGAAACGAAAGGAACTTTTGCAGCTGGAAGCTGTCGAGGCAGGATACGAAGCCTTTCAAACACCACCGGAACCCGAGCCCAACACCACTGTGCCAGATCTTGTTGGCTGGGGGATGGACTGGGACCAGTTTCTCGTGGACCCATATCTGTCGATGTTTCCCGACATTCAGATGTAAATTAACAGCAGAAGTCACACTTCAAGGATCTAATGAAACATTAGTGCATTAATGAGATCTAAAGCAGCGTTTCCTGCGAATCGGTCTTTTCTTGCACCCTTTCTATCTTGATATGAAACCGTTCCGCAAAACAGAAAAGCAGGGCAACAACTACACCTAACCCGGCGAGCCCAACACCCATGCAAAACGCCCCTCGGTAGCCCTGCAAGACATTCTTCCTTGACCATTGACCTGGCTCTCGACAGTACCGGCAAAACCAAGCCCAATGGAGATGGAATAGTTGACAAACGTAGTCACCAGCGACGCAGCCAGACCCTGATGCTGGCGCGGCATAGCTCGACTCAGGATAATCGTGGCAGCGGGAAACGACGAATTCATGTCCCATGGAAGGGCAATGATCCCCACGAACGTCTGACGGTCTTCACGGTCTTCACTCCGGGCTCCAGGTTCGCTGGGTAGCGCTTGTGATGGTTGTTCAGAGGACATTTTCACTGTGAAATGATGTTTCTTGACAATCACGGGGCCTGGGAAGCTAGTCCTAGTCCTAGTAGACCCGTTGTAGAAAAGGTAGGGATGGTGTTTGCGAACGGAGTATGTTTCATCGTGAGGCTGTGCTCGGGTCAAATCTGTCTACTCCGAGTCATGATTAGACCACACTCGGCCGTCTGACACTAGGGGAAATGGGTAGGAAGATGCTCCGAGTGTTTCTCTCATTCAACAACTTAACGCCGCTCGGGGTGGACATCGTGCGGCTATTGCGGCGTTTCAAGCTGTAGTGCGGCTGCGGCGGCGGAGATCATAAGCCGGAATTAGTATAAATTAATCATGATTCAGCTGCACTTGAGTCGGTTCATTCAATCCAATCCAGATCAATTCACATATATCACTCAAGCAAAATGTCATATGCTAAGGATCAGCCCGCCGGCTTCACCAACGCCATTGAGAGAGTCGCCATTGTCGGTGTACGTAAACCCCCCAACAAGTACAATACATGAGACTAACCAACTTACTAGGCCGGAGGTACTGTTGGCTCTGTTCTTGCCGCCGCCCTCCTTAAAACTGGCAAACACACCGTCACTGCCCTCTCGCGTAAAGACAGTTCTAACAAGCTCCCCGAGGGCGTCGTTGTCGCCCCCGTCGACTACAGCGATGAGGCCTCCATTGTCGATGCCCTCAAGGGCCAACAGTTCTTTATTATTACTGTCGCCCCCACTGCGCCCCGCGACACACACAGCAAGCTCGTCCAGGCGGCCGCCAAGGCAGGGGTCCCCTACATCATGCCCAACGGATACGCCGGCGACATTGAGCATGTCAAGTTCGGCCAGGATGTCATGCTCGGACCCGTGGCCCAGGCTAACCGAGACGAGATTGAGAAGCTGGGCATGAAATGGATCACCGTGTGCTGTGGGTTCTGGTACGACTACAGCTTAGCGGGCGGGTCGGCGCGCTTCGGGTTCGACTTTGACAAGAAAGAACTGACGATCTACGGCGACGGCAACACCAAGACTTCAGTCTCGACTCTGGCCCAGGTCGGACGCGCCGTTGCGACTGTGCTCAGCCTGAAGGTGCTTCCGGATGACGAGAACGACAAGAGCCTGACTCTCTCGAGCTGGCTCAACAAGCCCGTCTACCTCAAGAGCTTTGTCCTCAGCCAGAACGAGATGTTTGAGAGCGTCAAGCGCGTGACTGGCACGACGGACGCTGACTGGACGATTACCCAGGAGGATGTCCATGAGCGATACGCAGATGGTCTGGGGATGGTCAAGACTGGCAACATGGCTGGGTTTGCTAAGCTGCTCTACGCGCGAGCGTTCTTCCCGGAGGATGCCGGCAACCACTCTGATAAGGCACAGAACGAGCTGTTGGGCTTGCCGGAGGAGAAGTTGGACGAGGCTACCCAGGTCGGGATTGATATGGTCAAGGCGCTGCAGAGCCGTGCGGAGCGCATGGCTTCATAGAGATGTACATTCTTAGAATTTGGAATCGTTTCCTTGTTTGAATCCAGGCGACAAAACATAAAAAGGTTCATGTTAGCTTAAATCAAGTAGGTCTGACCTAATACGGAATGTGTAACTTGCCCAGGTGGTAGTTATCTTTCCGAAGCCGAGATAGAGTTTGGGTGAATGTTCAGCTGTTGGGGTATGGATATAAACAGTGCTGGGCGGTCATGGGGCGACCAAAGTGGGTAGAAAAGCAGCCGCTTCTGGCGTCAAAAGCGGTCATTTTCGTCCTTTTCACAGGTCCTCATATTCTAGTTGTAATGCATGAGGAGTATGACTAGAACAACAAACTATAGGGTACATTTTTCTTGCATGGAGTATGTCGATGGTATGTTACTCATTACATATTCAAAAAAGCAATTTTAACTGATATCGGAGCGTATGGTTGCTTGGTTGCTTATGCTATTCTTGAGACCGTTCTCTAGTGTTTGTGGATCAGAGCTATCAACCAGATGGGAATGCGATTGATGGATATCCACCCTAATCCCCCCCGCTACAGGACCATCCAACCTCCTTCGGTGTCTATTGGACGCTGGCATGGCTTGGGCAGTTCGTGAGATTCCACTGGCGCGGTGTTATGTTCAGCTTCGTAAAAGCGCCAGTCTCGAGTCAGCATGATCCAAGGATTGCTCCGTAATTCCTCTCGGGCAGAAACAAGACACTCTACTAGGACACCCCGGCTTCCCGCATACTGCCCACCCAATACTCTCAGACCAAGTCTGATGTGATATACTCCGTACTCCGTACAGAGTGGAGTATATCAGCCTACTTTTCTAGCTCACAGTAAACACTTACTCCAACCCACCAACCACCCACCTTGCCCCGCGCACCCGCATCGAGCCATCCCACTATAGGATCCCCTCGACCCGAAACTCCATGCAGCAAGCCGCCGCTAAGCACGCCTTATTTGATGGGCCTGCAAGCCACTGTATGCGACAGGCCAAAGCCCCTTACGCCGGGCTATCGAGTAAATATTCACAATGCCGAAATCAACCGACTGTACTGCGTATAATTGGTGGGGGGGGGGGGTTGGGTTGGTTAGTACCAGGGCATGATAACGAAGTAACAGACTCCGTCGGATGTGTGGGTCACTCATGTTTTGAGATTATGTCGGTAAGCTTGTCTTTTCGGTCTGCTGCAGATGCTAGTCGTTTTTTATTTTTCATTTATTTTTCATTTATTTTTTAGTTTTCTTAGTTTTGTCTTGATAAGGGCGGGATAGGTTATCTGTAGTTTGCTGTATGAGGGAGAAAGAGTTGGCCCAAGATCTGATATCAACTTTTGGGATCATGAGAATTCCAAAAGAGTCCAGTTGACACGTAAGTTCGTCGTGTTGGGCGAGGCCGTACCTGTTTGCTTTGTGTACTTTCTTCAGTCCAAGGTTTTTCATTTATTTTTGAGATTAGGATATATCCCGAATGAGGTTCCAGGGTTTCACTACGTCAGATAATTTCCGTGGTGGGGGCGAGCAGCCGAGGCTAAGGTCTCATAAATCCCTTTCTGCCGTGGACTTGTATTTGGATTTGAATTTGGACCATAGACTCCTCGCTAGTAAGTTTCACCTTCTCCGCGTAGTACAGCGTACAGCAGAAAGGTCCAAGAGGGTGCAGAACTCACAGTATGCAGGGGCAGAGTGGCAAAGCTGTGGAAACTTACTACCTCGATTTACTTTCCAGTATTAGGAATGGTGGGCATGCTGGTTAATATCAATATATCATTCGCTAGTCTAGAATCCTCCCAGGTGTTTGATTTTAAATACATATATTTAAGTGGATAAGGTGAAGAAGATCAGCTCTAGGCACATATGAACCCAAATTACGCGGTAATGAAACCGAAGCCAGCCCATTCTGCAGCTCGCCCAATCAAGGCTAATGGGTAGCTTGGCCCAATTTGCTTTTTGTGCCTTTATTATTAGTTCATCAGTGATTCCAGTAGGTCATCGCATCGTTCAGATGTCACTCTGTCTAGGGGATCATGGTTCACCCAACACAAAGATAGAGTAAAATACCACATTTGAATATAGGATCTAAGCCTGTTCTAAAGATATCCAATTCTGCAGCCTTGCAACCAAATGCGTCACTGTTCCGGCAATGGGATAGCTGGATGAGTCGGGAGCTTGGACAGGAATCCGAGACATGCACACACCCCAACCATCATGAGGTTGTATCAAGCACCTAGAATATGTTATAAGGAGGTTTAGCCTAGTGCACCAGCCAATCAGGGTCAATGGTTCCCTCCCTCCACGCGTATTGATAGGTGTCGGGTGATGTGACGGACCAGGCAACACGGATGCTGGTTGGCTGGATGGAATCTCCCATCCAGCTTAGGGGATAGATTAGCTTTAGCAGAAGGATGTCGACGGATGACATGAGTCGGTAGTTGAGACGTCACTGTGTTGAGTCAAGACGCGTGCGAATCAGAGATGACCAGGTCGACGCATGACACCCCGGTCAATCACTTGCGACTGGACGGGGATCTTCACCCATTTTCACTCTGGGCGCCCACTCTCGCTAAATCAAAAACTGGATTATCTTGATTTTGATATGAAGAAGTCATTATTTTTGTTATTTTTATTTTCTCGAGTCCTTTAGAAAAAGCTGGGTCACCGGGCGGTTGCGCGTGGAGAGAGATGTACCTGGGTGAAATATTGGTTTCACAGGTGCCTGGCCCGGAGCTTTTAAGAAGAGCATTTCCTGTAGTTCTGTAGTTCTGTTTCTTTTTCTTTCCCTCACATTTCCAATTTTCCTCTTCCAAGGTTACTGGGGATCTAAAGCACCTGGGCAGCTCCACTCTGAAAGCGGCACATTCGTCATCCCGTCCCCCCCGACCTTGGTTCTGGCCTTGAAAGAGCCTGAATGTGAGGCCGTCAGAGTCCTCGGATTCATCGAAGGGTAAGATATTTTCCTTTATATTGTTTATTTATTTATTTGTTTATTATTATATTCTCTTTTCATTTTAATTTCCCTTCTTTTCTCCTTTCTGTATTGTTGCAATTTCTTTTCTTAATATTTGAGTGGAGTTTCCCCCGCAAGTGCTTAATGCACACATGCACTAACCGGGAAGAAAAAACCAACAGATGCGCAAACGGTCTCCCTCGGATTCCCCTTTTTCATTTTCCTCTTCATCATCTTCTTCTTCATCATCTCTCTACCCCTCATCACGTAGCAGTTCGTTTTCCCCAAGTAAGTGGTTCAATTACACACTCGTTTGATGATTATCTTCCCTATTTTGAGGTCCCGGGTGTCTTTCCCACTCTTCCACCATTGGCCTTCCCCCCCCCCTGCCGATTCTATATTCTCAAACTCTCCTCATATATTAAAAACATATTCTGGCGGCTATCGCGATTCGTTTCATACATTCTTCGCTAAACACGTGTGGCATGCTCATTCCCATGCTAATTAAATTTTAGGCCTATCATCGGCCTCGCACCGACGCTCAGCATTCCAACCAAGAGATCATCTTGAAAGTCTGATCACTAAACACGGCTACCCCACACCTGTGTCACTCTCCTCTCTGCGAGATCTGACAGCCACCTCATCTACTTATACTCCCCCTTCGCCACCTCGTCGGCCCCGTTATCCGGATACCATTCCGATCGACGCTTTTGACTCGCTTACCTTATCCTCATCCACGAGACCCATTCCCATCCCAAGACGTCCTGGTCCAATATACGAGGATCTTCCAGTGACACCACTCACCGGTCGACTCGACCACGACTCTTATTTTGACGATTGGGAACGTGCGTCTCAATCCGCCAAGTCCCGACAAATCCCACCAATCCGACCTTCCCGTCGCGGCCGGTATCCATCACTCCCCTCACCATCCTCAACAAGGATGCGTTCCGATAACTCACCTTACTACTCCCCGGCTGCCTCGCCAATCATGTCTCCACGACGCTCAAACTCTCCCCAACCAACTCGCTCTCGGACCCAGAACCCATCCAAGGCAAAAACCCAGAACTTCCATCTCGGCAGCCTGCCCCGGTTCCATCCTGCCGTATATCAGTCGAGCAGTACTTCCCACAATGGCACTTCCCAACCTCCATCTCCTCGCCAATCTCGGCAGCCTACCTACCGCACGACAGCCGGGTCACGCGACATGGTGTGGCAGTACCGTGAGTTCATCGAGGGCGTCCACCAGGGTCCTTCAGCGCCCCGTTTGGACCCTCTAGTCAGCCCGGGACCCGTTACGCCCCTGGCACTAGAGGCGGGTGACTATCTCGCCCATGGCTCGATGAACAATACATCCGAGCGGACCCCACGAGATGTGCCAAAGAATTCCGGCCCTCCGGCTGAGCTGGTGGAGAAGCTCATTGCCTACGAGGAGAAGGCTCGGCAGATGGCTCGAAAGCCCGCCAAGGGCCGGTAATAGACATATCCCACACCGGCTTTGCATCAAAATGCTGTTTCTGTTTATTATCCATTAGACAAGTGGGATCTCCTTGGAACTTTTCGTGCTTGTTTATCTTATATCTGCTTTTTGGTGTTCTGGAACAAAATGAGCTCACCCCACAAGGCTGATAAAGTGTGCATGGGGCCTTTTGTTTTTATCTCTTTTTTGCTTCTCGCATTCTCTTCATTCTCATTCCATGATCAACATCCTCGGCCTCGGCTGTTACTTGATCTATCTTGCATCACGACATCATGTATCTAAATCATATACCCCGTTTTAGTCCAGTCTCAGACCTTGGCATATCCAAGTGAAAGCCAAGCATAAACTTTCAATATGAAACATTATATTGTAGTTCTCTTTTCTTGGTTTGGTAGTAACAGCTACCTAGTCGACACTATGACCGGTGCTCCTTCCAATCCTGATGGTTGTAGATTGTAGAGGGCTAATGTCTGAGGTGTGGTGGGCATGTCGGTTTAGCAGTTTGACACTCGGATCTATATCCGCTTCATTTGGAGTCCGCCGCCTCCCGTGTTGTCCGTATCTAGATTGCCTTTCTGAGCAATGACTTTTTATCTAGTCTGTTTTTGGACCTTGTAACTTTTCCCTAGAAGGATCTCACTGGGTTTTATCCTATTGTCTCTGAGGTCAGGCCCGGGGTAAGCCAGGTTATTTCACAGAGATCAGATAAAAGATCTACAACTATTGATATCAAACTCCCAAAGTTAATCCCCAGATTTACTACTCCGTATAGGGCTAGCTCGAAAGCCAACCTCCAATTTGCGCCTGAGGCATCACCCGCGATTCGGAGGAACACTCCATCTCCCCAAGAGGAATCTGCGGGGCCCAAATTCATTAAAACAGACCCCCCTCAATGATATTTTCCTCATTTACTCCATTACAGTCATATATATACCCCAGCTTCCCCAGAAAAGACGCCCCAGCTCGGAAAACCCTCCTTGGCAGCCCGGAAACTCCAGAAACTCCAAAGTACCCTCCTCCGTATCCTTATCGGTATCCGTCACCGCATTTTGATTTATCGCCCGCGCCTTGCGCACGAGCACCCTACGATTTCCGCGAGGCGTCCATTCGGTGACACATTGGATCTGCGATCCAGGATCAGGGATTGGAGGAAATATCTGGGGTTCTTGGACGATGTCATCTACGCCGGCGCCTTTACCTGTTTCGGCGCCTGATATGACGGGTCAACAGAAGGCGGAAAACGCGCTTGCTCAGTCCGGGACCTCGAAGTCGAATTACAAGGGTTTTGTGGCGGGCGTTTTTTCAGGAATCGCGAAGCTTAGTGGTAAGTCGTATTCCTGTGCTATTATTTGGGGTTGAGGCTAATTTTGTTTTCATAGTTGGCCATCCGTATGCATAACCAACTACATACTTCGCCTTGGGCCGATTGTTAACGAAATTTCACAGATTCGATACCGTCAAGGTTCGCCTGCAGACTAGCAAAGATGTGCAGTTCCGGGGACCGTTGGATTGCTCGTTGCAGACTTTGCGGAAGGAAGGATTACAAGGGTTTTATAAGGGAGCCACGCCGCCGCTGGTCGGATGGATGATGATGGACTCTGTGTAGGTGCTCCGCTATTAGGCCCTGGGAATGAATAGTGCTGACTTGTCTGCAGCATGCTGGGCTCCTTGACTCTATATCGCCGATTACTACTCGAAAATGTCTTCTCGAAACCTCACATCCGCCCCTACCTTCCCTTCTCCCGCTACCAGCCAGACCTCGCAACCCTCCCTAGTTTCGGACACGGCATTGCAGGTATCATGGCCGGTACAACGGTCAGCTTCATCGCTGCCCCAGTCGAACACGTCAAGGCACGCCTGCAAGTGCAATACGCCGCGGACAAATCGAAGCGCATGTACAGCGGGCCGATCGACTGTATGCGCAAGATGGTGAGTTCCAGTGGCTACGTAATGTACGCAGCAACTAACATGGATAGGTTCGCACTCATGGCATCAGCGGACTATATCGCGGCCTCTGCGCGACGATCTTCTTCCGCTCGTTTTTCTTCTTCTGGTGGGGCTCCTATGACGTCCTGACTCGCTATTTCAAAAAGAACACTACATTGTCCGCCCCTGCAATCAATTTCTGGGCCGGTGGTATCTCCGCCCAGTGCTTCTGGCTCACTTCCTACCCGTCCGACGTCGTTAAGCAGCGTCTGATGACCGACCCCATGGGTGGAGCGATGAATGACGGCAAGCGACAATTCCGCGGCTGGAAGGACGCTGCGGTTGCCGTATGGCGTGAGCGTGGGTGGAGAGGGTACTGGCGGGGCTTCGTGCCATGCTTCCTTAGGGCGTTCCCGGCGAATGCGATGGCTCTGGTTGCATTCGAGGGTGTGATGCGTACCCTGCCTAACTTCTTCATGGTCTACACGAACCCAAAATGATTGCATATAGAGAAGCCTCATGGATAGATACTTAATTAGAAGAACATACCCATTGTTTTACGCTTTATTCATTGCCCCTGAGGAAAGTTAATCGTGGGTTGGGGGAAACCCGTGATCAGGAATGTACTATGTAGTGACAGGCCGCATTCGGCGATGAGACTCTTCGGGACCCTCCTTGGAGTATTCCGCGAACACGGAGATTTTTTCAAAGCCCGAACCAATCCCGATTCGTAATTGGGCCATGCAGCCCTGGAGCTGGAGTTGTGATCTCGACCGCCGTGGGTTCTCGGCCGCTGTGGAAGGGTCCTTGATAGTGAGGTGACATGGGGTTGTCTTGGATTGTCTCTTTCCGGACAGGACAAAGAATAAAAGTTATCGATTATCCTAGCTGTTCTCTTGATTCTAATCCCTCTCACGTCAAAATTACTTTCCCGTAGTCGTCACCAGGGGAGGAACTGAGGCAAGGTTGAGTCTGGTTGCTTGGTGCCTGAGGCATTTCCGCAAGCCAAACGTCAACTGTTTCACTTGGATAGCGACACGTCTCAAATCTCTCCAATTTAACATTTAAAGCTGGTCGGCCATGGCCGTTGCACGCTCCATGCGCCGCACGAGCCCAATTAGCCTGGTGCTAGCAGCGCTGCTGGCATTTGGCTTCATATGTTTCCTGCTTTCCCCCTCGACACCCTCCGCATCCTCCGCATCCGCCAGCTCCCAACAGCGCCAGGAAAACGCCGCCGAACACCCCCTCTCCCCACCCACAAAACCCTTCTTCAAATCACAGCCTGTCCGAAGCGATGGCTACAAGGCAGCTCCCCCCGGTTGTCCACTACGACCTCAACAGCCTAACCAACACCGCGGACTCAGTCGCCAACAGCGAGCGGATCCTCATCCTCACCCCGCTAGCCCGCTTCTACCAAGGATACTGGGATAACATCGAGAAGCTGACATATCCGCACGAGCTGATCTCCCTGGGATTCATCGCACCGAAGACAAGCGAGGAAACGCCGCAGTTGCGGCTCTAGAAAAGGCCATTGCCAAGACGCAATCCGGACCAATCGACAATCGCTTCGCGAGTATCAGTATCCTCCGCCAAGACTTCGAGCCGCCATTGAAATCCCAGGATGAGAAGGCCCGCCATGCAATGGCCGCGCAGAAAGAGCGCCGCGAGTCAATGAGTCGTGCGAGAAATAGTCTCGTCTTTACAACGCTCGGCCCCGGGACTTCGTGGGTCCTCTGGTTGGATAGCGATATTGTCGAGACGCCGGCTACTCTCATTCAGGATCTAACGGGCTTCGATCAGCCGGTCATTGTGCCGAACTGCTTCCAGCGCTATTACGATTCCTCGAAGAAGAAGTGGGATGTCAGGCCTTATGACTACAACTCTTGGGTTGATAGCCAGACTGCGCAGAATCTCGCTGCGAACATGGGGCCGGATGAGATTCTCTTGGAAGGTTATGCTGAGATGCCGACGTATCGTACCCTGATGGCGCACTTGCCGGATATGAAGAAGCTCGATCCGAAGAAGATGCTTGCTCTTGACGGTGTTGGTGGGACGGCGTTGTTGGTCAAGGCGGATGTTCATCGTGACGGTGCCATGTTCCCTGCCTTCCCGTTCTTCCATTTGGTGGAGACGGAGGGCTTTGCGAAGATGGCTCGAAGACTGGGTTATGAGGTTATTGGACTCCCGGATTACTTCGTATGTTTCGACCTTCGTCTAGTCTGCAGAGAAGGGGATAATTTTGCTGACATGCTTCTCAGGTCTACCATTATAACGAGTAAATGGCTTCCAGCCTCGTCTAACGTCTATTTCGCTTGCATACACTGCGCTGTGCGCGTCTCGAGCTCTTTCTCGCCTCTCGTCGCCATGCGAGAGGTTCATTAACCACATTCACCTCGGCATGCGTTCTTCCGTTGAGGCTTTTTATTATTTCATAGGTACTTGGGATAGTCGCTTCCCCAAGTCCAAAATTGTCTTTGCATTCTTCTGTGTATTACCAAGGAATATGACTGGGTATTCATCCATGTTGGAGAGGAGTTAGCTCTAGAGGGGCGTTGCTGGCTTGATGATTCTTGTGCATTTATTTTGGCTCTAACATGGCTATCGCCATCTCCAATGAACGGTTATTTATTCGTGCAAGATGAATCTAGATGGTTATATATAAAAGGCATCGTAGTATCTGGTTGAACGTGGCATTGGTCTATTTACCAGCCATGCAGGTGTCACCTGGATCTCTTTTTCAATGAACCAAAGGCGCGGACTTTTGTCGTAGCACCAAGGCTCAACAGTGCTGGGAGTATGATACATCCATGGATGTATTGCCAGTGCCCATCTATACTGCTGCGTACTCAAATCAGATTTTCTGCTGCCACAGGTTAGTAGTATGGTAATTCTACACACACCCGCTCTCTTCCAAGGTTATTGGTTATCGTCGTTCATTATATGGTTTACTCTACATGGAAAGGTCTTTTTTTTTCGGGGGGTTTCCCTGTTTTTTCTTTGTTATTTTGTAACTATCCTAAATATTTTTTGGCTTTGCTTTTTTCCCTTGGTAAAAAATATCGATCTCCAGCTCCATCATTTTAATCACCGCAAGACATCGTCAGAATCCCGGTCAGACATAATGTCTGATGAGACAAGAAGACAGTCAGATGACACACGTGAAGGAGGTGACTTAGTTAAAGATGCAAGGCAGGGCACACAATGATTAGATCAGGGTGAGAACGAAAAAAGGATGTAAGATGAGAAAATAGAGAAGAAGGGTGAGAAGGAAAGTACCTACTTCCCCCTTGTAACCTCCAGGGCTATGAAAGATCAATCAGGCTACTGTGACTTCGTAGATACGCTTAAGCACATACATATAATGAATGGATTGCTAAAGAATAACTGATACCGTTGAGCACTTTCCCTGGGATGGAATTGTAACAGTTGATGAGATACTTCAAACGAAACCGAACAAAGGCAAAAGACGTGATGTATGTTGAATACACCTTCAACAATAAAAAAAATCCTCGAGCAAATGTCATGCCTTTCACGTCTCCAAAATTCTTGGTCCACTTTCGCCTTCGATCCATCGTTCTCTATGATATATCAGTACATTGCCCTCAACAGCAGAACAGTTGGGCAGCTACTCACACTACCTTGAGGTCACTCTCAGATAGATGCAACGAAAACTTGCAAGGAGAGTAAACACAATTATTGCCGAAGGGACAATGGTGGCTTAGGTAGCAGTCATAATCCGAGCAACCAGGGCCATTGGGACATTGACCCTTTCTTGCTCTGTTCTTTTGTATGACGATCTCACTAGCGTTTAACTTTTCATCATGAACCATTTTACACCAGACCCGGTCGCAGCGTCCCAGAAGATAATGGTTATTGCAGAATCCTCTGGGTAAGATCTGGTCTAGTTTCTTGAAATAGGAGTTGTTGGCAGCGGTATCTGAGGGGGCCCGGATCGGTGGGTCTATTCGTTGTTTGCGTGCATTATATTCGATTATTTTCTTTTCTTTGGTCTCGCGTCTTTTGATTGTGAGATTTTGATGATGACTGGATGCTCCAATTGTCGCATATGTCGAAGGATACCTCACAGAAATTCCACCATTCCCCGAGACATCAACATCAGGATCCATCATTGATCCCTGGATCAAAGGCGTAGCAATTGCAGGGCCATTGAGAGTTGTCACTTGAGATAACTCTCCATTGGAATTTGCACGTGAATCCCGACACAACGAGGATGTGCCGTTTGTTTCATCGGCGGCAGTCACCGAAGATCTTTGGAAGCGAAGACGACTGGGGTCCTGTTCACTTGGAAGATGCTCACAACGGAACACGTCATCGAAACGGGTGATTTCAAATCCTAGGGTCTTAAACTGTGTCCCTGCAGGGGTCGTTTCGACGAGAACAATCCGCTTTTCACCCTCACTATCTCCGGTAAAATCACGGAGCTGGTGTATGTAGCCTTTATCATGACAAGCAGCAAAAAACACTTTTTTGCACTGGAAATTTCGATGGAAGTGATTCAGCATCCCTGCTGGATTATCAGTAGAGCACAAAAATAGGTAATAAAGTCTTACTGTTCATTTTAGCATCCGCGTTCTCTTTGCCCGGACCAACATTGATAAACTCGAATTCAGCCCGACTGTTGGTGAATTGTTCTGCAAAGCGATGCAAATCCTTCTCGAACGGTATTACTTTGTTTTTATGCAATGCCCTCGCCAGATCATTCAGATTTGCATAGATTCGGACAAGGATGGGCACGTCCTCGCTGCTGTATGGACTGTCCCGCAAATAATCTCTTACTGCCTTTGTAAGCCTCCTGGAGGCTTCAACAGCGCCGTCTGGACTCTGTAGCAAAGTGTCTAGGAATTTGGCGCCATCGCCATCAACTAGCACAACTATGAAGGGATACCTATTCTAGGAAAAGTCAGCTTCAATTCGGTGGCTTAAAGTTTAGAAAAAAGCCCACATGGATATCGTTTAACCTCCTAACTTCTTTTTTAGCTTCGTCGTTTTCCTCTTGGAATGTGCGTCGAGAACTCTTCTCGCTCTCAAGTTCAAACTTAAGGTCTCGGATTCGCTCCTCGTGCGTTTCAATGATTCGAAAAGCCTCCTTTGAATAGAATCTTGTAAGAGAAGAGCGCAATTGCCTGACACTGTGGTAGATTCAGGCTTCTTCGGTTTGGACCACCTACCTCGACCAAGACCTTCTTGTTTTCTTCAAACAACTCAGAGAATTGTGACTTTAGGGCTCCGACCTCCATAATTTCCATAGTTTGTTATTAGAAAAGGTTGAAAAGATGGAGCAATTTCTTCAAGACTTTTCTTTGAGGGGCTGCAAGTCAGGATTAAAAAGAATAACCAAGTGGACGGAGATCGGGCTCCTTCCCTACTTGGTTTCTCTGCAATGACAACTCATGACCAAAGCCTCAATCTGATCCGATACCTGGCATCCAACCATTACATTCTATGCAATGCCTCATTACGTGTTACTCGGGCAGCCACGCATATTTAACGTGATCATTGGCCGGGAGCTTCCCTAAAGACATCGTGGCTTGCCTCATCACGTATATGGAAGTGCATACCGGACTACAGCTTTGGGACGCATCCTGATAAAACAGGAGGTATTATATCTGGGTACACAGGCTTAGCCTAATATTTCGGAGGTCCCACTGTATCTAGTTGAACGTGGCGTTTGTCGATTTACCAGCCAGGCAGATGTCACTTAGATCTCTTTTGCAATGAACCAAAGGCACGGACTTCTGTCGTACCACCAAGGCTCAACTGTGCTGGGAATATGATATTGCCGGTGTACATCAGCATACACCAACCCCAATACAACGAAATCAATCCCAGGAGATACTATAAAGTGTGTCAGCGATACTTGTACCATCGGAGTCTTGCGGGGAAAAAAGAAACCTATACTTACGCAAGCATAATGCCGGCCCCAAGAGCAACAGCCAAAAACTGTGTGATAGTCTTCCGCACTTCAACGCCCTTGTCCTTACCAGTCTCCAGCAACTCCGGAATCACAGCCACGGTGCCAACATACAAGAATGTGCCCGCCGTAAACGGAAGAAGCATATCACCCCAGGAAAGGCTAGTTCCCAAAAGACCAGCAGGCTCAGTATCATTCAACATAGTGCCATTGCCACCAAACTCCTGAACGGCAATTCCAATAATGGTGCCCAGGAACGCACCAATAGCAGTAACGAATTGCGCGCCCATGGCCTTGCGCTTCGAGAAGCCGGACTGAATAAGCAGAGCAAAGTCACCGACTTCATGGGGGATTTCGTGGAAGAAGACAGCCACAGTAGTCGTCGCGCCGATGGTAGGCGAGGCATAGAAAGAAGAGGAAAGGGCAAGGCCATCGGTGATGTTATGGGTGAAGTCAGCAATGAGGTTAAGGTAACCGCCAAGCTTGACGCTGGGGTTGACTTCCTTCTCGGGAACGACATCAGAGGACTCCTTCGTAGCAGACTTGCGCTTCTTCAGCTCGCCGCTGGACTTCTTGGTCTCGGCACCGGATGTAACTGCATCGACTGATTCCGCGTGCGCGTGGCTGTGTGAGTGGTCATGGCCGCCCTCGCCGCCAGTCGCGATGCGTAGGGTCTTGTCCATTGCGACAAAGGTGAAGAATCCGACCATGATTCCCAAGCCGAGAAGGAGGTTCTTGTTTGGTTCAACCATTACAAAGCTCACGTGGTCCGGGGAGGCTTCGCCGACGAAGATCTCGGGAAGTAGGTGGAATAGGGTGTCACCAAGCAAGCCGCCCACGGCAAATGCGACCATCACTGACAGCGAGGAGGGGTCGATGTTTGGTGGGCATAGTGCCAGGAGGAAGTCTAGAGCTGTTAGTAGAGATCTATTACAGGTACTGAGTGGAAGACTTACTGGGTGGACCAGAGATGTACAAAGTTGCCAGAAGCGCGTTCACGGCTGGGGTGCTCGGGAAAAGGACAGAGAAGATCTTCGATGTCAAGCTGGTGGTCTCTGGGCGGGTTGCACGTTTATGCTCATTGAGAGACTCGACTAGAGGGCAGCTCTGTGGCAGGTTAGTTTACACGTAGGGAACAAAATATGTCGTACAGCATACCTGCAATTGCTCCTCGATCTGGCCCACGGAGAGCTCTCCGGGGCCAACATTAGCTGCAGCAAAGGCTGAGAACAAAAGACATCCTGCGACAAGGGCAATTCCTGTTCTGCGTGAAGGAAAAAAGCGAGAAGCCATTGCAAAGGAATTGGCCAGAGTGATGCGAGGTGACAGGCAATACTCCGTATAGCCCACGGAAGTAAAGTACCCGCGGACAGCTGAGCCGCTATCATTGTTTATCGCGGGACCCTGAACAAACATGCCAAGACTAATGTTGCAAACCCAGGAAAAAAAGTTTCGATAACGCTTTTTATTATCGCCGACTACAGCGAAGAAGAACCCATTTTGACTTCTACACTCACTTCACAATTCACAATGGGTAAAGTCTTGCAAAAGAAAAAGGCCCGCTCTGGGCGCTCCAAAGCCCGTGCCAAGGACAACCGCCTCAAGAGCGGCCACAAGAAGATCAATGTGCTGGGCAATCAGATCATCGCCGACAACTGGTATGCATATCTTGCTCACCCTGGAAATATAAAACACTAACAACTGTAGGGATCGCAATCTGACCCTGACACAAAATTACCAGCGCCTTGGTTTGATGCACAAGCTGAATGCACCATCCGGTGGCCGTGAACGCCTCCCCTCAACCAAGGACCAGACCGAGAACAAGAACTCTCTGCACATCCGCGGCAGCGCCAAAGCAGCCGCAGCCAAGCTCGATCTCGGCGAGACACGAGTCGAGCGCGATCCCGAGACTGGCAGAATTCTGCGCGTCATCCACGACGACGAAGACAACATGGAAGTGGCGGGCGTCCAGCGCTCACGCAACAACCCGCTCAACGACCCTCTGAACGACATCTTGGCAGGCAATGGCGAAAGCAACCCTCTCGCAGACTCAGTTATTGTGCAACAACTTGAGCGCCAGGCGGATCAGGAGGGCAAGACTGTTCGTGCTAAGAAGCCGCGGTACCAGAGCACGCGTGAGGGCGAGTGGGCTCAGCGCTTGATTGAGAAGCACGGAGATAATTTCACTGCTATGGCTCGTGACCGCAAGCTGAATCCTATGCAGCAAAGCGAGGGTGACTTGCGGAGGAGAATTAACAAGTGGAAGAAGAGTCAGTCGTAGTGCCTCGTTCATTTGTTCTGAGCATCTGGTTACGGCGAGTCTGGCGTTTATCTTTTTCTGTTTATTAAAAGTGTCTACCTGGATGCATGTGTCCCGAAGTAAATATATTATTGGACGGCGACTGAGCCGCTTGGATTCGTTATCTCGTGTTTTCTTTAGGTGTTACTACTGAGCGTCGAGTAGGTGACAACCCCCTCCGGCGGAAGGCTTATTCGTTGCACTACTCGTACCCATCGTCGGCGTCTCCATTCTCCCACCCCGTAGGACGCATTCCCTTCCTCCCAATCCCGTGATTTCGCCTTCTCCTTCTCCTTCTCCTTCTCCTTGCTCTTACTTTTCTTCGGAGAGAGTGTCTCAGGCAGGTCTCCGTAGGCTAAGGTCAAATCGTCATCTGACTCCTGTCGAGTCTGAGGCAAGTCCCAGACCCAACCACCAACTTCTCCAACAATGGCGTTGCCTTCGGCGTTTACGCCCGGGACCTCGAACCCAACACTGGTGATCATGCGCTCCACCACCCATTCACGGCAGTCTCAAGTCGAGTTCCCACTTCTTGCTCTTCCAAGCCCAGCCACGCGGGCACGGACATCCTCAAAGAATCGGCAGCCACGGGGTCGGTCCCCCGCGATGCGAGATGGTGATAGCGGGTCGTATGGCGCGTGACTGAACAGGAAGCTCTCCCACCCAGACTCTGACGTTCCCACAGCCCGGTGCTGCAGCTCAAAAATTTCCACCTCCCGCTCTTCAGGATATGTGTCCAAGGAGATATCTGCGAGTTTTTCCATTGCTGACATCGCTGCAGATGGGTCTGCAGGAACAGCTGAGGCGAGTCCATCATTCTCATCCGAATCTGAGTCTATGGAATCTCCGGTCATATCTTGCATCAGACCGGAGAGGAATTGTCCCACCGTTGGGTGGATGGAGAGAACCAGCGCATTGCCACCAACAAGCATCACAATTTTGAGGGGAAGCAGATGCGCACTGATAAACAATACTACTATGGCAATCGTGCATCCGAGGAAAAGAGTTGAAGAGAGCTTCTCATTGGAGAAATTCGTCAGTGGCGCAATAACAGAGATAGCCGCATCGTGGGCGTCTGAGAAATCAGCCATGCAATTCTGTAGATCTCGCATATTCCGAAGGAAATCTTTGGAAGTCTCTGGCGCTGGTTTAATAGTCCTGGCTGGTGCCAGTGCTGGTCCATCATAGGAATAGTAAGGAGTAGTGCTGGACGTCGAGGTATTTGGAGGTGGTGGGTGACGAGTCGCAAAGGCTGGCACCATTATAAAGAGCAATAGAACCACTAGGGGCAAAACCAAAAGGAGATGAGGTTCTAAGCAGATGAAAGAATAGACAAAAAGGAAAGAGATGGTATGGGTTGGAGTGTCCCAGGTGAATAGTTGCTCAACACGGCTCTGAAACAGAAATACCACACCGATTCTGTACTGGTTTTAGTTTCGGTGGATATCACAGGTGATGGTTTCAGTCCTACCTTGCATTAAAGCGACGGAAATTATTTGCCATTACAGGCAAACTGAAAGCCGGTTTCTTAGGAGAGGCCGAAGCCTTATCTCCCAATGAATCAGTTTCATCCTCATCGTCCGGGATGACTTGTTGGAGGACCCTGCAGCTGTCAGCTATTGGAACTATATTGGAACTACCCAGGGAGAAATCCATTCCAAGCATACTTTGTAAATAGGCGGTCTTGTAGTGAGTTCTTGGATAGAGAGGAAGATCTCGAATGTGAACTGTCTGGGGAACCAGGTCTATTCCGTTTTGTTGGAACCTTGGGTTCATTTAGAGCTTCTGTGAATCCATCCATGATTAGACATGGGGAACTTAGGGAAGAAAAGAAGTTGAAATGGAAGCTCGGGAATTCCAACTGTCACAGCCCAAAAGCACATGCTCTGCCGATCAAACGGGGAAAGAGGCTGACATAATCTTGTTTGCATCAGGGGCCTCGAAGTTCGATAGTTCACAAGAAAAATAACAAGTTGGCCCTTCATCTCTTTGGCTTCCTTTTATTTTCCTCTTGTTTTTATTTAATATATATCTCCTGTATATCCCCTCTGTGATTATTCACATCCAACTTCGATCCCATCTAAAGAATCCCCTTTGTTGACGGGGTTATTAAATCCACTTGCCCCCCCAAAAATTACCTTCTTTTTCTAGTTTACCGCCTTACACTTGCCCCAGCAACCCTGCTTCCCCCCCCAAATTTATTTGTCAAAGAGAACATATACCTTGGCCATTGCTCTTTCACATCTCGCAATGGAACGGTAGCTGTTTACAAGAGTCGCGCGACGGTGCTCAAGTATTTCTTGGTTTGAGACCTCGCACTTCTCCTGAATGCAATTGCGATCGCGTCTCTGGCACAGTCCAGTCCTCTCCTTTTCCGACTTTCCTTTGAGAACGCGCGAGAGCTCTAAACAATGCCGCCAAAACTGCAAACACCGGGGAGGGGTCAAGTACGGACCGAAGCAGCATACAATCTTTCAAATGATGATTCGGGCTCCGGAGGTAAGAGTTGAGATGTCGGGAAGGTGCAGCTAGATACTAACAAGAAACAGCAGAAGCTCCGGCCCGCAGGCGCCTGCAAAAGTCGGCCTCGACTAACTTCCCCTCGCACAATACCAATTTTGACACCTCAAACGGGGTCGCTGGACCGCGCACAGGTGGGATGAATAGGAGAAGGCTTTCAATTCGTGACCAAAGAGTCCCTCAGGGTCCACGACCGCAAGACTCTTCGCGATGGAGGTATGACCAGTTCTTCTCTCATGATTGGCTTTGGACTAACTCGACATCTAGCAAACCAAGTCCATACCCCCACTCTGGGAACTCATCTGTCGATTCTACGCTTGATTCCACTAAAAGCTTTAACCTTCGATCTACGAGCGTGGGCAACCTGGCAAAGGCTGATTCCAATCATGCAGACAACGTGGAATTCCTAGCGCCGGTCAACTTTGACGATTTCCATAACAGCATCATGGGTGAACCCAGCTTGAACCACTTCCCCATGCCCGGGAACAGTAGTTCGGGCGAAAATCGCGAAACAGGTCCGACAAATCCCTGGGAAAACCACACGTACGCGGGCAATGTATCGGAACGTACACGGGGTCCTTCCGCTCGACGAAAGAGTGAAGTGCAACGTCCGAATGGTCCGAACGCGGCGGGGCTCACAGCATCCTCTGCCAATACCCGCGCTCGCCGCCAGAGTATCGCCCAGCCGTCTGCCGGAAATGCTTCAAGGGGTCCGCGTAAATCTATCAGCTCTGGGGCATTTGCGCCTACCAATGCTTCGGCCAGGCGCGCCAGTTTAAGTGCTCGCAAAATCAGCACTGACACCGCGTCGTCAAATAACCTCCTTCGCCCTCGACTTCCAGAGTCCGATACCAAGGTTCCGTCTTCTGTTCGAAACCTGAAGGCAAAGTCATTCCAGCCCAGTCCAAGGGAACCCCGCGGTCAGTTTCTGACTGCCTCTGGGGCCATTGACCACACACGATCAAGTTCCACCAATGCCGTGCGGACCCCGCTAAGAAACCCTTCTGGCGCCGTGGGGACTCCTTCATCTGCCTCTAAGCGGGCTTCTGTTATGCCGCCACATGCCACTGGGCTTGGTGCTCGAACTATCAGTCCCACTGACGCACGACGACTGAAGCGAATGTCGGTTGCGCCTACTGCCCCTCCGATGCCACATACACCTCCCACCCAGAGCGAACCTCTTCCCATTCGTCCTCTATCATCAACTCAATCTCCCTCCCAAATCCCGAGGAAAAGCGTCACACCTTCCTCGAACCGAACCACGCCTGACCCAAATCGCAAGTCGTACAGTTCAGGCTTGTCTGTCTCTTCAAGCACCAGCTATAACTCGGCGCGGACTTCTGGAGGCTCTCTTCAAAACCGGCTGTCCCAAAATCTGTCTTCGTCCCGGCTCCCGACGCCCAAGCCACGCGCAGAGCAAGGGAACTCCAGCGGGGAAGAGGTACCACCGGTTCCAGCGATCCCCAAGGCGTACGAGTCGCCCAAAGGTGAACTGGATACGCCTGTCTTCCCAGCGCCCAGAAAGTCAAGTATTCCTGTGGATTTGGGCCTTCTGAATATTAAAGATTCAGACTCCGAAGCGCACACCACGACCCAAGTTGACAAAGTCGACCCTGCCGAAACGAGAACTCCTGATTCACGATCACGAACATCTACTGTTCTGGGAGGACGGAAGGGTTTGCAGCCCTTGAAATTGCCACCGCTGAATTTGTTGCCTTTGGGCACACCCATGGCGGCCAAAATCGAGGCACTCAAAGACAGGGACGAAGAGCGGAAAGCTCACACCCCCTCCAACCAAGTGATCTCAAAGACTCCCAGTACTCCGATGACAGCATCCAAGGCGAACTTCTGGTACCGCGATGAAGATGACCAACCGCCCCTCACTCAAGCACGAAGCAGCACCTCTCACTTTGCCGTCAGCTCATCAACCGCCGCCTTGCGAGCTTCTAGCAGTACCAGCGCGTTTGAGTCATTTGACACGCCAAGTGCACCTCGCAGCATCTCCCCCTATGCCTCATACACGCTGCCCAAGAGCGGTGCCGAGCTCAACCATCTCCGTCACCAAGTCAGCGCCGAGTACTCGAATCGGACGCAAACACACAAGTTGAATGGACCGCGACCTCAAACGCAAAGTGCCATTTTCACTCCCGCTCCAGAACGGCTCAGCCAGATATCGACGCCTTCGGAGCCTGAGAGTGTCACTGCCTCCAGCTCCTCTCTTCGGGACCGGCTTAAGGTGGCACGGCTTCGCAGCAACTCGAAGCCCCAAAAGCCAGAAGCCGATGCTGATCCAGCCAAATACAATCATATGCCACCGCCTAAACTTCCAGCCTCTGCAACATGGAACAACCTGTCTTCAGTCAGCTCGACGAGCCCTAATCTCAAACCATCGTATCTCAATCCTCGCCGACAGTCTTCCGTTTCGAGTGCGACAAACCTGACGACTCGGAAACCAAGTGTCAGCAGCGAGAAAAGTCTCACCTTGGAGCCAACTCCTTCCAACGAGTCGGGCGAAAGCGATCGCTCTAGACGCGTGCAGAGCACGTACATCTCTCCGGTTCATAAAATGATCAATAACGCTAGATCTAGTGTTGCGGCTGCTCCCCGGCCTACTGAGAGCACTGTTGATCCAGATGTGGCGATTGCAGATGCAGAGATGAAGCGACTTGGGTCTGAAACGTAAAGACTTTGAAAAGGCAGCGCGTGTGCTAGACGACTTGCGTCGCAAGGCTGGGCCAAAGGATCGTGTCAGCCCCGCCCAGGCCTTGAAGATGGCAGCACTCAACATCTTTGAACGGGGTGAGATCATCGATTATCGCGATATTTTCTTCTGCGGTACCCAGACTGCCAAGAAACATGTTGGAGATCTCCACTCCAGTGCAGCGAACTTTGGTTACGATGATGACCGTGGTGATTATAATATTGTCATCGGCGACCATCTGGCTTATCGGTACGAAGTTGTTGATGTCCTGGGCAAGGGCAGCTTTGGCCAGGTCGTGCGATGTGTGGACCACAAGACTGGAGCTCTGGTTGCGATTAAAATCATTCGTAACAAGAAGCGATTCCACCAACAAGCCCTCATTGAGGTGAACCTCCTTCAAAAACTGAAGGAATGGGATCCTCATGGCAAGCATAGCGTGGTCAACTTCACCCAAAGCTTCTATTTCCGTGGTCATCTGTGCATTTCGACAGAACTCCTTGGCATGAATCTTTATGAATTCATCAAGGCCCATGAATTCCGGGGCTTCTCGTTGAAGCTGATCCGTGTTTTCACCAAGCAGATGCTGAGCAGTCTTGTGTTATTGCATGCGAAGAAGGTCATTCACTGTGACTTGAAGCCCGAAAACATTCTTCTCGTTCACCCGTTGAACTCCGAAATTCGAGTCATCGACTTTGGTTCAAGTTGCTTTGAGAATGAAAAGGTCTATACTTACATCCAGAGTCGCTTCTACCGTTCACCCGAGGTCATCCTCGGAATGTCGTACGGCATGCCCATAGACATGTGGAGTTTAGGTTGCATTTTGGCTGAGCTGTTCACCGGCTATCCTATTTTCCCTGGAGAGAATGAGCAAGAACAACTTGCTTGCATCATGGAAATCTTTGGTCCTCCGGAAAAGCATCTCATTGAGAAGAGCTCACGCAAGAAGTTGTTCTTTGACTCTCTTGGCAAGCCGCGTTTGACTGTTTCGTCCAAGGGACGCCGACGTCGTCCGAGCTCCAAGGAGCTGCGACAGGCCTTGAAGTGTGATGATGAACCCTTCCTTGACTTCATCACTCGCTGCCTTCGCTGGGATCCTGCTCGTCGACTCTCCCCCCATGATGCGTTGAAACACGAATTCCTCACTGGTGTCAAGGCGCCCCGGCCCAGAATGTACACGTCAAACTCGCCGTCCAAGAGAGGTGCCACGTCTTCGGCTCGCCCTCTCCCTGACCCCCCAGGCACAACGCTGAAGAGCGGGTTTATGCGCGCTCGGGATGTCTCGGCCCATTCCCCGGTCAAGGGTAGTGGCAAACGACATTCGACCGTAAACGGTCCTCCGTCCAGCCCTGGCAAGCGAGGGTCCAGCAATTCTACTACTACTGGGTCCGCCCTTCCTCGGGTTTCGGCGCGGAGTATTAGTGGGAAGCCAGACCTCGCTACTGCCGCGGCTGCGACAAGCCTGGTGAGTTAGGCCGGCGACTTAAACCAGGGCCAGAGAATGGGATGCTGACAAGCCGACAGAGGAAATGATCTTGCACGTTTTTTTTTTTACCTTGCTGAATGCCCTGTAATACTAATCCTTTTGTTCATTACTTTCTCATCCTTGCATCGGGTGGTTGTCATGTCAGCATTTTGTTCCTTGAGATGCATTCATGTTATACCCCCTTGTTCTTGCATTTGCATTGCGCCCATGATGACCTGAGTATCGCTTATACCTTATGTTTTGCTCTTGCTTATGCATTTCCCTTCGTTTTCTTATACTTGATGATCCCCATTCAGGGCCATATGGTCCCTGTGTACATTGTTACCTCTCATTGCATTTCTTAAGAGTTTACGATGTATTGCTCGTGGGTTAGAGCGATTTAACGTTGTGTCGAGTGGCTTCTATGGCTGAATTAATGATGTGATTTTGAATTATAGAAGCAATTCTAGTAAATAAGAGAACCTAGATGATATACAACATACAATATATGTACAATATAAAGAAGACATGTACGTTGTCCGGCATGTCCCCACTGGGCAATCGGGCTACTTGGCCTCATCGCCTTATCTTATTTACTCCACTTCTCCGACAACAACTTCTTGATGGGTAATTGATTCGCAATGAATGGCTTCGAATCTAAGGGCCTGGATGAAGATTCCTTCGGGCCTAAGTCCAGTTTGGCTGCCCTGAAGACCTTCGACGCCTTTCGTGAGTACCTCGAAGCTCAAATCATCTAAACAAACTCTCACTCACATCCATAACCAGCCAAAACCAAAGCCGCCTACACAACCCCAACCCGCAGCGGCGGCCAATGGACCGTCCTAATCCTCATAATATGCACGATCTTCAGCTGGTCCGAGTTCAAAACCTGGTGGCGCGGCACAGAAAACTACCACTTCAGCGTTGAAAAAGGCGTCTCCCACGAACTCCAGCTAAACCTCGACATGGTCGTCCACATGCCCTGCGACCAACTCCGCGTAAACATCCAAGACGCAGCAGGCGACCGCATCCTAGCCGGCGACCTCCTCAAACGCGACGACACAAACTGGCTCCTCTGGATGCAGAAACGCAACCACGAAACCAGCGACGGCATCCACGAATACCAAACCCTCTCCCACGAAGAAGCAGACCGTCTCGCGGAGCAAGAAGCAGACGCACATGTCGGCCACGTCCTCGGCGAAGTGCGTCGTAACCCCCGTCGGAAATTCGAGAGGGGTCCGCGTATGCGTCGCGGCGTTGTCGCCGACGCTTGTCGCATCTATGGAAGTCTGGAGGGGAATAAGGTGCAGGGAGACTTTCATATCACGGCGCGCGGACACGGATATCGCGAGAACGCGCCGCATCTGGATCACTCGTGTATGTTCTGCATCTGTCTTTCCAAGCCACGCCATCCTTGTATCATACAATATAACTAACTGCCCTCCCCAGCTTTCGACTTCTCCCACATGATCACAGAACTCTCTTTCGGTCCGCATTACCCGACCCTGCAGAACCCGCTTGACAAGACTATCGCCGAGACAGAGGAGCACTACTACAAATTCCAGTACTTCCTCTCCATCGTGCCGACGCTGTACAGTCGCGGCAAGGGCGCGCTGGATGCATACACGCGCTCGCCGGATGCTGCCGCATCGCGGTATGGACGCGACACGGTCTTCACGAACCAGTATGCGGCGACGAGTCAGTCCAGCGCGATTCCGGAGTCGCCGATGGTTGTGCCGGGGATCTTCTTCAAGTATAATATTGAGCCGATCCTGTTGCTGGTCAGCGAGGAGAGGGCGAGCTTTTTGTCGCTGCTGGTTAGGGTTATCAATACCATTTCCGGTGTGCTTGTTACTGGTGGCTGGCTTTATCAGATTACTACTTGGGCGGGTGAGATCTGGGGGCGGAGGAAGAATAGGTCGTCCGAGGGTTATTTGACGGGTAAGTCTTCTATGGATTGAGATGGAGTAAGATTTAAGATTTTGGTGTTTCTGTTCGAATGTTTTCTGTGTGTTATTATATCGTGTTCCTTCAGATATCCTACATCAATTGCATGGAGTTCACTCTTTGCATCAAGGTTCATTGGTCGACTCCAAGGTTGAGTTCGACCTGGTATATAGTAAATGATCGTACATCCCGCATACATGATGTAAAGTTAACTAAACTAAACCTCAAATATCTCGCCCATGCCGACGCCTGCACCTTCTGCTCCGGCTCGGCTGTCGACCAGATCCAGACGCCAGCCGTTCCAGTCATGCAGCTTGCTCTTGATATTGCGCACCCACTCAACACGCTTGCGGCCTTCCTCTTCAGCCTGCGCACGCGCGAACGCATCTTCATCGAACTCGTCATCAAAGTTCTCTTCGGAGACAAGCTCAAGACTACCACGGGTACCAGGGGGATGAGATGGGTTAGACGATGAAGCGCGGGCACGGTTTCCACCAGCTCCCGTAAAGGCAGCAAAGCCGCTAGAAAGCACCGTGGAGAAAGACGAGTGCTGTTGCTGGGCCATGCTGCGGCGACGGGCATGGTCGGGCCGTCCACCGACGAGATCGACGTCGTCGAATGCATTGGCTGCGTCGCCAGAGCCAGGACTGGGTCCGTCGTCCGGGTAGTGCTCCATTTCCTGGCGCTTCTCTTGCCAAACGCCGCGGCGCAGATCGAAGACCTCGCCTTCCAGCTCGCGGATGCGGCGCTCAAGGCGCTGGCGTTCTTCGTCCTCGAGCTCGTCCAGGGCGTCGTCGTCGGCGCCTCCGCCGGTCTGGCGAGTTCGGATCCGATCACTCTCTTCGCGGAGGCGGAGGTTCTCATTTTCGATGCTGGCGATCTTTTTTCGCATGACGGCGATTTCTTTGTCGGATTTCTCGCTCTCGCGTAGCCGGGTTTGGTGCCGGGCTTCGCTTTCTTTGTGGAGATTGCCCATTGCCTGTAGTTTCTTGTCTAGCGTCTCGATTTTCTTTTCCGATTCGCTCTTTTCGTTCTTGTACTCCTCGATCTCACGCTGGAGATTCTTGATCAGCGTTTCGGTGGATGTCTTGTCGACGCCTTCCTTGACGGCTTTCTCGGAGGCCCGCGTCAATGCCTGCTTGATGTCTGCCAATTCACGCTGGGATTGATCTAGTGCTGATTGGGTCTTTGTAACCTTCTCCTCTAACGCTGCGACCTGAGACTCGTGTGCATCGTTAGAGGATGTTTGGGAAGTGACCTGTGCGCGGAGATTTGAGATCTCCAACTCCATAGACTCAATAGTGGCTGACTTGGACTCCAGCTGACGAACAAGGTCTGCTGGCGGTGATTCTGTCGCACTTGTGTTTCGATGTGACCGGGTCTGGAGCTGTGAGTTCTGTCGCTGAAGGGAAGCAATTTCCTCTTTCTATTCAGCAGGTTAGCGAAGACGGCCATCACAGGATACAAGGTTTCATACCAACGACTCAATGCTTGCAGCTTTCTCTTCTGCCTGCTTCAACTTTTCCTTCAACTCCACGCCATCAACACTCGCTTCCCGCAGATCCTCCACTTGCTCCTCAGTCTTGCGCCAGCGCATAGTTGCATCCGAGAGTTCCTTCTCCAAGCGTTTATTATCTTTCTCAAGCTCCTCAATCTTAGTAGACTGTTTGCGGAACACTTCGTGTACCGACTCCCGTCCCCGGTTAGGGGCGGTAATGATTGTGCGGGGGACTTGAGCGTAGCAGACGGAGAGGGGAGACGCTGCCCTGCGAGACGGAGGTCTTGCGGAACGAGGATGACCGCATCTTCGACTGGATTGATAGCGAGGGTTGTCGGCCGTGGTTGGCGCGGGGTGTATCGAGCCGGGCTGGCAGCGGCTCAGCCTCTGGGTCAGGAGATGTGGGCGCTGGAGGCATCGGTTCGGTAGGAGACTCGATGTTCGTATCAGTGGCAAGTTGCGCGGTTTGTTCTTCTAATTCCTCTGGTTGTTCAGGGCCCGCGGCCTCCGGTTGCGCGGCCGACTCATCTTGCGTGTCTGGCTTCTCCTCCGCGGAGACATCTGCCTGCAGTGTTTCTGGGCTCGGCGCATCTTGAGTAGGTTCTGCCTCTGCTGAGGTCTCGGCCTCCTTGGTTGTGTCTGCTCCAGCGGCGGGAGTCTTCTTGGCCTTCTTTTTCTTCTGGAGTTGGGCAACCTAAAGAACAACAATCAAGTTAGCGACCTAAGCAACGCCATCTGTCACACGCGCGGAATTACCCTTTTCTTGGCTGCGGCCAGCTTCTCAGCTTTGATGCGCTCCTCGTCGTCAGCCATAATGAATCGTTTGAATTGTATGAATGTAATCAAATGGGGAGGATGAAGTGGAAGGGAGAGAATGGACAGCTTCCCCCGATGCACGGACCACGTGTCTGATCTATATGCCCAAATGAGATACAATTTAGTCTCAACTACATATATGTACGGAGTACAGACCGATACGCGAGATAATCACTTGTAGCCACTTTACTATTAGATCTGAGTGGTTATCACTAGTTAACATCAACAAGATAACATCAACAAGATAACGTTGACACCACATAAGAGGGTCGAGGGGTTTGCTTAGCTGTCGAGCTAATGGCAGGTGATAGCATTTCAAACGAATTCGAGATTTCAGATAAAAAAGCTTAGTTCATGATATTAATAGATCTGCGTGAGGCAGCACAAATTGAAGTGAAAAAAAAAACACGACATGGGTGATACTAGACAATAAGTCACAAAAGGTCAGGTCGAGGGGCATCATGTCAATATTGACCGTTCAACAACGCCCCTCGCGAACAAAATACCATGCAAGTTGATTGCGCCAGTCAAAAAGAAAAAAAGAACAATAACCCAACACCTCCGGCTAGAAAGATCATACCCGATCAACGGGACCAAAAGAAGACATACAAGAAACGAACAAAACAAAAGCGCACAAACCGAATCATGTGGTATAACTTAGACTTCCATGGAGGCTGCAATTTCCTCACTCATGGCACGGACTCCGCGGCGGGCATTTGGAAGATGCTCGTCGTCGTCACTGATCACGTACGGGTCATATTCGTCCACTCCGGTGCGAATCGTCTTTGGAGGGCGATCCATCTCATCATCACTATCGCTGGCGATAAGAGATGATCTAGCCCGTTCTCCAAACCAAAACTTAGCACGCTTGCTAGAGCTAAGATCCGGCGTAAGGTATCCCTCGTCGTATGTCCGCTTCCCAGTAGGTGTAGTGGCCATCTCGTCGGGGGTGTGGCTGAGGATTGGGATCGCGCGGAGGAAGATGTAGCAGACGCGCTTGCGAATCGGATTGAAGAAGAAATAATGTAGACTCCAGATAGCCCCATCATCGGCGTCGGACGGGTCCTCCTCGGGCGAATATGAATAGATAGAGCACTCCTTAAGCGACATGTGCTCATCTATTGTTTTCCATACCCGGGGGGCCCCACGCAGAAGATGATCCTGCTGTGTAAGATCCAGAAAGTGTCCCGGGGGATGCGGGAGACAAGTTGGTGTTCTCGCGCGGTCGCAGGTTGAGCAGCGTCGAGTCAACTGTGTTCATGACACGCTTCAAGTTCCGTTCCCGCCGGAAATCAGTCGGGCGCAGGACTTGTGAAAAGTCGTAATCTGGGTGACTGGCGTTCAAAGTGGCGATCAAATAGGCGAATGTCCGTCGGCTCGAATGGTCGCTCAGGGGTCCGAACGGACTTGATCGCGATAGATTCAGGGTCTCGGCGGCATCGTGTGCATTTGGAGGTGAAAGTGAAGCTGAAAATCGAAGCACGGATTCATATTGAGCCTCCAGCGACTGCTCGATATGGTTGTAGAGTTTCCGATCGGAGCGTGCCGCCTTGGTGGTGTAAATATCACAGCCGCCGGTGATGTGGCAGTCGGTTGTATCGAAATTCAGAGAACTGGTTACGTCCTCGAACTCTGGCAGTGGGAGAAACTATATTACAGGGATGGTCAGCACACTGATAGAAAGGCACTTTGGGGCCGCGACCGCTGGATTTACCTTCATCGTGAGGTTAAACCGGGGTAGTGGAGATCCCCGAGATAAGCCGATAAGCGTCCTAGGATGACGTGGCACAGTCTGCGATTCGAAGAGACCGAGTCAGATCTCTCCTTTGGTGTAGAGAGAGATAGGGAGACGCGAGAGAGCGATGTGAACACTGCGGGTGATTGAACCGAAGATGGAAATCCGATGATGTCGATGGCTGATAACCGCGAACAGGGGTTGGATAAGGGGATCAACACGAACTACACAAGGCAGATCGCAGGTCTTATAGCGAAGTCAACACCAATGCCAAAGAGGGGTATACAAAAGAGATGGGAAATGAAGTAGGAGGGGATGTCCTTGGACGATCTTTGGGGAGGGGATTCCGGAAACAGTCACGTGTGGAAGGCGTGGTCCAGTAGGAACCCGCACTGACCTCACGAGCAATCCAACCATGGAAAGACTGGAAAGACAGGAAAAGACCATTCACAGGCCAACTTGTTCCAGGTTGCGTGTTATATCTTCCGATGCCTGGAGGTGAACAAGTTGTATTGATTAGTATAGAAAACTCCTATGTACGCCACAAAAAAAAAAAGCAAGAATCCTGCTTGCTTCGGTTACATGATCTTGGTGACCACATCTTCCTCAACCTGGGGAATAATTAGCCCGGCTGAAACTTGGCCATGGCTGGGGAAAGAAAGGGGCGGGGATAAAGGGTCCAAATATAGACATATAAGAGCACATAGCAGCACCTCTCTTGGCGGTTCTTTCTTCTAAAAGACAGTGCCAAACAATGCCCATAGAAATAAAAAGAAACTTGTCCTAACTCACCTCCATATCTTCCAAACTGTCCTGCTGGCTGATACAGCGAAGAACATTCTTTTTGCTGGTCTCTTGCATTTCCCCCGCAATCAATAACTCATCAAGAATAAAGTATGCTTTCTGGAAGTTGAAGATGATGTCCAGCTCGCAGACATTGCCGTAGTACTTGTCCATCTGTTCGACGTAGCGGTGCACCACCTCGAGGGTGATCAGCTCATTATCCGTCGAGGCACAGCCAGCGATGAAGAAGAGTGAAGCGTAGCGACGGTAGACAACTTTCGAGTCTAGTGATATAGAGTCCCTGTTAGTCCAATTCCAGCTCGTCGGCAAAAAGGGGGTCGTGCGGGGATAGAAAGCCACCTTTGTACTCCAGGAAATTGCACATCCGCGTCCGGCGGGACAGCACCAGCTGGGTTACATCCTTGATGATCTTGGCCTTCTCCTTGGGAGAGAGTGTGGTGAACCACTTGGCGAGACGCTAGAGAAGTGTTGTCAGTTGGTTCGGCCAGGTGTTATGTAGTTGGAGGTGACGAGGCATACCACTTTGCCCTGTCGGGAGAGCAGAATCAGGTAGCTAATGAGGAGTTAGTGGTCGCAGATATAACATGACAGCAGGACAATCTCACTTGACAGGCATATTGATGGAGATGTGAAATGAAGGGATGGAGAAAAGTGTCTGGGCGGAAGCTCTGGAGAAATTCTTTGGGTGGAGCGGAGGGGAGTTTTGCCCCGCTAAGCCCTAGCTTAACAATTTAAACGTGGAGATTCAAGATGGAGTTGATTTCAGAGAATAGTTGTTTCTCCTGGAATTTTCCGTAGGTTGTAGGTTGTGTTTTGCGCACGGGGCCTGGGGTGAGTCAACCCTCGCCTCCATGAGGTACATGCATCTACAGCTCCTTGGAACTATGCATCATATATCTTTACATAGCTAGCATTGGAGCCTCATGCATGGATTTAGACCCTACTAAAATAGAAACAGGATAATTTTACGATCGGGCTTTTTTAAATTTGTTGGTTATCAACATGTGCATGCTATGCTATGTATAGTTTGGAGATATATAGATGCGTCGAAGCTGAACGGTGCAACATATATGAGTAGGGTTTACGCTCACTCGAGCATAACTATGCGAGTGTCTATGTCCCAGGACTTTGCAAAATTAAATGAATACTCAGCATCAACTAACTAATTAAAAAGACATAAACCAATGGCACAACACCTAGGAATCCAAAGTAAAAAAAAAAATAGTCAACGCCCGGTAAACCCAAAGGCGACCGACAAAACAAATATTATTAATAAAATAAGTAGTAGCACATTAAGTATCAGATCTCCCACGACCGAGACCAAAAGAGACAACGTTCTGTCGAATCGTCACAGACATGAGAGACATGGAAGACATCAAAACCAGAGCCCCAAGCTCCTAGATCGTACAAAGGCACCTTCGTACAACATCGTATACCGACATCACCTCCTCAACGCCATTAACCAGAACCACAACCAGAACCATGGTCCAAAGTTTTCAAATTACCAGGTAGTACACAGACACAGACGAGAGCGACAACCAAGCCCAAGGCTCAGTCTCCATCACACCCGCCTTCACGACAGACCCTTTAAACCTGAGTCATGTTAGGACGGCCGCCGCGACGGCTACCGGTACGGCTGCGCGAGGGGCCGGCAGAAGAACGCCACATGAACACCGAGACGATGAAGGAGGCCATGTAGCCTGCCCAGGCGAACCAGAGGAAAGCAACCGAGGCCTGGGCCTCGCGGCAGCGCTTGGTCATGTCCTCTGCACCATTGGTGATCTCGTTGCTCTTGAGGTATTCCTGATAGGGGTCAGGGTTAGCGTTGATTCGCATTTGCATATTCAGGGATCTGCGATATATTGTTCAACTTACCTCGTTGTTGCAAGAGTGGCATTCCAGCCTTGCGGCGAGGGCGATGGCAGCACAGAAGAAGAAAATGCAGTTCAGGGCGTCGATGATGATCATGATGATCGGGTGGCCGGACCAGTCGATGTTGTAGGAGGCCGGGATTAGGTAGAACAGCGTGAGCATTGAGAAGACCGATACGTAGATGGAGTAGTTTACGGTCGCAGGGTTCCCGGAGAAAGCTTCAGCGATCATGTTACCGATGAGGGCCATAACGAGCAGGGTCCATAAGAACTGGAATTGGTTAGTATTGGACTTGGGACTCTGGATAGCTCTTCGCTGTCGATTGCACATACCTCCCAGGCTCTGAGGCCTAGTTGCACACCCCGGAGACTCATTTTGTAGTTATTTAGATCAGATAGTATCGAGATTGATTAGACTAGATTGCAAAGCTGTAGAGGTATAAGATGCGAAGTCGAGTAAAGAGTAGCCTTTAAAAGTCCAACAGTATATATGGGAAAACGACGTTATAAATCGGATGCACCGGAGGTCAGTGATGACATGGAAAAGCAACATCCCCAAACCTAAAAGTCGGCCCTACGTCATGTATCCGGCATCAAGCGGCCCTATTGGATTCAAATCACATGTTTAATTGGACGTATAGCTGTTGAGGATGTTGGAGATGAAATCATGAGAGGTTGCACTCTGGTCAATGATGAGTTCTTGACTAGATTTGAATGAGGCCTTGCTTTTTACTTGATCCACCTTTTTTTTTCTCCTTCATTCCAGTTTTACAGATTCTGCAGATTCTGCTGGAACAGAGGAATCTAGGCTCCATTCCTTGCAATGCGTCTATCATTTCCGTTTTGTAGGTTTCCCCTCATTGACATTGACAAGTTGGGCATTTTAACGAGGAACGGTGCAGCTGACATATGTAAGTATCATGTGCCTCCTGGGCTGTATGGAAGATTTCGTAGTGGTACTGGATAAGGTCAACGAAATGACATAAACCGATCAAAAAAATTAGAGCCCTCGACTTTCGCGTTATTAGCACGACACTAACCAATTGAGTTATGGAACCGGTATTTGAAGGAAAGTATTCACTTTATGGTTCTATATCCTAACAATCCAGCGTAGGTTCAATGAACTTCCATTTGGATAGCCAACTACAATCCAGGAAAATGAATACCTGCCTGCATGCATAAAAAGTAAATTTCAATTTCAGTCAGTGCAAGTATGCGCGACTTGCACCGGTTCGCATCGCGACCTTTCATTAGTTTCCCTTAAAGGCACTTTGCACGGATCCATATCTAGAAAGGTCAGCATTTATGTATATATCCAAGATCCACTCATGTACAACTTACCCTTGTGGGCACTGCTTACCCAGTGCGGCACTACCACTGCGCATATAGCAGACCTTGGACTTCTGGCACGCGATAGTAGTGCAGCTGGGGCTCTTGACACTCCGCTTCCCCTGGTAGGTGTTGTGCAGACTGACAAGTTCCACGTCCTTCTCCATGGCCTCGGTAACCCGGTGCCAGAACGTGGCGTTCAACGGCGCATCCTCGTCCCACCTTGCTGCCGGTCCATATGTATCTCGGGTGGAGTATTCGATCTCAAAGGTCGGACCTGTGTCCTCGAGAGCCGGGTACTCCGACACATTGCTGTAGAAGGTGTATGCTTCGTAAACGTTGAAGTCGCCCGTGTCGACCTCGTACAAACGGAAGCCACTGTTCAGGTTTTCCAGAGGGGTTATGCTGGGCATGACCCAACCGGTGGTGAGGGCATTGTCGGCATCCTGCACAGTCCCGTTGTTGGCATAGTAAACCATGAACTCGTCCTCGTGGGTGTGTCCGAAGAAGATGTTGGCAATAACATGGGGCGAGTAGCGGTCTACGATCTGGTAGAATAGATCGGACGGGTTGGGGAGTGGATTTTTCCCATCCCATCCACTGAGGACATGGCCGATTATCCAGACACGCTCACCGGCATCCTCGGCCTTTTGCAGCTCCTCGATCATCCAGGAGAACACTTCAGAGTTGTCGGGGTTGGTGGTGTTGATGAAATTCAACATGTTGTGCCGATACCACAAATCTGTGAGAGTGAGTGGACAATTCCCAAATAAGTTGATAACAACATACCGGTGTTGAAGGCAATGATGCGTAGTCCGTAGTGTGTCTTGACAGAGTAACCGCCATAATGAGTGCTCGCTTCATCAGCGGTCTCACGACTAATCCATCCTTCATGGCGCCACAGTCCAGCCAGGTGTTCGTAATTCCAGCTTTGCTGTTCCCCCAGACGGCCAGGGAGGTTATGAGGAGAATCGATGTTTGCAGGACTGGTGTCATGATTTCCAAGTGCAGCAAAGACAGGACCAGAGAGATAGTGTTTGAACATGCCATAAATGCTGGTCTCTGTATACTGAGTGAACGCCTTGGATATCTGGGGTGCCGGATCATGCGATACCAGATCACCCGTATAGAGCGTCCACGCAAGGTGGTCATCATATTTTCCCTTGCCAGTTCCAGTCAGAGGACCAACAGCCTGCAAAGCAGCAAGACCCAAGTCATACGGGGTATCACACAGGAAAGAGCCATAAGCAGAGGCAGAAAGCAGTGGGCTGTCTTCGGAAAGGTCATTGTAGTTGTCACTCCGACAGCAGAGGCTGGACGAGCAGTTTGCTTCGGAACTGACGGCATACCGGGCATCAAGATGGAAGTCTGACAGATGTAGTACCTTGATCCGCTCGCCACTTGCCTTGGGGACCTGGACATCTGCAGGTTTGGGCTTTGGGAAAAGCTTGGTCGTGTCCAGCGGGCTAGTCGTCGGCGCACTGCAATACTTTTCGCTGAGGGAATGGCAGATGTATTGACCATCCAATCCTTCTACATCAGCGTACGCCAGTACCTGAGTCCAGATAGCACCGAAGGTGTTCGAGGCAAAATCTTGCTCACAGGTCTCATTGGCATGGAAGCGAAAGTCCTTGCACAGGCTGATCATGGCATTCGGAACAAGATTCGGGACATGCAATGCTGCAGGCTTCGCTGCGGCGAGAGCGTTCTTGCATTTGGTGCAGCCGCTCTCTGAGCTGTTTGACTTGATGATGTTGGTCACATTGGATAGGGCTTCCTGAACCAGCTTATACCTTTTTCTGGCAGGCATATGAGTTCGCGGCACAGGGAAGTAGACCTCATCCTGGTTGTCCGGAATGTTGTCGGGATCAGTCAACTCGTAAGGGAAAGTGAGGTCCAACACTGGATCATAGAGAATTGGCTGAGGTTGTTCGGTTGGCTTGGCCGGGGAAACGTAGTACGATCTGTCATTCACATTAGCAAACCTCTGTGCCTGAGCTATCAAATAGTCAGCATTCATACGAGAATGCAGAGGTCGGAAACCCAGCAGCAGCCACATAGGACGAGTCTCCTGAGAGAGAAGCAGCAAATGCAACATTCAGGATTAGATTTGTAGTCCCCACGAGGACCAGGAAGGCCATCTTGAATGAACCCGAGTGTCTCATTGTCGCCGGTGAATGGGCTAACCAGAGAAGAGTTGAGAGAAGAGCAAAGAGGAAAGAAAAAGAGCAAGAACGAGGGTGCTTAAAGACTTCATGCAGGTACGATGCACGTGGCATGGAAGGGGTATGTGAGTGGAAAGTGAGATGACAACACTAGAACAATGTAATTTTGAGCTTCAGTAGCTTGCTATCTAGCATAACTTCATTGAATGGTCAGTCCCTTGAAGTCTTTTGATCCAGATACATGAAAAAAAAGGTATCACAATTCCAAATCCCACAAGCCTGGTAAAAATGCGCATCTAGTTATCCCGAGAAGGTATAACCTTCAAAACTGTCCTGTGTGACCGCCATATAATATAGGACCACCAGACTGAAGATGCATACACGAAAGACCGCATCAACCACTCCATCCACAGCGGGCAGTAAGGGAAATGAGTCGGCGGATTACGGTGTATCCGGGCGGCAGAGTGGTAATAGAGCGACTGGCTAGAGCTGACAGAGACAATCTGTTCGCGCTCACGTAGGACATCCCGCACTACAAGCACAGCAACCTGCTGAATCATCCCAAGGGGCATTGGGGGGAAGAGAGAATGCACATGGTGACAAGCTGGATCCGAGCAAGGGCCCAAAGTGTCATGGGCTTGCAAAGCTTGAGAGCCGATGAGTGGCGTGTTGTTGAGTGAGCAGGCTGCTGCATTAGGATCCCAAAGGCCGGGGAATTTGAAGCCCGTTGAGCTAGCCGACCTTTTGAAAGTTGGAGGTGACATACTCGATTCGGCGATGACGAAGAGCAATTTGACGGATTCCAAGAAGCGAGCGATAGGTATCAAATGTAGTGCCATGTCGCTGCACAGCATAAATATTGGATGCCCACATTCCTTCGTGGGCATTGAATCAATCGACTTTGTACTTGTTCATCTGGAACTTGCTAAGTATTCAAAGTGACGAGGAGGCGGGCACAGAAAATAACTGGCGCGCTGATGTATTTTGCCGTTTCAACCCAGCCATGGAAAGCACTTGCACCAAAGAAAGCGTGGGTGCACTGGGGTCTTGCTCGGACTTGCATTTTTTTTTCGCAATGGAATGCCACCATGGCCTGACATGCATCCAGGAAAACTGCAAGTCAAATATCGAGAAACACCAGAGGTAAAAGGGCGCAAGTGTATCACCCACCCAGCATAGAGAGAGAGAGAAAAAGGGAAAAAGGGACCCAGAGGACGATCGGAAAACCGACCTCTATAACCCAGTTTAATCTTGAGAGCTCTTGGAAGCACCGCTAGAAGGAGCCTGCACACAAACAAGCTCAACCATGATATCATCTGGACCGTCGGGTGGTATACTGTTATAAGAAGGGGCGCGACTGATGATACCAACAGCCACCTGGGAAGCTTGGTTGCGGGCGCTCATGTCATCGAGGTACCAGACCTGCCAAGGCCAAGCGCCCGAGCCAGGTGGCATGATGGTGACGTTTTTATCAGGGACTCGTTCTTTGGCGAAATCTAACAAAGTTAGGACGTAACGTCGGGAAGAAAAGAATAATTGACATACATTGGACTGGTATAGCCGCGACGTCAAGAGTGGGTGGGGGACACGAAGGCAGGAGCGGCGGCTTCGCCAACATCTTGCTGAGAACGGCCTCCAGAGGCTTGGAATAGTACTCGCCCGACACGGCAAGATGATATATGCCATTCTGTAGGGCAGACTTAAGATCATGGGAACAATCTTCCCCCCAAATCCCATCACATCCATTGTTCGCCCCGGAAGGGGTACCGGTCAAATTGCCGATCCTGAGGCCGAGTTCGGACGTGCGATTTGAGTCGACAGCATTCAAATTGATATTGTTGTTTTGATATCCCAGCCAAAACGCCGTCTTGGTCATGGGCCCTTCGCCCTTGCCGGAGGAGCTGACATCGAAGCCGTAGTAGAGCGTGACGGGGTCCGGGAAGAGAGGGTTGAGGTCGAAGCGAATCGCAGTCTGAGCGATCGAGTCGATGCATCCATTATTCCAAAACGAGCAGAACTGAGCCGATACAGTTTGTAGTAATACCAGCAACAGGGTTAGGGACCCGAGGCTCAGATTGAAAGCCATATCCAGGGGTGTTATATGACCAGCGAGAGTGACCGCGGAGGCCCTCAAAGTCAGGATAATCGAGAGCAGGCGTCCTGCAAGTTCATTACGGGGAAAGGAGGTAATAAAAAGTGGGAGATTAACTGATAAAAGGCTGTCAACGGAAGCCAGGAAAGTCAGGGAAACGGGTCCCCGCAATACCTACTAGGGTGTCTTTTGAAGAAAATGAGGCTAGTCTCGGTGAAAACCAAAAAAAAGGGTCTGTGGATGTTATTTGACCGGGTCTTAGGGGAGAACGAATGGAGCTTCCGGGAGAACCTTGGAAAAGAAAGGGAAAAAAAATGCCGAGTTCTTGCCAAGGAGACAAAAGAGAGGACAAGGAAGTGAGGTATTTCAAATGTATCAAAATTGCACAGGTTTCTCCGAGCATTCCAAGGTTCCTCTAAAAAGGTGATTTGGGAAATTTGGGTACCTGCTGGGTACCTGAGAGGTACTTGATGCACTATAGTGGAGTCAGGGAAAAGACAAGTCTCCTTCAAGTACCCCCTTGATTGGAAATTGGGAATATTATTTTCCGCGCTAAACAGAATGCCCCCGCATAGCCCAAAAGGGAAATTATTGACGACGATCACCGACAGGGTCAAGCAGGGTCCAACCACTAAGATGCCACGATGCCTCACAGTCGGGGGATTGGTATGTACTGGTATTCTATCGATCATTGCTCCTTTCAGAGTTAAGGTCAGATCTTCCTCAGATCATAGATTTGCATGACCTCATCTTCATTCCAGATGTTTCAGTACAGAGTAAAGTACTATATTGTACTTTGACAATCATTAATAATAGCCAATAATACTAGTAAAACCATATGAGATCTGTGCGTATGCGAGACGTGATCCATACGGGTTTCCAGATATGTATAATCCTTGCCTGTCCTCCGATAGGCTCCATTGCAACAACTCCTCTGACGTAAGAAAAAAAGAAAATGGCCGACCTGAAATGAACGGAGAATCCAACGTCATTTGATTTGATTTTGGTTTCGAATGTCTGAAACACATTCTCATCGGTGTCGGAAATCTCGGGTTCGCGAGGTTTTCAGCCAAGGGTCCGTGGCTGATTGGGCTGTCCATTAGTGTGTGTAGTGCGAGACGGAGAATCCACTTAATCCAGTAATCCTCCGTACTCCGTGTGTTGTATATGTATTTTCACGTTACTCCGGAGATGGGGAATCCCTTTGCTAAAATAATTAAGGTGGAATGTCGGCTTATCTCCCTATCTTTTCGGTATGCATACAATATGGAGTCCTCGAGTACTTAGGGTACATCTGTCCCGGCATCCCAACCTTGGAAGGTCAGATAATTATTCAGTCTTCAATTCATAGATTGCCGAACGCAGAATAAAAACACTTGAAGGCAACATTGTGGTTCCAGAATTTGAGCCAGGTACTTAAAATAAGAACGAAATAACCTAGGGTGTCCAATAATAACAAAAGAAAAACAACCGCAAGCTACCATTGAATATTGGGCTTGGGTTCAGCATCAATGAAGGTACGCAGAACCTGTCCTTCTCACGCGCAAGGCTGTCATCGGAAACAGAGTGGAGCAGCCACAGGTATCTCTCGACCTTGGCGGTTTGCGCTTCGTCTAAACTGCCAAGTGGGTCATTTATTTGCAGGTGGAACTGAGCACCGAGTACCAAGTACATGGACTCCGTGTCGATGGCCTTCACTAGAGGCAAGAGGTGTGGCATGTTCTGCATCGACAATGCGGCGTTGCCGGCGGTGGCGCCTTGGTGGCGGCGGTATTGGTCTGCATCTTCTCTTCCAGCTTGCTGGGTTTCCTTGATAACAACGAATTGACGGTAAACGAAAGCGAGTTGAAACTTAATAATAACCTTCTGTTAGGAGTGGGAAGGCTAGTCGTGTCAGTGTAGACATACTTCGACGTTCACTTTGGCTTCTGGTCGATATCGATATCAAGAACTGAAGCGAGTCAGAGCGGCGTGGACCACCTTAGGACACGTCCAGCGAAAGATGATATTGTTGGAAATTGAAAATCCCGAACCATCTGGTTTCGTCCAGCTCCATAGAATATAAACTCAGATAAATGGTGGGGAAAAATCCAAAAGAGAGACAAAGATGGAAAACTGATGCATATTGTACAATAAACCTCCAAATGAGCGTTAAACATGCCCCTAACATAGATATACATCCCAGAGACTTAGTCTCATGCAAACACATAGTCATACAACTTCGAATATCAACAACCAGAAGGATTTGAGGGAGAGTTTCAATCATATCCCCACGCCAGAACTCCACGCTTGAAACGAATGCAACAATGGGCAGATCACCCAAGCAAAATCATGACAATCCAAAATAGTGTAATAGTGTTGGATGTCCATCAAGACTTGTCGTTTTCAATAGAACGGTCCTTGCCCTGCAGCCAGACACGCTTCCACGGACCGTCCGGTCCGAAAGCTGCCTCTCGGTCTTGGCGCATGCCTTCTAGGACACCAACAACACCACCGCTGCGCAAGCGCTCAAGGACAATGTTCATGCCCTGCTTGCTCTTCAGAACAGCCTCCTTAGTTCGACTCACGCCGATGAGCTCAATGGTCCGCTGGATGCCGGCAGTGGAAAGGGACGAGAAGAATCCCTTCCGAGGCTCGTCATCTTCATGGTCACCAGTGTCCTGTTTCTTCTTCCCAAGCAGCTTGCCCTGTCCGAGTCGGGAGCGGAAGGTAACGGTAGTCTTCACACTGGTCTGTTCGGAGCTTTTGTCGACGGCGAGACCATCGAGAGCTAGGCGGTCTTCTTCGGATAGCATCCGCTTGTAGCATTGCTTCTCAACCACGCTCAGGATGCCAGTCCATTCCATGTTGCGGGACTCAGTTTCCATCCACCCCTCCTTGGCATCAACAACGGTCTTCTCGAGAATATAGCTCTGACCGGAGCTGTCTGAGCCACCCATGCCTTTTGGCAGAAGCTTTAAAATTCCAGATGGGATCTTGGACTTTTTCAGATGTAGCCGGATGGTGTGAAGACGCTGAGTCTTGGGGTCGACATATCTGTCAATGACATCGGTTGTGAGGACATGGCGAGAATAAGGGTTGGGATAGCGGAGGAAATAGGCGAGGGAGACGGCGGGGAAGGAGTAATCGTAGGTAAAGTTGTTCTCGAAAAACTTCATGATGGCATTCGGTGATTCATGTAGATGGATTGAGCAGAAAGGCAAGGAGTCGTCTGACCTGGTACTTTTTGCGAAGGCGAGCAAAGGTAGAAGTGGGGACAGAAGGGGATGAATAGTTATTCCGAGGGAAACCAGATGCTTAAGATCACATGCATCTCACGTGGTCCGGGGTTTAGGCCTATCATCGGCCCGCAATAGCTAATGATGTGTATACTTCCACACTTGTTATGTTGTGCTGATGTCAAGACAGTCAATTGGACTCCCCGAGATAGGGATGAACAAACAAACAGGACTGATGTGAAAGTATAGTAAAGTTAGGTTGCTACCTGTTGCGGAAATAAGTATTTGGGGAGAAAATAAAATAAAAACGATACCTCATACCTAGGTATCTCAGTCCATGTCAGAAGATGTAAAACTGAAACGATTGAGAAGGGCATGTTATCGCGGCCTTTCTCAGATTGCAGCCCGGCTCTGATGGCAAACAGGCCATCACAATCACTACCTAGGTATCTGATAACTAAATGAAGTGAATAATAAATACCCTACCATCACCTCCTTCCTTTCCCTCATCCTTTCCTCTACTCACTCCCTCCTTTACTTCTGAGCAAGCCGCTCTTCTTTCATAAAACTTCTCAGTCATCGCTGGTCTCTACACACCAAGCCAATCGGTAAGTTTCCTTCCACTCTGATCATCTTTTTCTTTTCAACGTGATGTTAACGTATCCTTTATCAAGAGCACAAACACCGCTACGCCCTTCTTTCTACGTCACTTCCACGAGAAAATGGCACCCCCACCTGGCTGTGGTGTGTGCGGCAAGCAAGATGGACTTCTTCGCTGCTCTGGCTGCAAGGCTATGATGTACTGTGGTGTCGAACACCAGATCGCCCACCGCAAAGAGCATTGGTCTGCTTGCAGCGCCATCCGAAAAAGTCGTTTTGCTATTGAGAAGAACAGGCCATATGGGGCCAGCGCGGTTATATCTTGCGCATCGCAGAAATCTTCGTCAAGACTTTCAGGACCCGCTTTTACAAGAAATTCCATTGTGATCTATGTGATGCAATGGGCAGTGTTAACCGCTTCGAATCGTTCATAGCACAGGTCGACCGCCTGATGGAAGAAGAGAGATTCCGTCGTGCTCCAATTGATGGGAGCCGCGATGGCGACCTCGAATCGTCCAGGGCCCGCGAGACGCCACTCTCGGCCTGATGCAAAACCTGCGGCCCCTTCGTCTCCAACAGGTCCAGGACTGCTATGATTTTCGGAAGTGGTTGGCTACGACTGGCCAGAATTGCAACCATGATTGGAGGAACAATACTCTGCCGTACCTTGACATCCCAAACGCCAGCCCCTTCGAGCCTATCGATATGTTCAGTGACAAGGCAAGACTCAGACCCAAATCTTCGACTATTACCAAGAACTACCAAGAACCCAAATGCCGTTAACTGTGGCAACGGATGGGTCGAAATGCTCTATTATTGGGATGTGCATTGATGGAGAGATTTGATGAAGTTCCCCGACAACGAGAGACATTCGAGGTTTGAAAAAGATGCAAGGATGGTGGACGCTGGTTTCGAGAATTGCGCAATCTAAGGTTGATCATTCAAGGTCGAGGTTATTCACGTTTTCTACAGAATACCTAGTATAATCCCTTTGACAATTAATTTTAGGGGTTTCTAGCAATTCTCCATTCGATGAACAGCAAAAGGAAATGATTATCCAAAAATGGAGAGTATCACAAACGTGGGAACTGGTAGATAAACCTTTCTAATTATTTTGGCTGAGCACTGTTCTTTCTATAAAAATCTATTAGCCCTACTTCATATTTAGGTCTAACAAGCCGGCCGTCTAGACGGCCACTGTCCGTGACGACCTATGACTTCATCAAGTCAGACATTAGGACAAGATGATACTAACCTGAAATTCTGCAGATAGTAGTGGCCTTTTAGCCAAACATAATAATTAATTCAAAAACTTATTCAACTCGGGCCTGTTTGTTGGTGTATCAGAATATCAAACCACAGGGCTTACTCACCTAAGCACCCGTCCATGGTGAACAGCGGGCTAACCCACGAGCTTCGTCACCCTTCACATTGGAACAATTACACTCTTTCACAACCCCCCATGGGGATGAAAGCCCGCTGCCAATGTGGCAAGATCCAATTTACCACACCGACAGATAAGCCTCTGAAACTCTGGATCTGCCACTGCACAGAATGCCAGCACCAAAGCTCGTCCGCGTTCGGCATCACCGCAACATTTCCATACTTCGAGCTCCCTGATTCAGTCTCCGGTCTGGTCAGCACCTACACTCGCGTTACTCTCAAGGGACGCGAGATGGAGTGCCTTTTCTGCAAGGAGTGTGGCGCGCGGCTTTTCCATCGCTTCCGGGATACTGTGCCTCCACCTGGCGAACAGCCCGAATTCTCTGCAATAACCAATGTGAAAGGTGGTTGTTTGGAGGATCTCAACAAAGATATGCTGCGAACTGCAGTCAATATCTGGTGTCAGGAGGCCATTATTGATATCCCAGAAGGCGTGGAGAAGTGGGATCAGGCACCGCCCCAGCCGAATCCTTTGGTTACTTAGGTCACTCTACGTGCCCGTTTCTTGAGATGCTCTATCCGCCAATCCTATTATCCTATTATTAGAAGAAAAGGGCAAAACTCAGGTTAGAAAATACGCCCCAAAAATAGAAGGCTTAGAAAAGGACCTTCTCTGATGTTAAGAAAAGGTGATCTATACCTAAACACTTCCGTATAAATTGAAGCTATTCTACTTCCCTCATTACACACGGCCTTCTTCTGTTCTTTATTTCACTCACTTCATGTTCTTCGCTTCTGACCTAGCATTTTATTGGGACTTTATTTCGCTATAGCTTTTACTTTCTATTGGTTGTCGAGTAGCCTCCTGTTACCTTGTGCTAAAAATGCGGCTTTAGCCCGCGTTTTCCCACCTTATAATTAAGTATTTTACATGTGATGGGCCGCAGTCAGCCTTCTATAGAGTTTTGAATCTCACACGATTAACTAATAGCTAGGTGATACTATTGATACCTTACAAGAACGCGAATACACCAGCACCTCTTTACTCTATACTGCCAACAAGAACTGATAAATAACCGCTTGTCTTACTCTCACTACCCCGCAGCTGGCCGTCAACACCTATCATCAACTTCGAGCACCCTGACTTCTTTCCCAGAAACAGACACCTATTACGCACGATGGCTGGGCCACATAGAACGCCAATTTACCCGCACGAAGAATGCATTGCACGCTTTGTCTGGGCAGCTCATATCCTCTTTTATCTCACAAGCAACCGAAACCACGAGGAGCTACACGAAGCCGAGAACAATGTTGAATGCGACAGCAATACAGACGACTCGAGCGATTGTGAAACAGATTATGAGACAGAGAAGAATGTGGTTCTGTCAGGTCCTCGAAATTCCGTTCGCCAGAAATTCCTGGACTGTATTGCGCAGCTGCTATCGCCGTGCAAGGGATGGGATGGGGTTACTGCAACAGCGATACGTGAAGAAGGAGACGGAGCTGTGGTTGATATTGCAAGGAACGATGGCTTTCTGTCTGATGAAGATTGCTTTGACAGCGACATTATGGGTTACTGCAAGATGTTAGAAGAATATCTGGATAGTAGTGCTAGAGGTATGTAACACCGTCCAATCCCCGTGGCGGATTTTCGAATATTTAATGACTGGACATGGCAGCTGGGACAGCGACGAACACAACTGCAACTCCTTTAACAGAATTCGAGCTCAAGGTGATAGACTATACGTCCCGTCGGATCGATCATTGGATTGAAGATCTCCGGCAAACCCTACCAAATGACCAAAATTGCCCTGACTGGAACTCTCAACGATGGCTCGGGCAGGATGCTGCAGTTCAGGCTTGGACAACCATGACGGATCTTATATTACAATTTGACGCTGATGAAGAAGCCGCTAAATTTAGACCCCTAATAGTCCAACAAGCTTATAGATGCTTTAAACTAGCACAGGTCCGACACTTGTTGTCGGACGCCTTTGGGACGCAGACTGGCCCGAAGCTCTGGAGCAAGTTGAACTATATCGCTAGGCCGCTGGTCGACTGCCGAATATTAGGATCAATAGCTGCCCAGGAGCCACAGTTGCGAGATTGCAAGATCTCACTGGTTCCGTCTAGACCCAAGACAGCACTTGAAGCCAAATACGTGGTTGGAATATTCAAGGCGTGGGAGCGACTAGGGCTGGGCTCCGTTCCCTAAAGCCGTGGTATGCAAACTTGATCCCTTTAACCCAAGGTTTGAGAAGGCCTGTGCAAAGACAGTTTCTCTGCATGCTGAGATGCAACTCGTGATGCACTACGAGGAGAGATGCGCACCTAGGCCTACTCTGGACTACATTGGGTGTAGCAAAAGGACTTGCTTGCTCTGTGAAACTTTCCTTGGCGCGTTGCCGAGTCCAATTGCCACACGTGGAAGGCATGGTGTTTGTTATCCTGCTTGGGCCGTACCAAGGTCAAATTCGCGTGCCATAGAGGTCGCAGTCGAACAGTTAGAGAAGAACCTCGTAGCTCGCATTCGAGGGTCTCTCAACCATTTGATGCACCCCAGGCAGAAAAGTATCGCTGCGAATGTCATCCAATCCGGCATGGTGTCAGACTTTTCACACTTGACAGTTGAAGAATGGTGGCAGAGAGAACAGGACGTGCGGCTGTTTAAAAGTAAACAGACGATCCAGCACAACAATATGCTGATTATGTGAGGTTATATCCTGTTATATTGGCAAATACTAAACAACTAACTGACCATGACACCAAAAAAGTGAAGGGATTACACCAACTACAAACTCAAGATATTGCCCGCTCGATAATATCGAACCTAAAGTCTGTTGCGTGATGTGTAACACAAGCCCAGCAATTCAATGTGCACAGTGCCAAAGCACATACTACTGCTCCAGCGCTGCAAGAAGGGTGATCTCCCTTCACATAGCCTTCTCTGCAAACAGTTCGCTATTCAGTCCGATAGACCCTCTCCGGAACACAAACGAGCCATATTCTTCCCAGTTGACAGAGACGAGCCATGTTTGATATGGATCCCGTGTAGACGTCAATACGACGAGAAGGACGGCATCGGATGGAAGCAGATCGATCCTTATCCCTACCTTGGAACTGATAAACCGTTCAAAGGGATAATGCGCATTGAACATAACCCAGTACGATGTCGAAACCTTGGATCGGGGTTTGTACGCTTTGCCCGCAAGGAAGGATACTGTGTCTCCTTGATACATCGCGACGCCTATTTGGAAGATGGGTCAACGACGAACAAAAGCATATTAGCTTCAGTGAGAGCATCCTGCACGTCCACTATCCCACATGAATTTCGCGGCCCGATGATTGCCCTACAAGGGCTTCACCACGAAGACTATGCCGATATAACACTAGCCGACTTCCGACATCTAATGGACTACTTGATAAGCTACCGAAACACGAATGTTAGGGAAAGCGTCCTGGATCTGCTACCACATGCCCCAACAACTGTCCGCGGCGTGAAGATTTGTTGTGACGGCGAAATAAATTTTCATGGATCAGAGCCCTTAGTTTCCGTTGATGTCACCCGAGCAAACCGGATCTCCTTAGGCAGCGGATCCATCTCACCGATATCTGTCTGTCTCGGAATGCCTGTACGGTTCTGGAAGGACCCAGGCACCGAGTTCCCATATGGCCCGGCAGGATGGGAGGGGGGCATGACGGATAAAAGCAATCCTAATGTTGCATTCTTGATGATGGAAACTGATTGTTCCAAAGATGAGTGGGGCTGGGCGCCTATGTACTGGAATAGAAGGATAGGAAATGTCTGGGCTGTTCGGGAAGACAGGCGGGATCTGGATGTGAACGATATCGCAATGATGTGCCATTTTGCGAGGCGCAAGCTACAGCCTATGTTTGAAGACGTGATAGAATCGGGCTCGAGCTCAGTGAGTAGGCGGACGGTTTTGGAATTCATTACTTGGGACAATATGGTTACTTATTGGGATGAGACTGGCCTGCATTAGCAATGCAAGCTTCCTATTGAAGATTGGATCAATGACAGTTCAAATTCTGGTTGCCATATGATCTGGAATACAATTCGCTTTAGGGGAGTGAATACGGCTACACAGGAGTTATTTATCGGGCATCCGAGTTCGCAACATCTGTTTGCCATTTACCATTCAATCTCAAGCCCATCGTACTTATGCAGTCCTTTGGTCTCCTCCCAGCCCGGGACATGAATATTAAGGAACTTCCCATTGAGAGCTTCTCTATCTCTCGAGAGGAGATCCAACACTGCTTTTGCGCCGGTTTCAGCATCCAGGTCGGCATAGGGACCACCTTGGTCTGTCCGAAGCCACTGCATAGAATGTTAATTGTGAATGCGGATGCCGGCTGATTCCCAGCCAAACTTACACCAGGTGAAACCGCAAAGAACGTGAACCCTTGATCGTTCAGGTCCAGTGCATATAGCTTGGTCATGCAGTTTAGCGCCGCCTTCGATATTTTATAAGCATGGTGAGGCGCAATCGTGAATCGCTCTGCGTGTGCTAGAGACCCCGTGATGGAACTCCTGTAAGCGGTATTGGTCAGTCAGTCAGTTTGACCCATCCGCCTATACTCTGCTGCTGCTACGTTGCCTGTTTGTTATAAGCGCGGCTTACATGTTCAAGACAGTTTTCCGGTTTCCCTCCCGGAGGAGCGGCAAAAATGCGAGGGTGACATTATGGACGGCCTCAACGTTGACTTCCAGTGTTTCCCGTAGGTTATTCATGGTTTCCAATCCGCCGGGTGATAGTTCATTTACCGCGGCGTTATTAATTAAGATATCAAGGCCATGGCCATCCAACCTTTCTTTCACCTGACGGACTGCTGCCGCGAGACTGTCGGGGTCCGACATCTCGAGGTTCACCAGAACCACTCGACATTCCGATTGGGAGACGATCTCTTGCAACGCGGGCGGAGGCGAGGAGCGCAGGGTGGCAAAAACTGTCGAGTCTTCGCTGGCCGGCTTTTGGGCCAGTGCCTTCACGATTTCTAGACCGAGGCCGCGGGCCACTCCGGTCACCAGGTATGAGGTCATGATTGTTGCTTTACTGAAAGTGATTTCAGATACTGTAGAGGATATTGTGTCTGAGAAGCTTAATTCTTTAGAAAGGAAGATCAAGAAGGATCAGTAAAGGAATAGACATCTACCGTGGACACGCAGGTACAATAAGATCCCTTATTGTAAGACAGAACCAGGGTGGTGAATGCCGGAGTTTACGGATGAAATCAGTGTGGTGGTTACGGTGGTATGCGGCGACAAGCAAGAAAGAAGGAAAAGTTCAACCAACTTTATTACATGTTTGTCCCCCTGTCAAGGCGTACAAGGTATACAAGGCGTGACAGGTGCCCCAGCCGTACAAGGCACCCCAGGCGTACAAGGTTACAAGGTGTACAACTTGAAGCTATTTTAGGTGTCCCAGATGTACAAGGTGTCTCAGGTCCCATCGAATCCAACTGACCACCGTCAGGGTTCGCCGTGGTCCGCGACGTAAACACATTAGTGATCTGACCAGACTAGTGTCAAGTCAAGTCCCCGCTTAATACACGTCGCCTCGATGTGAAAGAACCTGGCCTAGAATCGTCATTCATTCCTCAAAGGATACGTCAAATGGTCGAGCAGTTGGAAGAAACAGCCGACGTTGATTTATTTATCCAAGGCACTTCGGTCAAGCCATCTTCATCCAAGCTTCTCAGTATGTTGTCCAACAGCACTACCGTTGAAGAGGGAGCAACAGGTGTCAAGATCACACAGGAGGCGGTCCCAGGTGCTCAAAAGCTGGCGTGCTTTATCCGCACCCCGAGGTCCCGATCTATCTAGGACCATGGGTGAGAAGCAAATAAACCAAACTAGGTCGTGAAAGACCTGGCCTTGTTGAAATATGAGATGGGGGAAAGCGCTTCACAACCGTGGGGGACTTTCCTTCACGACGAAACAACTCTCCAGGCCATGGACGATTCGCCAGAGGAGCGAGAGGTCTACCTACCTACTGTACAGTCTACCTCACGTACACAAATAGATAGAATTGTAGTACAGCACTGTAGTCTGCACATTGCTTTTGGGAATTAGGGTTAATCATGTTAAATCCATTAGAGCATTCCGAGTTTCTCAAGATACAAGCCCACTTGGCACCTCTCTCTGTCGCACCACTCTTTCTCAGATAGGCTTCTGTCGCCGTCCGGCTCGTGCCCGTACCCGCGTGTATCAGCCATGACAATGATTGTTAAGTATATATCATCCATAGAATTAACTTTTGCCCCGTTCTCCAACAGAATTTCGATCACACGCAATGCCCATATCCCGCTGCGCAGGAGAGAGGAGTTCGCTTATTCTGGTCGCCGTCCTCTGCTGCCCCCTGCTTCCATTGTAGCAAAGAAGGAGCTCCGTACAGTCACCCATTGCGGCGTAATAAATGAGAGATCCGGCAAAAGGACCAAAGGACCTCGTGGGTTGAATATGCCTTTGGGTTTGAGCGTAAATGCGCATCCTCGAGGAAAGCCACGGCTTCATTGTTTAGTGCAAGACCCCTGAAGCCACCTCAAAATTGAGATCTGCAACGGCAAGTCTTCGTGCACCGTGCTTCGCGAAAGAGAGCGCAGTTGCCTTCGTAATTCCCGTGTTTTGATCCAGAGGGCTAGATAGGGGTGTTGGGCGGCTAGGTCCGAAGTATCACAGAAGTTTCGTCCTCGTATTGAGGGTGACTTTTCACATCATCGAGGTCAAAATCCCACGCCTTTGCCACCCGACTATCTGGCCGATATGGGTGAAAGCAATCCCATTTCAAGGTAATCTGGGCGGCCTTGTTCTGGAGACAGAAGGTAAACTGGCGATGGCTCTCTACCTTGATTTTCACGTTCTTTAAACGGGGCATACGCTGGGCTGCATAGCCGAGCGATATAAGAAGTCGATGGAAATGTTCTTCAGTCGGTAATTCCGGCCAGCCCCATCCCGCTTCGACATCGCATATCACGTCTTCCCAATTTTCAATCTCGTCGATTTCGCTTTGGTCTTCCGGTGTGTTATGATAAGTTGGTTCTCCTATTCGATTTTGTTTGTTATTAGACGTCTTCGATATACTTCAACTTTTTCTTTTGGTGTTTCTTGTTCTAGGAGGGACCGATTTCTTACCTGAAGGAAGCCAAGGTGGTATACGCTCAAGTTCTAATACCTCTAGGTAGGGCCAGTTCAACTGCAAAGAACCCGGTTTCGGCTGACCTTTTTCATCCAAAGGACACAAAAAGTCATATGCGATAGTAGTGTTCACCAACTTCAGTTGCTGAAGGTGAATACTAAGATCTCGTAAATTGAAGCTCACACTATCAACACCAGAAGGGATGACATTGAGTGGGGACATGGCCGGTTTCCACGGGGCATCATCATGTCCTTGATAGAGTAGCACTCTTAGGCTCTTCGGAATAGAACCGACTAAAGAAGACAACGCTACATAGCTATTAGTGCAATTCATAGGGTTAATAGAAGTTTATAACAAAAAGGGTATAGCTCACCTTCACGACGTGCCTGTATATACTCCAGGTGGTCTGGACGGACAAATTCCTTCAGATCTAGCTCCAATTCAACGATTGAGGTACAACGTTGAATTATAGTCCGCATTGCACCAGTCCAGATTTGATTACGGTTTAGAAAAGAGAGCTTCTCAATGCACGGAAGAGATGGTAGATCCGACATATCCTTGAGGAACCGCGCCCTGTACGGGGGAATTGATAATATACGCCCATCTCGATAATCCCAACGATAGTCAGCGGCGATTTCTGAGTGCTGAGTATGTGGTTCCGGTGCAAGACCTCGCCGACGACCTCGAATAGCCAGATTTAATCTCAGACGGGAATTTTGATCCCATGATTGAAGCTCTTGGAAAAGACTAACCATAGCTGTCTGAAAAGCTAGATCGTTGTCCTTTCGGATAGGGTTATCTGTACTATAATTTTCAGGACTCTTCCGGTGTTTGCGTGCGATCCAGTCTAAGACTTCGTAGGGGACGAGGATATGGTATTCAAGATTTCGGATGTAGGTTTTCCGTATAGCATGGCCGGATATGAGCTTTTGGAAATTTCGGAGAGAAATTCCACGTTGCCCCTCTTCTTTGTGTTCATCGTCACTATAGACAGCTAGGTTGGAGTAGATGAGGGGTTCAAAAGCCGCCTGCCATGAGCGACAAACACAAGTGCATGGAACTAGAGAATTTCCATTATTTTGCAGAAGAGTTGCGATCTGGAATAACAGTTCGGGGGGTAATGTTGCCGTCATTATGCTGGTGAGGTGTCTCAACGGAACATAAACCTGCGAAGCCAATTGGATTCTCTGGGAGCTACAGATAGGGAGTAAAAGGCAGAGAAAGCTGCATGAATTGAGATATCTGTTAAAAAAAAAGAAAAATTGACAGAGAGAGAGGTGGAGAAAGAGGGAGTGAGGCTGAGGCCAAACTAACTATCTGAACCTATTTTTGGGGTCCCCCCCCAATAGGTCTAGTCCACCTGGGTATGAACTGAATCGATAACGGAGTCAAGCGGAGAAAAGAAGAAGTAAAAGAAGAAGAAAAAGAAGGAAGTTCCAATCAAAAGAAAGTGCTTATTGAACGCTTGGTCCCTTTAGAGCCCACATTATTATTCACCAAGCGTTACAAGATCGTTCATTTATTTCTTTCTCCGGCCTTGGTCTTCAATATCCAGAGCACATGGCTCAGGAAAGGTGGGTTCTTGTTTGCCTGCGCGTCCCTCTTATCGTGTCCATTTCTGCAGACCACGGAGCAGTTCATCTTTCTTTTCTTCCTGCTTTCTCTCCTGTGTCGTCTTGCTTTCTTAAACCTCACAATATGCCAACAGCAGACGCGCAGCCCGACCGAGCGCCAACCGAGGAGGTCACTCCTTCAGAGCCGTAGCCTGGGCCGACGACGCAGCCATGGAATACCCGTCTAGCCTCAACTTGGCCGTCCTCATGATCGGCTTGGAGTTCGCCATCTATGCGTGGCTCTCGACAAAGCCATGGTCGCGACCGCCATTCTAGCGATCACAGATGAATTTGGGGCGCTCAACGACGTCAGCTGGTATGGCTCGGTATTCCTACTAACCATATCCGTCTCCCAGTATGTTATATTCTATAGGGGATTTTATAAACAGACTACCCTCTTAGTTACACACGCTTCCTTTCCCAAAGACCCACTGGTGAGCCAAATCCTGCTTAATCCAATATCTGCTGATCATATAGCCATCCTGCATATTATATCAATGATCATCCTAAATTAGGTTTGATAATTGGCCCGTAAATCTCATAATATAGAACCATCACATAGGCTAGTGGCATGCTAACTTTAACTAAATATCCTCCGAGCTGACACGCATCTACATGTATTTCAGCTATGGTAAACCCTATTGGCACAGTCGTCAGTTTACTTTCAACTATTCCCAATAATCTTCTGATGCATTGTTGCTTTTGGAGCTTCCAGGGGTTCATTGGCTTAGCTGAAGGGCCACACTGCATGAGACACGTCTTGGGTTACACACCCTCGTATCCTCCTTCTACCTGATTGACAGGCCTTCTATCCTCTTTTAACATTGAGCCTGTCACCATTACGTAGATGTTGGGCAGCTGGTCACATCATGTGACCAGTTGTCCTCCTCTTTAACTAATAGTTCCAACCCAGATAGAGAATGGACCATCTTTCTACTATCCAAAACATATCACTACCATATCTATCTCCAACATGTTATCTATCTTATTTTACCTCTTAATACCTGCTGTCCTTAGCCAGTCGAGTGAAAGAGCTAGTATGTCTCCTTTTTGAGGGTAACTTATCGTTACCTATTATATTCAGGATATCCTTTCTCTTATTGTACTGATTTCATGGATGAGTGCTAACTACATTAATTTTAAAGCTGCCGAGCTTGTCGGCAGCATTAGTGGAACGATTATTCTGGAGGAGAGGAATGATGGCCTTGTAATTGAGGGCCAGTTGTCCGGCATACCGCTTGGAAAGCATGGGATCCATGTTCACGAGCATGGAGCAACTGGTAATCAATGTCTTGACGCAGGTGGTCACTGTACGTCCGTCAATATAACTACCCTTCCCTGGCCGCAGAAGAGAAATAACCACTTTCTCTAACAAATATAGACAATCCAACCAACGAATCCCATGGAGGACCCAGCGACGCAGAACGTCACATTGGTGACTGGGGCAATATTGACGTCGACCAAGACCCTTATATGCTCAGTTTCAGTGATCATGTCGCCAAACTGACCGGTCCTTACGGTATAGTAGGTGTGAGTATGAGTCTGAGAATATCAGAATCCGTTTTACTTTGGCTTACGCGTGAGTGAATAGAGATCGATTGTTATTCATAGAGATGAAGATGATCTTGGTAGAGGAAACAACCCAGATTCGAAGATTAATGGTAACTCTGGCCCGCGTCTTGCCTGCGGTATGTGCCTCGTTCTTTTTCGGTTGATCTCCGAACGTTTGTGGATATTAACATATGGATGATTTGCTAGGTGTTATTGTAAGCGCGTGACGCCGTGCAATGCCGAGTCCGTGTCTACTAGTGCAAAATGTCCGCCTCAGGCAGTCCAGGATGTCTGAGGATACCGCGCCCAGTGAAAGTAGCCTGGACGCATTAAAAAGAAGGGTTTCTTTAATTGGCCGGGGCAAGAGATGTGGGATGCATCTAAATTGATTCTGTTGGAGAAGCCCGGGATGGGATGGTTCTTCATTTCATGCAGACTGAGCCTTTGCTTTGTCAGTTTGCTAGTCCTTTGTTAGTGCAGGCCCTTATAAAGGCCCTGCTTTGCTAGATTCCATAGCAAGAGTTTCTTCCTCCTCCATCTCCCTGGTAGCATGTAGCCTCAAGAGATACAATGGCTGTGGGAGGGGATCAATATATTATCTCTATATGCTAAGACTACTTCTTATTAGAATTTAGGGGGGGTCCCGGGGGGGCCCTAGGATTATAGGAAAAATAGTATACTAAAGAAATAGGGCCGATTATATAATAAACCCCGCTCGCTCTATTATATTATATATCTAGTACGCCTATATTAGCTAATCCTATTTTATAATTAAAAGGACCTTCATCTCGCTGACACTTTTAGATCGTTTAATAAAGCTATTTTACTCTAAGGTTCTAATAACTACTATCTAAATAATAATACCTAACTTACTAAAATAATCTAAAGTATTATTCCTAATTGAAGATTTATTATTAAAGTAGAATACTCTAATTAATAAATTAAACTAGTTTTAGAGAAGCGAGAAAAGAGTACGAATTATTTACTAATAGTTATTTTTCTTTTTATATATTTCTTTCTAATACTATCGAATTCTATTAAAATAAAACTAAGAGAGCTATTTATAATTATTATATATAGGCTAAAATATGATAAGATCAAAATAGATATAACTAAATAGTCTAAAATTTATCTTTTAAACTTATTAAAAGATCTATTATTATTAATAGCTAAACTAATAGACTTTATATAATTTAAAGTTATACTCCTATTTAATAGAAGATAGTAAATTTATGATTTCTATTTCTTTGATTATATAAATAAGTTATTCGATATATTTATTATAAAGATAGTTAAAGCGCTAATATTAGTAAATAGCGGAAGCTTTAAAAATAAAGGGCTATATAAAACGTTTTATATTAAAAGAAGTAGTTATAAATATTATTAGAAATATAAAGAAGTTACTAATTTCTTCTAGTTTAGAGAAAGTCCTTCCTATTACTTTATTAATAATAGTAAGTGTTACCAGCCAGATCTTCAATCAAAAAGAGTGCATTTAACGAGAATCTAAGTATAGAGAAGTAAAGGAAAAGAAAGAAAGGATCCTTAAGATCAGAGATCCTTTATACGTGGGGTCCTATCACATGCAAATAACAACCAAGGCGGAAACCTTTGGCAGAAACCTCCTCAGATCGTCACAGTAAGTTTATTAAAATTAGTTTTATACCCTCTCTTTTTTATTAGTTCTACTAAAATAAAGTTATAGTAAAAACTAGGTAAATACTCGATATTAAAAAGAGTAAATATAACTAGCTTTCCGGATTAGCTAGTTATCTTAATTTAAACTTTACCGTTTCTATAGAGCTATATTATAATATTACCGACTTTAAATATACTATCTATTTATTTAAATTCGATAAAGAGGCTCCTATTATTTAATATATATTTATTAGTAATTAAATCGATTAGCTAGTGGTTTTTAATTAATAAATAAAGACTATTTTCTAGACTTCGGCAGAACCCATTTTGGGTCGGAGTCTCCGACCCAAAACCTAACCCATTGGGTTTTGGGTTCCGCCTTCCATAACCCAACCCAACCCAAAACCCAATGGGTTAAACTTGATAACCCAATAATAACCCATTTGAACCCATTTTTATATAAAAGTTCATAAAATTCATAAAATCTAAGTCTTAGTATTTTTAAACATACTTTTTTAGTAGTATAAAATGCTTTTTATATAAATTTGTTTTTATTTTGTAATTGAGTTACTATACTAGATATATATATATCCAAATCTTTGAATTTCAACCATATAAAATTTTTGTTTATTTTATTCACACTATACTGGGGCCCTAATAGGTTACCCAATGGGTTTTGGGTTATTAGTTATAACCCAAAACCCATCATTGGGTCGAAGCAATGGACCCAAAACCCATTTTGGGTTAGGTTGGGTTGGGTTGGGTTCGGGTTATAGTGGGTCGTGCCGAAGTCTACTAGTCTGGGTCCGGGTCCGGGTTGGACACCTCGACCTAAAACCGGGTTATGCGATAGACTACTCGGAATGTGAGCAAGGTTTAGAAACTGCACCTTTCGGTCTACTATGGGGGAATGTTAGAACGGAGCGTCTACTCTTAGCCCGTCCAGGCTATCAAACGATCTAAGCCATCTTTGTCTTTATATGCAAGATTCATAATTTAATTACAGTAGCCTCATATTATGTTTTACCCCCTCTTTTCACCGAGTCGAGACCCTGAATTGAGATACAAGTGTGATCCTGCGGAATGCCATAGACTATTTCCGCACGCTTATCTTCAAAATCCTTTGCAAATTCCATTAGAGTCTGTACATGGCCAAACGCAAATATCTTCTACACGACATCATCAATCGCACTATATGGATCATATGTCAGCCTGAGCTGAAAGACATAGAATGAAACTTCTACGACATAGGGGTGCAGCCGTGTGATGTGCGTGTCCGCGGGGTCCCGCGGGAACTGCGGGCGAAGAAGCCCCAGCATCCAATCCAAAAAGGGCACCCAGCAGCTACTCGAATAGCCTCTATGGCTGATCAGGTTCACTTCACCTCCAATGTAACCATGAAACGTACGCAGTTTATATTCCCTATGGAGTCAGTGGGTCTTCTATGACAAGCTTAAGAGGCTTGGACTGGTCATTGGGTCATATATCCAGAAAGATACACCATTCAGCGACCTGCTGACTTCCAAGAGGCTTCTCTTGACGTGCAGTCTATGATTCATAACTTTTGATCAAAATGTAGATGGTATGGCTATTATAATTGCAGAGCGTCTGACATCTCACGTCATGATCTTTCCTTTTCGACACTTCGAATTGGCTTTCATCAAGAGCGCTGGTACATATAGGAAATTTCACCGACCTCAGTCTTACGCGCCATTAGGCTGTCACATTAACATGCTGGTTCGTTCTATTCTCAGATTTGGGGCCCTAGGGATTCTTGCGTCAATTGTACCGACAACGGTCAATGGCGTGGTCTCTGACACGGTACCAGGTGTAGGTGATAACAAGGCAGGCGATGGTGCAGGTGAGAACTCTAGCACTGAGGCGTTCAACCAGTAATCAGAATCTGGAAGTGTTGACTTTCACCAAGTACCAAAGCAGGAACCTTTGACTGCAAACCCCGCTGGTGCTGCTACCGGTATGATTGGAAGTGGTACTGGCGGCGATCTCTTGGGTCAGTTGACTGGGCCAGGTGGCCTGCTTGGGGGTCTGAGGTTCACGGATCTCAGCAATATCCTCAATATTGACTGGAAAAATAACAAGGTGCGTCAAAAAAGGAGACAACTTTTGATCGCCGAAGGATTGACCGTGCAACTCAACAGCAACTCCTGGGTCTTGGTGGGAAGCAAGAGGATGCTAAAATCACTCTTCTCGCCCAGAAAAGGGCAAAGGAGAAAGGCACCAAGCCCGAAGATGAAAAAGAAAATATCAAGAAAGAGATGTTGCAAGATGCGCAGGAAGCACATGAGAAAGCAGAAAAAGATCGAATTATGGGTCGGCTCAATGCTTTCCACGCCTATGGCATGCAGAGTGTCGAGCAAGTTGTCCGGCCTAAATGGACCATTCTGTTCGATAATGCCTTCACTGCGGATGAATATTTTCGACAGGTCATCACTGATTATGCAACCTACTACAATAAGAGCCGTCAGGGCTGTGTCGCGCGTAAGTTGGCTTTTTCAGCCTTTGCCCCGCGTTTGATCCAAATGGCTAAAGCTGGCTTCACTTAGGCCCTCACCCTCAAATCTTCATATTTCCACATGGAGTTGGGCCGGCTAATCTTGAGCCTGTTCGGAACTACGGGAATTATACCGGCAAGTTATTCTTTAATCCGGTGAACGAGGCAAGCATGCAATTACCTGCGCTTCCTATCCAGGATAAATATGGTTATGTGGTTCAGAAGAGTGCATAGGAATCTTGAGAAATGGCAAGATGGGTTACAACCTATTGTCGACGCTGTCGTCCGACGTGGGGTCTTTTAATTAGAAGGTGACATTGCCCTTTTCGGGTCGTCTCTTTCATTCCTACATTCCTAGCTCCCTACGTTGGACGGAAGCCAGCTTTCGTCTTTCCTGTTACGCAACATTTTGCGTTATTTGTTATGGTATGCGGGTTTTCCCCGCCGAAAGCATGGTAAAACGTCTGAGTCTTGATTGACAGCGCACAGTCATGTTATCCGTTTGCAAATAGTCTTTTTCTGACACCTGATCTCTGATCTATATCATGTAGAGTATGATACTGTCGTATTATTTATTGCTTTTCTTCCTATTGTTAAAAGATAGTTCCTGAAACTCTACATCACTAAGCAACTATTCACTACTCATTTGCACTTCGATGACAACAACATGCGGAATAATGTGTCCTACTGGATAGCCTGCACTACGTTAGCCCTCCTGGACTTATCTGCTGCACAGGTCGCCTACATTTGCAGCTCCAACACCATATGCACGCCCATATCTCTATCCCAGGGGCAAATCTTCCCCCATTGGGCTCCCAGCCATGTTTTAATACACTTCAGCCGCCAATGGGAGGCATCGGACCTTCCTTTATACCACCTGTATACCTTCAAAGTGGATGCATGAATACCATGGGTGGGATTGGTCCAATGGGAGGTTTTCTACACCAACCTGGTCAGCAATTCATTCCTGGACAACAGTTCGTTCCGGGCCAGCAAATTCCCCCCTAGTCCAGTCTTTACACCGGGCTCAGGACAGCAACCGATCCCACCATGCTTTGGTCAAAGTCCGCAACAACCTTGTCCTGTTTGTCCTCAGGGGCCACCAGGAAATGCAGGGCCCCCCGGGCCTCAAGGGCTTCAGGGCGAGAAGGGGACTCCGGGGGCTCAAGGCCCGGCAGGTCCTCAAGGATCCCAAGGCCCAGCAGGCCCTCAAGGAGAGCAAGGACCAGCAGGTCCTCAAGGAGAGCAAGGACCAGCAGGTCCTCAGGGCAATCAGGGGTCTCCTGGCCCTGCCGGTACTTCCTGCAGCCAAAGCCAATGTCAGGCTCCGATCCAAGGGAACAATCCGACAGACACCAAGAACAATGGAACCGAACAAAATCCTACCCCTGGTGGCGGAGGCATTGCCCGAGGAGATGCTGCCCAAATTAACGCGGATTTACCACCTTCTACCAGTCAAGGGGGCATTGCCAATGGCTACTCTGCACAAACGGAGAGTGCGTTGCCCATTGTCGGACAGGCAGGTATAGCCAATGGAAATACCGCAAATTCAAATGCAGATTTACCTTTGGCTGAAGGAGGAATTGCTAAAGGCGATGCTGGGAATACTAATGCGGATTTACCCTCTGCTACTGGCGGAATGGGAGGGATTGGAAATGGCAATACAGCACTTACCAACGATAAACTGCCTCCAGCGAGATAATTTGAATTGCTTTAATATTGAATATGACTGGTCATCTGACGGAGGTTCAATATGTATGGTAGCCAAGTGATATGCATAGATGAAGTATGGGGTACGAAAGTACAGACAAATTGCCTGGATAACGCCATGATTATAACTTGGTTTTCTCCAGCCAGTTATCCTTTCCATCATTATATCTAAATTGCTTTTCTGCTAATACAGAGATCATCAAAGTACATTATCCATCACCATCGCCCAAATCTAGTGCCCCATACAAAACAACCCCCAACAACTGACCTGGACTCGCGATTACAAAAAAAAATCGTCTGAATACAATTCTCTCGAAAGACAACTCTAGGAATTCCATTAGATTGCCGGAGCAAAATCTTGTAAGGGGGTCGAAATAGCCAAGCCACATAGGTTCCAGACTCGGCCTATGCTGCAGTAAAAAAGAAAAAAAGGAAAAAGGAAAAACAAGCCTCTACGACGTAGCGCTTGTGGCATGCATCCCTTGGTTGAACAATTAACTTTGACCGCTATGCCAAAAGCGTATGAGTCTAGCAATGGACCATTAATGCGCAACAAGCCGATGAGAATGTTTTCAGATATTGAAGAAACATTTCCGAGGTAATCCCCAGTCTCGCCGTATGCATCATCGGCAGTAACGTCATTGATTCGAAGATATGCGGAAATAGGCTAAAATAGGCTAAAATAGGCTCTTATGCTGAGCTGAAATCAAGCAACTTTAGGTTCGGGCCATAATGGAGCATCCCTACATGTTTGCTATAGGCTACAAATGCGGCTGTTACACTCCAGTTTCTGGGAAACAGACATTTTAAATGCTTATGAGAGTTCAACAGTAATGTATACCGGATGCTCTCACCTGAGTAGAAAACTTCTTTCCTCGCTCATCCTTTCTATCACTTCATTTGTTCACGTTGATCCCAGAGATGCAGCCCAAGCTTTATTTACTGTGGGCTTTTATCTCCAACATCCATAGTGTGTCTGCGCAACTCTATTCTGGATGCCTTACTCCTCCTTGCTATCCACCAGGATACGCTTTATACTGCAGCGTCGTTCCTAATGCGCCATTATGTCTCGATCATGGGAATACCGGGGGTGGACTGAACGGAATGGGCTACCATGATCATCCCCTACACCTATATCCTCCTTATCATCAAGTACGGCCGCCGCAGCCACCTCATCCACCTGGCTGTCCACCTCCCTATCCTGTGCAACAACCCTATCCTCCTCCTCCTCCTCCTCCCTCCCTCCTCCTCCTCCTCCTCCTCCTCCTCCTCCTCCTCCGCCGCCGCCGCCGCCGCCGCCACCCGGATACCCTTATCCTGTGCAACAACCCTATCCTCCTCCTCCGCCGCCGCCGCACGGTTACCCCTATCCTTTGCCTTACCCTTACCCTTATCCGCCTTACCAGGAAACACGTCCAGGGCCGGATCGTCCGTCACCTTCTAGACCTGATGAATGCCCCGTGAGTCCTCATTGCCAGAAGGGGGAGAGGGGTCAGAAAGGGGACAAAGGAGACAGAGGCGACAAAGGCGAAAAAGGCGACAAAGGCGAATGTGACTGTAAAGCGAACAGTTGATGCGCTATAGAAGTGATGAGTCTTATCAACTTCGAAAATCATATTATCCCAGGTTTACTCGTGCTATATAGTGTCACATTCTTTTTATAAAAAGTCATCTTGTCACACCGGGAAGTGCATCTTATCATGAGGGTTCTGTAATAAACGGGTTGAATACATCAAATTTCAAAAGGTGGTTAGGAGCAGCTGAAGAATGCCCGTCGTGTGCTATATGGTAAGCTAAAAAGAAATTGACAATTTGTCACCTGAACCCGGTCCTTAAACTGGGAATTTGCTAAGCTAGGAAGACCTTCTGTCTCTTAGCGCACATGGTAGCATATGCGTGAGATTCACAAAATTTTTCTATTTTCTCAAGTCCTATGGAAAAGATTCTGTACTCCAAGCAGGTCATGCCTTATGGGAAAATGGGTCTTGTAACTTGCTTGTTCAGCTGCTACCATGCTGATATCACTATGATCGAGGCAAGCAAATGGTTAGGCGCCGCTGCTATCCGCTCGAAGTGATTCCATACAAGCAAGCGTGGTAGCCATCAAAGGATAGCTATACGTATCTTCCGAATCAGACTCATATCGCAGTGATCTGACTCTAGTCATCCATTCAGTGGTCCGTATGATGTCAGTTCGGGTTGTTTATCGCCACAGAATGCAGCGTTACTTTTCATTCATAGTTTGTGAGTCGCTGGTAGCTTAGATTGTCACTGCATTACGACGCTTCGTTCCAAGAGCATCACCAGCAACTAAAAGCGGAGGTAGTGATCATTCGGTTTGAACCATGGGCTCTCTCAGTCCGGCCTATTAGGATATATACTAGGCTCAGTAGCGACTCGGGACATTTCCTATCGCGCCGGTTCTGGTTAAGCCGTATATCATAATTTTTTAGTTCCCATAATTATAGTTCCAGAGGATTAGTCAAGTTTATCAATGCAACAGTTCTATACTTGATTAAACGAAGACGGTATTTACTAGCAACATCAGTCAACTGATTTTAGCTACACAATCTACTCAAAATAACTAAATATCATTACTAAACATGCAGCAACAGCTATCCAGTCCCACGCTATACGATGCTTGCGCGTTGCTGCACTTCACGATCATCCCGCAGTGATTAGTCATTTAATATGCGGATTTCCGGTATAGCTAGTGAAAATATTCCTTCAAGTCAGTAGGAGCTCATCCAACCGCACTGTTTAAACATACCTCAGTGTAACACAGTATACCAAATACTCCACTGTCTTCACGTACTAATGGCTGGATCTAGATCGTGGCATGGTTGCATAGCCAGTGGTAGGGAGTCAATGACTGGCTAAGCACTACATATTATACTACTTACGTTTTTCAGAAATGAGTGGAACATGCCGTCATTGGCTTTAGCTAAGGGTGTTGCGTCGCATGTGTGGATCAGCCGACTCGGCTAGGTTCACACTAAGTACCTACTACATGGCGTTCTTCGACGAGCTTCACTGAAACGTAGAATAGCTCCAATCGGCTTCGCTGCTTTGGCAAGGAGATTGAATCAACTTTTCTGACTTCTCAGTGTAGACTGGTTAAAACTTGGCACTTTCTTGGATTAGCCGAGACGGCATTGAAGACCTTTTGAGACTTCTTATTGTGACCCACTAAACTGATCGGATTAAGAAGTATTTAACAGTTTCGACTTTTTCTAGTTAAGTGACTGCATGAAATGTTCCTATTAAAGGTATTGAATGTAGTCTGCAGATGTCTTTCGTGATGGCAGAAGGTAGGTTGGAAGAATGGGTTTCAACTTCGCAAGAACTAGGACATTTTGTTCTAATACTGCTTAATCAAATTGAATAATTAGATTTACTGTATGCTTGATCTTTTCGACAGGGAAAGTGACATAGAAGGATATGGCTTATACCAATACATGTACTGACCTTGTATCTCCAAGGCCATTTAACCCCTGTTCAAGGCACGAGCAACCCAATAGATCCGACTCTCCCCTTTATCATTTTCAAAGCCTGACTCTTCTTTGTCGGATATTGAGCACTTCTGCATGGTCCCTGTTGGCGCAATAACTCTGCAGGTTGACTCTGAAGAGCATAGTGCAAGGCATTCGAAAATGTTCTTTTCCGCGCTCATGGTTTTCACGGGGGCTTTGAGCGGGCTTTTTTGGCTTGTGCAGAAGATCTCATATTTCACGCCACCCACATCCAAGGTTGATCCATGGATATCTGGACATTCGCTCTCTCGCGCCTTCTTGATATTTGGCGGGATATCTTTCGATGGTCGAGCCTGCATTGCAACAGCAACTATCCCTTCGGGTGATGGCGCTGTTTCGACATCGCGATTGGGGTTCCATGAGACGATAGAGCTGCCGCTAGCGCCAACTGCTTCACAGCCGGGAAGGGTTGAGCAAATGATCATAGCCTCTTCAAGGCGATGCGTGTTGAATACACTGTACTTTTCCCCGGAAATGACTCGCCGACAGGTTATCCTAAATGTTACCCCACCAACCTTGACTTCTCTGCCATCTGTGTCTGACTTCGGCTGGCAAAGCCGAAGGGTTTCAAGCTCCGAGAGTGACGAGCCTTGTTGAATTGTATTATTGTTAGGTTTGGGGTTGTTGCCCTTGTCGCCTGTGTTGCCTTTGTCGCCTGTGCTGCCCTTGTCGCCTGTGCTGCCCTTGTCGCCTTTATCACCCTTGTCGCCTGTTTCGCCCTTGTCGCCTTTATCACCCTTGTCGCCTGTGCTGCCCTTGTCGCCTTTATCACCCTTGTCCCCTTTCTCGCCCTTGTCGCCTGTTTCGCCCTTGTCGCCTTTATCACCCTTGTCGCCTGTGCTGCCCTTGTCGCCTGTGCTGCCCTTGTCGCCTGTGCTGCCCTTGTCGCCTGTGCTGCCCTTGTCGCCTGTGCTGCCCTTGTCGCCTGTTTCGCCCTTGTCGCCCTTGTCGCCCTTGTCCCCTTTCTCGCCCTTGTCACCTTTGGCGCCTCCATCTCCCTTGAGGCCCTGTTCACCTTGTTTCCCTCGGGGCCCTGTTCACCTCTCGGCCCCAAATCGCCTTTGTCCCCTTTAGGCCCAGGAGGGCATTTCTTGCAATTGTCATTTGGTGGTCGAGGCCAATTGGGATATGGCTGGGGAGATCCCGTTCCTGGATGTGGAAGGAAAGGATACCATGGATTATAGTGGCCCCCATTGGGGTATCTCGATCCTAGATGATTGGGTTAGCTTGATATGCCTGGTGATGGATGAAGAACTCTCAGTACCATAAGGATCCTCAAAAACGGGAGGGTAGACGGTAGGCCTTAATACAGAAGGGTCAAATCCATTCCCGTGACACGACGGTGGGTAGGAATGGTAGCTGGGTTGGAAAGGCTTCTGATAGCCGAGTGGATAGACTTGGTTCCCGTATGGCTGAAAACTAGCTCCACCACCGTACGGAAATTGTGGACAGTGTACAGCACCGTCGTTGCTTGTATGGCAAGTGTTACTTGTGCTGCAGGGGCAGGCAATGTTCGGACCAGCATGATGGCCTGAACCTAGCTGTACATGGATGGTGCAGATGAACGATGTTAATATCACCAAGGATCTCATATTTCAATAAATGTTCTTCAAGTAAGGGACGAAAATAACAGAAGAGATATCGAAGACTAACAATTGGGGCAACACAATGATTGATTTAAGGTATTATATTCTAGCCATTGAAGTAACAGCAGGGTTGTAAACAGCCATTCTCAAGGCAGAGAATGCATCACTAGGAAACTGGATCATGATTCATCGACTGTAGAAATAAACAACTAAAGAACCTCACATTTCCTGACGTTGTTTTCCAAGGGTGTTTCATGTCTGGTTGAACCCTTCGATTGATCTACTTGGAAATGAAACCATGTAGGTTTTGAAGAAGCTCTCATTATACTTTGTTCCAGAGGGTTTCCGGACATATCCTTATGCTTCCAACTTTACCTCGCTATACCTACCAAGTGTAGATATCCTGACGTCCCGGAGTTTAGGTCTGATGCTACTGTACCATAATCTACCTAGAGACTCTACTTTGTTGATTGATTCTTGTAATCCTTCGGGCTTCCGTTCGCAGTAGTTGGGTCTACGCCAGGATATTTAAACCTGTCTTTTCTCCGGACAGCAGACGGGCAGATCAACGTTTTAGCAGGCAAATCAATCCTGCAGTCCTAAATCCTACCAAGTGGTCATTACATCAATATGCCTCATATCTCTCTCTGTCTCAAGTTCCTCTTAGCCCTTTCTCTTACCCATCCCGTCTTCAGCGCGCCATCAACCCCGATACTACCCCTCCCGGGCCTTCAAAATCTCTTCATCCCCTTGGATGATGCCCCCGTGCCACCAATTCAACCAACAAAAGACGAGCTAGGCCTCTTTTATGGCAAATGCTACCGGATCGAAAACAACAAAAAGCAAAAGCTAGGCTACCAACAAGGTGCATACTACCGCTATGACGCAGACGATAACCGGCGCCCATTCCGCGTGTGCCGCTCCACTCGGGGCTCTTGCAAGCGCGAGCAGGACGACCAAAACGTTTACAAGAACGACCGGTTTTATCTCTGGGATGGGCACGGTTCGGCTTGGTCCAAGGGCCCGACTTGGATTGGTTTCTCTGGACTGTTTTTGTATCCGAATATTTACCGCGATATTGAGAATTACATTGCGCCATTCAAGGCGCATAAGAGTTGTGATCGCAGCGATCCTCCTCGCGTGAAAAATGATGACATGGATGGCCAGAAGGACAAATGTTCCCTTTGTGTTAATCTGAAAAACAGTTACAATAACTACAACGGGCTGGCCACGTACCCAACGGGCTATGTATATCAGACGGCAAACCCGTCGGATTGTGTTTATTGGGTGCTTAAAGAAGTTGATTGTCCGGATGATGATTATATGGTGGAGGATGGGAATGAACTGTGAAGATTGGTCGGCCCTATCTTATGATATGATGCCGGTAAGGCTATTGATGAGGGATATGTGTACTGGCAAACGTTGTTGACCTTGTCTGGTTATATGTTTTCTTTTCTTTTCTTTTTTTTTTGGCTGTTTCCTGTTATAACGATTGTTTGGTTGGTTGCTAATGCTTTCAAAATGGTTCAACTTCTATTGTATGTCAGGCCTTTTGTATATAGCATGGAATAATGGATAGGAAATATTTTCACCGCGAGCCATTGCAACTAAGGGATTGATAGGACACCATAACTATATGTATTCTTCTGCGCGTACCACTGGAAATGTATCGATTATCATATGATGGTGTATCCGCGAGCCCGCCTAAAAGGACGCTCGCTTATTATGCTTTAGATTTGCTGCGCTTAAAGTGTATGGTGTTTTCCCCTAGAGTTTAACGTACCACATTCACTCTTTGTAGAACGAAGTGATTTAGCAGACATCTGAGCCATCCACTTATTAAATGATCTCTTATTTTCGCACAGCTAAAAAAAGTCTTCAATAGTATGACAAGGGAGTCTGATTTCTAAAGTCGGTAGAGGGTCGGACTACCCTAGCTGAATAGCAAGTTTTGTATAGACAAATACCAACCTAGTATAAGTAAATATTATTGACTAAAGAAATGATTTACTTGCCCTTCTAATTAGCCCGAGATCTAGTATATCTCCGGGAAGGCTTCTATTTGCCAGCGGCATAGAAGGCTATGTAGGAATTATGATGATACAGAGGAACTGTGTTGTACTCTGGAGAGAGGAAAGAAGAAGAGATGAGGAAGCTCTAACTGGAAGTCCTGGTCCGGGCTATCATGTGATGGATCATATGCTAGTCACGTGACTGCCCTAATAATTAAGGTCTGAACTATATGATACTAAGAAATGAAAGTAGGGATACGATAGGACCGACACTAGTTAGTGATAATAATAGTAGGCTTCCGTAGAACCTAACCGGACCCGGACCCAACCCGGACCCAACCTAGGTTTGGGTCGGGTCCGGGTCTAAAATCTCGACCTAGCGCTAGGTCCTAGGTTACTACCCTTAACCCGGACCTAATATAAACCTAGGCTAGGGCTCTAATTAGGTTATAAATAAGATAAATATACTAAAGAATCCTAACTATATAATTTATATAATCTCTTATTATAACTTTAGGTATTTCTTTTATATCTTATCTTTATTAAGAGTCTTATAGATATAATAAAATTTAAAGCTTTTTAGAGTATATATTCGATATAAAAAGATAATATTTTAGCTAACTAGTAATATTAGAAATTATTATTATCTTAATATTTATACTTCTATCCTAATAATCGGAGTTATATATTAGTCTCTAATAGTTTAGACTTAATTATATTATCTTTAATATCCTTTATTATATTATTCTTTTTATCTTTTTTATCTAGCTCTTTAGTATTACTAATTAAATCTATATTAATTTTAGGGGATTGATAGAGGGACACCCCCTATGGATCCTGCGAACACCCCTTTGGATCCTGGGACACCCCCCTGCCTGAAAAACCAGGCTCATATTCCTAATCGGGTAATATTTCTACCTCGATACCTGCACCTGTCTACCGCCTTTCTCACCGCCTTCGGGGGTTTATACCGCCTTCGTGTCAAATACACTCCGCCCTCTACCTAACACTATAGGACGATAGCAGATACCTATAATTTATATACAAAATATATAGTAAAAACAAGTCATTTTAGTCCTATATATGTTATAGGACTCGAGTAGTAAACAAACTAATAATACAATTCTAGTTTATATATATTAACCTACCTTCTTCTAATCTATTTTTTATTAGTATCTATATTAAATTTATTATCGTTTTTATTATTTTAGCTATTAAAATAGCCTCTTTAGGCCTATTATACCTCGAATCATCGGATTCGGACCCTTAAGATTGTCCCTAAGTCTCTACCCGTAATACTAAGTACCTAGTCGTATACCTAGCTAATCACCGAGACACTCGCTAGCGAGATATCTATAGAGCCGCTTTTTACGTTTCCGCTACCCCTATTAAACTAGTAATACTATATACTAGAGGAAGGTACTAAAGTACTAAATATATTCGCGCGCCTATATAGTTATATAGTCACTATCCGACACTCTAAATACACTAAAAAGGGTATTAAGAAATCAGTTTACCTTTACTACAACCGAGGCTATAAGATAAAGTAAAAGGATACTAAAGAGACTACTAAAAAACGACGTACTATAACACTTACCTATAGATACCCCTTTATAATAGTGCTTCGTCTAGATTCTATAACTAGTCTTTAGCGACCGATAATTAACGATTTAAAGTCTAAATATAACTATCTCCTATCGCTAGTATCTATCTATATAGCGTAACGAAAGCTTAAGCTTATATATAAGAAAGATAAGATCGAAAACGCGCTTCGCTAAGGCTATATAACCCGCTAGATCATAACTAAGATCTATAAAGCCGATCTAGAGAGTATCTTTATACCGCGTGATATTTATAATATATATAGGAAGCTAAGCGATATATTTCTTACTAGCCGTACGCCCCTCTAAGTATTATTAATAGAACTTCCGAAGGATAGTAGCTAGATCTTTAAATACGAGCTAGACGAATAATTATATATATCTACTTTATTTTATATATATAAATCGAGTGTTATAATACTTTAGAAGAATCCTTAGGTAATCTCTATAGACTATATATATAAGACTAATCGGTACGGTCTTCCTTTATTAGATATCGTAGGCTTTACTACTACTAGATTAATATTCTACCTAGGCTTTACCTTTATACGAGATAAAAAGGATAACTTATACGAGGTAAATATATACCTAATACTCCTATTTAAAACTAACTAATACTAATACCTTATTAGGATTACTAGGTGATATTTACCTATCTCGCTAAAGTATACGACTCCCTAAGTCTCGATCCCCCGCGTACAATCCTTACTAATAAAGAGAGAGCTTTAATAAATGTAATTAAGACTATTTTCCTAGATATAAAGAATATAATCTATATCTAGTATATCAATATAAATATCTTAAAGAAAGCGCGCCCCCTTCTCGCTAATCAAATTGTATAGGCACGTCGAGATACTAGAATCAACCGCCGCCTTACCCTAGCTAAAGCCTAGGAAGTCTATGAAAAAGCTAAATAGGGGTAGAAGAAGATACTCCGCTAGTAGAATCGTATTATTTATACTACTATAATTAAGGAAAAGGACCGATAATAGAGTAATTTTAAAGAACGATACGCTAATCCCTCTAGCCTCTTTACCCTATTACTAGATTATATATAATAAAAATAGCTAGACGACTACCCGGAAAGGTTCCTTTATTACTATACTAGATAATACCTCTATCTTAATAAGATCGCTACTTCCTATATAGAGAGCGCGTATTAGCTTCTAAAGTAAGATCTCTAGGTTTTAACTAGTGATTTACTAGTAGTACTCCGTTACTTTAGCTATATAATAGAGCGTTAGTTCGTAAAGGTCTAGTAAGAACTAGAGATCTAGAAGATACGTAGGCCTAAGTAGGCTTATTAAAGGCTCTACTATTTACTTTATTACCGTATTTTAGTACGGGTAATCTAGCTTATAAAGGATATTTACACTCGGTATCTTCCTCTAGTAGATAATAAGCCCCTAATTCTACTAATTTACACTTATAATTCTAAAGAAATAGCTGGTTTTCTATATATCTATATACTAAAATAGTACGAAGAGGAAGGACGATACCTCGAGCTAGGGCTATATCACTAGTATTAGCACTTATATAGTGTCGATATACCCCTAATTAATCTATTACTTCTCGTATAGGATCCCCTTTAGGCTCGGCGACGAGGCCGCCCTTAAAATACTAAGAATCTCCTAAGCACCTAGGCTAGTAGCACCTAGGCTAGCAGTACCTAGGCTAGTAGTACCTAGCAACTGTAGTCTTCCGCGGATCCTCTTATATAGGATCGTTCTATACACCGAGATCCTTCGTTATAAAAGGAGAGCCGAGGATAAGGACGAGGACGGCCGCGGGGACGGGGAAAGGGACGTAGGCGTAGAATAAGTAATAGTGAAACTAGTAGTGGTAATAGCGAGACTAGAGGATAGGGACGTGGTCGAGGATAGGGTCGAGGACAGGGTCGAGGACGTAGAAACCGGGCGCGGGGACCTACGTAAGAAGCATATTCAACCTATATAAGTATACAAATACTTAAATCAATAAAAATATACGCTTTTTTCTGATCAAAATGCATGTTTTTTTACTATATAAACCAGAATTCCTATAGTTAGGGTAGAATTATATGGCAGAAAACTCTGCACTAGCAGTATATATAGCAGAATCTAGGGTCGCACTACATTAGGAAGGCGGTGCTGTGTATGCCTGAAATCCTAGGCATTTTCAGGCAGGGGGGTGTCCCAGGATCCAAAGGGGTGTCGCAGGATCCATAGGGGGTGTCCCTCTATCAATCCCCTATATATATTATAAAGATATATCTTTAGATATTATTAAACTAAAAGTAATATTTATTAAATTTTATAACTAACTTTAAAAATATTAAATATTTATATCTTCTATATAATATATTTTTATTTAAACTACTTTATTAACTATTTAAGATATCTAAAAAGCTAATTATATATCTTAAAAGTATAATATTTAATAATATCTTAAATCTTTAAAAGTTATTGTTGGAGATCACGTGACCTGTCATATGCCAGTCACGTGATCCAGTCTCACAGGACTTCCAGTAGTTAGTCGAGATAGCTTCCTCTCTCCTCTCTTTTCCTCCCCAGAGTCCAATACAGTTTCCCCTGTATCATTTCATTCCTACGTAGCCTTCTCTCTCGTTGACAGTTATAGAGTATAATTAAAGAATAGCTTTATAATACAAAGAAGATAGTTAATTTAATACTCTTCTTTAATATTTAGTAGTAGATTAAAATAAATATACTTTTTATAAAAAGAGTTAAAAATAGACTAGTCCTTTTATATAATAAAGTATTAAAAATATTAAATTCTATTAGATCTTTATATTTTAGATTAGAGTAATCTTAAGTTTTTAAAGCTAGAGATTATAAAAACTCTCCTATTATTAAAGACTAAATATTTATATAGATTATAAAATAGTATGATCCCACAGCATGTATTAGCATTGGCATACATGGTGTGGAGACACCTATATATATATACCACTGCAGTTAAACTGAGTTCCAGAACTCAGTTTGGCTATGCCTTTTTGGCTTAATGGGTAAGAGCTCGGAGTAGTGGCCGGCTCTGGATCTCAATAGTAGATTTTATTTAATATAAAAGAAATCTTTTATTATTATTATTATTATATATTTTATTATTTTTATAGATTATTAATAGATCTATTTTATCTTTATAGTTTTATTTCCTAGATTTATTTTAATATATCTAAAAAGCTAATTAAAACTAAATTAGATAATATAAATAAAATAAAGAATTTAAATAATAATAATACTATCTAATAAAATTTATTAAAGAGATTTTATAAGAGTTTTATTATTTACTATATTATTAGAATTTCTATTAGTATATTATTTAGATTTATATTAATATATATACTATAAATAGATTTAAAATCTAATAGTACCTTTTAATAAACCTAATCGCTATTAATAAAATAGCTAGTAATTATTATAAATATCTATAAAAAGAAAGAGCTTTAATAATTAAAAGCGATAAATATCTTTGAATTAGATAGAAATATCTAAAATATACTCTATTATTAATCTTTAACTATATTTAATAACTAGTAATAAACTATATTAATAGAAAAAATAAAAAAGATAGATAAAAAGATATAAACTATTTAAATTAAACTCCGAAACTTTAAATATTTAATAAAATATAAAAAAAGTCGATTAAAAGATAAAAAGGATAAAATCTTTTTTTCCTAAGCCTTTTATAAGAAAAAAGCTTTAATTAGAGTATTATTTTAAAGAAATTTAGTAAAAGAGAATAAAAAACTAAATTATAATAGAATATATAGCTTTATTAAAGAATCTTATAATCTCTAACTTTAATATATCTTTAGTCTTTTAATACCCTATACTTTTAATATATTTTAATATTATTAATATATTATAATACTATACTCTTTAATTATTTATTAGATAAAGATAGATAATATAAAAATATTTAAGAATCTAACTATAATTCTTATATATAATTTTTAATACTCTATTAATACTATTTATAATCTAATTAAACCTATTTTAAATACTAAACTAGTAATTTAAATCCTAATAGATCTTATTTCTTTCTAAAATTAGTTTATAACTACTAGTCGATCTATTTAATATAAGTTATATTATTGTAAAGAATAAATACCTTTCTCTAATTAAGATTAATATATATAAATAATATAGGAAATATAAAAAGAATAATTAGATAAAAGAATTTAAAGTTAATAGAGTTAAAATCGAATATCTATTAACTAATAAATAGTTTAAAAGTATTAAATTAGTTTAAAAAGGTAAAATAACTAAGATTATTTATATCTCTATTATAATAGATAATATTAAATTAGATTACTAGCTCTAAGGTATAATAAATAAAATAATTAGAAAAAATTAATTATAAAAAAAAGGATAAAAAAGAAAAGGAATATATATAAAAAGTAAAAAATATATTAGTCTAGCTATAAATAGAAAGTTAAATAGATAATTTATTATTTATTTAAAAAAACTAATTTATTAGTATTTAATTAGAATATTTTATAGATTTAAATATATTAGACTTAGTAATAATCTAATAGAACCTAATAGAATCTAATAATAATCTAATCCTATCCTAATCTTTTTATAAAAGGTCTTAAAAATATTTTAATATAACTATTTAAATATATAAAACTAATTTAATACCTTATAAAATAGAGATTAGACTAGTTATTTAGTTAAAACCCTAAGATTATAATAATATATAATATATACTATATAATCCTATAGAGAAGTAATTAAACTATATAGTTATTAATTAGTAGGGTAAAGTCTTATATTTATAAACTCCTCTATTTAAAATATATTTTTATAACTTCTACTATACTAATAAACCTAATCTATTAAATACTACTATAATTATAATTATCTTTAATTTTTATTAGTAATAAACTAATATCTAGCTAATATAAAATAATATAAGCGTTAATTTCGTTTAGTTATATAAACTTAATATTAAATATATTAGTTTATATAGGTTCGATCTAATATAGAGAAAGATACTAATATTATATATTAATTATTTAGTAGCTTTATAAACGCTAAGAGTTTATTTTTATATAAAGTTAGGTTTTACTAGGGCCCTAATAGGGCCCTAGCCTAGGTCCTAGGTTAGGTCCGGGTTAGCCGACTTCGACCCAGACCTAGTCTAGGTCCGGGTCCGGGTTAGACGTCTCGACCCAAACCCGGGTTATACGATAGACTAAGTATTATAGCCTATACTAGCTATAATAAGCTAGGCGTCGGATAGAGCGGTATCTCTAGTAAAATAAAAGGGGTAGTACGTTAGGCTAAAAGCGAATATATAGTAGTTAGTAGGGGCTAGAGTAAAGGAAAGGGGGTAAGGCGATAGGTGTAAGATAGAGAGGTAGGAAGAACGGAAAAGTGAGAGAGGGGGAGGGTGAGTAGCGAAGATAGGTCTTTTATATCGGCGGCATTAAAGGGAGGTTACGTGACGGCGTATTAGGATGCTAAACTTAAAGAGGCAAAACTAACCGCATATAGTAATTTACAGGTCCCGATATTATAAGAAATATATGTATGCCACGAAATATATACACTTAGAGAAACATACTTAGACTCACATAGGACAGAGTGCAACAGAAATGTTGTAGTCTATCCAACGACAGAAGTCCAGCCATTATCAATAGCGATCGTCGCACCGTTGATGTGACCAGCGCCCTTTCCATACGTCAAGTTCACACAGAATCCAGCAACCTCATTCACATCCACGTAGGGAGCTTGAATCGCGTCGAGCACATTTACCATCTTCTTATAACCCTCCATATGCATCCCGGAGTTGAACGCATCAGCAATGTTGGTTTCCATGGCACCCATCATCAAAGCATTGCACTTGATGCCCTTGTTGCCGTAGTACGCAGCAGTGTTTTTAGTCAATCCGACCAGACCGTGCTTGCTAGCCGTATAGGCAGCACCTAAAAGAACGAGTCAATCTCAACTCCAGCAGAAACCTCTCTTTCAGTTAGAACGTACCACTAGCCCACCCAGCCTTCCCGGCAACAGAAACGATATTAATAATGCGGCCATCAGGCTTCGGCTGCGCCAGCATGTTTCGAACCGCCAATTTACTCAGCAGAGCCGGGGCAGTGAGATTAATCGCCATAACACGATCCCAAAGCTCCATGTCCAGATCGCCAATGGGGTCGAAGTGGTCCATGATGCCGGCGTTGTTGACGAGGACATCGATCTTACCGAATTCGCCAATCAGCGTGTCGAACAGGCTCTCCACTTCGTTGATCTTGGTGATATCGGTCTTGATGGTCTTCAGGGGACCCTTGGATGACAGTTCAGCCGAGGTCTTCTGCAGACGTTCGTCGTTTACGTCGCAGATCACGACGCTGGCGCCGGCTTCGAGGAATTGGGCTGCAATTGCTTTGCCTAGGCCGCCGCCACCGCCTGTGACGAGACATGTCTTTCCCACGAGGATTTGTTCAGGCATTGTGAGTGTTGATTATGATAGATAGGAATAATCTTGTGAGTCAATTGAAATCGAAATTTCACCTCGTTTAAATATTCTCCGTTTTGGCGACGGAAGGCCTTCTACCCGCTTTCCGTTGGCATTGGAAACGGTGGAATCCACTCTTCGCTTCATAGAGGCGGCTCAGGGGCGACATTTTCTGGGGTACGGCAGCGCTGAAGGCATCGGACCACCCGTGGCAGCTGGAGTTGCCGAGCGGTAATGTTGGTACGGATACGGGTCTCCATATGATTATGGATAGCAGTGATATGCTGGCTGTGCGTATTGTTTCTTTAGAAAGGTAGAATATCGAGGTCAGTCAAGAACTTGGATCACTTTTGTTCTATACACATGCATGCTGAAGACTTGAATTGGATTCCAGATTTAGGCTTCTTTCTGGCACGAGTTGGCCTATTAAGTGGCCGGCAATACACATCCCGGGTAACGGGTGAAACATTGGGCTTATGCATCCAAGTCATCACGTGAGGCTTATGCACGGAAGTGTGTCTATCCGAGGGCCCTAAGCCCTGATTTCCTTGTTTGTCTCTAGCCCATACATCTACAATATACCTACAATGTAGGTTCTGTATCTTTAAGCTGGTTATAGGTTATATAGTATGGATATCTATAGCAAATACTATAGACCTGGTGGACTCTGTCCTACAGATCTACAAGAGGGGATGGCCAACAACGGTAACTGAATGAATAGTGATAGATGCTGATGATCTCTATCTGCTGCCATGAAACGTATCTAAATAGCCTCGTGGGACAAAGAAAATAAAGGCACAAAGTTTAGAATGATCTACCATAAACTACATAAAAGCACAACTGGCATAAATGCATCAGATCCAGCTGGACAAGTGGCTCAATCAGCTCGATACGGCGCTTTTCACCCCATCAATATCCCCGATGACATGGGGGATAGATATCCCTGTCCGGTTACTGGGCACGTGTCGAGGTTATAGCTCTTCTCTGAGGCAGCTGCGGCCGTAATAGGGGGTAAGTGGAACATTTGACGACGCTTGAAATGGGGATGTCTTGTCATGTTGAAGGCGTAGTGAATTTGGTACTAAGCCTATTCGGGAACTATGAGGTATGTTGTACTGAGGCAGTCCTACCTCGATTATAGAGGTGTAATCCAAACACGCATCTACGGGCTGTAAAGATGACGGTGTGGGAGTGGTCTTTCTCCATATGCTTTATCCACAATACCCGATTCAAGGACGGCCAGAGCCGATGGCTAACTAGAATCTAAAAATCAATGCACAATGACGTCCACCGCCATTCCTCGCCATAGATATGCTTTTTAAGAAGAGACGATCGAGGAAATCAGAGATCGCCCAGTGGCAGGAACGCGCAAAGCCAACTGGCGGTCTGTATCTACGATCAACCCCCGCTCCGTCATCAAATCAACACTAAGCCCGAACGCACAAGCCACACTAGATCGGCACTAGATCCCACTAGTATCGGTGTACATCGTACAAGTTGGGGTTCCAGAAGAGTGGTATAATGTGAGAACTACTCCAAACCAATAAACCAATGTTGATATCAACGGGGTTGTCGCTTTTTAGTTGCGGACAGAACATTAAATTTGATTTCGAAGATCGTGTCTCTAGAATATTAGGGCAAACCTAGTCCGTGCGGAAGTTCGAGCTAAGAAAAGTTTATACGCGATAACATGCGGTATGGACTCGGCCAATTGGCTCTCGTGGGGCTGAGAAGTAGTGGGGGATGGTCTTCATATTTAAAGGGATTTCACTGTCGAAAGTTATATTAAAAGAACCTGGGGCTAGATTTTATTTCTAGAAGGGGAGCTTAGTCTACTCTTTTCAACTTCATAAGAGATCATGTTGGCCTGTTTCTTGCTAGGCAGTGCTGTGGCCTATAACCTAGTCATGGTTATTTATCGTCTTTATTTCCACAAGCTCAGTAGGTTCCCGGGCCTCGTCTTGCTGCCGCAACCGGGTTGTATGAGATTTATTTTTCTGCCTGGGGTCCTGGGATTTTCGAGTATGAGATTGACAATATGCACCGGAAATTCGGTATGCCGCCTATCCAAACGTGGTTAAAAGTGATTTTAAGTTAACACCTTCCAGGTCCGGTGGTGCGTATTACCCCCGACGAGGTCCACATCCAAGAGCCGTTTGGGGTTTCCTTTGACTGGATCAAAGGTACCAGGGAACTGGAATCAGGCGATTACCAACCTTTGGAAGGATGGGCCCATACTTCCCATCCAATGTCTCGAGTATCTCTGTTTCGGGATGTCAATCATATTATCAACTTGATCGAGAAACATCAAGTATATAGAGTGTTTAGTTCAAGGCTTCGACTCTCTCTTTTCTCCCCTTCGAATTCCGGGGAAAATGAAGATTCCAAGTTTACCTGACAACCTCGGATCCGATGGCGATGGTTCTGGGCCCCGAGGTGGAGTCCCGAGAACGACCAAGCACCAAATCCGGCGACTGACGCAAGTTGAATGAGCTGAGTTGGGTTTGCACATGGTAAAAATGTGGAGTTTAGCTTTTCTTCTGAGGCGAGTGGCTGAAACTTCCACCAACAGTATGTTCCAACCACAATTCGACATGGGATTTGATTGGCAGAAAAGAAATAAAAGAACAAAGAAGAGGCGATCTCGGGAGAACGCGATCTTGGCAGATCCAAGTTCAAAGAAAGCCCCTTCGAGCTTTTTTTTGGTTGAACGTCTAAACGCCCCGCTTCTCCGATTCTGCCCTTCTTTTTAAAAAAAGAGCAATCTCAATTCCTCTACATCTTTTGATTTTCGTCTCGCACCTCAGCGCACGCATCCTATACCCAAAGAACCACAATGGTATGTTTGCGAGTGTTTTCCTCCAATTCCCTGCAAGCGCGCACCGCGACGATCCCTGCAGCTAACAATCGCGTCTAACAGCCTCACGCCGACTCCTCCTATTTCATGCCCGGCTCCAAAGCCGACATATACGAACAGCTCCTGCTATCAGCACAAGGACTCCTAGACGGCCAACGGAATTGGGTCAGGTGAGTCACGCACGCAAAATACGCGCGCTTCAACAGCCGCGAGAAACCCTGAAAGCATGGTCGCTTACGACCCCACCAGCAACCTCTCCAACGTCGCTTCCCTTCTATGGCACGCATACGCCTCCCTCCCCGCCCCCTCGTCCTCCGTCAACTGGGCGGGGTTCTACATCCGCGATGACAAATTCCCGGCTCTCGCTTCGCCGGTTACCTCGCCGCCTTTGCCTGGTGCGCCCGGGTCCGGCGGTGTGATTATCTCCACTACATACTCTTCCTCGGAGGACCAGCTTCTTCTTCTTGGGCCGTTCCATGGAAAGCCTGCGTGTCAGGAGATTCGGTTCGGCAAGGGTGTTTGTGGTACTGCTGCTGCGAAGCAGGAGACTGTTGTTGTTCCGGATGTTCTGAACTTCCCTGGGCACATTGCATGCGATGCGGAGAGCCGCAGCGAGATTGTTGTGCCTATCTTGGTTAATGGAGAGGTTAGTACTTGTTTCCTGGTGATGGCGCGGTTTTTGGAGATGCAATTGGTTGAGAAACATACTAACATCTTTAATAGACTGTCGCTATTATTGACATCGACTGCACTGAGCCCTCTGGATTTGACGACGAGGATAAGAAGTACCTTGAGAAATTGGCTACCCTTCTGGCTGAACAATGCGACTGGTAAAAGCGAACATAATTTTCTTTTTATATAATGGTTACGAAAGACACGGGTTTAGGTAAATGAAATTGTTGAGATAATTAATGGGGCAATGTGCATTGATCTGCGTACAATATACGAGGGTTTTTCGTGTGAGCTGTAGTTACTCCGTACACCGGATAGCAATCGTAGAGATTAAGTATCTTTTGTATAGCAACACCATACAAAAAGTACATAAACACACTATGAGTATAACATCGAATTTCTCAACCCTTGAATAGTTAAATTATACTGTCGGCCTTAATAGGAAATCCTAGGCGTGCTTGAAGTTAGAAAATACTGTGGCGTTTTTAAGGTTTTCTTTCCACTTCGATAACCTACCTAGGTATACTTAGAAGTATTCTAACTAGATACGAACTAGAGCAATGTACTAGTTTAGGAGTCTAGAAGAGAGGAGATCTACAAACAAATGGTGATATTAGGCAAGAAGTAGAATGAGTAAAGGGAAATAGCCCTAGATTTATTCATCGACTAGCTAAAATCTCTCAGAATGGTGGGATACGAGTCCCGGTATACTAAGTTTGAGGATAATAAACCATACTAGCGGCGGGTTATGAGCACCCCCAAGATTGAACACTATATTATTGCAATAAATTAGAGCTATTAGATGTATTAAAATATAACGATATGAACTGTTCAGAAACCAATACGCTTAACTGTCCACATATCTTAGGAGGCTCAATATCTGCCACAGCGAGCTATGTAAATTGATCACAGAAAGCCATCATCCTCGGCTACCTCGAGATCGGGTAAATAATAAGCCACGTGTCTCCAAATCGTGCGTTTCCAGGTAGGCAGCCGAGATAGAACGACGACGAGTACCTCTGGAAGTTCATTCACCCGTAGTAACCCGGGGCCAGCCATACTGGGGGAGATATATAGCTGTCGCAAACCATATATAATTATCTGTATTATTAGCCGAATCATTAGGAACCTCCATTGCCAGATACCCTGTCACCACGGCGCCATATGCGGTCTTGTATTTTCCGTCGTTGGGATTAGTCAAGTTGATGTGCTCTGTTTGGAAAAGTGGATTAGCGAATCTGATTTCACTTATACCAAACTCGAGGATGTCAACTTACCCGCCCTATTCACCAAAAATGTGCATAAGCTCGTGTAAGAATATTGCTGGTGTCGAAAGCGCCAACCGTATACTGGTTCCGCCCGTAATTGTTCGGTCGCCATTCCTCCACTCGCTTAATGAGTGTTTGCTGCGTGAAAATTCAAACGCCAGAGGACAGAATGTAATTGATTGCCACTCATCGTGAGCAGTGAAAGCAAAAGTGGTACCTTGGCACATGATATTTCCCTGGACATAGCTTCTGAATCGGGGGGACCATGACAGCCATTCCGCACCGACTCAGAAGGAGAAGCATGTTGACGGTAATTGCCTGAATCCCGTTTCAAGAGCTATAGTGACTTCAATGCAAGACCGAGAGACAAGCAATATGAACCAAAAGGCTCCAACACAGATCTCTTGATCACGTATTAACTTTGATACCTCTCTGGTCCCCAGTAGTGCCGCATGTATTCGGCAACGGTGGTGGGTTGCACTGAAGATAACTTATTGAGCGTGGGCGGTACCACAGACATGTCCCTAGCGCAGACGATTGCCAATTGACATTCCATTCGGGCGATAAATTCGCTTTGTGGAATGGTCAAAAGTTTTGCCTGAAGGGCAGACTCTGTCAAGGGTCGGATCTCGATAGGGCGCTCGACATATTTTTGGCAAATGCTGATCAGATCCTCGAAGCTCAGAGTATCCCCCACCATTCCAAGCTCTCGACCAGCCCATGGCTCAGTAATGTCCAGAGCGGCAACAATAAATCGACCGATATCACGAATGTCAGTCATAGTGAGTCTCGGAAATGTTTGGTCTGACCGGAGAGGAACTTCAACCCAAGGCGACTCGGGGTTCTCGAAGTGAATGAGAAACGGTCCTTCTTGAAACCCAGCCAAGGCATCTTTACGTCTGCCCGAATCGGGACATCCGATGCCGAGATAGTTCATGAACATCCCGCATGGAAAACGAGCGGCATCGATTCGATGTTGATTTACCGACGTTTGAACAACTTCCCAGACCTTATTCTTGGCATCGAGTAGGTCGACCATCGCGTGGGCTGAAGAAGTGAGGGCAAATTCAGACGGGGCAAAGCGGCGGCAGCCTGCAGCTTCTGCTGCATGAAGGAGGTTCAGCTGCACGGTCACCCATTCAGGGCCTGGGATGAGCAAAACACTGATTACTGTGTCTATGCCCTTCAACGCGGTGACCAAAGAAGTCTGTGAATGATAGTCCACGTATCGCACTTCAACTTCATTTTGAGTAAGGCTCTGCTTTTTCGAGACCGTAGTTTCCCTTGATAGAATGACTGGGGTATATCGACCATCCGTGGCGAGAAGAGCTGAGACAATTGAGAAACCTAGTGTTGGACTAGTGCCACCGGCGATTGCGACGTGCATGATGGGCAAGAGATGAATATTATATCGATTTATGCAGTTTCTCTCTAATAGCCATTAGAGAAAAGAAAGAAGATTGATAAGAAACATGAATAGTGTACAACGTAGACTGATCAACTCGTTTTCCAATGCTCCGTGGGCAGACCTCATCACGTTGATTATGTAATGCATGTGATCAAGTCAGCATCATCCTGTACATATGTACCTTTTGTATAGAATTACTATACAAAAGATACTTAATCCGTCCAATTCACAATCCAACACAGCCCACACGGGAAGGCTGCTGGGGCGGCTGGATGCCAGACACCTCATTGGCTGAAATCGGGGGCTTAGTCGGGGGCCAAGGGTTCCAACCTTGGAAGCAAATGAAACGAGCTATACGAGACAAGGACTAAAAAAAACGACTTTGATTTGACAATAGAGAACATATGGAGTCAGACTCACTCCCTAATCCTGTAAATTGTTAATTAGCAAGCGATCGCCCATTAATACCAGGGGACCCTTTATTGCACAATCGCGCTGATCTTCCTCTCGTTATTTCACCCCCAGCTAAGGCCTTCCTTTCCTGTCCCAGCGCGATTGTCTACGCCTCGTCTACCCGTTTCCAATCCAGAAAGATGGATGGGCTTGAGGTTGTTCCGGAGCAGCAGAAGGCTGGGAAATACGAGAGCGGACTCGAGGTGGCTCCGGAGCAACACAAATATGACAGCGGACTTGAAGTAGCCCCTCACATGGAAAAGGAAGTCCGGAGGGATACGGCGGGTTTACACTACGTTTCCGGACCGACAAGTGCAAGCCCTGGCATAGTTGAAGACGGTCCGCCGGAGACGAAATCTCCGCGCAAGAGGATATGCGGCCTGTCTTCCACGGTCTTCTGGGTGTTGGTAGTAGTCGGCGCGATTGTGGTCATTGGAGCTGCAGTTGGTGGTGGAGTAGGAAGTACGGTTTCGAAGAAAACAACCCCGTACGTGGACCGTCCAAGGCTCCCTTTTTCACTTCTCAGTTATATCCTAACATAGAAAGTTATAGCAGCGGTAACAGCGCCGAGCCAGCCACTTCCACATCTCCCTCTACGGACACGGCATCAGCCACGTCCTCCGGCCCTGTTACGTCGGGAACGGTAGGCCTCGCTGGGAACCCGTGTCCGCGAGCAAACGAGACAACAGAGCGCGGTTCTGATGGGTCGCTATATACGTTGCTGTGTGGTGTTGACTGGCCAAGAGGCGCGGACGCGGCGACCGGCGGCGGAAAAGTGCAAGATTTGAGCACTGAAACCGAGTATACGTTGAACGCCTGCATTCGTCGATGTTCAGAATGGAATAAGGATGAGTCGAACAGGCAGGATTGTATGGGAGTCGTGTATTCTGCGAATTTGACGGCTGCCTTTGATGGTGGACAGGGGGGGAATTGTTTCTTGAAGAGTAAGGTCGGGAATTATTTCCCTAATTCTAATACTTCTGTCGCGGCGGGGAGATTGGGTTGATGGATACGGTTTTTATAATAGCTCTTTTTCTTTGTTCTATTTCGCCTTGGAGCCAACGGGGGTTTTCGACCACACCGTGTCTTGGATGGAGAGAATACGGAAGCTTGTTCGATGTAACTGCGTGTCCTGAGTCCCAACATATGTCCCCTGTTTCGGATATGAGGGGACCTACACCGTGCGACAAGCTTTCTTTCAAGCTGCCTTGGCGTCGATTATGGAGCTGGGATCGTTGGCATGGGAAACTGGTTTCTGGATCAAGCCCTGGGCCCCAGATACTCCCAAACGAGCACGCCTTGAACAGAGCGTATCTAAGCTGTCCAGATCGGGTGATAGCTGAAAGGCGTCCTGGGCATCACATTGGTCCCCTCCACAGTTTCATATATATATAATAAGTTTGTGTCAATACCGACCTTGGGGGAAATGACGGCCCATACCTTTCTTATGCTCTCCATGATCCAACGAAGCATAGAAACAAAACGAGCGAACCCTGGCGGTATTCTCGTCTGTCTAGATCAAATGACAGCATTCAAGATCTGGAGGTGATGGCAGCAAGCCGCGAGACAAATCGTAATTGGCCCTTGGAGCCTTTCTATTCATGCCGTAGAGGCAACATGTCATAATCTATTGACACAATATCCAATAACAGTAATGCAGATGCTTCCCTGCTCGAGCCGTGTCGGAAACAACATAGGTACAATGCAAACTAAACACCGAGCGAAGCTCATCACGCTGGGTTTGGGAAACAAAAACTTGAAAACACCGAGATCCAGACGTTAAAAAAGGTATAGAGCACAAAAGGGAATCGAAAATCGCTAACATGCACAAGAACATCACATATTGAGCAAACTCATTTGCCGACGCATGGGATTGGGCGATAGAGCGTCTCCATCCTCACTGGGACCGATGCCGCTATCTGTACCAGTGAGGGGGGTGTCCATATCGATGTCCCACTGCTCGTCTTCATTGGGATCACTGTTTGTATCCGCGTCGGCATCGCCACCGTCCCAGCTTTTCTGGACCGCGCCGCGGGTGTTCCACCGCAGAGCACGCTGAACGCTTGTAAACCATTCGTTGTTGTTGGAAACAACTGTAGGGAATGGGTACTGGCTAGCTTCGACAGTAACGTAGTCGCCTTGACGGAGTTCGACGCGGCCTTTACCGTCAAACGAGCAGTAGGCTGTGGATCGGGAAGATTTAGGGACTGCAATACGGAGGAGGTGGGAGTCTGAGAGGACCATTGGGCGGAAGGAGAGGGTATGTGGGCATATTGGGGTGAGGAGGATGCCTGGGATGGATGGGTGCATAAGAGAGCCGCCGGCGGATAGAGAGTATGCCGTGGAACCAGTCGGCGTGGAGAAGATACAGCCGTCCGCTTGGACAACGGTAAGCAACTCGTCGTCGGCGTAGAGCTCCAGATTCGACACATAGGGAGACGGGCCGCGGTCGATGACGAGCTCATTCAATACTTCGAATTGCTCGCCTTCCTCGACAGCGCCCACCTCTGCTCCCTTGCTCCGGTCTTTCCGATATACGGTACATGTGAACCGCATGCGCAAATTGACGCGCATGCCCACCTCGCCCATAACGGCATTAAGCTGTGATTTGTAGTCGGAGAACTCGAAGTTCGTGAGGAAGCCCAGGCTGCCCAGTGAAAAGCAGAGCACGGGCGGAACCACGCGCTGAAAGAGCCATGATGTGAAAAGAACGGTGCCATCACCACCAAGCGTCAGCACCAAGTCAAATTTATCTGGCGATGTCCAGCACAGATCTGGCGTCCAAAAATGTAACATTTGTGCAAACATTGGGTCTTTCTGCAACAGCCCCGGAGCATCAAATCGTTTCGAATTCCGCAGCTTCGCATCTACATAGACATTGACTCCTAATTCATTTCCATATCTTGAGGTCGAAAGCAGCCACTCGGCAACTTCCCGCGTCAAGTGTACCAGGCTGTTATCACGTGCCTTGGTGACAATCATGACATTTCGCACCGCCCGTTTGATAGGTCGTCGCTGTAATTGCTTCGACACCTCACGAACTCCAGTTGCCGTCTGAACTAGTCGCGAATGTGACAGCCACTCGTCGTCGGCGATTTCCTCCAACACCTTTTTTATGTTGACAGCATCATCGAAGCGTTGATGGAAATAACATGGCGATTGCAGTATTAAACGTGCCGTAGCAGGCGATCGATCAAGATACCCACTCAATTGAAGATTGGAGAGGGCGGTAGAGAGGTTGTGGGAGGAGGCATTGCTCCCCGCCGTTGTCCGAGGTCGGAAGGCGGGGAAGCCTGGGTGGATTTATTCGCGAGCATACTCGACAAAGAACTCGCCGAAATATCGGCGTTATTTGTGGGGATCGAAGCCCGGGATGCCAGGGCTTTCAAAATTGTCTGTCGTGGTATGCAGTCGGTCGACAACGCTTTCTTCGATCGCCGATTAATCGACCTCCGGCGAAACTGCCGCAATGCTGGGGATGGCAGCGATAAGCCTGCCTCCTCTTGAGCCGACTCTGGGATTTGTGTAGGCAGCACGCTGTTGGCTCCTCGAGGGAGATCCTGGCGATTGTCCTGGGTCGAGGGTTCTATGCTGAGAGCATGATCGGGGAGGAGCGCCGCGGTTGTTGGGGGGTGGGGCTTTGGTAGACGGAGATACAGAGGGGTGAGATGGGGTTCCTGTAGAGAGACTAAGTGTGTCAGACCGTAGGTGATCACGGCTGGAAGCCATCGGCTTAGGCGGGTAAATAAGAGTAATCAGAAATCAGAAAAGTGCTCCAGGGCTCCAGGGCTCGGATGTAACGGGGATTGCGGATCCGAAGTCTTGAGATCGCAGCTGTGTCCCCCGTCAAGTCGTGGACCCAGTTGATGTTGATTCTAGCGTGTTCCACAACCCTTTTTGGCTTTTTGGGAGATCCTTTCTCCTTTTTTTCTGATATGTCGACAAGGATGCGGATAAAATTGAGAGTGGATTGGTAGGGTAAAGATTGGCAAGAATTGACAAGGATTACACCAAAAGAAAGAGCTTCCTTTTTTAGGAGGATGACCGACCACGGACCTCGAGAATCACACTAAATTAGAAGATTATGGGGATTATTTACATTGGTTTCTCACGTTTTGGCGAGATTCCCCAGAAACCTCTATAATTGGTGCCCAGGTGAGTCTGACCAGGCTAGTCATCGCCAAATGCGTACACTCGCGCAGTGCGCTCAGATAAATGACGTCTACACCGTCATATCAGACATATATTAGAATTACAATGATTACAATGATTAGGATGATTACAATGCTTATAGGTAATGATAGGTGGTATTTGTTTTGGATAGTCCATACTCCGTGTTACTCTGTGCAGTCATTGCCCAGAATGTCGGTAAAACATGTATCCCTCTAACCCTAACTCGAAGTGGGCCATTCTAGCGCCTGCTATGGAGTGCAGTTCCAACTGTCCAGCGCTAAATCACTTGGCAAGATTGGGCCAAAACATTCAAAGCTGACGGGGGCCGTCCGGAATCCAACAGTTGGGGAACCCCAAACAACCCTCATATGCGGCAAGGCTGTCGCTTGTGGCAGCTGAATGAAGCATGTTGTACATGCAGCGGCAATCAGGTGACGGTGCCTTAACCGGGTGTAGTACTCGATCAACTGTTTTGTGGCACCGTCGTATCCCTAGTTGAGGGGAGATATAGCGAGTGCTTCAGGGAAGTCATGTGCACAAGAGAAGGGGACCAGGGGTTGACCGATCGACCTGTCCTATTTTATCGCGTCTCACTAACTCTCCGCAAATTTGCCGTGGGCGCAGTCTGCCTCAGATAGAGTCCAACTTGTAGGCGTAGTCGCTGTATACCTGGTCCTCCACCGTCTCCCTGATGAAACCGTTCAAACTGGCGCTGGCAGTGCCTTCGCCCATAGTAACGTCGCCATCAGCGCTAGCGGCTGTCTCGCCCTGACAAATGGAGAGCGCGCGCTCACGGACAAGTTCCCAGGTATCAAAGTCAAACCGACCCTCGCTTTCGTTGAGCAAGAGGTGGTTCTTCGAGGAGACGGCGAAAACATGGAGGGACACAGCAGCCTTGGCGGCGGCCGGGGACGGGTCTCGCACAATATCACCAGACTTGGTTACACAGAGGAGGGTCGCGGAGAAGGTCATCGATAGAGGAACGGAGGCGGATACCATAGCGAGCAAGCCAGCATGGAGGAGAGCGGGGAGAATAGTAAGGTACTAGATAGATTAGCCTGGCACATCAAAGTAGTAGGAATAAAAGAGGTTCTGAGAAACTCACAGAGTCACCACGTTCCACGTTCTCTCCTCCGACAATAGCTAGGGTGAGGACCACGCCGCGGCGGGGGAAGCCCTTCTCCCGTCCAAGGACAATTTTCCCTAGCACAGACCGCAGGATTCCTTCGATATATCTTTCACCGACGCCGGCAGTTGTCGTACCAGGTTTGACAAAGACCTCCACAGTGGCTTCCTCGGGTTTCAATGCGTCACGGCGTGCTGGGAGCTCAATGGGCGCGTTGACTGCGCCCAAGATGCTGTAACCGGTGGCTGGGCATTTGTATGACGCTGAACCGTCGGCACGATTTAATTGTGAGAGGGATGCTATCGGACCGACCATATTCACGATAGAAAGGTAGAAATTGGGGAGCTTCTTCAAGTGTTCGAAGAGTTGTGAGTAGCAAAGTTGTCTCCCGCAGCGATTTTTCATGTGCGGGCCGTTCTTTGATTGGCCGCCTTAGCTGGGCTTGTACTCGGTACCTTATTTGTTGCCGGTCCCTCATATACTTTTGCAGTACCAAGTACGAAAAGTGTCATTCGTTGCTTCCTTCAATGGTTCCAAGGTTCCTACCATTGCTACTATTTACCGTGTCTACTCTGTAGTATCCCCGACCAGAACTGGAATCTTCTTTCAACCTGACTTGGGGCATGTCACATACACCGCTCTGAGCGTGACCAGTGTCACTGTTATCTCCGATTCGCTACCAATTCCTATGGGTCGCAGCAGCGAAA